GATGGTGCAGGGCCTGGGGGAGGCCTGGGAGGGCCAAATGGTGGTGTTGCAGGCTGTTTGCAGAGGATCTGACTGGAAAATTCTGCAATTGAGGGGCAGAACAGCCAGCAGGACTGCACCTGGGCTGCACTCCACAACCAGAAGGCTGGAGGGTCTGAAAATGGAGGGAATGGCTCTTGGGAGTGTGCTGAGATGGATTCTGATGGATTTGGGATGCCAGGAGGCCTGGGGAACAATAGAGATGTTACCCCTACTGTTCCAGAGCCAGAGTTCATCCTCGAGAACCAATTGAATAGTGCTTATGAGCTTTGCTTAAAGTATGACTTCAACAGCCTTATGTATAGCTGTTGTGGTGGTGTTGTCACGAAGATGCTACGAGTAGGCCCTTTAGGACTCGCTGGGAGTCTAAATCAATTACTATGTACGGTATCTAAGTAGGTACAAGACGTTGTGTACCGAACAGAACTCTACCAGCAATAGTCTATATACTTATGTGTGGGTTCGTTCGGTTACCGGTTAATAATCGGAACTGAGTTGGATAGGTATCAGGGTTGCAAGTCCCGGAGCGGGGCTTGCAGAATCCTAATACTCCTGCCTCAGAGGTTGCAGGCCCGCTCTGGAGGTGACCGGAGGTTGTACGTCCGCTTCGGAGGTGTGTAAGGATGCTGGGGATTTGGTGCGTACGGTCAGGGACAGTACGGAGCGGATCTGGATATTGTCAGGGGATCTGGAGAGGATACCGTGACAGGTGTGGATTGGAGTGCAGGTGGTGATGCTGTCATCTCGGATTTTTGGTTTGGTAGGGTGGCCTGTGCTGAGTGGGCGTTTTTTTGTACTGCGCGTGCCTCCCTATTTCCGATTTTCACGCTCGGACAAGAGCCGAGTAAGGGTGTTTGGTCTTGTCTTATCAGTGGTGGCCTGTGCGGGAACACCAAAAATTCTTGTCAAGCAGGGCAGATGGACTGCAACTGGGATGCACCCCTCAATAATGGCCTGGAGACTCTGAACTTGGAGGCAATGACAGTTGCGCCTGGTTGGAGATGAAGGAATTTAGGAATTAACCCATAGGCTTGGTGTTGAGTTGACCGAGGGTTAGTTTTGGATCAATTTGGGGTAAGCCGTAGATTAGGCAGAAAGCGGGGTAGCAAAGGTAACACGCTTTCAACTCCACTCTGCGCTGCAAGTATCCGTGCTGGTGATGGTATTCTATCTGCAGGGTCACGCAAGTAGGGGAGAAAGAGGGCTCATAACTTACTGAGAGGATATGGAGATGTGAGTTGACTGATGATGTTTTTTGCTACTGTGAAGGAAACAGACTATATATCGCGCAGGTACGCGGGAGTGCTGACTTAATGAGCTAGCCCATGGGATGGGCAATAGCTCCGTCGGACAATTGTTGTTGGAAAAGGGGCAGGATCTAGTATGCTGAACATCTATACTCTCGCCCTCCAATCCCACCCTACCAGCGCAAAGCGAGTCGCAACCAGCAACGATCCACCCATAAAGAAGGAGGTCCCGGCCCACACGTTGGCGTATGTATAGATCCCGCCATGCTGTTGAATGAGTGCGCCTGCTAGTGGCGGCCCTGTGAAGCTCGAGAATGAGACAATCGTAAACGCCATCCCCATCCTCACACCGGTCTTCTTCAAATCCGGGGTACGGCTCAGTGATCCGATGACCGCAGGCCACAGGGCTTGGATTACAGCGCTGGCAGAGCCATAAATAACGGCGAACGCATACAGGCTTCCTACCGAATGTACACCGATCCAGCCGTACATCATGATGCCGCAAATGAAAACAAACGGAATCAGGGTGTTGAGGCTGCCAATCTTGTCCGCATAGTATGTGGGTAGCAGTCTAAAGACGAAGCCCATGCAGATCTGCACAAGCAGAAGATTGATGGACTGCTGATAGCTCACGCCAAGAACGTTGCGGCCATACGAGCCAACATAGAAGAAGGCAAAATACAAGCCCCAAAAGGCAAAGAACATGCCCGCACAATATAGTGAATACGGTGCTTCCTTGAAAGAGTCCCAGTCGACGATCGGTCCAGTCCTCCGTGGAGGTAGTCGGGTTCGGAATAGTGAGATCGTGATAACGTTAAGGACCAACATGATGAAGCCAATTATGCGAATAGTCCATGGAAACCCAAGTGTTGGCAGACACTGCTGCACCACGATTGGGAAGACAACACCTCCAGTACATGATCCCAGGGCTGTAAAGCCCAGCGCAAAGGCACGCCTCCTCACGAAGTAGGTCGAGACCAATGCCATGGAAGGGCAGAATTGCAGCCCGTTTGCGATCCCAAGGCAGACTCCTTGCGATAGGAACAATTGCCAAAGCTTTGTAGACTCGGCCATAGTGAAGATGCCAACAAGCTGAAAGACTGTGCCTGCAACGTACACTGGTCGGAATAGACCTGCATCGGTGGCGCGGCCTGTGAAAGCACCAATGCCGAACAGGAAGAACACTTGTATAGATCCGATCCATGAGATGGTTGATGGCGCGATTCCGAGTGTATTCTCATAATACGTCTGGTAAACACCGAATGACGTAAAGAAACCGAAAGTCGTAAAAATGGTCAGATGTGTACAAAAGACTTGAATCCATGCAGTCAAGCCTCCGTCTGGCGCTGGTCCTGGGTCGAACGAGGCAGTGGATTTACGCGAGAAGACTTTTGCGAGAGGTAGAGCAGCCTGTGGTGCCTTCTCTTGCTGTTGCAGCTCAGGGTCTTCAGCCATCTGCTCGATCTCATCGTCTAGCGTACTTGTCCACGCTCTCAGGCCCCTTTGACGATCTTCAGCATCGTTTTGCTTCCCCAGATTCTGGGCGCGTTGCTCCGCGGCGCCTATGGGTGTCATTGTTTGAGCGTGACGTCAACGGGCGAATAAGCACAATGAGAAGCAGCGCATATAGAAGCGCAGAATGAATGACTTGAGGATAGGTGGGCGCTGAGCAGTCGGGACATAAATGAAGAGCCATTATTCCCGAGCTCGTCATGGACTGGCTGACAAACAATTTTCACGATGGCAGCGCGCATCCCTTCCTGCATGCGGAGGAGTGGGCCTGGCGGCAGCAAGTTCAGCCAATTGTGGGGGAAGTGCCGGCAACTCGGCAGGTTTGCCGCACGCTGATTTATCCGACAATCAGTCGCCGAATTTCAGAGTCACCGGGACAGCAGCCAACACTTCTTCATACATTGATTCTTTCAACATTCTTGTTAAAATGACTCCGATAGCCAGATCACTTAAGTGGGTCTCACTGTATAAGCAGCGCCGCGCTTATAGCAGGCTGTGAGCAACTGTTTACTTCGATACTAGTGGACCCAACGAAGCACAGATGATGTGAGTTTCCACTTGACCTTTGTTCTCTTCCATTCGATAGCCTAGTCACGCATCTGGCTTCTGTTGCTCACTGCAATCCACCAACGAACTTCTGGCGGCGCAGTGATTGATTGATTGATTGATTGATTGGTTTAACGTCCTATCTGAGTCTAAGACTATTGAAGACGAGAGAAGCAGTAGCCCCTCTGGTAATGCAAAGACTTAGGTACATGGGAGTGAGGTCAATAGAGGTACAAGGGATGGTGAGGGTCTGGCGGCGCAGTCTCCCACCAGAAATTGGTAAATTTTCCGCTCCTCGAATCTTCAAGAACCGAACTGCCTCCCTCATCTCTTCAAACCCCCGACCTTCTTGTGGTAATAGACCAGTTGTCTTTGAGGTCAAGCCCCATGGGCTTGAACCTATCCCCCTTGCTGACGGGCTTTCTTGCCCCGAACAACCTCAGAAGCACTGCAACAGGACGCCAGATAGACCAGAATCCCGGGAGGAGGATATACCATTGTTAAAACCCTCCATGACCAAAGTTGTACAGGCCCTCAGTGTTTGGCGCAGTTGCAACGGACTGATAAGCTAGGAACCCCGGGCGGGGAAGCGCATCGTGGCGAAGGAGTAACCTGCGTGTGTTCCGAACGACTAAGAAGACTGTCATTAGAATCACGCCGGGAGCTTCGATACACAGGATCATCGGCATTGTTTCATCGAGATCCGAGCCAACGATTTGCCGCAATAGTGATGTGATACGCTTGTCTCCCTTCCTGGTTGCTGAATCAACGTAAACCCTCAAATTATGGTCCTCCGTCGCAGTTGGCTTCGTGACTTCCCCGCAATACGCCTTCGTCCATTCAAACAGCTCATTTACAGAATGCAGCCCATCTTTCTATCCAGTCTCATAACTCTCAGAGGAGAGAATGGTATCTCCAGATCCTCACCAAAATTGTGGTGGAGGACGCCCACCGCGCACTTCTCGACATCGCTCAATGACCGCCACTCCTCATTATTGACTATGGAGACAATCTCGAGAGCACCATCAGCCAATGTGTGCAGAAGATCTGTGTCCAAGATCTTTCCTGCTTTACGATATCAAGCATGGAGATAGTTCATCCGCGCAACTGCATCCATGTAACGCTCTGAGTCTCTTGGCTGCGTTTGCGACTCGCATGAGATGATCTCGATGTCGACAGCTCGCTTTCCTGCATTTCTTACATTGTTCTAACCTGTGACGGCGAACAGTTTTGACATCATGGGTATACCGCCGGCCTCTATGCTTCAGTCAGAGGAAACGTTGCAGGAAGGGAAGCCTGTGCTTACTTTGACAAGAGCAACGCTTCGAGCTTTGTTCATTGCTTAGGGGAAATTGAGTGGCTGGAGCTGTGTCATGATGTGGAATGCTTCCTGAGTTGTCATGGTAGATAGTGGCCTTCGATCATGTTTGAAGTGGTACGTAATTCTCTTGGTGCGGTTGTAACGCACGCAGCGTACAAGAACGAGATATAGTGTTGCAATGGCTACAGCTATTTTAAAGGTTGTGAAGTACCCTGCAAAATGCGTTATGGCGGACTGCGGCGCTGCTGTTGACTCCATTATGACTTCCGGGATGCAGTGGGGATGTAGAAAATCAAGAAAACGACAAGTGTTTGAGCTTATATACCTAAAAACATGCGTTCCAATACTTTTCTCTATGAGGATACCGTAGAGATGTACGATCACTTTGAAACATCCGCTTCGCTCGAACGAGTATGCATTTTGATCAGATTCAGATGCGCCAAGTTTCTTCTTACGCCATAGATCGATGCTTGCGGAACGGGCCAATCCCGGACCTGACATATGACAATGAAAATGAAGCTGACCTTAAGAACACCGAGGTACAATCTTCAGACCCAACATGAGAGACACAAGGGCTCGCATAACCATATCTTTATCTCGCTACACCATTCGACTGCGGATGAGGTGATGATACAGCCGTGGGGTAGCTGTTCAGATGCTGAGCCTCGAGGTCCACAACTGTGTTGGTTGTTGCTTGCTGGCTCATCTTCCTTTTCCTCGCATTCCAAGGTCGGCTTGCGATGGGTCCCCTAGTGGACGCGTCCAGTTTGTCGACAAGAAGGCCCAAGATCACGTACACTGCCACAACGATAAACTCTTCTATGACTGCCATCCCAGTCCTGACAGGTACACTCCCCGTTGCGACGCTGAAGAGATGGTCGTGAACGAAGACTGATAGCATGGAGTAGGTCAGTCGTACGAGGATGAACGGGAGTGCGAGGGTAATGGCAATGGGCACGCGCCGCTCCTTGCTTGGAACGGCGGAAGTCTGTGGTACGGACAATACAAAGACAAGTGTGATGCCAACGAATCCAACGGTGTACAGGATGACGCCAATCTTGCTAGCGCTAGGGATTTGGTAGGTCCCATTAGCATCGACCGAGACATTCGAGCCGCCGACAATGGCGAGGATCATGCCGACGAGTAAGACCAGTTGTAAGATGCGAAAGTGTCGCACCGTGAACTTGGGCGTCAAAGCGGCATTGATGAAGTCGACGAACCGAGAAATAAGTCCCAACGTGGCCAGAAGTAACGGGGAAAGACCTACGGAGTCCAACAACAAGATCGTTTGCAACAACCCAGCTGACTGGCTACTGTGCGATACAAACTGGCAAATGCCACCGATTATTCGTACAATGCACAGGATGAGTGTGTAGATCCATCCGCTGCTGCGACTAAACCCGTGGTGGTAGCAGACGAAGGCCGAAACAAGCGCGAATGGTATGTAGAAGATGAGCTCAACAAGAGCAATGGAGTCGCGTGCGTGCCATATCATTGTGAGATTAGGTGTTATCGGCGAGACGATGAGAATGAGTTGATCGAATCTTTCTATGTTTGGAGGGTCTGCGATGAAGTGTATGGAGAAGAGAGGCGCTGATAGTTGTGCGACACCTTCAGGTCTTTCATCTTACCTTTATGTATCTTTTCCATCTTGTTGCAGCGGTAATCGTTGTGCACAAAGATCCTATCGTCGTGCATACGTAAAGAGGGAAGATGTTGTTCTGTCGCTGTTTCCCTCCAGAATAGGCAAGCACTTCGTTAGCGCCAGCCTCAGCCCCACTTTGCCCTCCCTTCACCGTTCCTCAACGCCCGGCTTACTCGAACCTCTTTGGCATTTGTCCGCCATGTGGGCCTCGTGTGGCTTTGTGCTTACGATCGGCTACCCCGTCCAGGCATGATGTTCGGTCAGACGAATCGCATCTCGTTTGACACCGACAGTAAGTATGGCTAAGCCACGACAAACTTTGCGTGGCAGTCGTCACTAATGCGGAGCCCGCGAGTTTTGCTGGATGCCTTTGGCGAAGACAAGGTCTTTACCCAAATAAGTGGTGCTCAGCGACCCGCGTCGATGCTGCATCCAAGAGAGCGTAAGGCGTTCGATGATGGTGTATCGTGGACGGCCCTCCGCAGCTTGCTTCGCTTGCCGTACAAGACGCATAAAGGTCAGTGTGATCAACAAAACATTCAATACACCTTATTGATAATAGCGGATAGTGCGACACAAGAAAGCCTGGGTGTTCGCAATGCGCGCGTATACGAATCATATGTCCCGGCTACCGCGACCCCTTGGATGAGCTATTCCGTGATGAGAGTGCTGCTGTCACAAAAAGAGCACAAAAAAGCTGCAAGGCTCCTAATAATCCAAAGCACAACCAGACACACATTTCGAAACCTACGCATCCAGCGACGTGCTCTGCAGGAAGTCCCGATAAACACGAGACGAATCTCGGTCTTCCAATGTCGTTCTGTGCGCCAGGACCAAGCCTATCGCAATCGATCGAGAATGTAGCTCTGGCACATTTCATGTCTTCCTACATTCCAGGAAGCAATTTCGTGTACCTCCCAGATCTGTACAGTCTGAGCGGAGAGGGTGCGGCGCTGCCAGCAACAGTGCACGCAGTGTCGCTCGCAAGACTGGCTTGGGAGCTTGGACAGTCGAGTCTCATGGGTCAAGCAAACCGCGCGTATGCGAATGCCTTGACCAAGACGAATGTCGCACTCTCAATTCCAGCAGTGGCGACGAGCGATGCTGTCCTTGTATCAGTGTTACTCTTGAGCCTTTACGAGACTATCGTCTGGTCGGATGCCGGCACACCAGACAACTGGATAAAGCACACTCAAGGCGCTCTGGCACTTATCCAACTCCGAGGAAAGAGACAGTTGAACACACTTGTAGGCCGACAACTGTTCACGCAAGTCGCAAACATCATCTGTGTCGACAGCTTGAGGTCCGGCACCCGGCTATCTCCAGGTCTGCTGGAACTCCAAAACGCCGCTTTGCAGTACAAAGACGAAAGCCCACGATTCGGGATGAGCAGTTCGACTGGTGAGCTGGCGAATTTGCTTGCAGACGTCACCGAAGGATGCTTGACACCATCCGAAGTGATCGAAGCGACGCAACGAATGGAAGCCAAGTACATCGCCATTATCTCGAATCTTCCGGCCTGTTGGCAATACGAAGAAGAAGCATTGGAAGAAGCGCATCGGGGCGTGTACGGAAAGACGGTTCATCACTATGCCAGCAACCGCTCTGCTCAGTTTTGGAACTCGTACCGCATGACGCGCATCCTTCTCAACGGGGTGATGCATGGTCACTTGCGTTACCTTCGATCTCCTAATAGCTCTCTGTTAGCACAAGCGAAACGCAATGCACGGCAGATGGCCGCTGACATCTGTGCGAGTGTACCACAGTTTACAAATTCAGAGCACTTTTCCATCGCGTCTGCTGCTACTTTGTTGTGGCCGTTGTCGACAGTAAGAAGCTCGGATCTGGTGGGGCAGGACTTGCGTGAACACGCTGAGGGAAGGCTGAAGTTCTTAGGGCACGAGCTTCGCATTCCTCAAGCAGAGAAGGTGGCGTCCTGTCGAGAGGTGGATGCACTGCAGGATGGACTGCACATGTTCTACCTGTCATGAGCAGGGACGAAAGCTTGAACTCCACGACTCAAACTGGAAATCGACTCCGATGAACTTCCGGTCGCAACGTTTTGTTGGCATCAATGTCAAGCGATCATGAGTGAATTGTACCGAAGCACACGCGTTCGAGACTATTGCGCTGTGGAGTCATGCAGAGCCTCGAAGGAACGCCATCAAGCATATAAGTGGGACTTTACCTGCTCAAACAAACGCACGCAATCTGCCATCATGGTGCTTGTGAAGCGAGAAATTTGTCACGTACGTTAGGCATCTTGCGTTGTTCCGTTTGGGTGTGATATTGTGGCTGACCTGCATGAGCAGACTACATGTCAGAACCTGCTCACTTGGAATGGATAATCTGGTCAACTTTAGTGGCGAGAGGAAGACGCGATGCAAGTGCCTTTCCATCGGCTTTGGACCCCACTGCAAGGCTGCATGCCACGCAACATCAGACTCATTGTTTTCACAACTGTCACCGAGGAGTGCAGAGTATCGCACTTGACATGAACGGTTTCTGAGCATGTCCCTGACTCCGCGAGTCTATCAATCTCAATATGTCCAAATAGTTCTTGGCCACCGAAAAAACCCAGGCATACTTGCAGATTGTGCAGATTGTGAGGAAGTGTATTACAACCGTGGATGATTGTTCATTCGTAAATTGGGTATCATATGTCTGCTACGTCTCAGGAAACCATTCTTCCACTTCATCGTTACCTCAAGAGCAGCATCCTGTCGGCCCAGCAGCATCGACAGATGACCTTCGCATATCCTTCTCCTGCCTGAAGACAGCCTCGAAGGGAATCCTCACCACCATCCAGTCGCACAAGAACTTGCCGAGAATAGCACCAAGAATGATCGAAATGAAGATCCAGCCGTTGAAAGACATGACAATCAACATGAGCAGGTACGCAACACCCAGCGTGACTCCGTGAATGATGGCGCGCGCTAACTGTTGCAGCGAGGTGGCGCGAAACGTAGCGTACTGAGTTCCTAGCGTAGAAGAGGGGCCGTCGCAGCAGTTGGAAAGCGGTGTCTCGGCGAGCGCTGCCTGCTGGATGCGCAATTGACGTTGGAACGTTCGCAGGAGGTAGGCGTCCCATTCAGTGCTAACGCGACGCAGAAATTCGAGCGTCACCACGAGCAGGGCGGCGCCAATACAAGACGCGGCGAACATGGCATTGTTCTTGACGTGCCATGAGCCGGACAGAAAGCAGGAGTCGACGATGCGCCAGTTCCAGAGCATCTACAACGGTCAGCTTACAGCACTTTGATATAATCAAGGATGAACATACCTCCATCTGGCATTCGCTGGTGCCCATGACCATGGCGTCTGAGTTGTGAGAGTGGGACATGATGAGATGTGCGTTGTGGTGTAGTCGCTGGTACGCCGCGGTGCTGATGTTTGACAGACGAGATGCGCACGAGAGAACCGTGGACACAGGACTTCAATTGAGGTTCGACAGCTGTGATGACACCACGACCCAAAGGGCCTCGCCGCTATATCAACCCTCCGAAACGTGCTCAACCGCAATATGCCTGACGATCAAGCTACCTCACGCCAACATGGCGGAAACGCCAGCGGCCTCGTCTGCTCCCGGCAAAACTCCGTAATTGTGGGGGAACTTGCTCAAACACACTCGCGCCTTCCCTTTTCCGTGCCGGAAAGGCCCACCCTCACCACCCAGCGGCGGCCAGTATCTTGGCATCGCGCACTTTGTCAATCCACTCTGAAGCGCGGCAGCCATGATTCGACTGCCAGCAGTTATATAGAATAACCATGGACGTCTGCTGCTGTGACAGTAGCCGCGACCTATCTTCGCTCACGCGTTTGTTATCTGAGCAGCCATGGCCACCCCCCTGAAGATGTTGACGGCGCGTCAGCACATCCAAAACATCAGCGCCGCCTCGGAGGTGCAGCCGCACTGGGGATATGCGGATCGCGTGGTACCGTGTGTCAACGATGCTGGATCCTGCAAGTACCTCGATGTTGTGTACGCTGCCCACGATATCGGCATGTACTACACCGGCATCATCTGGGCGACCATCGGCGGCATCCTTATTGTCTGGGCTATTGGGCGGCACTTTATGCGCGCATATCCATCAGGTGTCGTACTACCAGCAGAATTGGCAGGAGAAGGCGTGAACAAGAGAAAGAATGCAGTTCAGAGATTCGCAACCGCAGCTCCATCATACGCCCGCTCATACCTGCTTCCAGACGCCAACCGCTTCATCTTTGGCCGCGTCACACGCACCCAGGTCTTGACACTCGTAGTTCTTGTTGGTTATCTTACCATCTGGTCCTTCGTTGGCATCGCTTACGGCACTTGGGTCACACCTGTCAAGAATAAGCCCGGTCTCTACAACACCCGAACAAGTCTGGGACCATGGGCCGATCGTGTCGGCGTCATTGCTTATGCTCTAACTCCGTTATCCATCATGCTCTCGAGTCGCGAGTCGATACTGTCACTGGTCACGGGATTGCCTTACCAGAGCTTCAACTTCCTCCACCGCTGGTTGGGATACCTCATCTTTACTCAGTCATCACTCCACACCATTGGATGGTGTGTCATCGAGATCAGACTGTACAATCCTCAGCCCAGTACCGGACTGAACTGGATTCGCCAGCTGTACATGATTTGGGGGTTGGTTGCTATGATTCTCCTTACTCTCCTTTTCATCTTGTCCACACCTTGGGGCATTCGCATGACTGGATATGAGGCTTTTCGCAAGCTTCACTACGTTCTAGCTATGGTCTACATCGGCGCATGCTGGGGCCACTGGGAGCAGTTGAAAGTTTTCCTCATTCCGGGTCTGGTCGTATGGATCATCGACCGTGCCATCCGTCTCGGCCGAACGGCCCTGCTGCACTACAACTTCCTTCCCTCGGGCCACATGGGTTTCCGCGCGGCACCCGCAGACATCACCTTCTTCAAAGACGAGACCAACGGCGACGTCGTGCGTCTTGACTTCGATCACCCACAGGACGCCTGGGCTGTCGGCCAGCACTTCTACCTCACGTTCCCCGAGTCCAGCATCTGGCAATCGCATCCATTCACCCCGCTCAGCCTCCCCGTCTTCGGCGCCGACACCCAGCGCCACTCGTACATTTTCCGCGCAAAGAAGGGCGAAACCCGCAAGATTGCCGAACTCTCTGCCAAACGTGCCGCTCGCTCATCCGATCCCCAAGAAGCCCACGAGGGCCTCATGGGCAACGCACGCCTTTCTGTCGTCCTCCAGGGTCCTTATGGCGAGCAGACAATGCGCGATCTCGCTTCCGATTCGAACATCCTCTGCATTGCTGGTGGTACAGGTATCACCTACGTTCTTCCCGTCCTCCTCGACATCGCCTCACGTCCCCAGAACCGCGACCGCAAGCTTTCCCTTTTGTGGGTCATCCGTCATCGAAGTGACATCGACTGGGTAGCGCCTGAGCTCGCAATCTTGAAGCGCAAGTGCCGCAACCTGCGCACCGGGATTCACATCTACGTCACTCGCGCAGCTGAGGACCACTACCACGAACCTAACGTACCCACTGCTGCTGAAAAAATTACCGCGACAGATTGCGCGCCGGAAAAGGGTAGCTGCTGTGCACCCAAGGAGATTGAGGCCCAGCCTAAGAGCTGTTGCCAGAGCAAAGAGATCCAAGCTATCTCAAACTCTTCAGACTCTTCAGCCGTATCCGTTTCTTCAGCGCTATCTGTTCACGGCGTGTCCAAGTCTGAGCTCAACCTTGATCACATCCAGGCGCGTCCTGACCTGAGACTCATGGTCGAGGACTTTGTTGCCTCCACAGTGCGAGGGCGGACTGACGTCTTTGCGTCCGGACCGGGTGGTATGATCAGTGACCTGCGCACCATCATCGCTGGAGCGAACAAGGGTGGTGAAGTCTGGAAGGGCGAGGAGAGGTGGGATGTTAGGTTGACATGCGATGACAGGCTGGAGTGGTAGACGATCGATTAGAGTAGACGCTTTGCTCATGATACCCCAATGCAAATTTTTCCAACGTTCAAAAGCATGTTCGAACTGATTATCGTGACTTCTGCTCTGTATTTGGTCATCCAGAAGATGTCGAGTTTGCGACGAATTGCCGATTGGCTGTGGGGTTGAAGCCAAAACTCGACTTCACTTTGGAAGCTGCGATATTCACGACATCGTTGATTCCTTTTGCACCAGGTATCAGAAGATTCCCTCAGCAGCTTTGAATCCAGTCATTTAATACTGGCCGCAAGATGTCGGTTCGACAGACCTCGCAGTCGCCAATCGAGGAATGAGCCAGCGAGACATCGAACTCACGTCGTGAGGTGCGATGACACTGAAATTGCAGATTATCAGCACATGTACCTTCAGCAACATCAACCTTGCTGTAATTCAGCTGTCTACCGACTTCAACGATGCCATCGGATCTGGGCTGTGGGTAGACTTGAGATGTGTTCACGCTTAAGTGTTGTTGACGGTGTCACTCATTGTGGATTTTTGGGTGATGGACTGTGTCTATGTGTGCTGTTCAGGATTACAGCGAGACCACATAACATCAAAATTGAGCGGATACCTGCGGGCACCGTTATATCTAGGAGTGCGGTATTGGCTACAAAAGATTGGTAGATGTGTCCCATGGTCGACCAAGGGTCAGGTTCAAAAACATTGAAGAAATAATTCGGGTCCAGTCATGCACTTTGTCGACATACAAAAGACCCTGTCGAATCTCAGTTTTCATCAACATCCTCTCAACACCACCACGTGTACACCATGAAGACCCGCCAGGTTGCCGCAGAGGCAGCCGTCTTCGACCAAACCAATCTTCTGCCGAAGAGACAGCTTATCACCGTCCTGTGCGCACTGGCAGTATCCCTGTTCATTTCTTTCGTCGATCAGAATGGTATAGGAGTAGCATTGCCGACGATAGGGGAGGAGCTCTGTGCTGAAGAGACGATCAGTTGGGCAGGAACAAGTGCCTTGATTGCGAATACGATCTTCCAAGTGCTCTATGGACGCTTGTCAGACTTGTTCGGTGAGTATGAATGCACGCAAAGTCAAAGATTCGCACTCACATGTTTATATACAGGCCGAAAAGCCGTCTTTCTGTCCGCATTGGCGCTGCTCGCAGTCAGTGAACTGCTGTGCGGGTTCTCGCAGAGTGCGACCATGCTCTTCATATTCCGCGGTCTCGCAGGTGTTGCCAACGGCGGTATCACTTCGTTGGCGATGATCATCGTCTCCGATATCGTCACTCTGAAAGAGCGAGGCCAATATCAAGGAATTCTCGGATCTTGCGTGGGATCTGGAAGCATGGCCGGCCCATTCATCGCCGCTGCATTTACACAACCATCCACTTTTGGGGACACTACTTGGAGAGGCTTCTTCTGGCTTGTCAGCCCGCTTGTCGCTATTGTCGGTGTGGTCTGCTTCTTCATTCTGCCTACACCAAGGGACGCTCCACCGATGAACTTCAAGGCTGTCTCCAAAGAGATCGATTACTTCGGCATTATAGCTGGGTCCGCTGCCATCATCCTCTTATTGATTCCCATATCTGAAGGTGGGAGCTATTTTAAATGGGACTCTCCCTTGGTCATATCAATGCTGGCTGTCGGAGGCTGCTGCATGGTCGGATTCGTTGTCATCGAGTATTGCATCGCCCGGTTACCCATGATGCCATGTGAGTCAAGTCCCGCTGCTACCCTTTGAAATGCTAACGCAAACAGTATCGCTCTTCACATCTACACCGGTCTGCGTGATGCTGATTCAGAACCTTCTGTTCGGCATTGTGTACTACTCACAATTGTACTACCTTCCTCTCTTCTTCCAAAACGCGCACCAACTCACGCCCATGATGTCAGCTACCCTTCTTCTGCCGATGACTTGCGCCCAGATGGTGGCTTCAATTCTCTCTGGTCAGTACATATCTCGAAGAGAGCGTTACGGAGAGGTCATCTGGACAGGCTTCTTCTTCTGGACACTCGGAGTCGGTCTGACCTGCATGTTTGACGTCGACACACCAATCTACGCTATGGTCATTATTCTAATGGTCGAAGGTATCGGTATTGGATGTATTTTTCAGCCCACCTTGGTCGCTCTCCAAGCGCACTGCACCAAAGCGCAAAGAGCTGTGGTCATCTCAAACCGAAACTTCATACGCAGTCTTGGTGGAGCTATCGGTCTCGCCATCTCAGCCACTATCTTGCAGAACACACTCCAAAAGGCTATGCCTCCGGAGTTCGTATCGCTTTCGCAGTCTGCTTACCACACTCCGGATCTGAAAGCACTTGGAGCCTCACCTGCTCAGATGCAAGATATCTCACACGCATATGCTCAAGCGAGCAGATCGGTGTTCATCATGAACGCACCGTTCATAGGACTGTGCCTCCTCGGTTGCTTGCTCATTAAAGACCATGGCTTGCAACGTCCAGAGGAAGTAAAGCCCGCAAATGAGACTGCGCAATCGAGCGATGTTGGACTTGTGCTGAGTATCGACACTGGTCCAAAAGATTCTGAATTTCCAGGAACTGGGCCCGAGAAATCCAGAGTCGACGTTTAAGCTCTTCCACAGAGTGCGTATTCCCTTCAGGGCATATGCGCTTCGGCGATCCAGCGCGAAGTAGGGAGACGATGACTTCCGCGTCGCCAAGCGCATGCTCTCGGTCCTAGGCGACAACTTGGTACAGAACAGACAACCCAATGACACATTGGAGGCTTACTTTGAGCTACTATACCTGGACTGTAAACTGCGAATGCACATGAAGACCACATTCAGGAAACTTAGGACTGGCACAGCAAACATGTTCTTCCATCTGAAGAGTCGTGTGTGGACTTGAGTAGTTTTCGTGGTATAATTGCAACAAGCCGGTGTTGCTGTTTTGTACACGTCTGTAGTGCACCATTGGTAGCATGTGCAGCCTGGTCACCCCGAAGTCGGTGCGACAATCGAGGTCTCATCAAGTGGGCTCTGTGAACACTCTGAGATTAATTGAAAACTGCCCTGAGTATGCGCAGCGCATGACTGAGCATGCGACAATATATGTTGCTTCCAGAATGCCGTTGAACAGGTAGATCCTCTTGTTCGTGTTCGGTTCGGTACGCGCCCGCTGTCAGTTTGTGAATACGTAACGGGCGTATCCGGGGTTTGTTTTGAGACTTATCCATGTGCCTCTTCGACCCTTTCAACCCTGCTACTCCTCGATTCGAGACGTGTTCAACAATACACAAGCACAGAAGCGCCCGCAAGGACCAGCCCCCTATTTCTACAAGATAACTGCGTCACTTCTCAAGATCGCGTGCCGATTGTTCCTGCGTCCCCAGAATATGTTGGTGCCTGGACTTCTCTTACGACTCCACAGCCGTGAGGCGCCCACCTTGGCAGCGGTAGTCGGCATCCCTAGCGCTCATGTTTTGCCTGCATTGCGTTAACAGGACCAGGATGTGCACGGGAAAACGCCATGCTTTGTGAATCGCGATAAAAGTTAAACAAGGTCACGGCATTTCATCATGGACTCTTTCTCCTTTCGCAAGTCGCTCTTTTGCTTCTGTTGTATCTCTTTCTAACGAGTTGGGTTTCCAGAAGTTCTTGTAATTTGAGGTACTTTCGGTCCTCCTACTTTCTTTCACCATCTTCCTGTACAGTCGTTGTCTGAAGAGATGCTGAACCTCGCGTTATCTTCTATGGCCTTGTTCGGTGCGGTAGCTTTCGCTCAAGAACGCTGCGATGCACCATACCCGAACGTCTACTGTAACACGACCGAGATTCTAGCCTACCAATCCGACGACTGCAAGCCATACCACGTTTTCATTGCTCGAGGCTCAGATGAACCATACCCCGGACGTCTTGGAAACATCACTAGCGAGATTTGCAAACAAATCGGGGACAATGACTGCAGCTTTGAGAACATCGAATACCCTGCGAAGAGTACGGCGTGGGGGAAGGACGAGTGGTGCAAATCGGCAGGAAAGGGTGCCGCGAATGGGCAGGCCCAACTCAAGGCGTACGCGGAGAAGTGCTCGGAAAGCAAGTTGATCCTTCTGGGTTTCTCACAAGGTGCTGCTGTTACGCAAGACATCATGGGTGGAGGTGGAGGTCAAGTGTTCGAGTGCACTCAGGACACCAACCCGGCTTTGGACTGGTCCACCTCGCCTGGCTCTCGGGGTACGTTGGATATCTCAACATTTCCGCATCGTGATGCTGATATATCATAGTTATCGCCGCAGTGACTTTCGGTGCCGTCGTCCGCAGCAAAGACCAAAACTTCACCGTCGGCGAAGGTGTAAAATACGACGGCCAGCGCGCCCGCACACCCGAGCAACTCGAAGCGCTCCAAAAATACTCTTCCGTCTTGCTCGACTACTGCCACTACGGCGATCCCATGTGCGCCGTCGGCAGCGAGCCCGCAGACGTCTACGCCCATCTGGACTACTTCCTCGAACACAACCAAGACGTCTCCAAGTGGATTGCCGGCAAAGCCAAGGGCAAAGCGGTGAGTGTATCCAACCAAGGCCAGTCAGCTTCAGCTTCGACGAGTGTCAGCCCAGCAAAGGCTACGACGGGAGTGGTGACACCGACAAGTGTTGGCAGTGCGGCTGCGACGGGATCGGCGGCTGAAGCATCGCAGACTAGCAGTTCCAGCAACAGCGGTAGCACTGGTGCGGGGAGTGCGCTCTCTGCGGGCAACTATTTTGCGTCTATCGTGATGGTTCTGGGCACGACTCTGTTCCCTGTTGCACTCTTATACAGAAAAGATTGAAGTCCTTGTTTACCGCCATACTATCACCACTCCTCACAGTGATCACCACGTTCAGGAACGTGCAACTGCTCTCGCTTTCTGACTGTTTAAACACAAGATCGAGTACTTGGGTGCATGTCCCTCCAGATCTCATCAGACCACCTAGAAGACTCGAGGTCTGATCTTGTTCAAAGAAGCAATACAACAAGGAATCGTTTTCGAAACGAGTTCAGGGTCACAATGTGCAAGGCAGGACCAATAGCGAGAAGCGTTAGGACAGGCGCCATAGGAGTAAGGACAATACACAGGTTCAGAACACTACAATTAAATCGTAATAACTAGGTCATCATCTCGTCGTTCTATTTTTCTATCCTACAGCTCACTCCAACATTGACACGGCTCCAGAGCTCATATGCAAACATCGACAAGTGCAATCGATATCGACTTCTGCAAACATTGCAAGTGCACGCTTACAAAAGACCGATGGTCCTCTGCTTCATCTTCTTGACATCAACATTCTGCCACAGGGCAATGCTGACGAGCATGGTAGCGTAGACGCAAGTACCGCCAATGAGCATGTAGCGCTGAGTCTGGGCGTATGACAAGTTGATACCGTCACGTTCAGGAGAGCCCCAGGCGTAGCCGGACTGGACAGTGATGTCACCGTAGATGGTTTGGATGTTGTCGTAGGCGCTTGTGCCAGCAAGGTTGGCAGCGAGACGAGCAGGGAAGACACCGGTCCAGATGGCACCAGCGATGGTGGAACCAATGGCACCTCCAATGGAAATGATCATGGACTCGACGGCAAGCAGAGCAGGGAAGTCTTGCTGCTTGGAAACGGCCATGAGGGTTGTCTGCTCAGCGACGACAAGGACACCACCACCAAAGGCAATGAAGATCTGACACATGACGATGTAGCCAATGTTGACGTGGGGCTGACGGAACTGGATCATGAGACCGCAGCCAAGAATTGTGATAGGTGCGCCGAAGAAGAGAGCGTACATCTTGAGCTTGCCGTAGTACCTCAGCATGAGACCGAAGATGATGGCCATCGTGCAACTGCCCATGGTGTAGGTGTTGGTGATGTAGGTGGCGTAGACAACAGGCTGATTGAAGAGAACGATCAACAGGGAGTAGAAGTAAGAGTCCCAGATGTACCAGGCGATGTAGATCGATCCGGCCATGGTGTAGGTGAAGATGACGGTGCGGTTCTTCAGCAAGTGGTATGGGATGAACGTGACCGGCGCAAGATATTTTTCATACAGAGCAAAGCAGATGCAGAGGAGGAAACCGATGATGACGAAGCAGATAATCATGGGAGACTTCCACTGATCCTTCTGGTAGGCGTAAAGGTTGAAGCTGAGCAGGAACAGCGCGAGACCAAGAGCAAGGATGAGGATGCCGAAAACATCAAATTCCTTGACGTAGTACATGACTGTCTGTGCGAACGAGCCACGGCTTGGGTTGGGCGCGATCAGACCCTGCTTCTGAGCCTTGTTCTGGTTTATGAAGAACATGACGATCAATGGCGCGCATACGAAGGGGGCGATGATAGTGAAGATACCGAAGGCCCACTTGAAGCCGATGCCGCCGGGCGCAATCATACGGTTGACAGCGAACCCATATACCCAGGTGGTGATGAGCCAAGGCGAAGAGGCGTATCCGATGAAAAGACCTCGGTTCTTCAGCTTAGATGTGTCCGCAATGAAGACCGTCATTGAGAAATCAATACTGTTGTAGCCCATGTAGTAGAAAGTGTAGGCGGCGCAGTATGTCTGAACGTTCTTGCAGGCGGCCATCATGATGAGACCCATGATGTAGCAGGTGACACCAATGACCAGCGCCCATGGCCTACCCCAGATGTTCATGATCTTTGCGTACGGCAGCTTCCAGAGACCAGCGACGAGTCCTGAGATGACACCGGTCAGAGCAGTGAGGGAGTGCTCCGAGAAGGAACTGGTGACGTAGGGCGTGAGGGTGCTGACGCAACCAGAGAAGAAAGACATCATGAACTGAATGAGCCACATACTTGGAATTGTTAGCTTTGATCATTTCATGGAAGAGCTTGCATTGCGAATCTTACAAGATGTAGGCTAGGATCAGATCCCTCTTGGTCCAAACAAAGGTTACGGCTTGAATAGCCTGAACACCGCGCTCGGCGTGCGTGTCGACCTTGTTCAGCTCTTCGTCTGATGTGTTCGACATGGAAGTTGGGGTCCTGGGAGCACCGATCTTCTCGTCCGGACGGCGGGAAACATCCATGCTGGCATGGCCGTCGACGGCAGCAGGGACATCAGCGATGTCCTTCTCGTTGGCAGCCTGGTTGTTGGGGATGGCGCCGCCAACAAGAGCACTGGTAGTCAAACCCTTGAAAGAAAAACCCATCTCGAATCTCAGCGTGCTAGTCGGCACACGGATGTCAAGCTCGAGGTGATGGAGAGGAGATTGATAAGATCAAGTAGGCGACGGCGTGCGCTCTTAAAGCATGCTGGGAGAAGATCCGCACTCATGGCGGCAGCTCCACCTGCAGCGGTCGGTTGGCTCGCATTGCAGGAGTGGGTAATATCTTTGGCACCGTGTGTTCTAGTGTATGAGGCCGCGTGTGAGGAAACGGCAACGCCTTTGAAGGTTGCATGATGACAATCCCTCAAACCCAGCAAGCGCAGGCCAAGCGAAGCTTCTTGCCCGCTTGTGGGAAAACCCCCGGCAATAAGCTCATCGAAGCTCGGCCCAGATGCTGAAAAAAATCTTATCTCGATAATCATCCGGCATCAGCGGCGTTTGACAGCCAATCAGCGCTGCTGCTGGCGCGATGGCGAGTTATCAGATGCAAATTTTCGATCTAATCTATTATCTGATGGAAACCTCGGGCTGCAAGTCTCGGCCACCTGACCTCTCGTCATCCATTTGTCAAGCTGCGCAGGAGTAACGATTCGTAGTTTGGTGGTTGAGACCTGATGCTTTCGTCTTGTCCATGGAGATCCCGAACATGTTGAATCCTTCGATACCTGAAAAGGTTATGGTGGAATATCTTGGTATTGCATAAAAAAATTGGTTGGTCCCCACGTACCGCCGCTACATTTCTAGGCGTGCTGGGCAGAGGATGGAGGATCGGGAAAGGCAACTTCGTCGGTTTCCTACTTTGAGACAGCCAATACGAGCCTTGCAATCCCCGAAATTTCAGGGTCCTCCTGCACCATTCGAAGGTGTGGCTCGATTTCGGCCGGATCCTTAGCACCAACGTTGAAGCCAGAACCCTCGTAAAGTCCTGCATCTCCACATACACCGCACGCCTAACACGACTAGGAGCTGATCTCACTTTCACAAACGTGGATGCACTCAGGCTAGAAGCGTCTCAATATAGCGTAGCGACCTCGTTTTCGATAACTATCGGGGTAGGCAAGTGAAGAAAGTTCAACGCCTCGTGCGTAAACCCGGGACATCGCCAATACTTCGGAATCCCATCAGAGTGGTTGCGAACTTGGCTACTGACGCGGAAAGGCTTGGATGTACGAATGCTTCGATCAGACTCTGCGATGTCGGAAAGTGCTTTCTTTGTTCAAATAATCCTTCGAGCTCTCTCATATCATGCCACTCTCACTGAGCTTGCCTCATACATACTTATCGACCACATACTTGAAGCAGACCTCCTGCCCTGACGGTCCAGTCTCAATCGAATCCTGCAGGTCGATTAAGACCAAAATTTACGGCGTCCCGCGCCACGAGTACAAGACTTTCCTCGATTCCAGGATACGAAGAAGATGTACAAGCAATCGCCAAGGCATGTCGTGTTGAAGGCATGTCGCGTCGAAGGCCTGAGGAGCTGCAGCTGCGAACCGGTGGCGACGGCGATCGTGCAGTGGAGCCGTGGGGTCTGCTGTTCCGCCCGTGGGAGATGGTCGTGGATACCCGCTGCAGCCGACGGTGAAGAAGCACCGATCTGCCTAGTAGTTAGTACCTCGCTCTCGAATGCCTTGTAAAAACACAGGCGTGGAGATCCAATGACGCTTTTGTGGGCTCGTCTTTCATCGCATCCATGTGATGGTCGACGTCCTGCACATCACCAACCGCACAGTTGGAATTTCTAGGAGCAAGGAACTTCGTTGTCGCAGGTCTTCAAACCTTAAATCCTGCAGTTGCTCCCAAATCTGCTCGCCATTCTTGTACTTTAAAAATTTAATGTCTTCTTCGCCTCGCCCTGCTTTGGGAATAGCAGCGGGCACGCCTATTGCCAATGGAGGAGTAGTTCTCTCGGCGTCAGGTGGTGTCGTCAAACCTAGGGTTCACTATTATCCCGAACGAACTTCCTCGTAGCTTGGCGACATTTTTGTAACGCTGCAAGTTGACAGGCGCTGTTTGTCCTCCGAGCCTTCACTCCTTGCAGGCTCAAAGCTCGGCTATATCGTCGGTCATACTCAGGTCCAGTAGCAGTGACCGTGATAGGCACAAGGGTGGTCCCTGTGCGGCCTCATTCGAATGGTGTGAGACTGCCTGGCCGCGCAGCACGGCGGAGAAGATGTCGATGATCATGGTCGTTATGTGACTGACTACCAAAGTGGAGGGAAGCTCAGGAACGCAGCTGCCGCAGTTGACGCTTTGTAAGCCGCTATCTCCGTGCCCCACTTCGATTGCCGAACTGGAACGACAAGATGTTGACATCTATCAAGCTGCAACTCTGACACACAGCTAGTACAATATTCATCTGTGCGACCACACAATCTTGCAAAAATGACTGAGCTTCTTGATCTTTGCTATGATGTTCTGATCCGTATCCTTGAAGAGATCGATCCACCTGATCTTGCCGCCTGTGCTCAGACTTCCGTGGGGTTCAATGAGTTCATCAAGAAGAACACCAGGTTATACAAAGCACACTACTTGAAAACTTTCGTACGACCACAGCAGACTCTCAATCGACACTGGTAGATCTAACAAACGTTCAGGACGATCCTCGTCAAAGACCTGCTGACCCCGAGCCTGACTGGGTGTTGGAGCTCCAGAAAGCTATTCGATGCCAGAAGATACTCGAATCAGCCAACAATGACCTGAAGGTAGGATATGCAGCTGGTATCCTCGTGAATAATGCTGATGGAAGGAAGCGAGACGAGTTCAAATTTGTTGCAACCACAGCCCTTTCGCTAGTCGCCACTGCCTCTACTGACAAACTTGGCGTATCGTACAACCAGCAGGTATTGTCAGAGCTTTTCGACTCAATCAGGCAAAATCAGGATGCATTTATGAGCTGTTCATCACTCTATGCACGCACAGGGACAGCCTACCAAAAGCCTGCAGATGATGAAGAGGGTCGCCAGCTGAGCGCGAAGCTGCAATGTCTGTTTGGCATCACGTCGACGGCCGGAGGACGAAGGTCGCTCTCAACCCACCCGTATGCAAGATCCAACGTATACGACCTACGCAACTACACCGACAAGACGCAATGGGGCCCATTCCGGGACGACGGGAGCATGAGAATTGACTGGGAGATGATTGAGAGCATCATGATCGTGCTGGGTTACAGTTCCGGTCTTTGCTGTCGCCGCTTCCTCGCCAAATTCAGGCCACCATGGACTAACCCGTTCGAAGGTGTCGTCTCAGAGCGAGTGACGATTATGCCGCACTACCCCGCATCACTGCCAGTGGAGCTGGACGTTCCACTGAATCTGAGGGACCCGTACAACGTCTCGGGCGTCTGGTCACGTATCGTATGCTTCCTCGACTACAACGATCTCTACCACTACAACTTCGATGAAGATGCCGTACGCTGGCCATCCGATAAGCCGCGAGACCCACTCACTACAGAAGAAGCGATCCGACACATCATGATGGACATCAAGGTTACCGATATCAAACTCGCGGATCAATTCGAGAATGGCGCACTCCCAATTGTACATTTCAGCGGCAAATCGCGATCTGTAGAAGCATCCTGGGACCCCAACGCAAATTCTGCGATTCGAGGATCCGTACGTCTCACACCGGAGGGCGAAGTGCGATGGCAGACCATCTCGGTGTTTAACGGGTAAGCTTACAACCCGCACATCCTCGCAATGGGACCGAGTATTACTGACTTGTGACAGCGGAGAAGAGAGATGGCGCAGTGATGGTGTCCAGATTGGGGGACTGCGATCTCAGCGCGGTGTTGTTGGGACTTGGTTCGACAAAGACTTTGATCCGCATGGACCGGCTGGACCGACTGCGTTCTGGAAGATCTCTGATCAGAATCTAGCTGCGGATGACGATGAAGACGAACTGTTTTGACTAGATGATAGTCTCTTGGGAGCATAATGATTTGAGGCTCTAGGCGTGTACAGTCGGAATTGGCGTTTGGAGGCCCTTTTGCGTATATTGATGGTGCAAGCATCTATCCACGTCTATTCACACAACATACGCAGTCGTTGTTGATGCGCTGCGAATCATGTGTTGAGTAATGCGAGCGCTGTGGGAACAGCAAGGCTGAATGTGCACTAAAACCCGCGCTAGGCCCCAGCAACGCATCACCATCAACACACAACAAACACCCCACCGTCACGACTCCACGGACCTCGGAACCAGTGTGCAGCCCAACAAACCTGATCGCATCCACTAACGTCACGTACCCCTGAATCAATAAACAACAACAACGGGAGTGCCTGACGTGTCTCACGTCCAGCCTCGCTACAAAGCTCCAATCAATGGTCGCGATGTGGCTGCCCAGCCTCTCTTCCACCCAAAGTCCCAACCACCCCCGCACGCACCCTGCCAGCCATGTCGAGTGTACAAAAGTTGTCGCATTCCTGTGGAGCTGTGGGCTACGCTTCGCATGCTGCTGTAAACACTGAATATATTCCTACGAGCCTTTACGACTTACGTTGAAGACACTGTTGTTGTTGTTGTTGTTGTTATTGTCGTTGTTGTCGTTATAGTTGTTGTTGTTGTTGCTGTTGTTGCGTCGATTGAGCACCTGCACGTCCACGACACCACGACAGAACGGCACGGACTATCGCGTTGAGCAGCACTCTTCAGAAGAGCCCATAGGACTTGGTGTGTGTTATCCCGCCTTCCGTCACCATCACGTACACTTCCTAACAACCATCCAGATTTCACCACTCCAACCTCACTCGCACATCCACTCGCGAGCCTCCCTCGTCCTCCTTTCCCTCGGACTACCACACCACACCACACCACCAAGATGAAGCGCAACATTGTCATCTTCCTGATCATCCTGATCCTGTTCATCCTGATCGCGCTGATCGCATACCTGATCTACTACCTGCAGACACGGATGGCAGTGGGCGGGACGGCGAGCAGTGGAAGTGATATGACGAGTGTCGCGTAAACCCCGTTTCGCACTAGGTGTCTGTTACGATTGATGGTATACATGGGAAGACTGGGTTGCGTGGCATTGCATTGTACGGCGTTTGGGAATTGGATTTTCATGAGGCGGACGAGTGGGGGATGTTGATTGATTGGGAAATGTTGTTGATTGATTGGTTTAATGTCCTATGTGAGTCTGCAACTATGGAAGACGAGAGGGGATGTTGTTCATGTTGGCAAGAGAGGATGTTCATGTTGGCAAGAGGGGATGTTCATGTTGGCAAGAGGGGATGTTCATGTTGGCAAGAGGAAAGATGGATTGGCTTTTCGATACCCGCCGTGCTGCCGTGAAAGGCTGGCATATAATTAGAGATGAGGATGGAGTGGAAGCGAAACGTGTGTGTGTGTGTGTGTGTGTGTGTGTGTGTGTGTGTGTGTGTGGACAGAGTATCGATATACTACAGAAGCAGCATCTGCAAGCCATTGGGTCCCAACGCCGTCGCCAAAAGTATCTCATGCACCTCGCCATGCCAGCGCGCCTTGTGAGCAGCGTCTTAGAGTCTCGAGTAAGATTTGCACGAGGAGGCTAGCTAGCTAAGGCGGTCTCGCGTTTGAATTCGCCAGAGGCTGACAAAAGAGGCAATGTATGTAGGAGGGTGCATTCTCCCTCCTAAGCGGAGGACACTTGTGTCGCCGATGGGCATAGAGCCAGCAGTTGTCGCGACAACACACGGAGCGTAGCGCTTGAGGGGCGGGTCTGGCACGACGGTACGAGAAGAACCAGACGCTTGATGCTAGGAGGTCTCGTGCTAGAAGGCTTCGTCCATGGCGTCGTCGTCGTCGTCTGCGGTGAAGACGAGGTGGCTCTCGTAGTATAGCAGCATCTGCGCAGGTCAGCCAGCTACCGAGGGAGTCGTTGCACGTGCGCGACCGACCTTCTGGGGACACTTTGTGTAGATGTGCTTGAGTGGATGCTGCGTCTTCTTCTGGTTGTTCCAGACGATGTAGGCGAACTTGGCCTCCTTCCCTGTCTTGGGGTCTATGCCCTGCTCAACGGTGTCGATGTGCGAGACGTCGTGCTCCCAAGAGCCCGGCGGCGGGCTCCACGCCTTCTCCACCGGCTCCTCCTTGCTCTGTTTGGTGCGCTTGGCGCTCGACGCGGGAGTGCCTGGTTCGCTCACCACCATCGAGGCGCGTCCCTTCCGCTTGGTGCCCTTCTCGGGCCTCTCCGGCCGCCCGCCAATGTCCTCAAAGTACTCCTTCAGCACGTCGGCTGCCGTCTCCCTGCTCTGGTCAGCACTGTGGGAGATAGTCTGCGGCGGCGCAGGGCGTACATGTTCTCCTCGGGCTCCCAAGTGCGGTCCTTGGGGTTCTCGTAGCCCTGCCATTTCACGTCAAACTCCAGCATGCCCTTGTTGAACCTGTGTCGGAGGATCTTCTCGACGACGTATCTGGCGCACGGTCAGCGCATGCGGCGCGGCTGGGTGACGGTGGGTGGCGGTGGGTGACGGTGGGTGTGCGTACTCGTCCTCTTCGCCGTCCTCTTCGCCGTGCTCCTCGCCGTGCTCCTCGCCGTCCTCTTCCGCTTCAGGCTGCGCGGGCTCGGCCGACGGTTTTGGCTGCTTGGTGGCCTTGGTCGCGGCCGTCTCGTTGTCGGACGAGTCGACATCGCTAAGAGCGGCTGGGAGCGCGCGTCAGTACGGGCGCAATGGGCGCAGCGGGAGCGGGGGGTGCTCACGCGGCATGTTGGAAGCTGGCACCGGAGGCAATGCGCGATATGCTGTGTGTCAATGGGCGTCGGGCGTGCTGCGCGCTGCTGGGAGGGCTCGATCGGGTGCGTCGCGGCCGAGTGCTGCTCGACGCGCTGAGCTTCGCGCCTGCCGCTAGAACAACACCCCGGCCTTGGCAGGGAAAGTTTTGGAAAGAGCTCTCGATGCACGCGAACCCCACCACCCCTCACTATCACCGCCCACGCGCAGTCTTCGGAGATTCTGCCTGTGTATAGCATTTCGGAGCGTGTCTTTTTGTTTCTTGTTTGTTGAGTCGCAAAACACAGCCACCATGGCGATGAGTAAGTGCAGCACCGTTCACCACGACACCACGCAGAAGCCTGCGAAACCCGCGAATGCTCCCGAACCCCGCGAACACCTCGTGTTCGATGCTTGCTTGCTGACCACTGCCATGCACAGATCTCGACATGTCGCAAGGTATGCCCCCCGCGCCCCCGTCGATTCGCCGCGGACCGACCGACCCCGCGAAAGTGCAAAAGGCGGCAGCAACTGACCAGACGCAACAGCCCAGGTGATGAAGGACGAGGCGGGCCGCCCGTTCATTATCGTCAGAGAGTATGTGACACGCGAACCGCGGACACTCGGCGGTGGTAGGAGCCGGCGCTGACAGCAGGCAGCCAAGGCAAGAAGAAGAGGCAGCATGGCAACGAGGCGGTCAAGTCGCACATCCTGGCCGCGCAGACAGTCGCAAACCTCGTCAAGACATCCCTGGTATGCGGCAAGCGGGAAGGAGAGCGTTGCGAGCAGGTGCTGATGTTCGCAGGGACCCCGAGGACTCGACAAGATCCTCATCTCCCCCGATGGAGACATCACCGTCACGAACGACGGCGCCACCATTCTCTCCCAGATGGACATCTCGAACCACGTCGCAAAGCTGCTTGTCGAGCTCTCCAAGTCCCAGGACGACGAGATTGGCGACGGCACAACGGGCGTGGTGGTGTTGGCCGGCGCGCTGCTCGGACAGGCCGCAGACCTCATCGACAAGGGCATCCACCCCATCAGGATAGCAGACGGCTACGACCAGGCCTGCGAGGTGGCCGTGGCCCGCCTCGACGAGATCAGCGACGAAATCCACTTCACCAAGGACAACACCCAGGAGCTGTTCAGGGTCGCAAAGACAAGCTTGGGATCCAAGATCGTCTCCAAGGCACACGACCAGTTCGCCAACATCGCCGTCGACGCCGTTCTCTCCGTCGCAGACTTTGAGCGCAAGGACGTCGACTTCGAGCTGATCAAGGTGGACGGCAAGGTCGGAGGCTCGCTGGAGGACACATTGTTGGTCAAGGGCGTCATAATAGACAAGGACTTCTCGCATCCCCAGATGCCCTCGGAGGTCAAGGACGCCAAACTCGCCATCCTCACATGCGCCTTCGAGCCCCCGAAGCCCAAGACCAAGCACAAGCTCGACATCACCTCGGTCGAGGAGTTCAAGAAGCTGCAGAGCTACGAGGCCAACAAGTTCACCGAGATGATCGACCAGATCAAGAACACGGGCGCCAACGTCGTCATCTGCCAATGGGGCTTCGACGACGAGGCCAACCACCTTCTGCTCACAAACAAGCTGCCCGCCGTACGATGGGTAGGCGGACCCGAGATCGAGCTGATCGCCATTGCAACCAACGGACGCATCGTACCGCGGTTCGAGGACCTCAGCGCTGAGAAGCTTGGAAAGGCTGGTGTCGTCCGCGAACTCACATTCGGCACAACAAGAGACAAGATGTTGGTCATCGAGGAGTGCGCCAACACCCGCGCTGTCACAGTCTTCGTCCGTGGTTCCAACAAGATGATCATCGACGAGGCCAAGCGATCGCTGCATGACGCTCTCTGCGTCGTCCGAAACCTGGTGCGAGACAACCGCATCGTCTACGGTGGCGGTGCGGCTGAGGTTGCATGTTCGCTGGCCGTCGAGGACGCTGCAGTCAAGAGCCCAGGTCTCGAGCAATACGCCATGCGCGCCTTCGCCGACGCCCTCGACCAGGTTCCCATGGCGCTGGCCGAGAACTCTGGTCTCAGCCCCATCGAGACACTCGCCAACATCAAGTCACGACAAGCCAAGGAGAAGAACACACGGTTAGGCGTCGACTGCATGCAGACTGGAACCAACGGTAAGCACACCTCCCCCCGACATTGTTTTCGCCATCGTACCTTTGTACTCTGGCCACCATCCTGTTCTCTCGCGTGCTGGCAGGCACCTTCCTTGTCCTACCCCGCTGTCTACATACAGTCTGCGGCATGTGGTCGAGTGCAGCATCTTGCTGCGGTGCACCCACGCACTCTACGTCGACCCCCGCAGGGTGTGGCGCGAGCCCCCACGCAGTGTCAGCATTTTGACCAACATGACCCAAGATGATACATCGGCTGTGTACATGGGTGCACTTCGTTTTTCACAGTCGTGCCCGTTCTGAGGAGTTGTGCTAACACTGTAATCACAGACATGAAGGAGCACTTCGTCATCGACCCCTTGATCTCAAAGAGACAACAGCTGCTGCTCGCTACCCAGCTGTGCAGGATGGTGTTGAAGGTATGTGTTACTCTTATCATTCGTTACCCACATCGATACATTGGCCCATGGCGCCATCCCTCCCCCTTTCGTTCCACTTGACAATCTGCCCTTGCTTCATCCCTTGCTCGTTTGAGCCCACGCCTTCGGGGAAGAGGGGAAGCGATGTCATGTTCGCTCGCACGTTACACGCGAAGACCGCGACGAACGCGCTTTGCGTGATCAACATGAGGAACGCGCTTTACGTGACCAACATGAGGAACGCGCTTTGCGTGACCAACATGAGAGCCGCACGGCTGGTCACATGCTCAAACATTATGCCTTGCCTGCAGCGTTGCGTTCCTGTCAATCACCTCGTTCCCGCTGCGCTCTTCTCCGGTATCATGTGCTGACAGCGAATACAGATCAACAACGTCATCATTGCTGGTGGAGATGACCAGGACTACTAAGCTTGTCGATTTCGTATGACTGCCAGAGGCCACCGGCGTCACACGCGAATGCATCGCTTCGCGACTGACTGCGGCGTCACAGTGCCTTGAGAAGGTCGAGAGCCTCACATGGAGGCCAGCAAGGGTGGTTGGAGCGAACATGGAACGATGTGACGATCAAAAGCTAGTCTAGCGATACCAGATAGACAAAGGAAGGAAGGAAGGAAGGAAGCAAACAACACCTCAGAACATCTTACTGCTGATCATAATTTGGGCTACGTGACATGGTGATCAATGTGCCAAATCGCAGACAACGAGTCGCTCAAGTACGCCAGCTTCACCCATCACCTTGTTCACTGACGTGTACCTTAGCCTTATAAAGCCATCTCACCCAGTGTTCAGAAGCAAATGGCAAAAGCTCAAAGAAACTGCAACAAGAACCAACGATTCCCTCGATCGAAAGAAGATGGCAATCCTTGGAATGGCGTCCAGCCTTTAATGAGCTAATTCTTCGACCCTTGTACACTGTCTCATTGAAGCCTGTCACATCCTTGAAGTCAAGAGATAGTGGTCATCAATTTTTCACCGCGATGCAATACAAGTAGAAGCTCTTGTTCTTGTCCAGGGAACACTCTGCAAGTTGGCCACGACGTCGGCCTAGGCCATGCTATCTGACGTACGAATAAAACCGTATCCATGAAACCACTACATGCCATCCGCAGAACAACAACGAGATGCGCACCTGCCACTCCATCACCTCCTCTTCTACACCCTGACCCGTCGCCGGCCATAGTGAAAAAGCCCTGAGTTCAAGACGATATCTGCTGCTCCCTGCCTTTCTACAGTCTCAAAAGTGCCATCCTCTATGGCCATGTCTTTCGCTTCATGGCCTCCTTCCATCATCATCAAACTACTGTACACCTCTACCCTTTAAGCCTGCAATCACGTGCGAAGTTTCTGGCTCTTCAAATGACTGCGGAATTTTCCACACACAAGGCAGGGAAGATGGAATCACTGAACCCAACCTCTTGTAACTAACTCTTTGCACTACCAGAGGAGCTACTGCTCCTCTCGTCTTCCATGGTCTCAGGCTCACATGAAACGCATTCATTCATTCATTCATGGATGGAAGATTGGGATCTCGCGGAAGACAGCCTTTCCAGGGTGGTTGTGAATGGGCGAAAATGGGGACCATTTAGGCTGACGACAGATCTTTGTGTGTGCTTGGACACTGCTTGAGGTTTGGTTATTGGTGTGGATCTCAATCACGCGCTGCCCGCGTTTGTTTGATTGCCTGTTCGGGAGCATACTAGTGCCTTTCCTCCCTCTTTCATCATGACCCAGCCAATATGCGGCATCAGCAGCCTTAAACTCATGCTTGTGGATAATTAGGTATTCAAGGTGTCCAGCATGTTCACATCTTCGCTCTTTTACATCTCGCATCTGCTTTCCTCTATTTCAAAAAATCCACGAATGCTCTTCACCTGTCCTGCCGCGTGTCTTGGCCTCCGAAAGGTCGACTATGCTCTAGTATGTTGAACGAAAAATCAAAATGCAGAAGATCCGTGTCAGTGTTCTCTATCCGTCCACGGACAGTTTTTCAACCCCCATTCTTTCTCGTTCGTCATAATTCAGTCGATGTGCGGCATCGATACCCTCGAACATATAATTGTAGAATAGGTAGGCATATACGTTGTCCAGCATGCCCACTTCTCTCTCCTTCTATATCTCACATCTGCCCTTCCTTTAGTTATAAACAGATTCGGCATCCATACCATGTCTTTCGGTCCCTCTTGGACTTAAATGCCTGGTGACAAGTGGCATGTTGGCCGAAATTACCTAAAGAAACCATATCTCGTGCGTTTCGAAAATGACGTAAAGCAGCAGTACGTGTCTTGCGGCGTCTCTTGCTCTCCTAAACCTTGGTCAATCTAGCATGCCAGCTAAAATAGTCAGCGCAAGTATTACATGTCTAGCCCTCTGTCCGTTCGAGAACATACGGACAGTGTTCCTCGCCTCTATCGTGATTAACTTTTCGCCAACCCTCTCGGGAGCCAGGTACATAAGTCATCCATCATACCACTATCATTCTTTCTACAACTCTCATCTCTCATCTTCCCTTCCTCTAGTCTGAAAACTTTACAGCCACCACAAATGTCTTGTGGTCTTTCTTGCCCCTCCAAAAAATACTGTCGACGCAAGCCTATGCTGCTCGAGATATATACCCAAAAGTAATATATGTCTGGCGTTCCTTGGCCTCGTCCGCAAAGACACCGGGAAATATCTCTCTCCTTCATCATGACCCAACGGGTCGACGCTGCCAAAACACCATCCTGAGAATTATATGATCAGATTCTGCTGCTCCTTGTCTTTCAATACTGTGCTATAGCCCAGCATCTACCAACGTCCAAGATGAATGCTGGACACACGCATATCTGGGCTCACCTTCTGTAGCTACGTGGCTTAAGTCACATGATATCCTATTGTAGAAGGCACTGCCTGAGAACAAGTTCACTTACTTTCCTCTGAGCGTAGAACTCCTGCACAAACAACAACACAGATAGCAATACAATCGTTGAACACCGCCTCCAACCAACACTGCTCATGCAGCAACACCATCTCTCTCGAAGATCTGCAAAGATCAGGTGCATGCTCGAGTCTAGCTGCGTTTCTGTGGTGCTGAAAATACCTTCTCTCGTCCATCATGACCTGTTCAAACTCGAAAATTAAAACACTGTGGCAAACAACCCATGGCTGCCTCTGCCGGTCTTTCCGATCGATCTTTCCTCCCTTTCTATGATTCTCGAATGCAATGTAAAGTGTAACGAAAGCTTAAAAACGATAGCCGCGAACAGTATGTCCAGCACCCTTCCTTGTCTTGAAAATGGGACACCTTCTGCCGCATAAATAGGCTGTTGTGCGCATGGAAAAGGTGAGCATATCCGGCACCGCTGGCGAAAGGACCCCGATTACCACAGTAAAAATTGACTGGACTGCCGTAGTGAAGGATCACTGAACTCTGTAACTATCCTTATCAAGCAGCTAGACCCTACCCTTTGTTCTAAGTCGGCCGTTCTCTGTTTCCGAAACTGCAACGCTGCAAGCTTGTGAGTCCGCAATGGAGTCGCTTTGCGACCCTTGCGCATACACAAGCTTCCGGAGCGATGCGCCGTGTTATGGAAACTTACGTTGTACGTTGGGGTTCGATGATCTCTCAGCATGTGACAATAGTGCTAACTTGAGGCTAGCACAACATACATTCGTGGGCTTGCCCTGCCACAGTGCCACAAGGACGAGGCTGACGCGCGCAGACACATGCTCGTCTCACAAACCCATCACGAGCATCATCACTCCGAGACCGCACTTAAGGTCTGACATGCAGCGACCGCTTCGCTCCGGCCCTCCCTTACCGTTTACAAAGCTGACATCAGCTCGAGTATCTTGAACATGTGAGATCAACGGGCTGCTCGACCCGTATCGCTTCTCCTCGTGAATGCATGTGAAAAGTCCGGGGTAAATCGGTGACAATAGCCGTAATTTCTCATCTCGACAATCTTCCGGCTTGTCAACCGTCACGCCTCGGCGCGGGACTGAGACATTCTACGTGGCTCCCTCGGCCTGAACTGACCTTCAGCATCGAGATTGTAATAGTCTCAACGGCACGGTCGCACGGAAACGCCTGTTCTGATGAAGACCAAGTGACACAGGCGGTGTGCATGATCACCCCAACTCACCCCAATTCACTCACATTTGATCACGCTCGTGCTTGACCGTCAAGGATCTCAGCCGTTGGTCGGTTATTACCAACCGCGTGGGTGGTGGGTGATCTCACGGCACCATCATTGTTCCGGAGAAGGTGCGTTGAACGTGGCTTACTGGGTCGCGTTTATCCTAATGAGATGCGGCCCAGGATCCTTTCTGATCGAACTCGGGCCGGCAATGTCGTTTTGGGAGAGTCGCGGTCCGACATGGTAGACGTTCGGCTTGCGGTAAAGTGAGGCAGGGCATGAGTCGTGCAAGGTTTTGAGACGGGCAGTAGATATGTTTGATGGCCTTGATCATAGTTCGGAGTTGCTATGCCGTGGTCATTCGAAATCAAAGGTATCGGCGGCGGTGAAGCCCGAAGTCTTTTCTGCATGCCCGTGTCGACTTGCGGATAGGCTGCGACCTGATGTAGAGGTGATGCTCGAGCATAGCTTATGTCGATCACACAGATGCGGTTGTACTACGTGAAAGTGAAGTGTTGACAAAGCGTAGGCCCTTCAAGTTCTTTGAGGTCAGTTAGGCTGTCAATGTTAGTTGTACTTGCCAAACAAAGCTCATTGCTAATTCATCAGTTTAGCCTATTCGCAAATCTGTATTGCAAAGCTTACCATGAACTTGCATCGTAGAAAGTTTTTGCGTTGTGAATGTTGACAGCTGATGAAGAGAGTCAGCATGCACTGTTACGACCACTGAAACCTCCAAAGATAGCTAGCAGAGAGAACCATCACGAATCTCATCATCCCAGCCCTAAGTCACTAAGACCCGTCTTCCACACAACGAGACTTACATAACAGTTCGTAAGACAGGTCCCAGATGGCATCACACCACGCGACTCCCCACATCAGGCCTGAAGGAGGGCGGAGTGCCGAAAAGGGAACCCACCCGCCCAGCACCCACACTTCTAGAACCGCAACGAAAAGCCGGAGAATCTCCAAAGGATTTCACAGGATCTGATGGTGGCGCTTACCCTCCCCATAGCAGGAAGGTGAAAAGGCTTCATCGTTGGCGGAAGAAATCAGCAGGCCCACAGGGCACAGCGGCGAAACACCACGTCGTTCTCCATTGTCAGCTGAATGGAGGGTACCGTGGGTAATTGTAAACACGAACAGAGACTCGCATGCAGTGACATTGGTCTCGAACTAAGAGTTGCTGATACCGCGCGGGTTACAGTGCCGGAAGCAGCACGCCTAACCACCCATGTGCACTCGATAAGCACGTGGGGAAAGCATGCAACCACACCACTTGCCAAGTTGGGGCTTGACCATGTGAACCTCAGATTTGCCGGGGTGGGATGAATTTCGTCGCGTTTTGTCGGTATCTTCGAGTCTGTGAGTTCGGTGTGTGGGTTTAGCAGTTCGAGGCCTGCTTGTGACCTGTTCTGCTTTTGTTTTGCGAGACGAGATTAGGGTTGCGACCCAATTCGATGGCGTGCGTTTTGCTGTTGCTCGAGTCATCGGAAGGAGAGCGATGTGAAATGCTCCGGCGGGTTCTCGTAACTTTGCTAACCCCAAGAACAGTCTTTTGCAGGCTCCAATGCACGATGGAACATGCAGCCGGACTGATACGACGCACCCTTCCAACTCGCTGGAAAAGAACTGCTTTACCGGCATCGCTCCGCATGCCGACGAAATTGTGCTGTCGCAGGACCTTCCGACATGATACCATTGCAGCGAAATGTAATTCACGCAAATTGAGTCGCGGAGCGGAGGCTACTGATGACTTCCCCCCGTGCGCTAGGTGTGTGGGATCATGAACAACTTGTTCAGGAGAAGATGTTCGAGCGCCTCCCTTGCAGCGCAAAGTCAATTACGGGGGTCCGCAACGGGCAGCCGAGACCTCGGTCTAATGTGTCGCGAAACGCTGATTGAATTGCTACAATTCGCGAAAGGATCGCCTTTATTCAAAGGTGTGAGCACGTTGTGAATTTGGATTGGTTGGAAGCAGCGCGGGATTCACGGTGCATGTGTGCCCTGCGTCGCGCTATGCATGCTACTTTGCCAAAGAAGAAAGATAGACAGGACTTAGACCTTTCCGACTCGTTTAGTGACATGTAAAGATGCCTTTGAAACGTATCAGCTGAACGATGCCATTGCGAGCACCCGCAACCACAGCCACCGGCTTTATTGCTGCGCGATTGGTGGATGTGAGCCACGCGGATTGTGCAAGCCCCAGTCCAGATTGGGGATGGGTAGCCGCTTGAACCAGGCTGTCGGGCCTTTCACCCCCAGCCAAGTGTCCGGGAATGTGGCACTGTGACGCCGCCATCGTGGATGTAATCGTGTACCATGCTTGTGTCGCCCAAGTTTGCGGGGTGTTTGTATACAGCATATATTACTTGCACAGAACTGGAACGAGAGAATGATGTTGTGGTTTGATGACTTCGTACAATGTGTTCAAGGGTCTGTGTTGATAGAAGTGAAACTAATTTTAGAGTTGGTGTTGGTTGACCTATGTTTAGAAGGTGTTGTAAGGGGTATTGTTATCTGTGAAGAAGTCAGGAGTGAGTGTTGTCGACGTTGTCGGGGCATGACCGCAAAGGGATCGAGCAGCCTCACGGAGCACAAAGGACACGTCAAGTCATGGCTCATTGCGTGCTGTAGGATGTCGCATTGCATTCCGATCGTACCTTTGTGCAACATCTGTTGGCCAAGATAGCTCAGACCGGGTCTTAAGAATCGAAAATGGCGTACATCGATTTTGGCGACCTGGTTTGCAATGTTCTTTCAGTCTCGACAGGGTGACACAAAAGCCAGGGGCCGCAGCAATAAATAATGATGATTGGCCTAGAGTAAATGAATCAAGTGCGCGTCATGGTGTAGTCCGGGGAAGTTGGGAATAACACCCGGTTTGCGCTGTGTCATCGCTGTCGCTGTTGTGTTTGAAGGAATCCATTGTTGGCGGTCGTACAACAGGTAAGTGTCGTTTGCATGCTGTAAGCAGCCGCAATAGGAGCTTTGTTCGACATCACAAGTCCACGTGAACCTGACCGTCAGACTGTCAGCAAGACTCCTCGGCGAGATCACCGTGAATGTTCTTCAAGGCACCCTGAGATCCTGAAGATACAACGACCCTAACGGAAAGTCGGGATAGACGACCGCTGTAGCGTTCTAGGTTCCTGACTAGACAGAAGATGAGTTGTCACGGTCGAGGAGTTCACGTGCGATGCTGCAAGGCGGTAGAATGGGTGCTTGTGACATATCTAGGGCGGTTGATGAGCATACCGAGGGGCATGGCATTCAGGAACGAACCTCAGCTATGGTAGCGACATACTAGAGGCCCTGTTTGGAGTGTTGTTCTTCCGCTGTAAGGTGCCACGCAATTACCCAGATGGATCATTTTGCTGTACAACTCATGAAACCAGAATCATGCTGCATATAGCGGAGCGGGAGTGTTGCACATGATAACTTGTGCAGCCGTATGATTCGATGAGATATTCCAGATGACCACGAGAATTTGCCTTGTAGTTGGTCAACGTCGCATCTTTGCCACTACCGCAGTTACTCGAAGGCTGCGCTGGGGGCACTGTGCGCACTTTAGGCGGGGTACATCTTACCACCCCAACTTTCAGCGCTTGAACAGCTGGAGATTCCGTGTTGCAAGAGCCGTGAAGACACGAAGTCCAGCCGTTGTACGCTCTAGGCTGAGGTCTCGTGCTGATGATCCCAAGGTCGACCTGCACCCAGCGAAACCCAGCGAACAATGGCTCGCAGAGCTACATGCATCTTCTCAGCGTCTCGTGAGGGACTCGAGTGAGCTGTCGATTGTTCATGGTAGGCGGAGAAATCTCCACTTGAGATAGTGGCGGAGAGGGTCCTCTCAGAACGGCAGGGGATCTTGACCAACAGCGGAAAAAGTCAGATGCCTCGTGATGCCTGCTCCAGTGCGGAGAGACGAGTGGAGATGGGTTGCCATGTGGAAGTGAGGCTGCCTGATCCGTTTCGAGTCTGCTTCATCTCCTGAAAACAGCAACTGTAGCAAAGCGATCAATGAGAAGGTCATCTGAGTAATGTCCAGCTACTTTCAGGACTTCAACCGCATCGTCGGCAGTGCTTGAAGGTTACCGGGACAAGAGCTTTGCCCCCGAGCTAGACGCAAGCAGGGATGACGATCAGAAGAGCGCGGAAAGAAAATTCAATACGGCTGAGTTGCGCGTATTGTAAGATTGGGCATGATCATAGCTCAGGTGACTTGTGGTGCCGTTACTAGTCTCCGGGGCTCATTGCTTTCGCCAGTTCGAAAACTTGTGATTCAAGACAGCGTGCAGAGAGGCCAGCGGCAAACCTGCTGTACGGTCAAGGGCTCGACGAGTTGAGGTGTTGCAGAGGGCCGTCTCGAGGTGAATGGTGAGCGTTTGAACAACTCGTGGACTGCAGCGCCTCGCCGGAACAGCGAGTCAGCCTCTTTCACCAGGGATTCTGGAAGAAGAACCTTGCGCGCACAGTCCAGGTAGCAATCATGCGCACAGCGCCATCGTGGGGGAGCAAGCCCAGCTGCCACGCGTGGGCACTGATGCTTTCGGCCAGAGCGTATTGGACGTAGTGGCACAGCGAGCGCTCAAGGCGTCTTGGGGCTCATAGGATCTCAGCAAGAATGAGACGCGCTGGCATGGCCTTATGAGCATCATGGCAGCAGAATCAGATGGTGTCGTGCAGGACACGCCAGCCGGCAGCTTTCACGGTCAATAGCGGTAGGCTCTCATGAAATGGCGGTAGGCCGTCATGGGCAGCGGACAGGCGCGGACAGGCCCCGACGTGCAATGCCGGGGAGTGTCCGGAAGAGCTTGTGAGGGCCTGTTTGGGGCGAGGATGAAGTGCAGGGGTGTTTGGCCAGGTGTGGGCGTCCAGGTCGCTCCTTCCGTGTCGGCGGTCGCTCCTGCCCATCCCTGTCCGGCGCAGCTTTGCACTGGCCCGGCCTTTATACATAGAGATCCACTCCCACCTCGGCGCACCTGTAGTTCCCTCATATACACGCATACTGTCGACTGCCCGCACTCAACACCATAGACTTCAATCAACATATCGACTGCATACCGTACACACATGTATCCGCGACACCTGTAACGACGCCGGCATTCTATCTGTTCGGCAACTGCCCACCTGATTGACGCAAGCGCCTCATCGTCGCCGACGCAAGCGGACCACGACAGGTCTCATTCCCCACACGTATATCAACACCACCCCGACACAAAGTGCCCTCACATTCACGATGCCGCTCAGAGCCGAATTACCCATTGTGCGCGTTGAGCACGGCTCGATGCACACCATTGAGACCCGCAACCCCGAGAACCTCTTTGGACTATGGAGTGGTGAGTGACGTCGATATCAAAGGGTTCCCTGAGCGCCCACTAACGCCTACCCCAACAGTCTTCTCCAAATGCTCGCCTGCCATGGAGGACGGAAAGCGCTACGAGAACATGGCCTGGCGGCTGTGGGCGCGCGAGACGTTCTGCTGTCAGCCCGACCACGTTGTGCCGCCGCAGTGGTCGTTTGACCAAGAAATCGCCGCAGGTGCCACTGCAGACGTACCAGAGTTGTCCACCAGCGTAGCATCGGATGACTCCATCGCCATGGACCCTCTCACCACGAGCCAGCACCGCTCGGACTCTTCAGCGTCCCGTCCAGACCTGCGCCGCCACGACTCGGCCACTAGCAATGCCCGCGGCAAGCACATGACCCCCATCGACCTGGAAAAGGTCGTCAATTCGATACAAGCGAAGAAGGTCATTGAACCCTTGTCGCCGCTGCCCCCGCAGCTCGCCCCGCAGACGACCGAAACACAACGACCAGAGGAAGCAGCAGCCCCACGTTCTGTATCGCCACCTTTAACTGCACGCCGCTGCGCTCCTGAGCTCTCGACATCTACATTCGCCACGGCTCGCGGCAGCGACGACTTGAGCGCCACTGGCTCAGAAGCCAGCACCTCCACCGACATGAGCCAGCACAGCGTCGTCCGTGGCTTCGAGCCTGGCCACATCTCCACCTCAATACGTTCAAGCACTAACCTGGTACCTACGCCATCGATTTTGAAGAAGACCTCTAGCTTCATTGTAAAGCCAGCGCCATCAAGGACAGAGCCTATGAAGAAGAAGCAGCCAATGTTCACTCTCGGCGGCTCGTCTGACGAGGATGCCAGCAGCTCACTCGAGGCCTACTCACTGGCACAGCGCAGCTCCTTGTCTGAGAACCTTCGCAAAGCCGGCTCAATGCGCAAGACGACTTCTTTCGCCAACCAGATCAGCCTGCGCCAGTACCAGGAGGCTATCTGTGAGAGCGAAGGCGCCATTGAGAGCGACAGCGACGAGCCAGACGAGAGTGCCATCGAAGAGGAGGACTCCGGTGATGACTGGGAAGACGACGACGAGGAGGCCGACGAGAGCCATCAGTCGAGCATGCAAGCCACCAGCATGTTCCCCCGTGTTGACTCCAAGCCCAACCTCACTTCCCACCGCTCACTTCTAACAACAATGATGCACGAAGGCGACCGTGCGCAAGCAATGCAAAACGCAGCCCAGCGCCAACAGCCTCCGTCGATCCGTCGGTCTCGCACAACAACACCGAACGGTCCTTCCATCGGCAACTCGCCTCAGGAGGACAGTGGTTTGATGATGCGTCAACAGGCTTCCAGAGCCAAGCCTATCATCATGACGACTTCGAACGTGCACCCTCCCGCCTTATCTCCGCGGACCACCCGCCGACTCATGCTTCAAAACGAGCTGAGCGGCTCTCTTCGTCAAAACCTACTGTGGGAACGGCAGCAGAAGAATGCGACGACGAACGCAGCTATGCGACGAGCTGCCACCACCACCGACCTTCAAGGCATGAGCACCATGGCCCAGCCTCAACCCACGCATACGAGCGCGAAAAATCCTAACAGCTATTTCGACCAAGGTCTTGGTAGCTACCACACCAAGGGGTGGTAGTTGATCTTTATTGTTTTTACACTTGCACTTCTAGCGGCATCCACAAGCGAGCATTGGGCTCACGGCGTTTCGTGCTTTTTGGTACCCGTTCAGCATTCTGAGCGGTGATGATGAGTAATGACCTCCCAAAATCTTCGATGCTTTGAAGGCATCCTGTACGCCCTACGAGGCTACGATTCTCCTTCAGCGGACTAAGGGCGGTTCAACTGGCTTCTAAAGAAGGGTCAAGGCTCGCGCCTGGTCGAGTTGGCTTTCATACAGCGGCAGCTCGTCCATTGGTCTGTACTGTTACCTGCACTGTACTTCTATTTGGGCTTAATAGAGCCATTATACCCCGGTACAGGTCGACTTTGCGAAGTCGTTCTGCAACAGCATTACCTCACACGAGATAGCAGGTAATTAGTTAGGTACTTAATCGAAAAAAGCGATTGTTCACAAGATCAAAACATACTCCCAATTGCGACTGCATCACTGTGATGATTGCCTGAGCAACGAATACGACGGGCTGATGCCATTCTCGCAGCTGTCATGGTCGTCTGAACTCAACAACATGCACGTCTCATACGAGAGTTTGATCTGTTTGGTAGGTTCTTTACCGCTCTTCTGAATCATCTTGTAAGTTGTGCGCTTATGCACACTTTGCTATGCAGCACAGAATGCCACCCAATGGCGGAACTCGCCCACTATTCCCCACCACAGCACCATGGTTCTCGTTGCAGCTGCCGCGACTGCTCGAAAGGCACGCTGCGTGTCACTATGATTCGTGTTTATTGACAACAATATCTGAGACATGGAGATCTTTGCCTTGTGACGACTACTGAGCACCCGCGGCTATTGCTTTGCCGCTTTCCCTCGGGCCGCCTTCCTGGCCACCGTGACTGCCTGTGATGCGTGCCTGGCACCTGACAGCAGAGTCAACAACAACGGCTTCATCACAGGGAGGACACAGGGAGGACCGCGAGGGCCGCTGCATGCAATGCTCGAGGGCGCTGCTTCGTGAGACCCTCCTTGCGCAACAGATGTCCAAAAGAGGTGCATCTTGGCACGCAAGTCGTGCGTCCGCAGCAGTCGAGTCTCGACGGCGATCCCGCCATGCTTCAGCCTTATGAATCAGGTGTCAACCTCAATGCTACCTCACCTGAAATGCGTCCGCCTTTTAATTTCTTCGTTACCACCTGACTGCCTGCGGGCCGCGACTGTTACAGCCAGGAGGCGTTCGGAGGTTTTACACGTCATATTTCTGCTGTTGACACCTCAACACTACTTTCTCTTCATTCCCGCAGTACATCAACATCACGTACGGCCACGCAAGACTTACCAGCTGACCGACCTTCGCTTGCGAGGTTCGGAAACTTTTTACCTAACATCTTGCAACGGGATAATATGCAGCGCTCCAAGATCGGTTCAAATCGCGTGCTCATCATCCGCAGCGACTCGCCACGGTCGACTGGCTTTCCACGCTGCTATTCGCGAACACCATCGATCAGCCGGCTCTCAAAACAATAGTCATCATGGAAACGAGATGAGCGGTACTGCCCTAACAGGCACCCGCTGCACTACCCCGCGACACAGTCGGTCAGGGTGTTGGTGCGCTGGCAGCTTAGCGCCTGCAGAGAGGTCATCTGAACTTCTCAAGACATGCTCAACCTCTGACTTGTCGCCCCTTCAGCCTCATGTACAAGGAAGCTCCGCCACCACGGGAGGCTTCAGATAGCACTCTTACCAACCCCTTGGGAATACGCTCTCACCCTTCACCCTGTGACTGTGATGGATTTACCGTCACCTCATCTCGCAACTCCGCAACTTCCATTCGTTGCACTCGTGGGGGGCTCGTCACATGCTCTGACACTGTCACACCTTGCAGGTTACGAGATGCACAGTGGTGACATGCTCCTTCTCGCCAATACTGCTGCATGCAGATCTGGCGTCCAACGTACCCGCAATCCTTCGACAAATTCGACCGGCCAGATGCAACAAAGCATTCAATTGCAGCGCCTGGCAGCGACATGATCTCGTAGATCGTACATATCGAGAACACCGGTACTCGATATGGAGATGCTCGTGGGAGTGTATCCGGCGCCTCGCTGCATTGTCAGACGCCAGCATATCGTCAATATTTCCCTGCGTCCACCTGCGAACGTCCCTCAGCCACAACCAGCGTATCAACACCACGGTTTCCGGAGGTTGGACCCTATCATCTTGACGCGCGTCAATGTCAGCTTCATCCTTCCTATCTCGTCATCACGCAAAGCTCGTCGCTTGTCCAAGATTCAATGGGAACCCGCCTCTCTTACAGCCTGTATCCGAAGCTCGAACGGTAAGAAGTACGTCACCGTCTAGATATGGACGTAAAGTGAGGTTTACAGTTACCCAAGGCCCCACATCCGAAGTCCCAGGATTCAACACAGTGTGGTAGCCAACCAAGTATGACACGAGCGAGCATCTGAAGGTCGAGACAATCAGATTTACAAAGCTTAGATCTGAAATGCAGCAGTCGACGTCTAGCGTGCATATCCGTCACAGACTACAACCAAGACATCGCTATCATACACTTGTATCAAGCCATGACGATAGCATCTGACTGGCACACCCGCCGCCAATTGCTTGATCTTTAGGGGCTTGATATCGATCGCGATGTCAGGGACGATAAGTTTGTCGGGGGTGAGAGACGCGCTTGAACAAGCCTCACACCCTCCATTTCCACGAGGCTGGGTGGAAGACTTCGCTGGCATGTCTCAGTTCCCCACGAGGTTGGGGATCAGGTCAACTCTAGGACTACTCAGTCATTTGGCACATCACGGCCACCTCAGGCTGGAATATTTGTTCCTCATGATGAGCAGACTCAACGCATCTGACATGTTGTCAACATTGGACTTCAGCAAGCATGACAAGGTACCGAGGCACATGAAACAATAACCTTAGGTGCAGGAATACATTGACCTCAATGCGCCTCAATCTGGCGAGATGTCTCCGCTAACGCGCTCGGACATCATGCAGCCCTACACTCCGCATTTCGATCCTGCTCTCAACCTTGCTGCTGATAGCGCAGCCATGGCTGTCGAACCTCGGACAATTACCGCAAGCAGTCAATGCACTTTCAGAGGACGAGCGGAGTTCTGGCACATCGCGATAGCAATCTCAAATCAGGAAAGCTGCCGACTTCAGCTGCCGAGGCATGTGGACGCTGCCCACGTTTTGACTAGCACCAACCGCCATCAACTCAGGAACCTTGGTCTGAGACCAACGCTTTGATGACCGGGGAGATTTCCGGAGATATCCTCAACACCATGATCTGACCTGTGTACAATGTACGAGCGACCATTCCAGGCACCCTTAATTATCACAGTGACCGTGTCACACTGCAGAACGTTCGCACGTCCTCGTGCGCGAACTTCATCGCAACATTGACACTCTGGATACGAAGACACGTGCTTCTTATCAGTTCACTGTCCGCGACCCCCGACCATCAGCGTCGGAGAGTTGACTGTGGTCATTGGATGTCAATAGTCGCAGCCTTCGTTTTCAGGCATCTCGATCAGGTTCAAGTGAGATCACCGCCTGACATGCAAATGAACAACACATCAAACTCTCCTTAACAAGATCAAAGGTATGATGCAAAGTGTTCATGTGCAACAAAATGCCCAGGTCGGCATAAGAGACTAGTCAGTACGTCACTCCGTAGCTCCCAGAACTGACGTAGCAAGTCGGGTACCGCTACCCAGAAGGGCAATTCAAGCAGAACACATCCGGTGCGTTTCTTTTCAGGTTTCAATACAGACCATGATCTGAGCTGCACCCACAGGCAAACACTGGTGCTGGGAAGGCGCTGTCGCTGAAAGGGAAAACGCTTATCCAGAGTTCAGCTGCGCTGGTTGAGTTTGCACATCAAGTCCCCAAAGTTTTCCCCGCATAAACGGAGCGCCTTGGGGCGGGGTTACTACTTTCGGAAGTGCTCCACGCGACGCATCCTGGTTCTTCGTCAGCGCCTCCATATGCGCGGTCAGCAACGGCTATGGACTTTTGCAACGTTTGCCTTGCACATTTCTCAGCTTCGTTCGAATCACATGTCAGCGCATCAACTTTCGCCAGTCTAGCTTTCACGTGTAGACGCTGCACATCCCCGCGACGAATCACCACCAATTGACTCGCCAACAATCCGTTCAAACATCCAATTGCGCGCACAGTCAGGGAGAGTGTTTCCGCTGCTGCAATTCACTGATGAAGCCTGCCCCGGAACGCTACTGTGCCTCCCCGTCAGCCTGACGTAACACCAAGCCCCTTTCCCCAACCGGCAACCCCAGACTAAACAAAGATGTTACACATCGAAACATCGCTCAAGCAACAAGTGACAGGCCAATGACAGCATCCTCCTTGACTCGCACGTTGCGGAAGTGTCGCATGCGGCCGAGGAAATTTTCCATTTCGCATCACTTGCTCCAGCTTTTCGACGATCATCTCCCCGCAAACAGCGCGTCCAAACCTCGATTCGAGGCCGTTGCCACGATCACGGCTCTGGGATGTTTCAAGCGGCATCGGATACGAAGCTGGCGTGTGCTTTGCGTCGCTGTTGCTTGGGTTTCATACCGTTATAGCGACAAGAAGGCCCGGTTGTGGTGTCGTAGGCTTTTGGAAGGCTGGGGCTCCGCATCCAAGGTGCCGCTTCCCGTGGGGTTGTGCCGCGGGGAGGGGGGGCTGGTATGACGTATCTGACTTCCAGTATGCAGGTACGCGGCGTCGATCATGTCTGCTTCCGATGCCATCGAGATGTGCGAGATGAATCTGTGGATGCATCTTGCGTGGCCTCACATATCCAAAACTGGGATGTATCGTCGACTGGATGGCTCGTTGTGGAAGAGGGGGAACTGCGGAAGGCGCGCATACGTCATCGTGAGTTGAAGCACGCAAGCAACCCCTGAGGCTGAGTCCAACGAGCTACAGTTAGTATATCTATTTCGATACTGGCTAGCAGTCAACGAGGTGCATCCTTTCGACGGGTCGACACGCTGGTGCTTAGGGGCGAGATTCGAAAATACTCGCTCTGCGCAAGTTTTGACCTTAGCCGTGGTGGCGGCTTTGTAGCCTTCCGGTCAAGATGCGCAACAACAAACAACTGGACACCGCCTCTCGGGCAATTCGTGCTCGCCAAAACTCTGCAGCTCGTGTAACGCGGAAGCTTAACGATGCAAAGGATGCATATTGTTGATCTGGCAGCCGCAAGCCATGCATACTGCAGGGGCTCTGCATCCGCCCTTTGCTTGAGCAAACGTCACAGCATGGCGTGCCTCACCGACGGTCCAGAGGCGAATCTCCCATCTTCGCATACACTTGTCCGCTATCCACGACGCTACCCAGTCTCTAGCATCCGCCGATAGCGTCTGCAAGATCTGTTGAGGCGTGGGAAGAGCTGATGTTCTGCAGACCTTCGATGCAGCATGCAACAACGGGACAGCCGCAGAGCCCCAAACGTCGCTTTGCCGGCTTTTCGCCGAACCACAAAACGCATTGTTTCGCTCTCTCCGCGCTTTCCTGCCTAATCGTTTTACCACTCGTCAGCACTATCAAAAATTTCCTTTTTTTTTTTACTCCCGTACGTTTCGCGCTGAAATCCTTCCGAAAAAGCAACCGCCCAGCGTTCCATCTCCTAAACCCCAGAAGGAGTAGTTTTGCATTCGGTAAAGGGATAAGCTCATGCCAAACGTCGCTGAAGTGGATCTTGTGATGGAAAAGGACCACTCTCAACACACGCATCCCCACAGTTTTCACGTTCCTGGACGGTTTCACGTGCGCAGGTGCTGGACTCCGCGCACGACAATGTAAGATTCCGAAATGACCCGGCAGCACAGTGCAAAATGTGATGCAAAGCGAGGGGACCCGCGTCCCAGCCACGCTTCCAGACCGCGAGAAGACCGTTCTGTTTTCAGCAGGCGACCCGCAAATTTTGGGCTTTTGCGTGTCGCTGAACCACGGGCAGTCAAAGCCGTGATTGAAGAGTGCCCCGTTTGGGTCTGGGCTTCCCGCAGAGCCTCATCTGCGACGCTTGCTAGTGCATTTCCTATTGCGGTCTTGCTGGCCTCTATCTGAGCGTGTTGGACGAGTGATGATGCTTCGGAGCGCTGCTGCCGGGATGGTTGCAGTGATTGCTTCATTGCTGCAGTCGGCCGATTGTTCCAGCGCTCGTATATTGGCTTCTGGACCTTGTAGCTCTAGCAAGATCCCAGCGCTCTCGTTGGATAAATCGATGAGTGGTATCTACAATTTCCAAATGCGTTCCACGCGTTCAACGCGCACTAACGCCCACGTCTGCATCTCGCAAAACCTGGTTCGGTTTGCGTCACCTTGTGCAGCCCACGTCCGAGCTATCCATCAAACTCAACCTTCCACGCGCCTTCCTCGCCACCGTTCTGTGCAGGTTCGCCGCATGTTCCAAGCAAAGGCGGTTTGATGATTTGAATGCCACTGGTGAACGTGCGGGTTAGTCGCTACTGGACGCGGGTAGTGGGTCCTCTCTTTTTGCAGTTTGCACGTTGGGCTGGGATGCCTGGGTGTAGGGCAGAGATGGGGACTCTGCGTGCATTGAGGAAAAGTGGGGGGTATTGTTACGATGTTATGATACAGGTGGAGCTTTGGAAGTGCATTGGGCAGATGCTGGATGGAACGCGGCGATTAGGAGTGGTGCCTGATATTGGGGATGATGCCTGAATGTGTGGTTCGGAGGTTGGAGAGCGCGGGCCGTCTAGAAGTCAGGTTTCACGATGCTCGCAGATGACGTTGAAGCTGAAGGGCTCGGTCGGTGTCCTGAGCTTGACTTTGCGGTTGCTGTGAGAACGTCTGTTCGATTGAGGTCAGATGGGTACGATCAGTCGCCCGTGATGCCCGATGCCCAATGCCCGGTGTCTCAATGCGCACAGCTGTGCTTCAATGTTTCCATGCTAGTATTGCAGATGCAGGAGTTGTGCCCTCGTATGATAGCGAGTCTCCAGGGAGGACTTTGGAAGGTTACCACGGGATGCCTTTGTCATACAGTCGAACATGAACTTCGGCAAAATGAGCAAGGCAAAAGCAGGTTGATTGAAGTTACTGCTACCTTGCATAGATGTTTTTTCTTCGTGCAGTTTCCAATCAACGAAGATAAATGCACTTGCTGCACCAGCGACATAAGAGCACATCATAACATGTTCGCGCGGCTTCTTAGTTGGATACTTTACAAAAGATTGCACGTCGTTGCGATTTACTCTCCGGTCCTGCGAGGTTCGTATGCTCGAGTGTGTTCATGACACAGCAGTATTGTGGACCTTTAACATATCTGTGCTTGGATCAATACAGCGTATCTATATTTAACAGATCTTTGACCCAAGACTAGTTTAACGGTGATCGTCCTCAATGCAGTCGGAATACCCTGCAGTGTAAGCCAATCTTGTGTGGGTTAAAGATCGTGCATGCATGAACAGAAATTGAAGAGCGTACGAGCCAGCATCTGTCAAGCTAGATGTTTTAGAATGAGATGGAAGATAGCTGTACTTATTCTCATTGTATTTGTGATTATTCTAGAAAATTGGTGCGATGATTTGTATGTTCGTTGAAGCCAGCTCGTCAATGTTGAAACATTGTGCAAGAGCTGTCTCCACGACGTGATCGTTGTAATGTTGAAGACGCATTCGATAACGAAGAATACAACAAAATATTCCATGTTCCAATCGTCCCAAGTATATGGCATGTATCTGCCTACACGTGTATGCTGCTGTGCGCGAACACACGATGGATATTACACAAACGTGGAGTTACGGCGCGAAGAACCCCTCAGTGTTCGATCGTTTCTACTTGACCATAGTGGTTTCTGTGTATCAAGAAGCACGGCTGTATTGGATGTATTGCTTCACAGGGTGTTTCGCCGTTGTTGCTTGTAACACAACCAACCAAAACTTGGCAGAGAGCTGGTCGGGAAAGGATGGAAATCTTGTGCAAAAGCCATAGAGACCTTCGTTACTACTCATGATGTTAAGCTACATTACATGGGGTCGGTCTCTGACATCATAATGAGTGCAGCGAAAACAAGAATACAGTCTTTGTTCACGAGCAATGACATGCGGTATCACTCAACTTTTGTGATCAAATGGCACGTTCACGAGTCTATCGACCATGAGTTATGATTGCATATTCCAAATAATAACGCCCGCTATTCCTGTGCTATGCAAGTGGGTATCTATATAAGACAAGCACATCGATACACGCAAGAAGTACAGTCTAGCCACAATGAATACTCGGTCCATCCGAAGTCCAGAACTTCAAATCCAAAGTACACTGCATCTCGCGCCGCCAGGCTCAAGATCCTCGTTCCAAGTCGAGAACCCATGGTCAGTCTCCGAGTACCCTGCGTTGGTAGCCCACATCCCCTTGTAAAGTTGCGAGAAGCGGATGTCGGGAACCTGCTCTCTGTAGGGGAGCAACTCAGAAACGTTTAGTGGGATGACATCGCTCACGATACTCCAGTCCGGTGTGCCTTGGAGGGGCCGGGTCTCCTCGGACCACTTCGCTATTGCTGTTTGTACTACTGTAACAATCTTCTCGAAGTCCATGAGCACACGTCGCGCAAGTGGTATCTCTCGTGCCAGGTCATGTAGAAGATCAACGGCTGAGTTAAAAGTCTGATGAACCACCGGGACGCAGTTGGCCAGAGACAGGCCAAGCGAGCTTAGGTCGCTCACAAGGAGACTGCACAGCAGAAGAAGACTGCTTGCTAATGAAGGTATCATATGATGTCGAAGAATGGAGGTCATTGAGTACTTGGCGTTGGTCTCGTACGCTTGCACATGTGTAATTGTGTCCATTGCCAGTCTGCTGCAGACGTGTATGGTAGCCCGATCGAATTGTAAAGACATGATCATCGCACGTCGAGCCATTAGTTGGAGGTTGTCGAAGCTCATACGGATGTACTGTTGACGGTGCAATGGGTGAATTTCGGTCTTCAACTCCTGAAATGTGTTATCAAAGAAGTCAACAATAGCGGCGTCAAATGTAGCGATTTTGTCGGCGAGGGGATCCGTGAATACGTGAGCTGCGAGGAGACTGTCCCATAGGGAACCAGCGAAACGAGACCAGTGAATCATGCAGTCCAAGAACGCATTCGCGCTGTCGCTTTCATCATGCTTGACTCGCGACTCTGAGGGTTGCAGGTTCGGAAACACGTCCTGTGCTGGCTGTCAGACGCATGATTTCTTTTTGGGTCTCATCACGTACCCGCTGATACATATCACTTGGCCGTTCCACGTCGATATCAGCATCTCGTATTGTATAAGGACGACCACATGACAAGGATATGCGACGATCGGTGACCAAGATGTTCCAGAACACTCGTGAGCGCTCGTATATCTCCCACATGCCCGACCCTGCAAAGGAGGTCTGGCGATTCAGGCCTTGCTGAAGCACGTAGCGGCTAGCGAGACCTATCGTATTATAAGCGAGGCTGGGCTGGTCGACTAAGGTGCAGTAAAGAGCCTCCATGCGTCAGTCGTTGCTTTACAAGATGAGGTTAGGGCGTACCTTGAAGAGCAAGAACTGTGCCAGACTGAGATCACCATGTCCATAAAGCTGTCTCATACCAACAACATCATCGGCAAGCTGAAGCCAATGCCACCCAGCAAGCTTGTTATCGGGACTCGGTTCCGTTGTTTTCGTTAAAACATCATGCAATGCAAATATGACATAGTTCAGTGCCAGGAAGCACGTATCGTCTGGATGCACTTCTGCTTTCGCCAAGACGTGTTCGCTGCGAACTCGAAAGAGCTGCTCGTCAACACAAGGATGGAAGATCTGCAGCTCGCGGAAGAAGGTGTTGATGTAGCCTTGGTAGACAATAGGTGCTGGAAAGACTAGGCCCCGGTTGCCGACGCGTAGAGTGATCGTGTCGGTGTCTAGAAGTGGGTCTATAGCAGGCGTTGTGCCTTCTTGAGGATGCGAAGTTTGAGGTAGCTGGCCCAAAAGTGCTAGGGCGGGATTTATAGGGTCGAGCATTGGCATGGACATGGCTGTATCATTGCCAGATTCATCACGCTCCATGCTCCCGTTAGGTGTCGTGTACATAGCTCGTTCTTGCAGCAAGGCTTGCATCATGGCTTCAACGCGTGCCATGCGTGCTTCCATAGACAGACCAAGAGCACTTGCATCACTGGCTCTCCGCTCGTTGTTTTGATGCCTCGGCATGATATTGCGTCGTGCAAGGCCGCTGCCATTGCTAATTGAGGCTGAAGTCGAAGGTTGCAGTGAAATTGAAGGTCGACTGAGATTTTGTAAGGCTTCAGCTGCCGTCTGATCCTCCGAGAAGAAGCAGCGCTTGCCGTTGTCTCGACATCGCTGGCAGGGGTTTTCGCCGGAGCACTGGGTCATATTAGGATGCAAAATGCATAGTAGAGATAGACGATAACTTACCTTCAGCTTTGATCTCCTACATGACACGCCTAGATGGCTATGTTAGCTATGATGAAGGCCTATATGCATGTTGCCATGCTGCATTAGTCGCGAGCAACCACTGCGGAATGATCGGAACGGTCTCAAGGAACAAACATGGTGATACGGAAGAGCTCTAGATGTGACGTACATGCTTTCGGCGCATACTTTTGCCGTAACTTCTTTCTCTTAGGCGAGCATGACCGCTCATCGTCATTTAGATGTAAGGGCGATAGTTGATCGTTCATAACGCGGTGATAGGGACAATGGATGAGGTCGTTGACTGACGAGCGTTCGGAACCACGCGCTGAATTGGTCCAAGCGCCGCCTTGGCAAAGCCAACGCGTCCTTTCCACCAACCACCTTCACGTCACGATTCCCATCGTTCTCGTTGCCGCAACATAAAACTCATCATTGAATATGGGTGTTCTGTTCGAGTATGCTGTTTGCTGTCTCATGTGTGGAATTTAGGATATACCCTCCTGTGCAACTACATGCATCCACTGAACCTCCACCTTCAACGAGACCACCTGGCATACATATACGAACGCAGGCTCCAGAGCGACCTGACGAATGCCTCGAGGAATTCTAGAACACAAAGGCACCAAGCGCCAACATCGCGTGGTTGTTGCGCTCTATCGCTGACATTTAATAGACTTGCCTCTTGCTCCACTTGAATTCAATGCCCTTTCGTAGACCCGCGTAGACACCCGCACAATGGCCTTTCTCTAGCAAAAGTAGGGCCGCAGTCGAGTTAAGCATTGGAGGATTTAGCAGCTTTACTCGATCTGGTGATGAGGGACCAATCAGCCCGCGTTTTCCCTCGAGCGACCTCTCCCTTACTACATTCTTTCCTCCCGGTGCAACCGTACATATGCCGGCGCGGCAAGCGTGGCCGCGAGAACGGACCAATCGAAAAGCATCTAAGTAGTGCCCGATATGCTACGTATACTCAGTGAGAGTGGTAGTCTCCTCCGCAAGGGCTTGAGCTGCTGGCTGCTTCCTTCGTCTCCTTAGCACATTGGAAACTTGTGCAATTGTTGCTATCAAGCAGACTATCCAAATTGTGGGGTCAAGCTCTGCGACATACTCATACCATCACTCATAAGCACACTATGAGCATCAAGCACCGAGTTCCAGACATCTGCGAGCTTGAGACGTCGAGAGAGTCCATGGATGCTGCATGATCATTACTGCCGAACTTGCATTCTTTGGATACCGATGCCTCTTCGAAGCCACCTCGACTACACCTTGAGCGGACACAAGCATTCCAACAGTGATTCCTCGCTCCACGGAACCCTCTTCCTGCCGAGCTCTGCGCCGGTGCAGCCACCTCCTTCTCCACACCTATTGTCATTCTCTTGACCACACTCACTATTGTCTGCATAGAAAAGCGGCCTATCTGAGATAAAGTCTCTGTCCATATCTTGACCAAGGTATCAGTTTTACACTCCTTACTACTTACTGACCACAGATCTTAATCGCACGTTCTCCCAATATGGGACGTGTCTATCGAAATGTGCTCTCTACGAGCTTAGTCCTTCCCGTTGTGGGTGCACTGCCTGCTCCGGTCCCTCAGTTAAACCTTGGAGGAGCCGTTGGAGGGCTTGCGGGAGAAGTTACAGGAGGACTCACAAACGTCCAGTCCATGGCCCCCACTGTTGCAACAGTCCAGCAACCAGCTGTTCCCGCCGTCCAGCTCCCAGCTGCTCCTGCGGTTCAACTGCCTTCCGCTCCTGCTGTTCAGCAACCATCTGTCCTTGCTATCCAGCAACCAGCTATTCCGGCTGCCGCAGCCCCTTCTACAAACATAGGCACGGGTCTTCTTGGCGGGCTTCTTGCTGGAACCGCTCCCCTTGTCAACGCTCCCGTCAACGCTCCTGTCAATGCTCCAGCCACCGCTCCCAGTCTTGGCCTCGGGCTACCTGTCCTGAGCAACAATAACCCCACAGTCAACACACCAACAGTCCCTACAGTTCAGCAGCCCAATGTACCGAACGCTGACATTGGACTTCTCGGTGGCCTCCTTTCTCCCCTTGTCCCTGCGGTTAACCCAACTGTACCCAACGCTCCTACAGTCCAATAACCGAATGTTCCAGTACACAACGGGCCCAATCCTGGACTCCTTAACGGCCTTCTCCCTGTCACTGCGCCCTTCCGAGATCTCTTGACCAATGTGGGCGGCGTCGTCGATAACGCTGCAACCGGTGTGGGAGGTGCAGTTGGCGCCCTCGCTGGTGAAGCAGGAGCAGCTCTTGGAGACGTATCGCAAGCTATTGGTGGTGCCCTCGGGGATGGAACTACTGGCTCTGGTGGCGCTGTAGGCAGTCTTGTTGGCGATCTCGGAGGTGCAGCAGGAGGATCTCTAGGTGATGTTGGTGGCGTCGTGGATTTTGGAAGCGCTAGACTTGGGAAGGTTGCTAGTGGTGCTCTGGGAGCATCCGATAACGTTTCCTTCGGACCTGACGGTGCGCCCCTGCCTAACCCAAATGTTTCCGGCGCAACCCTTCCTGACGCAACCCTTCCTTCTCCGGAATCGGCGGCGTTGGCAACCCCTTGGGAGGACTTCTCGGTGGAGGCCTTCCAAGTGGTGGTCTCCCGAGCGGTGGCCTTCCTCTTCCAGGCACTGGACTTCCTGACGTCGGCGGAGCTCTTGGTCACCTCCCTAGCCTCACACCAGACATCAACGACCCCGATACTCTTCCGATCAACCTCGATCGGTTAGGTGGTGGCGGCCCTGGAATCAACATTCCTGGTCTTGATCTCAAAGTACCTGGCTCGACCTCAACCTTCCAAACCTTGATGGTCTTGGAAACGCTCTCCCTGGTCTCGGTGATGTTGAAAACAACCTCCCTAGTCTTGGAGATGTTGGAAGCAACCTCCCTGGTCTCGGTAATGTCGGTAACAAACTTCCTGGTCTCGGTGATGTTGTTAACAACCTTCCTCTCCCTGGTTTCGATGAGCTTGGAAACGCTTTTTCTGCTCTTCCCGGTATTGGTGACATTGGAAACAATCTACCCGGCCTTGGTGCGGTTGCAAACAACTCCCCGGTCTCTGCGATGTTGGAAATGCTCTCCCCGGTCTTGGTGATGTTGGCAACAATCTTCCTATTCCCGATCTTGGGGACCTTCCTGTACCCGATCTTGGAAATCTGCCTGTCCCTGATCTCGGTGACATCGGCACCAACCTCCGTGGCAAACTTGGAAATCTGGTTCCGGACGTTCTCGATGGCAGTGTTGGAGACATCGTCCCTGATGTTCTTGGTGGACTTCCTGCTACAGGTGGCTTGCCCAACACAGGGACTGGTGGCCTTCCTGGCTTAGGCAACCTTCCAGATGTTGGTGGCTTTCCAGGCGTTGGCGGTCTTCCAGACGTCGGTGGTATCATTCCTGATGGTACGGGCGATCTTGGAGATCTTGTTCCTGACCTTGCTAATGGTAACATTGGCGATGTCATCCCCGATGTCACTGGTGGCCTTCCCACTGCCGGACTACCTGGCGCTGGCGGGGTCCCTCCCACGGGTAGTCTTCCCACTTCAGGAGGTCTTCCGGGTCTCGGAGCACTCCCCGGTCCTGGAGATGGCACTGGCAACTTGGGTGACCTGATTCCCGACGTGGCCAATGGCAACCTTGGAGACGTCATCCTGATGTCGTGGGTGGACTCCCTTCGGCAGGTGGTCTTCCTGGGCTTCCATCCACAGGTGGTCTTCTTCCAAGTCTTGGAGATGGTATCGGTGCCTTGCAAAGTGTACGAACCCCCCTGGATTTTGGCTCAATGTCATCAAGCATACTTCACAGGTGGGCGAGAGCTTCCGAGTGGCTAGCTAAGGCTGGTCGACAGGATGGGGGAGGTCATCAATGATCTTACCCCAAACATTCCTGGCTTCCCCGAAACTAATGTTGTGGAAGTGTTGGAATGGTTGAGTTGATTGATCTGAAGAGCTATATCGGGAATCGATCGAGACTATATAGTAGAAGGGAATAGCAGTGAAAGGGTGTATGGGGGGGGGGGGGAAACCAAACTAACCGAATGAGCTGGACAATCAGAGCAGCGGACCGCTGGCAAACAAATGTTCCAACAACTCCTGGTCTGCCAAACACTCCTGGTCTACCGAGTACACTGGTGTCCCCTCTATACCTGGCGTTCTTTCTACACCTGGTGTTCTGTCTACTCCTAGCGTGCCTTCTACTCCGGGTGTTCCAACAGTTCCAGACACCGGTGCAACAGTGCCATGGACTATCCCTGTTCTTCCGGACATCAACTCCCCGGCGTCGGCATCGGCACTGGTGGCATGGGCGGAGTCGGCGTTGATACACCTATCGGCAGTGTTGGCGTCGGTACAGGTGGTGGCACCGGGATGGTCATCCCATCCGTCAACATTCCCCCGATTGGTATCCCAACATTGGAGGCCTTGGCCCTGATGCTGAAGACATTTCCAGCGTCACTGATCCCATCATTCCGCCTGACACGAACGCCACTCTTTTCGGCACTGACCTTCCTGGCACTATTTTTCCTGGCACCGATCTCCCCCTCGATGTATCTGGGACGGATTTGACCGGCAGTGATCTTCCAGAAGTTCCAATCGACACAGTCATCGATCTTACAACCAGCTTCCTGATCGATCCAATTAGTTAATTCCTCAGGAATACCGAAAATGGTGCTCTTTACAACCCCATTTCAGGCGGACCTCTGGCTATTGACCCGAAAAAAACTTCCCCATTGACCCCACGACTCTTCCGCCGTTTGACCCAGCGCTCGGCCCACCATCAGTTGAGTTCCTGGATCTTCCTACTCCACCTGAAATTCCCATTTATACACCTGGCACTGAGTTGCCCAATCTACCAGATCTTCCCATCGACATTCCTGGACGTGACAACCTGCCGCCAACCAGATTGACTGCAACTTGGCTTGCCCCAACAACCCTCCTGAACGATGTGGTGGTCAAGGTGACCCCAGCAGCTCTGGTGGCAGTATTATTGGAAACGTTTACAGCAGCTGCGCTATCATTCTACCGGCTCCTCAGGTGCGTCCACTTATTTCCTTTGTTAGAAGGACGCACACACATTGCTCTGTTGCGAGACGCCCTATGCTCTTCAATGTCCTTGCTCGGGATGTTGCTCTGCAAAGGTAACGTATTACTCTGCTCTACGCGTAAGTATCATTCTCTGCTCTGCCGGGATGTTCCTCTTCGCCGCCGTCGCAGCTCGTGTTCCCCGGCCTGCGAGTCGAGCTTCTTCTGCTCGTCGCCCCTGGATCTTGTGTTCTCCGGCACCGACTTGGGCCTCGCCTGGATCTGATGGAGCATGCGTTTTCTGTCAACAGGTTGACGCCGCTCGATATCTCATCGGCACCAGAATTCGTGCTTTCTGGTTCTTGACCGTGCTGGAGCTGGTGTCCTCCAGCTTCCAACTTCGATTATCCTTTGCTTGAGCTCGTGCTCCCTGGTTTTAAGGCGGCAGCATGCAATCATGATGTGGTACTTGGTGGTGGATACCTTTGTGGGGTGAAACTCAGCGAAGTAAGTCATTACACCACGCATGTTTGAGAGCTAATGCCACTATGGGACGTTGAGACTTTCGTCCATGGCATGGGTTCTTGAAAGGCTGTGTGCGAGCATACTTGCAGAGATGAGGCGAACTATGGCGGGTAAGTTACCTAAGTAGCTATTCAAACATTCATCCATGATCCTTACAGGCTTGCTTCTATCCTATTGCCCTTTTATGAGATATATACTTTGTCAACATCCACAGGAACTTGACCTTATCGACACACAGAGGAAGCTGTTGGTCTGCCCTACTGGATGGAAGAATGTCGCTTTCTGTATTACGTCATGGCCGAACGAGACCAAGAACTCGTTTTTTGGTCCCAGCGGACTCGACTTCATCGACAACATCGCAAACCCTTTCATCGGCGCTTTGCTTGCATAGACTGGGTTCTTCGATGCTGCCAGACTCGGCACCTCCATTGGCATACCTTTTGCCGTGGACTCGGCTACCAGGATGTCAAGCCCTCTGGTGGGTGATCGTAGCTGAGCAAGGTACCGCTATTGCTACGCAAGCTCTGGGAGGAATTATCCGTTGAGTTGTTCTACAAGTCCGAGGCCCGGATCGACTTGTTGTTTGCTTGCTATCCCATAAAGACCTGCAAGAAGTGCCTTCGCGGATACGAGACCTCTGCCAACATCCACAACCTGCGCGATGGTGGCGAACCAGACGCATGGCTTGAGACTGGCGAGACGAATGGATCGTTGCGCCGACTTGTCTTCTCTATCTACCATCCACAGGGCTGCAACATCGGTCGAACGCGCGCTCCGCTCAACCTCGCTCTTCAACAGAAGCCACTCAAGGAACATCAACTGAAGAGTGCGCTCCGCGAACGTTTTTCGGACTTTGCGCTAGTGCTACTTTCCGGCAAAACATATGTCTCAAGTTTCTTGAGCTCAATTTAGTATATGGAAAAATTGCCTTGAAGATTTCTGGGGATAATTGTCTAGAGTACCTCGCAGGTAGACAACCAAACTCCCCACTTGGGTAGAAAATGAGAAAGATCTGCAAGCCTTCCACTTTTCAACTAAGCCACGTGTTGTCAGCACCTCACGATTCTTATGAGTCTTGACACTAGTACTTGGGGATCCCATGATTCTGAGACCGTCCACAAACACTCGACTACCTCCAGGGTTACCCATCAAAATCGATACCAGTGTGGCACCAGGAAGCGCGACTCTTCCTCCTTTCTCTGATCAGCAGATCGAGTCGCAATGGCCAAGCGATTAGGCACCGGCGCTATCTTCCACATCACCAACTCACAAAAAGATCCGCAGCCAGGTGAGCAGCCATCAAAGTCTAAATCAAGGTCTCTACCGATTTTCACAAGATGAAGGCTCTTGTTGTCTCGTTGATTGGTAGCGTCGCGAGATTGTTACGCGGTCGCCAGCAATTGTAGTCTCCAAAGGTGTGTAAGGTATCATGTCCACGGCTACAATTCCTGCTGAAGCTGCCCATGATGTCCCAGTACGCCATTCAAGATCACTTGAGACATTGCGGTCTCCAAAATCCTACAAAAGATGGTAAACAATCTCACATTTCAACACTGCAGCTACCTATAGAAGGCTTTGGGCTGAGGAGAAGTCCGGCTTGATGGTGAGAGATTCTTTAGCTTAACAAGGCAGAGGAGTTTGGGAACTCCTGAGTGCTGACGACAGAGTGCTGACGGCTGAGTACTTGACATTACAGATTAGCGTTGAAGCCATGCTTTGCCTCGATGCTAATGGCGTCTCTTGTGTGCGCGCTTCAGACTTCGGCGAGTGATGGTGCTATCGTCACTGTCGCCTTCTGCAACGAAGAATGGGTCAGCGCCCATTCCATTGTAATCGTTGTACTCCGATCTGTCTGTCGTGCCCTTCAGCACTTCATATCTCCTGTAGTTTCCGCACCCGCTGTCCTTATTCAAGCATTCCTTGCCAAGTGCTCCCGCGATGCGCTTGCCCGCTTCCTGGCCCTCAAACCAAGCTCCATGCAGGAACCCAAAGTACTCAGCAGATGTGTGCTCGCCAGCGAAGTACAACCTCTCGACGTTTGCGCGCAAGTTTTGGTGCTGCTCCAACGTTGTGCCGGCAGGCCAGTTAGAATAGCTACCGTATGTCCACGGGTTCTCAGCCCAGCGAGGGTACATAAACGCAATTGGTTCTGGGATGTCGACGTCAGGGAACATTTGGCGTAAGACTTCCATGACCTCTGCTTTTGTTGTCTCATCGTCCTGAGCTTCGATGCGGTAGCTCTGTTCGTCGATTACGGTGGCGAAGAGAATATTGCTGCCGGGGAAGAAGCCCTCCTTCGAAAGAGATTGAAATTGAGGGTAGTATCCGCGAGTTGTGGGGTGAGCGTACAAGAAGAACTCCTTGTCTGTGGGCCAGAAAGTCTCGTTGAATTGCATGAAGATCTTAGTGTAGGTACCCATGCCAAAGGTGGCAATCGAGGACTCCTTCCATTCTGGGAGCGCTGGAGTGAACTCAACCACACCCTCTTGTAGGACGCCAAGTGCAAACGTGCAAATAGCGTAGTCGGCTTCGACACAAGATCCGTCCTCATTGCTGATCTTCACACCAGAGTCGGAGTATTCGATGCCCTTGACAGTCGTGTTAAAGAGCAGGCGGCGATCGTTTGGCTGCAAGAACTTCGCCGCTTCATGCTTGAGCCATGCGTTGAAACCGCGCTGATCGATGTTAAAGTAGTCCTCATCCTTGAACTGGTAGTACGTGAGGTTGGATGCTGTAGTAGCAAAGACAGCGCTTGATTCCTCAGGTGTTGCCGCTGCATCCCAATCAAACCTCCACCACTCGACCGCCTTGCGCTTGGCGTTACGGTTGGTTTTCCAGTCATTCTCGGAATAGAGGGCACGCTGGCTCTTATCTTGCAAGTTTTCTGTCAAGATCCGTCCTGCAGCTTGTTCGAAAGCCGTGGACTTCTCGTCGTATTCGTCGAGAATATCCATGTAGTCGGCAGCACCAGTCTCGTCGTAGGTGGCAAGATTGCTCAGGTTTGAATATGTGCTCGACAGGTTGGCCTGCTTGGAGAATGTCCATACTGGATTTTCTGGTCCTTTCGGTGTACCTGTTCCTGAGATCCAATTGGCACCGAGTTCAACCACGTAAGGGTTTCCAGCAGCGTCAGAACCGAAGTTGGTATGTCGCATACGACCACCAACCTGCTCATTGTATTCGAGCATGAGGAAATCCGAAATGGACTGGTTTGCTAGTGCTTGCTGTTATATCGTTAATGGACGTTACTCCAGTTGCCGTCTGGAGGGCTTACAGCTGCTGTGATACCAGCGACACCTGCGCCTCTAGAGTGATTGTGTCAGCAAAGTGTCGTCCAAATGACAATATAGAACTTACAAGATCGCAACAGTAGTTTTTAGACATGTACTGTTGCTGTAAGGTTTGGCCTCTACGGGAGGCGCAGCAAAGACGCAAGGTGGGCCAACGGCCGCCGCAAGTAACGAGACGCCCTTGATATGCATGATAAGTGAGTGACGAGGAAACTATGAGGCTTCACCTCGAGTATAAGTACTTACTTAGAACGCGCCCACGGTTAGACAAGAAACGCGGTCTCAATCTCGCGATGTCACTACACTAAGCAGTAAGAAGGTCGTCCCGAGCATAGCTCAGTCAACCATCCACATGCCTGGGACGGATAAGCTAGGATGCTCAAAATGAGATGTTCTATGTTGGAAAGGCCGCGATGACCCTGCTCTACTTTCATGCAGCGACAATGGCCTGCCGGACGCTAGTTGTTAGCGCAATCGAGCCCGTGGGGGATCCGCCAATCAGATAGCCCCGCCTCGTATTTCTTTTTTTCTGGGGCTGGCGGCCTCTCCTGCAGCGGACGATGCTGACAAAGTAGGCAGTCCCAAGCGCGACGTTGCATGATTCGCGAATGACCGTTTAACACTGTACCTCGGACATGAAGCCGTGATTTGTGGGCGTCAAGAGCGTGCAATTCGTAGATACATGCATCATCTCCAAGCCTACGATCGCGGTTGTGGTTGCTGTATATGCCGGATGCCCCGGGATATATGTGCGGGCCTGTCCGGTGTGGAGATACCCAGGTTACCCAGCTAACACATTCACCGCGAGCTCAGGACTGTCTTACCAGATCAATGCGACATTCGCCTTTGCCGACTGGGTAACGATCGTACGACTTGACGCCGGTGTTGTGGGCGAGCCCATTCACCAAGTCGACGCGGCTCGGTCCATCGTCAAGATTGTTCTGCATATGCACTAAGATTCGTTGTATGAAGAGAAGTGGAGCTCGCCGATCTAGTTTGCGGGGTTTATCAGTAGAACACCGCGTTTAAGAATCTCTCAAAGATGATAAGAATCGTTGCTTACGACGCTAATAGAGACCGAGCGATATTCGAGAGCATGCAAGCAACATGAAAGTGTGACGAACGTCTTTACAGATCTACATACGACCCATCGTGCTGTCCGGTCTATTGTTCAAGCAGTCCTCATCCAGTTCGAGTTGGACGTCGTGCCACAAAATCATCTAGGGAAAGCGGAATCTCATCAAGACTCAGCTTCTGCAGCACCTTTCCTGCCAGCATAAGCAATCTCCCAGTGGTAGGTTGCGAGAGAACCGTTTGTCTCCCGTCCGTTTTCAAGCTTGACTTAGGAATGAATACTTTTCAATCCTATGCATAGTCGGTATACGCATACTGTATGGACACACCTATTCTTGTAGTATATCTCTATCCATTCGCCGGATCCTGCGAAGTGATTTATCCTCTCTCCCGTCTCGACGATCATTCTTGGTCTCAAAATAAGGACGACATCTCTAAGCTGCGCGTGATCGCTTGCCACAGCATCGTAATCTTCAGGGGGGGAGATACGGGAAGTTGACAACAGGGATTGACTCGAAAGCTGACCCTCTTTTCTTGACTAGTGCTGACCAGACAATCGTACAACATGTGATTGATGTCCAAGTTGACCGTACTGCCCATGTGCGGTCGCATTTGATGAATCGAAACTTGAATGAACCCTTATATGTCCCTTCTTGTCGCTTGGTCCAGGTGCTAGTGTTCTCGTACAGAATATTGAGAGAGCTGGATTTTGGGGGTCTATCTTGCGCTATATCTGAAGTCTTAGTTATGACAGCCAGGAACATGTCATATAGATGTTCAAAAAGAATATTGCATTTTGTCAGTCACTTCACATCAGCACTTCTCATACTTTTTGAGTCGCTTTCCTTCTTACCTTACCCGCTCTCTGTCTTGCATTGTTGAGATCAATGCAATGTTGCACATGTTCCCCCCGGATCTTAGCGTAACGGTCAAACTTCTGCTTTGCTTCGGAGCCATTCTAGTATTTCGTCCTAGCATTGTTGCACTCCCTCATGTGCTGCACAATAGTGTCTTTCAAGGCAACAAGACGGTCATCGTTCTCAACCCAACCTCGAAAGCTGTCACTGCCACGCCCCATGGGACGCTCGAGGTACGGCTTTAGGGCGTTCTTTTGGTTGTGAATGCCCTGGAGGAGATTCAGAAGGATGATGTTGTTGGTAATTTGGTAGTACCAATGTTGACGCTGGCATAGGAAGTCAGGCAGATGTGACTTTCTAAAGATGTTGATCGAAATTACTAGGAACGAGCCTGTTGGAGAGCTCTCTCTATTTACCTAGTCTCCTCGTGTGATAGAACAATGGCTGGAGGTTTTTGGGTTGATAGTGAATAGCAACGATCTACGAGAAGCGTTCGTTCGCAATCGCGCAATTCTGGGATACCAGTGGTTTGCTGGCAGCTTCGGTAAAAATTGTACGGGTTTTCGAACTCTGAAAATCTTCCTGAAGAATGCAATGTTTTCGAGCAATACATGACGTTTGAAAACCTCCAAAGGGCTGGTGGGTCTGCTGAGGGTGCTGTTCTTGTGGGCGTCAGGGCTGTATGTATGAGGCTCAAGATGTGGCACTCTGCTTGAGTGATGGCCAGGTGCTCGAAGGAAGGTGTATTGCAGCAAAACTAGACGGTGCCGTGGAGGCAGTCAGGATTCTGAGGCAGTGAAAATCCGTAGGATTGTAGACTCCGGTCTTTTGCCGACGAAGAGGCTCCAGAAGGATCCAGGAGGTATGTAAGGCCTTGAACAGGTAGGCATACCGCGCTTAAGAAGCGTGTCTTGTGCGCGGGCTGCATAGGTTCCAGCGAAGTCGAAGCCAACCTCGTCTTCATCGTTGAGATCAACCTCCTCTTCGGACTCAAATTAGAGGACTCGAAAAGGCGCAAAGATGTCAATGATCTTTCAATCGCTGCCCGAGGACTCTAGACTCACAGAAGCAAGAGCGGTCTCGATGTGACAATCTCTGGAGTAAGGAGGTCATGTGTGCCACGTGTGTTAGTGCGGTGCTCTTGCTTGTTCTAATAAGCACCTTCTCCCTTAGCCGCACAGCAGATACGTCATGTAAACAGACTCTGCTGATGGCCTGGTGAGGGGCAATCACAGAACAACAGAAGAACACAATATACCGATTTTACTGCTTCGCGCGGTCCCACCCTGACCTACTGCCCTGCGCGGTTACACCTTCATTCATTGCAACTACTGCAACAGGTCTTGTGCCAGATCTCGAGATGAGAGAGAGATGCGCATGAGCGCCTATCTGTGATGAAGAGCTGTTCACTGGGGTAAGGAGAGCGGAGGTCGGCGCCCAGGCCGAACTTTCCGCGGACAGTGAAGAGTTTGTCGGGTGCGAGGTTTGCGAGGATGAGCTGATTGGTTCGTCGAGGTCGGAGTCGTAGACCATGCCTTCATCGGAATTTGAGGCTCTCGTTTCTGGTCAACAGAGGAAGAGCGCAGGTGGGACGACATCAGCGATCAGGAACCGTTGTTTAGTGGGGTGCCTGAAGGTATGATGCCAGGTCGGCAACTAGTCTGCGGGTAAGGCGTTGTTGCAGATCACCATTGCAAGCATCTCGAAACTTCTGGAGCGCAGGCTTGATCCACGACTTTCGTCGCAGCGCACTCTGCAGAGAGTGAAAGGCGTGCTGTCAGTGCAGCGAAGGATGAGTGACACTGACGTATGGCATTGTCGGGAAGCGTGGACAGTGCGCATATGGGAAGAATTGATGGATTGAACTGGGGTTGTATTGGGTGAAGCTACGGACAGTACATATAGGTGAGTAGCTGTAAACAATGCTAGTGTGACGTGGCAGTCACTCTCATGGCAGGTGAGGTTCGACAGGCAGGAGCACCCTGAACCGTGACAGGCATCGTCCGTGGTCCCATGCTGTTGATTGGTAGTCGGCGGAGGGTGGACACATTTTCAAGTCCCCCTTCCACGGATCTATGACGAGCAGCAGCGTACAGGGCTCTTCCAGTTTTCAAGAGAGGCATTCAGATGCTTTCCTGGGACGCAGTTGGCGTTGATATGCAATGACGGATGCGTGTTGTGGCCAGAGACCTGCCGTGAGAGAGACCCTGACAGCCAAAACCGGAAAGTTCTCCACAAGAACCAGCGCATGAAGCAGCTGCCAGGCACGCGCGACAGGTGCCAGCAGTTTCACATTCCGCCACGTCGTATGCAATGTTTGTTGTTCTCTCGACGATCGCCTCCACGCCCACGTATTAATTTCGACGAGGTCGCGCCGGCGCACCCCTGACTAGCAGCTGTCCCAAAATGGTTGCGGAGGGTTCGAGCACCTCCGCTAGTGACGCTGCGAGCGACAAAGCCGCTGCGAATATCTTGAAGGTGCCCGCCAGTCCCCAGCAGCAATCGCTGCCCCTGCCGTCTTCGCCCTCTTCGGTCGTCCGCCGCAAGATGGCCTCCAATGCGCCCTCTGCTGCGAAGAAGGACGCTGTACCACCCCGTCGACCCGCTGCCACGAGCGGCGCCACTGCCTCGGCGGGCGCCCGCCGGCCAGCCGCTGCGTCCACAAGCACAACAACGCGCTCGCCCTCCAGCGCGTCAAAGCCCCTCGCCAGCTCGACATCGCGGCTCGCCGGTGCGGGCTCTAGCTTGAACAAGCCGCCGACACGTGCACCCGCAGGCACAGCAGCCAGACGCACTGCGCTGGGGAGCAAATCTGCCCCGGCCGATAGTGAGCCTGAGCTGTCGTCGGTGACCTCAGGGGACGAGAACAGGAAGCCAGCAGTGCGCCGGACCATAGGAGGGGCAAGTGCAGCAGGCAGGGCCACACCGTCAGAGAGGAGGTCAACAATCACACCGTCCACATCCGCTGCAAAGCGCCCCTCGACCACCTCACGGCCCACTGCTGAGAACACAACCACTCGAGCACCACCACGCGCCTCACTCGCATCGTCAACCTCGAGGCCTGTAACCACACGCCCTGCAACGACCACGCGCACCCCTCAGCATATCATACCAAAAGCGCCTGTCTCTATTATAACCCCCAAGACGCCCGTTGCGCACGCAAAGAAGCTCTCTATCAATTCTGTGCCGTCGCCGTCGAGAGCAGCTCCCGCAGACGCACTCACGTACGTAGCTCCACAACTTTCCAGCTAACACAACTAACGCACACGTTAGGTATAGCGCTGTCGATGTTCCCCCGAGGAGCTATGGCCCACTCAAGGACAAAGCTGCATCCGATGCCGAAGTCGAAGTCAAGAAGACCATCCCGTTCGGTCCCCTCAAGGCCGGCCTGCCAGAAGTAGGGGAGGAGGACAGACGGCCCGGCACTGCTCCCAGTGGGCCTGCAGAGGTCGATGAGGAGAGCAAGAGGCGCAGCCTAGCGGTGATGCAAGATTTTTTCAAGGAGACTAGTCTACGCGAGAAGCTCCAGGAACAGTGCGACGACCTCAACCGCGAAGTCGACCGGCTACAGTCCACCAACACGAAGCTGAGGAAACAGCTGGTCGATGCGCAGACTGCCATCACCGAGAAGGATAAGGCTGTCGCTGGCTCAGGCGCAGATTCGACTGGCTGGGACGAGCACAAGCACAACACGATTGTCAATGGCATGGAGAAGAAGTTCGCGCTAGAGACGAAGCTGCTGGAAGAGCAGAAACAGGAGCTGAAGGAGGAGAAGCGAGTGGCACAAGAGAAGGAAGCTGTCGAGGCTGCCAAGGCTGCCGAACTGCAGCAGGTGCTCGATGACCTCAACGTGGAGCTCGAGCGCCAGGGCCGCGAGTGGGATGCCGAAAAACTACAGCTCGTGGAGCAGGGTGCGAAGATTGAGGCGCTGACGCAGGAGGTGACGGCTTTGAAAGAAGAGCGGGATACACTCTCAGCCGACCTGGCCAGCGCCAACAGTACCCTTGAGGGCTTGCAGACGAAGCTATCAGACCTTGAGCAGAGCCATTCAGACGACGTGCATGCTCGAGATGGGAAGATCGACACCTTGACCAAGACAGTGGAGACACTGCGGTCAGAAGTTACCGCGGCCGAACAACGACACAGCGCTGCGTCAGAAAAGGCCAAGCAATCACTTGCGTCGAAATCGTCAGAATCGTCAAAGGTCGTGGAGGAGCTACAGGCGAAGGTAGCCTCGTTGCAGCAACAACACACGGATGAACTACGTCAGAAGGATGAGGTAATTGCATCTCACATGCAGACCGAGAAGGAGCTGCAGGATGACCTCGCAAAGCTGCAGCAGCGCGCCGATCAGACTACTGCAGACCTCGAGAGCGAGCGCGCCGCGCATGCCGAACACCTGAAGGCGAAGATTGCCGAGATACAAGAGAGCAGTCAGAACGACTTGATTGCTAAAGAGGCGGACATCTCCAGTCATCTCCAGTCCATCGAGGACCTGCAGAACCAGATCACGTCACTACAGCAAGGAGAGACCGACGGCGCTAGGATGTCGCAGGAGCTTACCCAGCAGATTGTAGATCTCAAGACGGCGCACGAGGAGGCGATCAGGCTCAAGACCGAGCAGAACGAAGAGCTCGTTCAGCAGCTGGAAGCTATCAACGATCAACTCCGCTCTGACGCTACTGAGATCGCGCAGTTGAAGCAGGAAGCGGATGGCCTGCGCATGACCCTCGAGTCACTGGAGCAAACATCTCAGCAGGACAGTGCGCGACACGCCACTGCTCTTGACAACGTGCAAAAGGAGCTTAGTGAAGCGAAGAAGAGAGCAGACTCGTACAAGACCGATCTGGAGACTGCCAAAGATAGGCACAGGCAGGATCTACGCGTTCTTGGAGAGGATCACGAGGGTGAGATTGATTCCTTGCGTGCCGATCTCGAAGGAGATGCGAAGAAGCGTCTCGACAAGCTTCAAGCCGAATACGACGCTCTTGTCGCCGAGAAGAACGCTGCGCTTGAAGGCCATGAGAAAAGTCTTGCAGACAGAGCCAAGGAGCTTGACGAGGCACAGAAAGAGCTCAGCACGATGAAGGAGCGCTCCGGCTCTACCTCGCAAGGTCTTGATGAGGCGATTGCTAAGCACAAGCAAGTGCTGGAAGAGAAGACTGCCTTGGCCGAATCCCATTACACTGCACAAAAGCAGATTGCTGACTTGGAAGCTCGAGTCGAAGCTCTGACCAAGGAGAGCGGCCTGATCATAGATTTGCAGGCACGACTCGACGCATCGACGGAAGACAAGCAAGCTGCCAATGAAGCTCTTGCGACGGCGGAGAAGTCATTCACTGATCTTCAGGCCAAGCTCGATGCTCTGGCTCAAGAGAAGCAAGCTGTTGAAGATGAACGTGTCAAAACTGAGCAGGCTCTTGCCAAGATTCAGAGTGAGCTTGAAACATCGATCCAAGACAAGCAAACCCTTGAGGTACAATGCACAGACCTGGAAAAGTCCGTCGCCGAACTCAAGGCTCAACGCGAGACTCTCGCCGAAGAGAAAACCGCAATGGAAGACTCGCACGCTCGCACCGTCGAAGCCTTGAAGCAAGATTCCGAGAGCGCAACCAAGCAGATCCTCAACAATCTTCAATCGAAGTACGACACCCTGCTTGAGGAGAAGAGGAACGTCGAGGACTCGCACACAACTGAGCTGGGAGACATTCAAGCCAAATGTGACACGCTTGTCAAGCAACTTGGGGAAGTCGAGCAGAAGCTGGAAGAGAGTACAACGGCACAGAAAACGGCAGAAGTAGCACATGCGGAGGTCCTCGACAAAGCACTCACGACGCAGCGGCAAGAGATCGAGCAGAAATACGTGGCACTTCTTGAAGAAATTCAGTCTGATAGCACCAAACGCGAGCAGGAGAAGAGTACAGCTCTTACAGAAAAACAGTCAGCGCTCGACGAACTCGAGGCTCTGAAAAGTGAGTTACACGCTCAGATTGACGATCTCAAGCACGAGCTTGCAGAGAAGGAAGAGATTGATTCGGCCGGCTTGGTCGAGGTCAGCAAGAAGTACGAGATGCTGCTCGCCGAGCAGTCTGCCGCCGACAAAGAGGCACACGAAGCTGCAATCGAAGACCTCAGAAACTCACTGAGCGAGGAGTATGAGCGTGCCAAGCACGAAGCCTATGCTGAACTTGAGTCCCTCAAAGACGAACTGGCCTCGAAGGAGCAGGCTTATTCGGCCGGTCTGGCTGAGGTAGCGGAAAAGTATGAGTCGCTCTTGGCTGAGCAGTCTGCCGCCGACAAGAGGGATCACGAGGCTACGATGGCTTTGTTCAGAGACTCTGCAGATACCGATCTCAACGAGGCAAAAGAGCGATACGAGGCTCTTCTTGTAGAGAAGGACTCATTGAAGGATGAGTACGAGCGCGTAAAGGATGAAGCGTATGCCGAGGTTGATAAGCTTCGGCACGAGTTGACGATCAGAGAGCAGTTTGGCGCCGCTAGTGTTGTCGAAGTCACCAAGAAGTACGATGCCCTCCTCGCCGAAAAGACTACTGCCGGTGAAGCCCACGAAGCCGCGCTCTCCGGTCTGAAGCAGTCACTCGAGAGCGAACGTGAGCACGCCATTGCAGAGCTACACTCCCAGAACAGCACTTTGCAGGAGAGAATCGCAGAGATGGACAAAAAATACCAGGAGGCACTTGCCCAGCTCCAGAAAGAGCTCGAAGCCGACCACTCGACTGATACCGAGGCATTGCGAGAACAGCTGGAAAGTGTCCAAAAGCAGCACACAGACGCTACCGAGCAATTGGTCAAGGCGCACGAGGATGCTATGTCTGAGCTCATGGTCGGTATGCAGAACAGTGCGACCGACGCTGTTCAGCAACTGCAGAAACAATACGACGCTCTGGAGGCGCAGATGGGGGCCGCGAAGGCCAGTCACGCTGCGGAGATCGAGGCCATCCAACGAGACAGCACCGAGCAGCGAACTCAGTACAACGACCTGCAAATACGTCTCGACAAGGCGGTCGCTGAGCTCGAGGCTTCTTCGGAGGACGTGAAGCGACTCCAGGACATCATCGAAGCTATCGAGGCTGAACGTGATCGAGCCTACAAGGCTGCCGTGGAAGCTGAAGATCGCATCGAGACCTTCAAGGGCGAAGTCGTTAGGAAGCATCTCGCCCGTGTCGAGCCACTGCAGAAAGAGAACACAGCTCTGCTCAACAAGATCGACCGTCTTCAAGACATGCTCGCAGCTGGTGATAGGATCGCCCGCGCAGCCGCCAGTATGGGGGAGAAGCGCGATATGAACACCTTGGCAGAAGAATCTGAGGAGGACTTGGACAGCTCAGCTTCTGCTGGATCTGGTGCTTCGGCTCCTCCTGTGCCACCCAAAGCTCCTCTTCTGAATGGCGCCGCCAAGGATGTCGTCGGTACTGTGAGTCTTCCCACACCTCCCTTCTCCATTGTGCATAAAGAACACAAGCTAACGGAGCTCCAGCAGTTGGCCGCCATGCAAGAGACTCTTTCTCAACTCAACGCGCTGAACAACGATGCGATTGCCGAGAGCGAACGAACCGCCCAGAGGCTCACAGAGCGGGATTAGAACTTCTTGCTCTGGTGGGAGATGATGGTCTGGGGCAAAGAGATCGAGGAGTCGTTCTCGGAGCGGAGCAAGCGACTCGTACACTTCTCCGGTGAAGAGTGCAGAGGCTTGTTGTAATCTCTAGTTTTAGTTTGTGCATGTTATGGAGGAGCATTAGGCTGCGTATACCCACTCAATGCACTTGTTGATTCATTTACATTTACTCCAATTCGAAGGAAGCGGAAGGACTTCTGCGCATCGTCCTGTTCAGCAAAGACCTGAGATTGACCGATACTAAGAAATCGCTACGCCAAATAAGACGCATCTTGGCTGGCGAACTGCGCCAAATGCGAAGGCGCGGTGCCGTCCCAGGTATGTCAAGACCGGAAGCTGCAAGTCCAATCTCGTTATTAACATCAATCATGTGGTTTCTAGTCGCATTCGCACTGTCAATTCAAGCGGCCTTCGGAGACCTACGTGAGAGTACGACAGCTCACGATCTGGCGCTAGGTTGTCTGCTAGCTTGGTTTTCTATCTTGATCATGGGCTCCATCATGGATCGCAATCCCACAGCTGCTGAAGCCATTCGGATCAAGCTGAACACGCTGGTCGATCACGTTCGCCATGCGCTCAGCGACACGCAAACCCACGAAAACTTCATCAAAATCATTCAGACCACAGCCAAACAGCGATTTGCGAGACAAGGTTGAGATCCTCGCAGACATCTCGAAAGGACCTAAGATGAGGAACTTTTTCGAGGATGTGCGTTGGCACTATGGTGCAGTCCATCCTATTTTATGAGACATCGAAACTGCTACATTGTCGAGAAAGGACGCAACTGGCTCGCCAACGAAGCTCAAGCCCGCGCAAGCCTAGTCAGCTCTCTTCGTTCCCTCCCGCCATACCAATGAATCACCAACGCATGGACAGCGGCTCTTCCCTTCAGCCACCGCCTCAGCAAGCACACGCAGCGCGTACTAGTCGCGAGTCGGCCTCACCCCTCCTCCAACGCCCATCAGAGGTTCATCATGGCAGAGACTCATCTTCGAGTGACGAACATCGCAATAGTGGAGAGGGTTTCATCACACCTATCTCACTAGCGGGAGGACAGAGCATGTTTAAAGGATAGCCAGGCCTCGGCGTACAGCCCCGTCAGGGTTACAGGCGTGCCGATTCTGGGTCTTCTTTCGACCTTCCTCAACCGAGTCGAGGTGCATTGGGCATCAACATGAATGATTGTGATCTGGAAAGAGGCACCCCACAGTGAGCTTTGATAATCTAATGTCTACGATTCAATTTCGAATCCAAGTTTTACACCTCTGCGAGGAGATCTCCATCTTTATTGACAATACGCAATGGAGCACTGCGATTCTTGACTTTCGCATTCGCCACTATACCTTCATCATTCCACTCGAAGTCGACCGAACCACCACCCCTCAGCGTGAGACCTTCAGCCTTACCACCAGCCCAAGCTGCAGGGATCGCTGGGCCGAGCACCACGGTTCTTGTGCTGTTGTCTCCGAATGCATTCGGCAGGTCGACCACGAGCATGCTCAACACTGCACCACCGATACCGTAATTTGCGTCGATCTGGAAAGGCGTATTTGTCGCAGAGTACATTGAGAAGCCGTTGTCAACAAAGTTTGTGTCGATGGCATACCGCAGCTCAAAGTGCGCTCTTTCGGTGTTGTTGAGTCGAGCCCAGCAGGCAGATCGCCAAACTTTCGCCCAGCCTGCGTTTGCGTCCTCTGCGTTGCCTTCACCACGACTGTACAGCTTCTGTGCTACAGCTTCTTGGATCGTAGCGTTGCTGTATCCGCCTAAGAATGACGACAAACTATAGCCCGGATGCCAACCCACCAACTCGGAGAGATGACGATGCGTGTCGTTGACGAAGTCGTAGCCGAAAGAATCAGGCAGCTTCCATTCCTTGATCTGGCCCCACTCGCCGATATGGAAGCCTTTGTCCAACCTAGTAAGCGAGCTCGTCACATTCGTCACGAACGCTTCATCTGTTTCGCCGCTAAAAGCTTTCACAGAAAGCACAGCTTCAAATACTTGGTGCACCAGTTGCTGGAAGTGCGCACATCCAAACGTCGTTGGCCCATGCTCGGGGCTGTTGCACGGGTTGACCACCAACGTTCCATCCTTGAAGAACTCATCGACTTGCAGCTGGTCCAGCCAGAACTCGGCAACACCCTTCAGTATGGGGTAGCCCTGCGCCTGCAGCCAACTGGCATCTTGCGAGTACTCCCAATGGTCGAAAACATGCTGCATCATCCACGCCGCCGCAGCCGCATAATTCGCCCAGGACGCCCCGCTCTTCATGCCAGTATGTCCGAAGATGTTCATCTCATTGTGCACTACCCAGCCCGGCGCACCGTACAGGAGCTTCGCCGTCTCTTGACCGCGGGGGACCCAGTTGTCAGCCATGTAGTCGTGCAATGGAGACTGCAAGTCTGTTAGTCCAGTCTGATCGGCAGTCCAGTGGTTCATCTGAAGATTGATGTTTGCATGGTAGTCACCCGACCACGCGGCGCCTAGGCCTTCGCTCCAGCGGCCTTGGAGGTTCGGTGGCAGAGAGCCAGGGCGAGAGGCGGAGATGAAGAGGTAGTTCGCGTAGTCGAAGAGGAGGTTCTCAAGGAATGGATCGCCAGCGGTGTCGTTCACGTTGTAGCGCGCGATGAGTTCCGATGTTGGTGTGTCGACGGAGCTTGAAGGGTCGGGAAGTGAGAGCGAGAAGCGGCTAGTGAGGGATGTGAAGTCTTCAACGTGGTTTTCGCGCAACGCATCGAGCGTTTTCATACCAGCAGCGCGTGTGGTGGCTTCAACGGCTGGTCCTGGGTCACCTCCACGGAACGAATATCCGAACTCGGCTGTGCCTTTCTTGGGATCGTAGTTCGTTCCCGCGCCGACAACAATCGCGATGCTCGTCGTATTGTTTCCAGGCACGATGCTCAGCGCCCTAGTACCGTTGTTGCAAGACGTTTGAACGCTTGAGCCGGACACAACACGCGCAATCGCATCGTACCGCATACCCTCTGGCGGCCCTAGCTGCGTCACTCCTCGCAGACGGACATGCGCCGTGTCGTTCCCATACCCTTTTCCATCGAAGCACGTAACGTTCTGCAACTCCGACTCGACGAGCTCATTGTCGAGACGTACCTCTAGCGCCGGAAGACCTCTCGATGACTGAATCGTGTACACGCACACCTGATCCGGAAACGAACAAAACGCGCTCGTCTCGATGTTCTGCCCATCGGCGGAAAATTTGGTCGTATGTACGCCTTCCACCAAATCCAACCTCCTCTCATACCCGTTAATAGAAGTGTTGCTGCCCGCGAGCGACGGCACAGTGACACTCAGATTCCCCAACACGCGATAACTCCCATAAAACCGATCATCGCCCAACAACTCCGTTACATTCCCCGTTCCGTTCTCGAAGATCCAGTCTCTTGTCCCTTCAAGACGTCCTGCGACAGAGGCATTGGGGTTGCCGCCCGTGTAGTTGGATACTTCGAAGGGGCCACCTGACCATAGGCTGTCGACGTTTAGCACGAGGAACTCGGCGAGGGGTGCGCCGTGGGAGAGGGCGCCCAAACGTCCATTGCCGAGCGGGTAGGCGGTGCGGATTATGTCGGAGCTATTTGCGGCGCGGGTGGACCATAGGGACTTTGCTTGTGCAGACGACAGGAGTGGGAGGAGAGTAAGCCAGGAGGCCTTCCACGACTTCGCGTCCATGTTGGATGTATTAGCCAACTTCAAACTTCTAATTTACATTGACTGTTATACCTGTGTGCTCTTATACCACACACCAACGGCATCCAAGAACGCACGCGGGGTAATACGGTCGCGTCCGGGAGCACCGTAATGTTAGGAGACATGCTGGGATGGCATGTGGGGAAGTAGATTGGTTCTGCCTGTTTAGGAAGGAAGATCGCCGCTGAGATTCTCCGGAGAAGATCTTGGTGTGTATTTACCCGGTTTGACATCTGACGTCGCGAACCACCACATCTCACTCCGCTAGCGCTAATGTTGGGGAGTAGTTTTTGTGAGCAGTGGTAACTCGAAACTCCAATATGTTAGTCTTTGGTCTTCAGTTGGAAGTAAAGCTTGCGGGAAAAGACATCCACCCGCGAGCCTCCCTAGGGTTTACACGGATGCATAGTCTTTGTGGCATAGTTCAAAGTGTGTATCCATCAGGTCATCAGCTACATCAAGAACTGGAAGTTCGCATGAGTAGATCCACTTGCGACGGGCGATAGAATGTGGAAATTGATCTAAACAATTATCGATGTGAAAAAGCACACAGAAGAACATCGGCGGATGAGAATGATATGTGGCGCGTAACGAACGCAACACTTTGGGGCATTGAGCTGCTATCTAGGAATAGATAAACTACAAGTACTTGAGAGTGCAGGTGCATGTTATTCTTTCGTTTTCTTGCGATAGACAATTCGAAGGGAGATGAGCTAGTACAGAGCTGGTATCGTGCGCCGAGAGTCCTTGCATACCTATGTGGTACCGGACAATGCACCTGGAACATCTTCTACACGACGACTGGAACATTGGGCTCAAAGCAGAGCACTTGATAAGAAGAATAGCGGTCACAATTGACGAACTATCGTTCCTGAAGCAGCACCCGAACGCAGTCTTGTGCGAAGATCGCGCTCGATACTCACTTCCAGCCGGCGCTGCTGAGCAGATTGCAAGGAGCACCGCCATATTCTCTAAGTTATCGCCAGGAGCCAGGATCACTTTCGTCTTTCGGGGCTGATGGCCAGCCTGGGTGCGTTCCTAATCCAGCCACGAGATGATGCCGAAGGCCTAGGGGCCGACTTTTCTCAGAATGGATCAGCTTCGAAAGGGGGTATACATTGTGGAGATGAAGCTCGACTTCAACCACGACCTGACGTTCGATACTGTCGGTCCGTCCGTCGATGCTTGAGTGGAGGCAGCTGTGAGGCTTATGCGGGGAGAGATAGCAGCAGGTCGTGTGTATCCTGAGAGGAGGCCGGTACTGTGAGCCAGGTACTGTAAGGCACTAGACAGCGGCATCAAAAGAAGACAGAATTAGCATCGCAGCGCCAAAACTGCGCATGCACAGGTTGGAACCAAGACCAATACAGTACGTGACCCAAAGAGGCGCTGTATTCGTAGCTAAGTGAATAAATTTTTCCTGATGATCCATGACTGTATCGTGCCAACGCTACTCTGAAGTAGATCCCCATGCCAATCATGGTGCGGTGCAAACTCAAGTAGACGTCGTGTTCTTTCCCTCCAATAGTGTGACAAAACCTGAGATAGAGTGAAGCAAAATTTTTCGGCCAATAAGAGCTCCTGTCGCTACTGATTAGCAATCAACGAGTGAAGTGAGCGCAACGTAGCTTACCAAATACCGTCATCCAACGCCAGATTCAAGTATTCCAAGGGAGCTTCCCGCTTGAATGATATGCCCTGCGGCGCTTGTCATCCAAGAGCACCTCCTTCGCGGCGTTGACGGTCTGCATCATGTGCGTGGCGTCCTCCCTCTGACCTTCAGCAACCTTGTCCGGGTGGTTATCAACAGCAACCTTCCTGTATGCTATCTTGATCTCCTCCTTGGTTGCCTTCCAGTCGTCCAACTGGAGAACCGTATAGAGGGTCTTGTCCTTGGGTGGGGGGAGTTGTTTGGTGGAAGAAACTCGGCGGGTTCGGGCTGACCGAGTTGCACGATATGAAGAAGCGAACGGTGATGGCGATGGGGCAGGCGAGGGGCCGCCTGGAGTTGGAGGAGGCGTCATGTAGAAGGGACGAGTGTCGTAGTTCTCGACGTTTTCCCACAGCGGATCCGAACGTGAGAAGGGGAAGGGTGTGTTAGGAAAGCGAGGAGAGGGTACTGGAGTGTCGTTTCCGGAATTTGTTCTGACGGAAAGCGGAACGCGTCCATTCGACTTGAGCTTCTTTGGCGATGGGGAAAGCGGAGTGTTTGCAGCGTCAGCGTCGATGAAGATATCGAACTCAGACTTACGGGCGCGCTTCTTGCGGGTTGTGGAGGACTGCAGATGTGGGCTGGGCAAAAGTTCAGCTTGCTGTTCGACCTTTGCTTGAGCTCGGGTATATGGCTTTGTAGTGAATGGTTTGTCTGCCCTGCGGCCGGCGGCGCTGCTACGCGGAAGCGGTGTTTCGCACGCAAGCCTAAGAAAAAGCTCCTCGATGAACCCAGACATGATTAATGGTACGCCTGCGCTTCATACACTCCCACGATAATGATGACAAGAATGGCGACGGAGGACCGCAGTCGTACGCGGACAGGATGGTGAAGTACCGGAAAGATTGACAAAAGCGAAGATGACGGAGGAGGCACAGCTGACAGAGTTGACCTGTGTAAGGAGCGACAATAGTGAGTTTCCAAAATCCAATTAAATGAGCGTGTGCGGCGTGGGGTCTGGAGTCGAGGTGACGCCAGGTTTTGTAGAAGGTCGATCGCAGCCAAGACCGGACCCTGCACTTGCCCTGGGAAAGGTGAACCCTTGCAACCTCGCAACGTAACGTCGAATAACTGACGCCGAAGCTGATAGAATCGGGCGACCGCGCTGTGCGCTGGCGCCGAGCATGTGGCCTCGAGTACGTTGTGGTGAAGGAAAGCTTCCCCAATGTTGGCCAATGTCAGAGCGGCTTAGAAAGCACGAGCGTGAGATGGACACACCATGAGGCATTGAGTTAGCTGTCATGGGTTCGTGCCTATCGTTTGAGGTACTTTGAGCGTTCCGAGGGTGACGTTGATAAGACCCCAGTTAGTTTACGACCTTGAGAAGATGGGAAGCGGCAAGAACATGCGCGCAGCGGACTGTGTGTCAAAGGTCAGCATAGTTGTATGAAGACCTGTTCAAGCGAACGCAAACCAAGACACGGTGGAGAACATCGTGTAACCAGCGGAGCGTCCATAGTAAGCCGTCTTTATCTCTGCCTTCCACTCGTAAAGCTCGTCGATACTTTGCGAGGCATGCAGTATGCTGCGAAAGAGATGCCTCATCAGATGACCGGGTTCGCCAACAGCAGCCCACCTGCACAAGTAAGGACGGTCTGTCATGGTATTGTCTCATTCGACAATCGCCGTATGGCTCAAATTGTCCGCCTTCCTGGAACTGCTCACGCTGTTGACAGGCACCAAGCCACCCGTGGAAAAGGACGACGAGATTTGCGAGAGGCGACAATCGTTTCATCATGATAGCGGGAGGTCGGTTCGTTCAACATCACAGCGCTGCAGCAAACACTCGCAATTGAAGCAAGTGAAAGGCGCAGGTTTCACAGCATCGTGCGTTTCGATCGGCCACTTTGGTTAGAGTCGTCTCGTTCTGGGGGCAGCGAAACGATGACTTTGACGCCTGGATGTCTGGAGATGAGCACGCTGTAAGGTTTGCAACTGTGATAGATGAGGAGGGTCAGAGGTGAAGTTGACGTCTGAGTTCATGACACGTGCGGCGCTAAAAGTGGGCGTAGCCTAGCGCGTTTGGCAATCACGCGTCTGCGGTTACGTCACGCTTTGGTATCAACAACACCTATTGATGCACGAGAATCTGCGTTTGCAGGTCCATGCATCAAGGCATTAATGTCTTCTTTGGTCTTTTACTAACAACAGCTACCGTAGACAGAGACAGGTAGGTCGACAAGGAGTTAGGTGCGGGGAAGAGCGCGAGACTGAGGTCAGGTGGTACAGCAGCTCAGATAAGCATTACGTTTCTGCCTTTCACCCATACATACAGATCCAGCTTCACCTACACGCTGTCTGATATACAATGGCAGCTTCGGCAAGTAGGACTTCGACACTCAGTCTAGGCCCATTGCCTACACGGTTGCGTCAGATTGCCTTGGTTACGAGAGATCTCGATCGTGCAAGACAGGTACTTGTACGAGACCTCCCGGTGTCAATGCTTACAAGCCGCTGATATCTATATCTAGACAAACGTTATAGGCACGGATGTTATTTACGAAGACCCTACTGTTGGTCAGTGGGGGCTAAAGAACTTCCTGAGTACGCCTCCCTCTTCTCGACAGCTTGCATTCGCCAACATCACGCGCAGTTCCACTAGGTGGTGACATCATTGAGGTTGTCTCGCCCTTCAAGGATGGCACCACAGCGGGTCGCTTGCTCGACAAGCGCGGCGATGGCGGCTACATGATCATCATGCAGACTGAGGATGCAAATGTGCGGCGGCATTACATTGAATCGAAAAGGTTGGCCAAGGTGATTACCAGTCATGAGCATGGCGATACTGTATTCGTGCAGTATCACCCTAAGGGTATCAAGGGTATGCAGACCTCCTTTGTGGGTCAGCAGTATGCTAACATCTGTAGGCGGCATGATGCCAGAGCTCGACAGCCACACACCAAGTCCGAATAACCCTACGCCCCTCAAATCACGATTCTCGCCATGGCACGCATGCGGCGCAGACTACAAGACGTACTACCCCGGAATGAGACGATCCGCACACCTCTCGCTGGATGGTTGTATACTACGGCTGCAGCCTGACGATTACGGACATGAGGCAGCTGCTCAACAATGGGAGGAAGTCTTTGGAGTTGCGAGGAGCCGAGATCTGCTGGCCTTCACGAACGCCAGGATGGGCTTCGTTCCTGGCCAAAAAGGACGTCCAGAAGGTCTGATCTCGATTACGGTTGGTGTGAAAGGGCAGGAGGATCTTGCCGCTATCCTAGAAAGAGCAGAGAAAGCTGGTGTCTGCAATGACGGACATGTGGATATGTGTGGACTTCGATGGAACTTCGTCCTGACAGGACATGAAGACTCCAAGCTATAGTCGCACGTTTACATAGGTCCCTGTCCCGAGACTCGAATCAAGCATTACGTGGCTTAGCATGCGGCGCTAGACAATGAAGTGGTCAGCAAATGCCTGAGGTACCACAGCTGACTACCCCGCTCACACGTCGACAAGAACACTCCGGTCACTCAGTGGGTTCCTTCGCAACTACTCAGTTCAAGCACAATCCCATCATTGAACACCTCGTCTTTTGTATCTGGCGCGTCATCATCTCTTGAGGGGGTTGGGTCATTCTACCAGCTTCATGCACAAGTAAGTCAATGCCCTATAAACTTCTTTCGAAGTCTGTGTTGACAGAAAAGCAGTGTCCTTCGCAACTGCACTGCGTATTTGCCACCTCGCGAGGTCCTCCAGTCCTAAGCCCCGTTCCTGTCCGCCTCGAATGAGCCTATCCGACAGCCTTACATGGGCGCATCAAGCTTTGGACTCGACTACGGAAGTGACGGCACACGTCCGTCAGTCAGTCAGTGCGAATAGCCTGGTCTGATCAGTATGGGCACCTGTTTGGAGCGACAGTGGTGAGGGGTAGCTTCGACAGCTGCTGTTGCCAAGGAATTGAAGTATACACAGCCACCAAGCTGCGTGCGCCACACTGAAGGACTACCCCTACACGTCAGCACATCTCCACCTCAACACAAGTATAACACCTCCGGTGCGGTCTGTGCGGAACAGTTGCACGTTTGAGAGAAGACATGGCGCGGGAACTACGCACATTTCGATGGGGGCTGATGTATTTCTCCGCAGCTGAGGCCCGAGCTCACCCCAGGATTGCCAGCCTTCGCCCTGTATTCAAGAGTTCCGTCACATCCCCGACAATGATGCATTTGATCAACCAGCCATCTGGAACGGATTCTTGGATACGCAGCAACCTTATTGCACTAGTTCCTGTACATTTGCACAGTTGCGAGAGAACGTCAAGCTGCCTGCCGCGGCATCAGGCCGTTCAGTTGCACGCTTTGGTCAGGCTTATATTCACCACCTCCGGCCCTCCGAGTCTATGGAGCATCACCCCTCTGCTCAAAGTTGGATCTTTTGGATTTTTCTTCATACTCTCAATTTCATTGCGCAAGCCCTTGCAAATCCCTCCCGAGCTCTCACTGCACGCCTGCAACAACCATGTCGCGAAGCAATGATCGGCGCAATGATCGTAGATTTGACAGTGCCTTAAGCCTGGCGCTGGATCAGCAACTATCTCTGCATACTTCCACAAGCATGCACGGGCCGCCCGCTTCCCAACCCTGGTCCTCGTACAATGTCAGGGTAAGTCGAGTGATCATCGAAGCGTGATCAAGCTAATCGACAGCAGCAAGATTCGTTTACCGAGACTGAGTCCACGAACGAGACGCCTGCCTCGTCACTGTACGAGAACGACTCCACCTCGACAGCACAAGCATTCCCGCCAAAACCGCTAGACTCGATACCTCGTTCCTCCTCTCCGCCTGCACTGTCGTCTGCTTCGGGTGTAGCGAATTCGAGCACCATCTCCTGTGGCCAGTGTGGCACCGACTTCACAGGAGGCTATCGTCGGGGAAATCTTGCCCGCCATGTGCGCCACAAGCATGGACAAGCAAATGCGAGATCTTACACCTGCCGTGCCCCAAACTGTCTGCATGACTTTCGGCGGCAGGATGCTAGGTTGAAGCACGAGCGCAAAGCGCATCCTGAGTTGGAACACGCACCTGTGGAACCGCGTCAGCACCATGAACAAAGCTCGTCTGGCGCACTTTCATACCCAATCGAATCGGATTGCGCACTCGGAGTATCCTCTGATGCAACCGATGACTACGAGTACAGTCATGCCGTCATTTCCACACCACAGAATACATCGACACACGGACACATCTCAACAAACCTAGTTGCTGCATGGCAGACTTTTTCTCGACTACACGCAACACTCGACGACGAAAACTACTCGCTTGCATGTGATGTCCTGTTCACGCGCTGGGAAGCTATTGCTCAGGAATTGAAGGATAAGGCGCAAGTACGATGACTTGTTTGTTGTTTCACAAGCTGACAATCCGTAGATCGGATGCATATGATGTGTACGCGCAAGTCCTGGATGACTTATACTCTGTCATTGCCGTGATCGACTGCGAGACGCCTGTGGATCATCCAGAAGAAGTTCGAGATCAGACTGAATATCTACGCCAGCACAGACCATACCAGGAGACAGCGCGTCATGGGTATGTAGCTGTCAGTGCTCTTGATACCGGAACTACTGCGTCAGGAAGTCACAACGACACTCTTAAAAGTCATTCATGGCGCCCGAAGGAATCAATCAGTGGCAAGAGTTCGACTGGACGAAAGGGAAAGGGGAGGAAGAGCCCAACACCCCGTGTCGATTGTCCCATGTACAAGCACTGGCTCGTATATCCTACCAGGAACATTCCTCCGCCCTGCCAAGGATGTAGTGCAAGCAGCATGAACCATGTTCGGAATCACGTCAAGCAAAGACATGTTGGAGAACGCGTCGGCATGATTCCATTCTTCCATCATTGCACTCGTTGCGAAGGGAACTTCGTGGACTTTACGACTAGCAACGATCACAGAGCCGCACGAGCTTGTGCACACACGCCCCAGCTGAGGAACAACATCACTACGCCGTGGGCGCAGTTATACCTTGCAATTTATCCAAGTGCCACTGAAGTCCCTAGACCTTGTAAGTGTTGTCGTTCATGTCAGTATCTGCGCTTTCAGCTAATCATCAATGAAGTCACCGGTGAAGAAGGGTTTCTCCCTCCTGCTGTTGTCATACAATGCCGACCACGCTCTTTTTTAGACGGACCATCCTCCGGGAATCTTCAGGGGCCTCCTCAACCGGCGAGTATGAGCCTTCCCTCCACTGAACAGCCAATATACGACGCTGTGATGCACACAATGCTACAAGATGCCACCCGCTACCTCCCATCCGGCGCCCCTGCTGCGGATCTCAACACGCCGAGAACGAACGAACCCCACCCGGCAGTCCCTAGATCCGGACAAGCGGCTTTCCAAAACCAACTGTTCAACGCCCAGTCGCACCTCCTCGGAGTGCTTCTTGATGCTCCAAGGTACATGTCTCAGCAGCAAATTGCGGCAGCTGTGCATTTTCTACAGCAGATCGTCGACGTCGTTCGTGCTTTTCAGACAGCTTCTGTGGTGCCGGCTGCCTTGACTGTGGACACTCAACCCAGCAGCCAGAACCCCGACAATGTATTCAGCGAAGTGGCACTTTCGCCACAGACCGACCGAACGACCACTACAAATGTCCTACCTGTGAGCCCCTCCAGGCTGTGCGAGTATGGTCGTTCCCCAGTTGATGGCACGTACGATCGCAACGCACCCCTTCCTATGGCTCATGGTCAAAATGACTTGGCACATGTCTTCGATCCCCCACTCTTCGACTTGAACTTTGACATGAGCGATGTTGACCTCAGCGGGTACCTCAACTTCGAGGACGGAGCTGCATAACAGTCACGAGGGACGGGTATGAAGGTAGTTTTGTAGGGATCCAGACGCATCCGAGTTCATGACTCCTTGCTGCAATCTCAAAGAGGTATCTTCATTCGTTTTCTCAGAGACTCAGGCATCATCCTTCCAGGACATGATGATCATTGCAAAGAACTGATTCCTACCCGTCGTTGGTATCTGTGCCCTCTTTTCCGATCGATGTTGCCCAGGGTTCAAGAATGTGCAAGAGATGCAATAAATGAAGGTGTAACCGCGCAGGGCAGTAGGTCAAGGTGGAACCGCGCGAAGCAGTAGAATCAGTATATTGTATTCTTCTGTTCTGTGATTGCCCCTCACCAGGCAATCAGCAGGGTCTGTTTACATGACGTATCTGCTGTGCGGCTAAGGGAGAAGGTGCTTGTTAGAACAAGCAAGAGCACCGCACTAACACACGTGGCACACATGACCTCCTTACTCCATACACCGTTACAAAGAACCTATTCATCTTCCCTTGACACACCCGCTCGGTCACCTGCATTCGCACATACCTGCCTTCGGTTCTATCATAAGTCCGATCTTGCTTGATGTTCACGAAGTGTATGAGCCGCGCTTTCCACCCCTGCACTTGAAATGGAAGCCCATGCCCTTTGTTCCACTCATATTGACCTATAGCAGAGGAATATCTCATTCACTTCCACTTCGTTAAAAAAACATTCATCACATGAGTCTTGCAAAGATTTGTTCTTATCCCCCCATGATAGGAACACCCCTCATGCAAAAGTCAATGAATCCCATGATCGCTGCTGATCGAACTGCCAGCCCTCAGATACTGAACGCCTCTTCATGTCTGCAAGATCCAGTAAACGAGCCTGCCATTCCTTCAAATTCACCTTTTGTTCGCCCACTAGTTCCCATTCGGTCGTATCATGGTAACAAGTAGGCAATTTCTTACTTGCCAGGCCCACATTGTGAAGTAGGTCGTAAGCTGATGTCTTCCACGACAAGTCCCCTGTAGAGATACGAGGTTAGACCCAAGGGCTGCGGTCATAACATGAACTTCTGTTACAGTGATACACTATGAGAGCTTAATCTCGGCTTTTTGCTTGATCTTTTTGACGAATCTTTGAGCTCATTTAACAATGTGTCTCTCCGTAATGAGTAGGTATTGTTTGACATCTTGGGGTTGATGTCCCTTAAAAACATCCATGTCGATCTTCATACGCGCGCGTCGAACAATAGATTCGGTTTCGAGGCCGAGTTGCCAAAAGTCTTCGCAAGCGGGGCTTCTAGAGGGCCTCACAATGCCGACATTGAAGGTGTTGCGATACTAAGCTTCAGCAATCTCCCAAAGGCCTTGTTCTCTAAGGTATCGAATGTGTCGAGCAGCGTAAACAGTACGCATGTGCGGAAATATTGAAGGATTGAACTGAAGTTGTATTGGGGGAAGCTATGAACAGTATGTATAGATGAGTAGCTATAAACAACGCTAGTGTGACGTGGCAGTCACTCTCATGGCAGGTGAGGTTCGACAGGCAGGAGCACCCTGAACTGTGACAGAATGTCAAGATAGATGAGGTGGGACGTCTTGAACCAACACTTTACGACCGCAAAACGCCATGTCTGATGGGGATTCGGGTTCAGCCTCGGACTGGCGGTCATATTCGCAACGATAGCAGGAGCTTGGGCCATCGTAGTAACCCGGATTCGGGGTACTGATAGCCATGTCGTACTCGCCTTCGAAGATATAGGGGTAAATAATGTTGCACAGATCGGGGGGGGGGCAACTTCTTCGCAGCCATGGTGTCGAGGAGCTCTAGGCAAGAAGCTTCAGCATAACCTCCAAGCAGTCGTGCGACTCTGATCTTGAGTACCCCGATATGAGCGATGCCAGCCGAAGTTTGCTTCGGTTACCATTCCATGTCTGTGATACTGTCACAGTTTAGGGTGACTCCTGCCTATCGTACCTCACCTGCCATAAGGGTGACTGCCTCTTCGCACTAACGTTGTTTACTGTCGACCATCTGTACATACTGTTTGTAGCTTCATAGAATACAACCTCAGTTCAAACCTCCAATTTTCCCTGTCTGCACTTTCCACGAACTGCAACACTCTCGGGTCGCGAGGCGAGATCTTCGTTGCGACGTGTCACCTCTTTCATCTCGCTTGACTAGGTGGACAGCGAAGAATCGCGGTACCAGCCTAAGCGAAGCTTCTGCAGAGATGGATACCCCAAACTCAAGGCAGACAAAATTGAAGTAAAGTACTTCATAGGTTGTGTGTGGTGATTTGTAGAATATGAGATGGATATTCAGAATATCTAAAACAAAAGTACGAAGATACAAGGACAACAGTGCAGTTATCCCAGTAGAATGTAAGGACTTAAAAAGAGAGCATCGGCAACCTTTTCGCAATAAACCAAACCCAGTAGAGGGGGGCAAAATCGGCGCTCGGCAGACCGAGGAGGTTGTCTGCGATGGCACCCAACACCAGGTCTCCATACAGAGCCGAGAAGAAGCTAAATACCGTAGCGAAAGCAACCACGGCACCTGCGAGTGTGCTTAAAATAGCAGATAACCAGACAGCTCCTCCTCCTTCTTTGAGGTCCAAGTGCTTCACGAACCAATGAATGGCTACAAGCACAGGAATAAGGATCATAGGTGCAGCAAAGCCGTATGTCAGATTTCTGACAGTCTGATCCTGGCGAAAGCTAGTCCAAAGTAACGAACATAGGCCGGTCATACCGACAGCTGTACCTGCGAGGTAGAGAAGGAGCCACAGGAGTGGCCTGCGGTTGTTCTTTCCTTGGTGAACAAGAATGCAGCGATGGACTGATATGCATGCCACCGATACAGAAGTAACAAGCTTCCAGATGCCTATGAGGATAAAGTGCCAGCTGAGACGACATCGGTGGATTGTTATGGAGGCAATCGGTATGCATGTACATAATGCAGCGATCGCAAGGAATAAATCGAATCTCCAATGCTTCATCTCGTGCCCTGGCCAGATGGGTACTTTACCCACTGCCATCCACGCAATGGTCCAGTACGTAAGGAGGTGAGATATGATGCCCACTGCGCCGTAAGGGAGGGCGTAGCATTGAATCTCCGCGACAGGGCCGCCGGTGACGTTCGGTGATGGTCGGAGGATGTCCGTGAAAACGTTCGGGCTCGGCGCAGCAGAAGATGTTGCGACATTGGATGCGAGTGCCAGTAGCAGCACGCTAAGACTGGATGTGGTGACAAATATTGATAGAGCCATGATGCACAAGGCTGAAATGTTGATCGTGAAGCGTGGTGATCAATGCCATCTCAGCGAAGGATCAGACATCTTTAGTATTAAAATGGAGACAAGGCCGCTGCTCGTCCTGTGTTCACCAAAAACATCCATCACGTTGAATGGCCGAAAGCTGCGAGCCTGCTGGGGGGGGGGGGGCTTGTGGCTGTTCCTCGGTGTATTGGCAAGCCTTGACAGAAGAAGGTTTGTGGCTGGGGCGCAGCCGTCTTTGTGACCGCTACCGCGCCTAGCATGCGGCTCTGAAGGACTCTCAAGCATCTCAGGAGAGAAGGGTGATTCGATTTCGCACGAAGCAGGTAGCCCCGATAAACTCCTGAAGCAGTTAAAGACATCTGAAGATGATCGATCTTGTAGCCTTGAAGTCGTTCTTGCCTCGGCGGTGTCCAACTTGAGACACATCAGTCCCCTTCCACTGCTCAATTCACCTGCTTTTCGTGCAATAAGTTTCGCTTTCACCGTATTGCGAAGAGTCTTGCTATTGTTTGCAGTCTTTCGACCCCGTTTCCTTGAGGCGATGCCACAGCTGTGGCAAGCGAGCGCAGCGAGAAGACATCGAACCATCAAAGCCTTGCGTGCAACAGTGGGCCTGGAAAGCATCGAGGGAAGCTGCTGCTAGTTAGGTGTGGCTGAGTAGGTATCGTGAGGTGATCGGTGACGGTGTTGAGGGGCAGCCATGCTTCAGGCGCGGGGGCCAAACTTACTGCCTCAGCCTCCCAAGGCATGAGCCTCCTCAGTCATCCGAAGTGGAGCTATGGAGGCTGAGCGGCGAAAATACCGAGCCACCACACTGGAGTCCACAAAGTAAAGATGACGTTGATCAAAAAGGTACTGTACCCTTGCAGACGGTGAGTTGGAGGAGAGCGGGAGATCACCAGGGCGGCTCCAATTGGTCCTTCCACCGCAAGCTTGGGCCGCTTCGATTCCTCTCGTACACCAACGGCGATACGGGCGTGTCTGGTGTCTTTAGAAATCGTCGAACCTCAAGTCAACCAGTCATAAGAGGGAAGTACCGCGCTTATGCTCCAGATGCTTGACGAATCACGCTCTACCAGCGACAGTGTAATTGAATAAAGTCGACGGCAGGAGTACCTCAGGCACATCAACCACATCAACCACCGCAACTCTTTGCTCTTACTTTACCCACCTCCACCATGGATAAGAGAGTCTGGCAATGGAAGCGCAGCGTCGGCTCGCAGGAGTTCCTTATTTCCACGGCCAAAGAGCTCCTGCCGCATTCGTTCGTCCAGGAAGCCTTTGCTGACAACGCCATGTTCTGGGCCAAACCGATGTCAGCAGAGAATCTCAAGACCATGCTCGACAACTCATGCACTCTTGGCCTCTACAGAGTAAAAAGTGATGGGTCGCAAACGCCTGTTGGTATGGCACGCATGGTCACGGACTTTGCTACGCTTGCGTATCTAACCGATGTCTACCTGAAGGACGACACACGCGGCCTGGGTTTGGGGAAGTGGGTCATTCACTGCTGCAGGGAGATCGCGCTTGACGTTCCCGATCTGCGGTTCATGCTGCTGTTGACGGGCTCAGAGCAGGCGCAACAATGGTACCGGCGCGAGTGTGGGATGGAAAGGTTTGGAGACGAGCACGCACTGGCCGCCATGGGCGCTCGGAGGCCTGCTTTGGAGACGAGCACTCGGAGGACGAAACTGGCCGAAGCGATTGCTGCCTCAAAACACCAAAGCACCGACGCCGCCGCGTAACAGTACCCGCAGGTTTGACTGTGCACACAGATCGAAGTATCTGCTGAAGCAGCAACGTGGACTGATGGTTGGTTTCGATGCATGACAGCGCGTCGTGTTGTTTCTGGTTAGCGAGGGGCTCTTGCCAAAGCCATCGAGGAAAGGCGCGAGCCCGTGCACTAGGGTCGATGCCGCCATCTTTCATCAAGGGTTCGGCGAAGGGTTCTCTGACAACCACCGAATCAGGTAGACTAGGCCAGAACATCGACTTGAAGCCGACATGTGGGCTCAGCAAGCATTAATAATGGATAAGGTTCCCTCCATCCGTGTCCAGTCCCTCTTCAAACTTGTCTATCAGCATCATCCACCCAGCAGCTTTTCACCATAATCGACGGCGTCATTGACTATCCAGGAGATTTCGTCTTGAACATCTAAGACCCGCTCCCGACACTTCCCGGTCGCGCCTCAGCATTTAGAAGACATCGAGCCAGTTATTTGGAGCTACTATCTTGTGCACTTGTTATCTTTGTTGCAGCCACCCAGCCTTCAGCTCTACTAGATACCTGACTCTCTCGAGACCATGGCGGCTACCATCGACAACACACAGTATGCACCAGCACCACCTATTTTTCAGAAGCGGAAACGTGCCGATTCGGAAACTCAACCGTTAACACCCCCACTTTCCGTTGGTGATTTCGAAGGGACCCGCCTGCTTTCGCGTGCTGTCAACGTCCTGTCAACCGCCGCAACCGCCCTCTCACAGGTCAGCATCCTGTACGAAACAGACCCTGTAGCCAGAGAAGGCCTGCTCCAGGCAGTCGAGTGCGTCACCAATGTCAATGAGGCAGGTGGCAAACTTATTATTTGTGGTGTGGGCAAGAGCGGGCTGGTGGGACAAAAGATGGTCGCGACCATGAAGAGCCTGGGGATAGGCAGCTCCTTCATGCACGCAGCTGAGGCGATTCATGGCGACCTCGGAGATATCAGAAAGGTACTGCGTGCCTCTGCTGGGGTCTCAAAAGTCGGTCCGACATGTTTACTAACATGAAACAGAACGATGCCATTATGTTTATCTCATACTCTGGCAAGACAGGCGAGCTCATGGCTCTGCTCGACCACATCCCTTCGCATACGCCCATTATCGCCGTCACGTCGCATACACACCCCTCAGAGTGCCCACTGCTGAGCGAGCGCCCTGACGCTATCCTGCTCCCTGCACCGATTCACGAGCTGGAGGAAGTCTCCTTCGGCGTCTGTGCGCCCACAACCTCGACGACTGTAACGATTGCTGTCGGAGATATGTTGGCGCTCACCGTAGCTGAGGCCTTGCATCAGGAAGAGACGAAGAGCGTCTTCAAGAAGAACCACCCAGGAGGAGCGATTGGTGCCAAGGCAAGGCGTCTGAATGACAACACAGTGGAGATCACCATCAGCAAGTGCGATGGCCGGATCACACCGCCAGCCGCATGAAGCAGCTTCTGATGTCTTTTGGAGATATACCGTCTCGTGGACCAGCTCATGGAGCATGCCACATCGAAGGGACACTGTACACTTGTGCTAACACAGTTATACCCATGCACACACTCTACACCCACGTGCTTTCAGGCACCAGTTGCGCAGCTGCGACGACTTCTGCGCTTGAACAAGATACCCCAGATTCCAGCAAGTGCAGTGCTGGACACATATTGTTGACTAGAAGAACGACATGTAACGACCCATGAACGAGCACCTCAGTGTACAGGCGAGGCGCGTGTGAACGCTTTTCGCATACTAGATTGGTTTCAATTTGACGGACTTGATGCATACATCGATTGCCTGCTGCGCCAAGCACATTCTTTTCGACTTCTTTCAGTGTTACTAATTTCCGTTTATGGGAGGAACAAGAACTAGATCTGGCCCACGAATTACACAACAACTTCAGGCAGCCAGCAACCGATCACTTTGGTGCATGCAGCGGTCATGATGGTCCATCATTTCGTTTACACAGCATACTGCGGTTGTGACCAGTTCTATCAGGTCGGCTAGGCAACACCGCCTTGTATCCGTTTCGAAGCTTGCAGTCGGAGATAGCGCTATCTCTAGCAATCGGCAACATTGCTATCTGAAGTTAAATGCTCCGCGCACATGCTGTTATTTACCTTGAGGCTGCGTGTGCGTCCAATCAGTTCAGCTCCACCGTTCGTCAAGCAAGATTGGCCCATTCGTCAACATCATACCCTTTACGCTCTTCAACAAGGCATGACAATTCTCGGTCGATAAACAAGCGGATTTTATCGACAGCTCGAGAATCTCCGGACGCTGGATTGCCGCACCTGGCACCCAGTCGAAACAGACATCGCCGAGCTCCAGCTCCTTCCCGGCTAGCCAGATGCTAGGTCTCAGAACCCCCGGCCCTTTATCATACCTATACCCAGTCTTGACAACACCGTATCTGCCATCATTCGAGAAACCTCAGAGCCAAGTCAGCGTTGTTGGTGAAATCCACTTGTCAAACCTTGTCCTGAGCAACCATGGTATCGATGTCGATTCGACCTACTATGTCCCCAGTCACATCCACAAATACGGCCATGACCTGCTTTGCCTCATCCAAGGTCTTCGCAAGCTCCACCATATTCCCAGTCTTCTTCTCTGATTCCATTAGCACGGCTGCGCGGAACTCCGAGGCCTCTATAATGAGCTGTTCATGTCCAGTCAGTCGGCGCGCGATCTCGCCTTGCTGGAGAGTTAGCTGATGGTTCCGCCCGCTCAGGCCTTCAGTCGCGTCGAGGAACTCCTGCTTGCTGATCACCAGTCGTTCAAGTTTGCCAGATATGCGGTGCACTTGCTGCTCTATCTCGGCTTCAAATCTTTGCGCATCGTCTGCACAAAGACTATTGAATTTACTACGGGTGAGCCAGTGTTTGTATCGACGACTATCAAATTGATATCTTTGCTTCCCTAAAGTTTGCTTTCAATTTATCCCGTGCAGAGTTGTGGAACCAGTTTCGCAGTTTACCCTCGAAGTTTCTATTAAGCGTCCGCCTTGCAATTTGTTATCGTTCGAGGTACCGTTTCCCCATACACCCCTGCAAAGAGGGTCATGACGTTGAATGAGTGTATTGTTGGACATGCCTCTCGTTGGTTATAAACGACAACATCTATGACTTATGAACGAACCAGCAGACCACTTTATATCCACGGCGCTTGTGAATGTTGTTCGCGCACGAGACTGATCCAATCAGACGGAATTGGCGTCCCCAAATTTCTTGTTAAATCGCTGCATGCACTCTACAACGATCGACGCCCCCATGATTCCTCCCAGCCTTCTCTGTCCATTACTTCTCAATGCGACGCATGTATGCATACACCCAATCCGGTCCAACTTAGCTCAAATCGGCTCTTCTCAAGTCAGCTTTGAGCATTGGCGTTATCTGTGCGACATAAGTAGCATTTTGATTTGACAACCTCCGTGGTGCAAAACAATGCTCAGGTCACAGCATTCAGCACTGGTCTATATCCAGGTTTGGGCTCTGCTCCCACATGCCCGCCGGCTCTTCCTCCAGCTAGCTGTATGGTTCGATCTCCACAACGCGAACCATATTAATCAACGAACACTGGCTGAGAGCATTGGAATCACGGACAACGGAGATTCGTCACGAAAGTGCTCCGTATTACACTCCACTTCAGCTCATCCATGAGTCGCACGGGTCACAATCTGGAATTTGTTTGGGCGCTGGCAAGTTAAAATGAAGCCAAAGGCATCAAGGCTGGCGATCTGGTGTGCTCAGTTGCGCCATGGCTACGACATTCGTTTGTATTGTCAACCTTACGGTCACGATCTTATGTGGGGTGAAAGTCAAGGGTGGTACCGTATTCGAGGGAGACTGTGAACGAGCTCGTCGTCTCAACTCAGTGCTCCACTTTCTCATCAACGCGTTCAGCACTGTCTTGCTGAGTTGCAGTAACTACTGCATGCAATGTATGTCCGCGCCAACAAGGGACAATATTGATCGAGCACATGTAAGAGGGTGTTGGCTCGACGTTGGTATCTTAAGCAGCTTCATCAACCGAAAACGCGTAATAGTGTGAGCCTTCCTGGGGATGTCCTCTGTACCCTTGCACCTATTGTATGTCATCATCTGTAGGACATATCTCTGGTCGTGCATCATGCAGTACTGAGCTGATTATTCATCTGTTACAACTTCGTTGTGTTCCTCTCTATCGTAGCGCCAGACTACCAAGTGCTTGCTGTCGATGAATCTATTATCCATGGTACCAAGCGACCAATGAAGTTGCTTGGCCGCCAGAATTCCATATCATGTACGAAAGGGCTCGAAATAGTACCCTTGACCGCTTGGGTAACATAGACTGTATCGATGCGTATGCTCAGATGATTCAAACCAAGAGGCGGCACGTTCTCGTAGTTGTTGAAGATCACGCAGTTGATTTGGATGGAAAAGAATTTGGTAATGATTCTTATATCTACTATTACCGCTCCTGTCATCAGGCACTCGCAGTGGTATCGAGTCATCCAACCGAATGTCTTCAATTGTATCTATTCCGGGACACGGCCTTTCCCTTGTCTGAATAATATTAAACACATCAGGGAAGCCTCTAATAAGTGGGTTTTAGGAGAGAAGCGACATCCTTCTGATACTGGATTGAGGTGTGAAACGAAAAGGCCCATCACGTATTGCCTGAGCGAAAGGGCCAAGCAGCACTGCAAAGTTCGCTGGAATACTTGGATCGCAGCTCTGGTAATGATGCTCAATATCGTGAAGGGGATCCTGATGCTCTATATAACGTTCTGCTTTAGGGATCAACCGCTTATGACCATGGAAGGCGCTGTAGCATTCTTAGAGACTGAGGATGTTACCACAGCCCGCACGTGTCTTGCATCACAGGATGACCTTGAGTTTTGTAAATGACGAGCGCAGCTTGCCATCCACCGCCGACATTGGAGTCAGAGCCGTAGCAGATGGCTGTCGAGAAAGTCGAATGGGGTGTCGTTGCGGTTATGATACTGGTATTGGGCATTGCGCTTTTTCAAGTGGACATGTTGGGCTGTTGGAGATTGGAGGGGCTCATGCTTGACAGACTCCACACTTGAGCTACTTGTTCTTCTGCAAAAAGATAAGGCAAGTAACTTATTGACCCGTATTCATTCTGTTACGAGTCACCTTGAATCATTCGAGCAAGTTTCGGTTTCTTAAGCGACGGTGTACTTGGTTGAGGCTTGTTCTACGTATCTCAACAGCCGCATAAGCTGCCTCCATCCATCGACGGATTGTGGCATTGGCTTGCGAGCAGATCAACAGCAGGAGCAAAATAGCACGTAATAGACAAGTTGTATAAGGAATTCTAGCCGAACCTCATATTTGATTGCGTAGCGATACATACGAGTAGATTGGCAGGCAGACGCATGGGACCAACGCGGTCCCCCATGATCCTAGCTCGGGAGCCCCCCCCCCTTCCGTTTCTGATCCACGCCCTTACTTACATACCGTTGTAGAGATATGAGCTTGCCTTTGATCTTGTCATGCCCGAACCTATGCAAGCGCTAACTAATGCCATCATGATTTGACCTCCACGCATCCTTCTCCATGATATCAACATATCGGTCAGTCGGTTCCTGTTCCGCTCGCGCGACCCACGGAGCCCGCGATGTCGTTCCCACAGTGCGTACTGCACCCTCGATCTCAACAAGACGTCTTTTGATGCGGTCTGCGGCACGATCGATAGTGCTCATTGAGATCATGACAAACATGATTATGGTTAGAATAAGACCGAGATGCTCTGTGATCTGATCAATAGCGGCAAAACCAACGACGCATCCAACGACCAGGTATGGTATCATGTTGACGATGGAGGTGAGTTGTGGGGTCAGAAGTTTTTGGGAGGAGCTGCGATGCTTTGGGATCGGGTCACAAGTGACGTCCTATTGATTGCGTCAGGTTTATTTATTTAGTCTAAGGTTTGCAAGCATCGCAACTTGCCTTATGGGTTGCAGATCCATGAACTTCAGTCTGGGCAGCATCCTCTCCCAGTGCCGTGTTTATAGTTGTGTTCATAGTTGATCAAACTGAAGGCATTTCGTCAGTTTGTAAAACGGGTATTTGTATGACAACGCGTGAAGTGAAATTCAAGAGTCGTGTGTCGCTCTGCTCCGTAAGTTGAAAGATGTCAAACTTCTTCTGAACCACAAAGACCAGGTGCTTTACGTGTAGATCAGAGACAAGCAAACTCGACTTGTGCAAAGAACTTGTGGCTTCTCAGCAACATATAAACATGTCTGGATCTCCCGCTTGGTTTGTGCAAATTTGCCTTGCTACGCAGCGAAGCTTTCATTGTGGTGCATCTGCAGTAGAGGAATGAACGAGGTTTGTTCGGCTCAGAATTTGCTATTGACAAACTTTTTCTACAATTCCAATGTTCAACAATATAACAGAGCGGCCGTTGGTCCTCTGTCGACTGGCACTGATCTTACAAGTCTGGAATGGCAGCGATCACCTCAATCTCGATCAAGAAGTTGCCAGGGAGCTTGCCGACCTCGACAGCGGTACGAGCAGGCTTCGGCGACGGAAGCATAGCGCCGTAGACCTCGTTCATGGCTGTGTAGTCGCTCATGTTGGCCAGGAATACGGTCGTCTTCATGACGTAGTCCCAAGATGTACCAGCTTCCTCAAGTACTGCACCGATGTTCTTGATGACTTGTGCCTGGATTGGGTCAGTCTTGTTGGGACATGCACAAAGTAAGCATCTTTGAATGATGCAAGTGGTGTTCGTTCTATAGGGAGATGCGTACCGTCTGTTCTTCAATGCCGCCAGCAATGATGCTTCCGTTGAAGGTAGGTACAGTTCCGGATGTGTAGACTATGCCCTTCGATGTCCATGCTCCGCTCGACAGGATAGACCCTTGAGTACCAAGGTAGGTCACTACAGGCTGCTCAGCAGTCTTCGGTACCGACTTTGCACTAGCAATGCCGACGACTACGAGCACGGTTGTCAGAAAAGATGTGATGGAGACCATGCTGACGAAGATGATTGGACAGTAGAAGGATGTTGAAGGTTGTCAAGCTTGTGTCGTTTCTGGTATGTTGTGTTCAAGGTCATGCTTGCCATTTTATAGCAGTCACCCAACTTTCTGAATGCCAATGCAGTTATCTCATCTGGCTGTGATGTCCAGTCCGCCATGACTTCCAAGAGCTGCAGATGTTGGACTTCGGGTAACACCTTCTAAAAAGATGTAGGACAAGACCAGAGGCGTTCATGTAATGCAACTCTGAGTCAGTTTTTCCACTTTTGATAGATACCGTCCGTGAAGTTTTTGTAAGAACATGCGTGGCCGTCGGCCCAGGAGAGGATATTTCCATTCGACACTATGAATGCCCTGGAAACATTCGTCCCCACGATTGCTACGCTTAAGATGGAAGGGCCATGCTGCACGTGTAAATCCTATCTGGTCGGACAGACATACTGAATGTTCTCGAGAAGCAGAAAACGGCAGGAGTGGATCGCAGCGGGTCAAGAACAGAGCTAACAGCAGTGTAAAAGGTCCTTGAGTCTTGGCGCCAAGACTGCTTGTCCTTATAGGGCGCCGTTGACGCGGTAGATACCTACAGGGCGCAGTGGTCTTGATGTAAATCAAGATAGACGGAACCTGGAGAGATAAGAGATGCTGTTTATGCGGGTCCCACCTTATCGATATCGCGAAGCCCACTTTTGGCGTGCAAGATAGCTTTCTGATTCGCTAGATCACCATAAACAACGCCTTCACCGGCATAATGCTGGGATGTCGAGTTTGTCTTTCCGTCGTTGTGCTGTTTCTCGGACGTCGCGCTTTTGTCGGCTGATCTGGTATACGTGTGGCAGTAGCCTCGACCCACTTGTGGAGGCTGGACAAGTGCCGGACATTGTGGGGTTCTCGGATCGCATGCGAGCATTTTGGGTTTCACGGATTTCAACCAGCTAGACGTCAAATCTCGGGCTGAGGATCCAGCTGTAAAGGTCTCCAGAAGCGGTGAGGCTGAGTATGTGCGATGAAGGACGGAAATCGTACCTCCGCAGCTTACACCTGCCGGTCCAATGGGACTGGAGCGCCATTCCAGGCTGCCGATCGTAAATTCTCTGAGTGATACTCAGATGCGGAACGTAGGCTGGCTTATCCTGTCACCGTTATCAACGCTCTTGCGATTGATATGGGGCCATGACTAGCTCTCCATACGATCCACCTCCACGTCCTACAACTGATATTGAATCCAGGAACGTGAGTCATCTAAGAGCGGAACGGCTACGCATGGCAAACCCCATCTTCCATGCAAACACTTTTGGAAATCACCGCATTCAAAGCGTATGGCGTCCTTATCGCAGCTCCATGGATCGATATGCAACTCCGTAGACGGCAGCATTACGATGCCCGAATGTCTCTGATGTGTTATGGATATCGTTGTGTCGGTGATAGCAGAGGTTGGTGACCAACGGTAATGGGCAACAAGATATCGTCGCCTAAACGCCTTCGAGCATCATTCTGTATATGAGGAGACAACACTGCCTTTGGTACAGGGCACTCAACTCATCAATATCATTCAGCCCAACATGAAGGGCCTCTTCACAGCTTCTTCTGCAGCGTTGACTCTGGCCAGCGGCACTCTTGCTGGTCCAGTAGCAACTCGCTCCGACATCCTTTTCTTCAAGCCTTTGACTGTCACCCCGGACTCGGTGTATAATGTGCACATCGGATACAGCGATGATGCCTTCGAAGGAGACGTGCGAGTTGTGTACGGTGGCTGTGGCATGGCAAGCCTTGACGACAGGCATTACGAGCTCGGTACTACGCGAGTAACACGATCTGCCCGGCCAGAGCGTCTTGTGTGGATTGTGCCTGACAACACGAACCACGGAGGCTGCTTATACGCATACTCGGGGTCTGCATTGATTGGTCGCTCTGCCCCTATCACTGTCAAGCAGCCGACCCGGAAGCGAGAGGAGATCTCGGATATAGCAGATGTAACAGGACCCTGGTTCGATGGTGTTGCATACATGCAGGCGAAGCAAAACAACGCTTCGTTCGTCGCTGTTGCGAAGAGCAAGAAGATTGCCATTCTTGGCGGGGGAATGGCGGGCTTGATGACCAGCCTCCTGCTCGACTCTGTAGGCATCCACGACTGGCACATCACCGAGTCTTCGCAACGCATTGGTGGTCGCATCCGTACCAAGTACCTCGCCGGTAGCACGCCAGACCAATATCAGTATCAGGAGATGGGTCCCATGCGCTTCCCTGTTTCCACGAAGTACGCAGACACCAACGAGACTGTAGACATCCAGGACCACAAGATGGTCTTCCAGCTCGCCGATGTCTTAAACCAGAGGAACGGCAATGACAGCGCGCTTGCTGTCAATTTTATCCCTTGGATCCAAAGCAGCCCCAACGTTCCGGCCAATTCTAACGGCTACCGCCTGCCCAACGGCCGCATCCCAAGTGCCGCTCAGATCAAAGCGAACAGCTCTCTGGTTCTGCCAGCCGCAACAGGTCCAGACCCGGAAGTCGAAGAGCATGCTGAAGAGGCGCTTGATGAGTTCATGGGAATTACCCCCGAAGTGCTGCGAAATATCTCAACCAACATGTACAAGGCCCACAAAGCAGCCATAGAGAAGGGTCTTTTCCATTGGTCCGAGTCCGCGTACCTTCGTTATGCCTTGAACATGAGCGCGAACGAAGTCGACTTCATCGCAGGTATCGACAACAGCCCGATGTGGGAATACGACACCGCATACTTCGCTGCCACGACTTGGCGGACAATCGACAAGGGTTTGGAATCCCTTCCTCGAGCCTTCCTTCCGCATGTCCAGGACCGCTTGACGCTCGGCCGCAAGGTCACCGGCTTAAAGTACAACAATGATACCGGCAGCATATCTGTTCAGTGGCGTAACGATCCCTTCGCAATGGAGCCTGAGAGTGAGGAGTACGATTATGCAGTTGTCGGTGTACCGTTCTCCAAGGTCCGACTCTGGGAGCTCCCCAAGTACTCTTCGCTCTTATCTCAGGCCATCTCCTCCATGAACTACCAGCAGTCCTGCAAAGTTTCCCTGCACTACAAGACACGTTTTTGGGAGAAGCTCTCCCCACCCATCATTGGTGGTTGTGGTGCAGTCGACATCCCTGGCATTGGCTCGGTCTGCTATCCTGCGTACAAGATCAACTCAACTGGACCTGGTGTCATCCTTGGATCCTACGCCTCCGGCACCCTGGCTCGTTCTCTTGCTGCCCTTAGCACTGCTGATCACGTGGCTTACGTGCAGCGTGCGATGGTTGAGGTCCATGGCGAGATTGCTGCAGAGCAGTTCACTGGCGCATATGATCGTCAATGCTGGGAGGTCGATGAGCACCAGGCAGGTGCTTGGGCAGCACCCACTGTCGGTCAGCAGGAGCTGTACCTCCCAGCGTACTACAAGACTGAGATGTCTACGATCTTCGTCGGCGAGCACACATCGTATACACATGCCTGGATCTTCAGTGCCCTTGACTCAGCGGTGCGCGGTACGACTCAGCTGTTGTTGGACATGGGTCTGGTCGATGAGGCCAAACAGGTTGTTGACACCTGGATGGGTAGGTGGATCCATATTTGAGGAGGTCACCAATTCGGCTGGACGGAGACAGATCACGACCTTACGCGAGAACGTAGATATGGATAGACATGAATGATGAACAGCAGTATGTTCCGATGAAAATTTCGGTGGTAGGGTGATGAAGTGACTGCTGTGGAATGACGCGATTTGTGCGCTAACCCAATCGAGCGCACGCGCGGGCGCCGCTGCAGGTTTCAAACATGCCTCATCATCTTTCTTAACGTGTTTTACAAGCGAGACATCCACCCCACCAACTTTAATCACCTTTCATTCTATGCAACTCAACCACACTGTAAGCTAGTAACGTAAGCCACGGGCAAAGCGGTGCCATTAGCTTGGAGCTATACCAAAACCCGGGCAGCGAAGGCTGCTGTTGCGAATGCAAGGAACATGCTGTACCGTGTCTTAGTGGTGTGCGACATATCTCTGTGTTATTTGCACGTGGTGCTGCTCTTGGCCATGGCACTGTTGACGCGTCTTTGTTAGTGCTGTGAAAGTGACGATTCTGGAAATGCGACACCTTTAACAAGAGTGTGCGCAGCGGAAGACAGGCAGAGGGCTGCATAACCTGTCAATGGGGAGAAAGTGAGCAGAATCGTGATGTATTGATAGCTACCTACGTGGCGGTTATCTACACGGGAGGGAGCTATGGGCGCTTGCTAGAAACAGGAAGGCGCGTAGCCTATTAGGGAAGAACCACAGTGAAGGTGCGGGCTGACACTGCTGAAGAAGTTCCTTTTGTAAGCTCACTTGCCAAGGTCTGGGCATACAACAATGTGAAATAGCATAATCAATCGCTGAAGGTCTAGAAACTATTGCACGTACTCTCCGTCTTCTGTGGTCTCTTGAAAGCAACAATAAAACCCCACCGCTATCTGAGTTGGCCACCTCAGATCCCTACAGGGACCTTTCCACATACACTACTTGTCCTCTTGTGTCTTGTTTGCCACGGCAGCGGACGGCCATTTTGGTCCGTCCAACTGCTTGTACGCGGCTGACACGTTGTTCGCAACAGACCCAATCGTTTGTTGTTGCAACACTTAGATTGACCCGCCAGGTTCGATATGGTAATGGCGGGCCTTGGTTGTGGTGTTTTGTTTTGATCGTGCGATGCGATGCGCTGGACCGGCTACAGTCAGGGAGTCCCCTTCTTGTAGTCAGTCTGCGTACTGCAGCTCGTCTAAGGACGTCTCATGAGGCGATTGTAGTAGTCGGGCATTGTTGTGGGATGGTATGTGTCGATCTCAAGGCATGTCGAAGTGTCAAGGCTCGAGTTGGCTGTGTATATTTCGAAGGCAAGATAGATGCTCCAGCTTACAATGTGGCTGTGTGATTCTGTCACGGTTCAGGGCGCTCTTGCCTGTCGAACCTCACCTGCCATGAGAGTGACTGCCACGTCACACTAGCGTTGTTTACAGCTCCTCACCTATATGTACTGTCCGTAGCTTCACCCAATACATCCCCAGTTCAATCCTTCAATTCTTCCCACAGCGTACTGATCACTCACGATCCACACCCCGACAGATTCAGTGGGAGGCTACTAGGAAAGTCAGGAGGTATTCAGGTACAATCTCATAGCGCATGCTCACCGTTGTTGGCACCATGCCTTCTCGACTTTGGAACTATCGTTCCGCGTCGCGTGTGGTTGTTTAGGATCAGAGTCACCGCCTTTTGCTCCTTAATCAGGTCTTGAAGAGCAATCAAAGTCTGCGTATTCCCATACGTGGCAGATGTATGGGAACTCATGCGGAAGAAGCCATTCTCACGCTAAAGATATTCCATGACAGCCGGAGTGTTCATGAAATTGTTGGCATCGAAACAACCATTCTTCCGGTGTTGAGTGAAATAACTGCACACAAGCATCTGTAGCTCAGTGTAGTCCCCTTCTTCCACGTTGTAGTGGCCTCCGTTGTCAAGGTGGTGCTTCAAGCGTATGTCTTGCCACTTGAGGTCGATCTGGAGGACGTCGTCGGTGAGTGCAGCTTCCAGTTCGTCGTTACTCTGAATCTCGCCGACAGAAACAACACTAACACCACCAACGCTGATCCTTGGAAGCGCAGGTTGTGGCCGGCTTGGTGTCACTAAGAGAGCATTGTGTTACTAGAAGCGGATAGAGCGGCTGAGGCAGCATGGAGGAAGCTGCCTGTGAAGCACTGGCGGCGCCATTGTTGGCTTTCTGAGCCGCCATGATCCTGGCTATGTTTGCGCTGAAGATTTTTTGTGGTGGCTTGGGTGCAGTAGAAGCTGCGCTACCAGCTCCACTAGATGCCATGTTGGTCGGTGTGGACGAGCTTCCAGCATTAGGTTGCGAGAGAGATGAGACTTGACCGTTGCTAGGCTTTGACAACGACGCTGGTTGCTGATACCACCTGATGTGCTCTGAGAGCCACTTTGGCCCGACCTGGTAGGCACTGAGGTTGCGAGCAATCTGGTAGCAGGAGGGTGGGGTGGAGTTGTCTGTGCTGTAACATGTGCTTGCTGTGCACTAGAGGACTGCTGTGAAGCAAGCAGATGTGCCGGAACAGGTAGATGCGTCGAAGTAGTTGGTTGTGACAGAATGGTTGGTTGCAACGCCAGATCACTCAGTGCGCTGAGCATAGATAATATCGATGACTTTGCATCTAAAAATCTGCTTCTATATAGCGGCTCGGATGTCAGTATTCTCCAATTTGATGTTGCGCTCCAGGGCCCCTCTGCAGGCGCATTGTACCATGGGCCTTGATGCCACCAGTGCAGGTGAGGAGAGGGCCGGCGGCGCGGGGAATGAGATTGCTGTAAGGTAGCATGCGTGACATATCTGCAGAAACTGAATTAGTGGAAGCAATGTCAAGGTGTGGAAAGATGCGCGACCGACTGGCAGGCGAAGGTTGTGTCGGCGGGAGTTGACTGTGAAGGAAAACAGTCGAGGACGAGGTGCGCGTCAAAGTAGCAGCGAGAGCGCTAGTGTGAGCCAAGGCGTGTGCCGACTAGCTATTGCGGGCATAGGTGAACTCTCGTTGTGAAAAGGTCATCTCGTGACGTAGGTAGCTCTGCACGCAAGTTGAAGTGAAGGGGAGACATGTCGCTGCGCCACATATTGACGTGCTGGCTGTCGTAACGTCGTTGTATCGACTTCATGATGATAGTAGCCTTTAAAGTATATACTGTCGGGTAGGAGTGTCTGGCGCATCCAGAATGTATTCATGATCTTGCTCGACCTACAGATAGTGAGGGGGTGCAAACAGGAGGCTTGTAGTGGTGTCACTCACCTTCCGCAGCGTCAGAATTTAGTGATATAAGACATGGATCTGGGTATCGTAGTGTAATGTAATCCTTCGAAAGGTGTATACGTTTGTCAAGATGTCTCATGAATTAGTGTGTTGGTTGTGTGCTGAGAGATCAGTGCCCACAGACGTGACAAAAGAACCAGTCCAGGAAGCATCGAGTGGATTCGACGTGGCCTGGCTGCAAGATCAACAAACGGCTTCTCTTTGCAAGCAACCCAGAAGGCCTCGAGTAACCTTGCACGAACAAAGAAAGCTCAGAGGCGGTGGAAATTGGTGAATAATGGTATTTGCGTGAGAATGCGTCGCTCAAAGCTAATCGTGACTTTTCTATTACATTATCGTTTCCAGGTTTCTTAGAGCATCAGAAGGCCAGCGATGGCAGCGAACATGGTAGCACCAACAAGGCCCGATCCAAGCTGCACGGCAGCACCGGTAGACTTAGGGGTAGGGCTGCCAGTCCCAGAAGGCGAAGTTCCGTTGGTGGTTCCGTTACCTCCGGCAGTGGTGTTGCGCTGGTGATCAACAGCCTCGATACGTCCGTCAAGCTCAATGTTGACAGGGGTCTTCGCAAGAACGTATTGAGTAAGGACCTCGTCCTGAGTGTCAAGACTAACGAAGTCGGCGGTTGGGGTGAAGAAGTTGTCGCCACCACCAGCGATGAAGTCGAGTGTGACAACCTGGTAGGTGGTGCCGTTGTCAAGAGGGTGGCCGCCAATAGTGACAGCGACGAGCTTGCTGCCATTGTTGTTCTCAGGGTTGTATTCGACCTTAATGCCGGTGGAGACCTGGAAGAACGAGGTGACCTCCTTGCCATTGGCAACGTTAACACCAGTAACGATACCTTCGAGAACCTCCCACAGCTCCTTTCCGTCAATCTCGATCTGAACAATGGAGTTGCCAAAGGGGAAAGAGGTCAGAACCTCACCTCGGGTGATGTCACCCTGGTCAATGGTTGCGCGGATACCACCAGCGTTAATGATGGCGAAGTCAACATCCTCGGTGTTGTTCTTACGGTAAGCAAGCATAGCGTCTGCCATGAAGTCACCGAGCAAGCATTCTTGGCGCTGGCAAGTGGTCTGGTCAAGCTCAACTTCGCTCGTGCCAAGAACTTCAGCAGCGAACTCCTCGAAGGGGCCGCGCCATGACTTGATCTGAGCTTGGAGGTCGGTATCCTGCTCGGTAGTATTGGTGATGTGAATGGGTGCGCCCTGGTAGGAAAGGATCTTGCCCTGAGGATCGTATGTGACTTCAATGGAACCAATGTACTCGCCCCAGCGATACGCAGTGACGATGAAAACCTCGTCGCCGTCCGCGTTGTCAACAATGGTAGGGTACTTACCCTCAGCATCCTCCATGTCGCCGAGGAGCGTGTGACTGTGACCACCCATGATCAGCTGCAGGCCCTTGGTAGCCCTAGCAAGCTCCTGGTCCTTTTCGTATCCAATGTGCGTGATGGCAGCAATCCTGGTGATGTTGGTGGTAGACTTAATCTCATCGATCGCGCCTTGCACGGCTTCGACAACGTCAGAGAAGACAGTTGTCTCGTCTGGGTTCGCAATGCTGGGAGTCTCGTCGGTAGTAACACCAATCAAGGCTAGTCCATACTCCTCGAAGATGTGATATGGCTTGACCGACTTATTGACCTTCTCATTCTGCGAGTGGATGTTGGCCGAAATGATAGGGAATGTCAAGTTTTCCAGGAATTGACCGAGCTCCTCATCGCCACCATCGAACTAACGAATCGTCAACACTCATTCAGACAATCAATGAAACTCAGAGATCATACCTCATGATTCCCAAGGGTCATGGCTGAGAAGTTCATCTGGTTTAAGGTCTCGGCGATCTTCTCGCCACCATAGAAAGAGTAGAAGAGTGTACCCTGAAACTCATCACCAACATTGAGCCAGAGACTGTCGTTGTAGTTGGGTCGCTTCTCTTCAACGACGGTCTTGATGCGAGCATAACCACCGTAACAACCTCTTTCGGGACGGGTGCAGTCAGTTCCTGACGATGAGAATTCGTCGAGATGGGCGTGGACATCATTGACGTGGAAGAAAGCTATACCTCTGTCAGCTTAAGAGATCTCACGATACAGGCGTGTAACTGACTAATGTTGTAATTTTTATCAGCATCAAGGTCACGCTTCGCAAGGTGTCTGCTGTAGAGAACATCTTCCGCCTGCGCTTGGCTGGCCGCCAACGCCGAAAGCGCAATCGCGCCCGATGCTGTCGAGAACCTCATATCTGCGCTCCAGAAATTAATTAATGATGATGAGCAAAAGGCGGAGACACTGGGGAAGATCTGAGTTCGCGACCCTTCTTATGTCGATGAGGTTGCGGTGGAGACCTCCGCTGCGAGTGCCAAGTGAAAGTCTGGGCAAGCGGCGCAGGCGCCTTGGCCGAGAGTTGCACATTCCTTTTTCGGGAAAATGCGTCCTGTACTTGATAAAAAGAGTCCAATCATACGGCACACGTGCGATACTCGCATATGACATGCAGGAATCAGGAACGGACCTGAATATCGGACATGGCATGGCATGGAGACAATCTTGCCGTTACCCATCCACGTGGTCTTGGACGCGCTGGAAGCCTAAGGCAGTACCTCGGAGCTTGCATCCCTTCGAGTGCACTTGTAAATTATCGGACGCGTCCGCCTTGTGAAAATAGTCCTTACAAGGAAGCGGTATTAAGGGCGGTGCAAGGCCTTTAAAGGCATAGCCCAAGCAGCCCCAGGTGTCAGATCTCCTATGTTCCCCAGATGTGGAGATAGGAAGTCCCCGCTGTAAAGCCCTCAGTATAAAGTGTTGTTAAAGACTTACATTAACGTAGATGCTGGATAAACAATCGGACAAAGGACGACAAAAAGAGTCTGCAAGACCGGAAAGAACACATCAACAATACTTGCCCAGACCAAGTTCGCCAGATACCGGTCTTTCTCAAATTGTTCTAAGCTCACGGTGCCGTCAAAGGTCTCAAATGTTGAAGTGTCGAAACGATATGAATCGAGAAGTTGAAGTCCTACCCCATACCCCGCCCTGTCGATAAGAATCCCTCAACTTTGTTTCGGATCGATACATCTGTGAATGATCAGTGAGTGCTCCACTTCAAAGGGTGGGGATCACATAACCATGTCAATGTTATATACGAAGCATCTCGGCGAATTCCCCTGGCTCTGGGCCCAGCATACCTTCACCCACTTCATGCGTTCGGATATCAACTCCTTCTCCGTTTGCTTACGTCGCGTGTCGGTAGTTTCGCTTTAGTCTTTGTTACCAATTGCTCGAGAACCTTGTCCGATGTGGTGGCGCGCCGGCATAGCGGCTTTGCAAAGGCAGAAGCAATGGGCTTGGGTACTTTCGCTTTTTGGAACGACACGTCTTCTACCTTCCCAAAGGCACTGAAGGCCAAACACGGTGTTGTGGCTGTCATGTCGACATTTACTGGTACTTTTGTCCCAATGTGTCTTGGATCCTGAAGAAGCCGCCTCGATGGTAGATGTGGCCGTAGATCGACCTTGTAAGTTGTAGTGCCATAAGCAATCTGGCTACTGCCAGACACCAGGCTTTTTTCAGCTGCGAATATGCTGTTAGTAGCTTTGCATACTCTCGGAGCAATTGAGAAACTCATTCCTCAGTGTACACATATTCTTCTCAGCGGAGACTGATAGGAACAGCTTGCTGCCGCCTCGCGCCACAGAGCTTCCGCCGTTTGTTCGCCAGGGCCGGCCGTCTTCTCGGGTCAGAGGTGCCCATTCCCCATCGTGATCAGTGCTGAGTAGACATGGAGGCTCCTCGGGTTCGAACTTGCGTGGCGTGGTGGGCTCGTCGAAGAAACGGGCGCTCTTAGAGGTACTGTCCGCAGGTGTAGCAGGGCTCGTTGGTCGTTACCTAGTGGCATTAGGTGTGCCTTTGCGACATATTCTGGGGTTAGCGATACCTGTTTCTGATCAAAAGTTGTTGAGCATACACCATTGCGCACAGCCTGAGTGAGAACAGGCTTGGCCTTCGGGATCGATTTCAGAACTGGTACTTCGGCAACGGGCACTGATGCTACGGTTACAATTTTGCCAACAGAACGGTTATGGATAGTCGCCTGTGTGATAGGGATCTTGATGCCGATAAATCGTTGTGCAAACGATCTTGTGCCGGGTGCTTTGTTGGCTGGTACCGAATTAGCAACAGGTAGCAGCGCATTGGAGGACTCACCGATTATCTTGCGTAGAGCGCACCGGAGACGTGGGATCTTTGAGGTTCGTGCAGGCTTGGAATTATTGGTGACTGCAGGCCTGTTAGATACAGTAGACCCATTGGAAGCGCTGACCAGTTGCTTGCTCTTCACAGGTGTTATACGGTTCATCAACTGCGCTCGAGTCCGCGGGATGAGAGGTCCATCAGCCGAGCCATAGCGGGGGCACATCGTGATTATGTTCCCATATCGTCCTCGTTTGAGAAGTTCGAGGTCGCGTTGCATTTAACTCAACTCACCCATGTCTGTCGAGTCAAGGGAGTCACGACCGGTATCAATCTCGGGGCGTTTCGGAAGGCTCTCTTTTGACTTGGTTGTTGGCTTTGAGGTAACAAAGAGTTGCTTTTGACGAGTCTGGTTCGACATCTTCTGTGCATCATTAGCAGGTAGCCAGGAGCCGATGCCACTCTAAAAACATTGAGCACATGAAGACTGCCATATCTACCCAATGAACATACCGTGGCACCGGTCACGATCACAACTCTCGATTCCTCTGCTACGGAGTCACCCATGTCGAAAGATTGCTAATAGCGTTATGCTCGAGCTGGCAATCGCTCAACCTTATACTTTGCGGCGATGTCCGCGGATGAGACTTGGCCTTGCGGCGAGGCCCGTCGGGAGGATGTATCTTAAGTGGCACCAAATCAGAGGTATGGTCCCGGTCATCCCACTACGATCAGTATCTGTCGGAGGGAGTGAAGGTATCCACCGATCGCCATCTGTTTGCTAGCGGTCCGTTGCAGTGTTTGCCAACGGCCCGCTGCACTTCACTGCTATCCCCTTCTACTATATAGTCTCGATCGATTCTAGCCAATAGCTCCCAAGATCAACCAACACAATCCACTCACTTCAACGGTATCTGTAGGGGATACACCTTGCACTATACATACAGGAGTCACCCAAGCCGACACGGCCACTGATCTCGATATTGCGGCGATTGACTCGGCGCATCTGAACCGCATAAGACTGCTGTTATCGTAACAATCAAGTTACACGAGCACACGTCCGGGCCTTCGAAGCTTTTTGTCGAGTTGTGATAACCATTATTGTAGGATTTCGATAAATGGAGCCTCTTGATGTTCATTCGACAGCGTCCGGCAAATGTGCGCGAAGGATTCGATCCTTGTGCACCCGCCACGCCAGCCGTAGGAACGAACAGGTCAAACCCCTCAAACAACATTTTGCAACGGCGTTGAAAATTTTAATGTTGACGACGAACGCGGATCACGTTCCAATTGGAATGGGGATCGGTCACACTAGCTTGACCTGCGGTCAAAAGCCTCGTCGCAAACGTACGGTGCTATTATCTCGACTATATCGAAAGTATGCCTCAATATGTGGCATGATCAGATTACATCTCTGCAATCGGAACGACAAGCTAAAGATGGTGCTTATTTCGAATGTTTCTTTTTGCAGTATACCAACCCTTGGGATTGCTCATTCACACCTGCGATGCTCGAAGCGCGGCTGGGGATTCAAGCTAGAGCAACTGCGCTGCGAGCGGGCATCGAAATCGTTACTTTTTGCAAAGCACGCGGCAGAGGACCTAAGGGAACGTCTTGAAGGTCAAATGTCGGAGCAACTCGAGCAAGTTCCATTCCAAAATTCTTTTGATCAGGGAGGGATGCTTGTATATCGTCTGTTCCCGCAAGAAGATACTTGCGATGGGTTTACTTGGCATTGGCGTCATGTGAGTCTGCCGGTCCGTTACATGTCAGCGATGTACTAATTACTAACAGTGACAACAGGGCCTGGATCATTACTATCTTCGGCAAAAGCTGTTGCCTGCCCTCGATTTCGCCGACATGGCCTATAGTGGAGTTCTCGCAACAGTTCTGTCCGGTCTTGAGCCCGCCGTCGCGATTGCATCGGCATATATACCACTCCTGTGACTGCTGTATAGACTCCGCACACCTGAAAAGAACACATCACAGTACTACGGCAGCCATCAAAGTAGCGAGCATGTCTCACAAAAGGGCAACAAGAGGACAGCCACCCTCTCGATGCACTAGACAACAATTCATCTGAGATACAGCTACAGCCTGTGAAAACTGATCGCATTGTCAGAGTGTCCGCAAAGCCGGACGGTCGAAGCAACCGCTTGTTCATAACAACCAACCCTGATGCTATTATGGTAGATCTGAAGTGGGAAGCGCGGTCTGGCTGATAAGAGTGCAGTTGATGCATCTATGTTCATGAAATACTCTAGAAGATTTCCATCACAACATACCATCGAATCATGCTACCAATAAAGAACGCCCAACTGCCCACCAATGCTGCCACAGCTGCAGAAAGCTTATCCTCACCAAACAAGAACAACCCCGCCGTCATGAACCCAAACCCACCCACAGTGTTCAGAAACGCACCCTGCCAATCTGCATCCCAAAACTTGGGCTTATACCACCTCTCCTGCTCCGAGATAGCCAAAATCGCATTTGCAATCAAAAATAACGCGCCATGAATGACCTGCGGGCCAAACACAATCGTCGCAAATAGCGGTGCCTCTTCAGGAATAAGCTCAGGAAAATCAACAATGCCAGCAAACATGAAGATCACACCGCCAAAGAGCACGATTAGCCCGGCTTGGAAGGCGAGGTTCGTCATGGTAAGATCCCAGAGCTTCACCCATGAAGGAATCCATTTGAACTCTGGTGAACCTATGAGTGCAGGTCTGTATGTGACTTTCCGGTCGACTTTGGAGGTTTCCAGGGTCCCGCGATCGGCGTTCAGAGCCCCGAAGGTGTCGAAGATGCCAGCTGCGAAGAAGAAGATTGAGCCGATGAGAACGGTAGTGGGTATTGCGATGGTCTCGTTTGTCTCAAATTGGAGTTCAGGGTCGAGTTGAGGAAGTAAGTCGAGGAAAGCGTTGATAACGAGATCTAGACTTCCGACTGCGAAGACGATGGCGACCAGCCAAATGGGGTCGCGATAAGGGAAGATGGTGTACATCTTCTTGACGCGGGCGCTGAACGATTCGCTGTTGTCCCAGTCTAGGTATGATGGCTCGTCGTATACATAGATCTTGGCTCGTTCGAGGTCGCACTTCTCGCGGTGCTCGAGGTGGTTGACGGCTACGAAGTTTGCGAGTTTCTCGCTGTTTGCGGGTCGTGATTCAAGGTCCGCAATGGGATTCATGACCGGGATGGTTGGCGGTGATGACATCATGCTCATCCTAGTGGCTCGCACATAGGAGGCGCGGATCGTTGCTGAGGCGTTCATGTCGTGAATCGTGAATCAGGAATTACTATCGCAAAAGAACAGACAAGAAGGATTTGGAGTAAGGTAAGGACTGAGTACGGATCGGACAACCTTGAGCCAGCAAGGCGGCGTAAGCAACGGAGAATCGACCTGCCTGCCTTGCAACATCACACACACATCTTCTATTCATACTTTTAATACAAGTCATTGTGTACCAAGACGTACCAAGTGTTGTCACCTCGTTCAGTGTGTGGATCCCGTGACTGGAGATGTTTGACCCACGAGCTTCGTCATCGCAGCGACCAATATGGTGCTTTGTTTTGAGAGCCAAGCTCACACAAGCTTTTCACACGCTGTGCTTGAGCGAGGATAAAGTTCCGAGTGGAGACATAAGAGCGTTGCTTGGGGACGGATTTGGCCAGATGTGTACAGCCGCTGGTGGTGTTTCACGGATGCGATCGTCCCAGAGAAGGTGTGGCGTCCGAATGGTTTTGACTTTCTGATCTGCATGAAGGTTGGTTTGTATGCGCAATGCGTTGTAAGCAAAATCTGTACAGCTGTTGGTATGTGGACATCTCTCCGGTTCCTGATGACGACGACTAGGCGGTCAAGAAGTGAGTGCATCTTCAACGACATTGTTGAGAGTTGCAGGTCAAAGAGATGGAGGTGTCTGGAAGGAGGCTCATCCGACCCACATGGCACGATTGGTCGAGAGCTTTCGGAGTCCGGGAACCACCGTGCGGGCCGGTGACTTGAAACACCACCAAATGTTTCACGATTCCTGGCTCGACAACACAACCCAAATCATCGTTGGTCTGTGGTGCCGGGGAACGCCGTGGTGATGCTCAAAGTGAGCGCGGCTCTGTTGAGGAAAGGTGCCAGTGCCCCATACCCATGGTATGCCGACACTGGTTCTTCAGGCCTACCCCCACTAGGCCCGATTAGAATCGCTTCCCCAGTTCCCGCGCGTGATATATCGCGACTCTCCATAGTCACTAATAACATACCTTTTCACCCATTTTTCTATGTGCTATTGCGTGCCTATCAACAAAATGCGACATGAACGTTGTACTGACCAGAAAGGTGAAATCACAAAACCAGAAATACTGGAAAGGAAACTCGACATTGACAAGTGTTTCGATTCGAGACCTTTGTAAGGGGTGGCGAGCTAGACAACAATATTGAGCATAAAGTATTGAGCTCTGGTAAATTTGAAGACACAAAGCGATCAGCTAATGCTCAATGCGAGCCCCAAGCCCTTGAAGCGATCTGCTAGACCTCCCAAGATTCGACCTGTGCGCTCATTGGCTTGGTCTTGTAAAAGGGTCTCGGGTCTCTCCGTTCCGCCTACACAGCTCCAGCTTGAAGCCCTGTTCGCGTCACCAAGACCCATGTACTTCGACCTGCCAGGGTATGCACACAGATCTCTGGTGACCGCCTCGCCCTTAGCGTTCGTCGTTTCGGCTTCTAGTATTTCTGGTGCCTCATCCCTTTCTACCCAATCAACAAGTGTCTGAAGGGAAGACCTGGGAACTGGTCCTATACCATCTCCACAATGCTCTACACCTGGTGCAAGAAAAAGTCGATAGAACTGATCCACCGCATGTGCACCACCCATCGCACCCTCAACTCTCTTCCGATAGTCGATGGTATTTTGATAAGGAATGACAGTGTCATCGATGCCATGCCATGTAAGCAACTTAGTGCCAGACGCTTTCAATGCCGATAGGTCTGGATCAGCAGTGTTGAGTAGACCTCCAAGTTCGTAATTGACCTGGGCCCAATGTCCGAAGTACGAAGTGATGTCGAGGTAATCTAGTCGAGCGGAAGGGTTTCTGAGGACGATGTTCTTCATCCAGCTTTCGCATATTCCAAACGGATTTTGTGACCTTGTACCGTCTTCCGATATGCTGATATTTGCCAGGTGCTTGAATCGAACACCGGGACTGAGCCCATGGAAGATGGGTCCCCATGGCACTTGTTTTGGACCATTAAGAATGTGCTCGACTACAGTCGCCATCTCCAAAGTAATATAGACGTGCTTCTCGTCGCACTGGATCTCGTCGCCAACAATGTCAAACGGGTCAAATTCGCAGGCTTCCGGGTCATTGATCATGTCATCGTGTACACCATCTATCATGTCGCACTTCTGGATGGCCTTCGATCTGAAGTACTCGAACTCGCAGTTTGACATGAATGTCTGCTGCTGCTTCATCACCAGTTGGGACCAGAATTCGCCAGTGACAAGGTTGACAAAATTGAACGCAGGCACATTGGCGAGGATACCATCCAGAAGATATGGGTATTTCTGTGCAATCATGTAACCTTGTCTTCCGCCGGTGGAGCATCCATTCCAGTATGAGTGATGTGGGGATTTGCCGTAATATAGTTCAGTGATGACCTTGCCAATCTTAACTTGATCAACAAGACTTCGTGATGCAAAGTTGTGCAGTAAGTTCCAGTCGAGCGTACCATCGGTACTGTCTTTCAACGCCCAACTTCCATCTTTGACTCGGGAGAGGTCGTGACTGCCGGACCCTCCATCTGTTGATACTGCGGCCCAGCCGTCTCGAACGGCTTGCCCAAGATGGCCACCAAACATGCCGGTCTCGAATCCTGCGCCTCCTGTAGCTTGGAATCGCCCATTCCACTCGTCATTGGTTAACGGAAGCCATGTTTCAATCAAGACCTTGTCATTGGTTCCTTGATGTGTAACATGTACCTTAACTTGGCAGAAGTTCAGCCCATCCAAAGCTGGCTGTAAAGGACCACCCTTGATGCTCGTAAAGTCGTGTTGTGACGTCGCTGTAACAGAAAGTATATCAACGCCTGACCCAGCAACATAGCTCTTGAGTCCTTCCGTAAAAGTCGATGAGGCGCAGTCAGACGCTGATTGGTCTGCACCTAATGAAGAGTCTGCAGCCACCAAACCAATGGCAACGGGCCACAAGAGGTACCAATTGAGCGTGGAACGCATCGTGATTATGAGAAAAATCAATCCCTACTTCGAAGAAAGTTATGAAGCATTCCTTTCCAAGATGACCAGATGGAGTGCAATGAGTTCCGAGAGTGTGAAGCTCGACATCTTCGACCCCGGGCGGGGAGGCGCAAACAACCGAGTCTTGGCTGACGCCACCAACCTCCTACCTTCGTACACCTTTTCTCCTGTTGTATACAACGATCCTCTGCATTTGCAACGCAAGGCACCAGCTAAGCTATCGACTTCCGCATTACGTTACTTTACTTTCGATGCATGCGTTGCTCATATTGTCGCGGTCAGTTGAGCGAGCCTAAGCTGCGGCAGCGACGCTTGCTCAGCCTCCTGCTCGGTGCCCGAAAACAGATCTGACCTGTTTTGAACGCCGCGCACAACGATATGGATGCCGCCGAGACTGGTTTCAAATGGACGCGTTCAGATTACTTCTCTCTCAATGGACTCGATGCTGACGATGGTACTGATGAGAGTTGTCGTCTTTGAGAACGAGTAGTTGAGTTCGCTTGCACCGTGGTCACAGGTCACAACTTGCTAGGCGCTGGTTCTTTGTGGCACTGTTACTCAGCGTGTCGCCAGCACTCAGCCTTGCACTGGCTGCTCGCTATCCTAACTTTATATCCCGAGTCGTCTTCTATATGGGTCTACGGGTTTTTACGGGGACAGACGCGTTAACAGAGACCTGCCTCCGGGTGGGGAAAGCGCAGCGACCGAGCCCAGATGCCTCATCGGGGATCCATGGCTGCGGTATACCCAGTTCAGGATGCCTAATTGTTGCTAACGATAGGATCGAGTCTGTAGGGACCGTAGATTTTTTACTCTGTTATTCGGCCATGACTTAGCTGCCGCTTCTCGCTTTGCAAATCGTATCGTCCTTGTCATGCACCTATTCGTCAGTACCCTCTCATGATTGCTCCTTCTCAACCCCCCTCGATTGTCACAAAAGTCTCAGCTCTTCCGCCAGCTTGACGCGCCGTCTTCGCAAGAATGGACCAGCATACTTCCAGACTGCGGGCAGATAGGTCAGGCACTATCGAAATCGCAACATATGCCCTTACTGGAGCAGTCGTGGTCTTCTTCATTGCACGTCAGACTATGAAAGCGATCGTCTTCCGTAAAGTGGCGCTCGATGATCTCTTCATCCTTCTGGCCACCGTAAGTAAGACTTGCATTTGCCAGATCATGTCTGACATCAACAGGCGTTTGCAATCGGTCTATCAGTCACGACATTAATACTTGCCTCTAGAGATTTTGGTGTACTCGAATTTTTGACTCTCGAAAGAGCCAATACTATCATGAAAGGCTACTACGCATCCGAGCTGCTGTACATCTCATCGCTATGCTTCTCGAAGTTGTCGATCCTTGTCTTGTTCTACAATGTCGTTGTACTACGTACTCATCGTTTCTTTGTCTTGGGCTTTGGCGCTTGCATCTTCGCTTGGAGTGTAGGATCAGTCATTGCTGCTGCATTCCAATGTCAACTTCCGCGGCCTTGGGAGATGATGACATTGCGTTGCTTCAACACAGTAGGTGCTGCGTCGACATCAGCTTTGATGATCTTGGCTGACGATTACAGCGAATCTTCTGGATCGTGTATTGTGCAATCGACGTGTCCACAGAGGTGTTTATTGTCCTGCTTTCTGTAGACCTGGTTGCACATCTTAGAGTGCGCATGTCGAGGAAGCTTGCGGTTGTAGCTTGCTTCGCACCACGTCTGCTCGTGGTTGCGGCGGCTCTTGTGCGCGCGGTGTACCTGTATCAGGTAACACCACATGGGAACCCCGAGTACGATCTTTGGATTGCCACCATATGTACTCAAGTGCACGTCTGCGCCAGCATCTGTACTGCGGGCATCCCCTACATGGTACCTTTTTTCAAGAGCTTACAGGGCAACATCTGGCGATCGTATTCGACGCGAAGTTGGACTACGAGGTCCAGACTCAGTCATCCATCTGATCAATCACCGAACCGACTGCGCAAACGCGAAGCGAACATTCGATTCGAGTCACCAAAGTCGTTCACGAGCTTAATCAGAGAACCCAAGCGAGTCTCGATAGTGTCGCCTCGAATACCAAGTCCTACCCCGATAAGCCCCTTCATGCCGCCACCTATTTCGACACTTCGAATACCTCCGACCACGCCAAATGCGGCGGAGTCAAGGAACGCACGGGGCTCAAGCGTGTCTGGAACATTATATGACAGCGAGTGCGACGAGATGTTCGATATGATCAGCCTACAAACCGCGATATGCTTCGCCCCATCGCCAATTGAGCCACCAGCACAAGCGCGCTTATCGAGTGCTGCTATCATGGACGTCTCAGAACCATTTGAGTACTTGGCTCTGCTGGGTAGCCCCGATCCATCAAGCTCGAGCTCGAGCTACTCTAGCCGCGCTTCAACGCCAACGAGGTCAGAAACAAATCCAAGGTTCTCGTTGCTCTCCCAGGACACACAGCAATACATGCCTTTAAGGCCTGTATCACAGCAAACCTCATTGTCTACTAAAGACCCCAGTCAGGACCAACGGACGACAGCTGATGACGAGGCAACTCGCCTCCTGGCACGGCAAACCCTGCCTAATCCTGCGATATCGCACGACTTCGATGACTTCGCGCATCCTGCACGATCGGCCAGTTCACGATCTCATCCTAAGTTCAGTACGACACCTCGTTTGCATGCATCCCCTCCAACTGCTGTATCGTCAGATCGCGGATAAGTTCGGCTCGTCGTTCACTTTCATTTGTTTTTAGCATGGCATGGCGTTCGGCGTAGCATGATGATACATACAGTGGCATCTTCTGGCGCCTTGGGATTCAGGCACACGATTGGCGATAAACGCCATCAATGCGTCTGGGTAAATGCTTTGGCGGTTTGATCTCTTTGAACCATATTGGTATAATCTTCACAAACAAGGTTGGCAACATTGTTTCAATTGTTCTCATTCTGCAAGTCCTTCGTAAGCACCGCAACACACGGCACATAGTGGAGCGAGGGTACGTATCTCCACGTACGCAGCCATCGCCTTGAGTAACGGGTCGAGTGGGACACAGCGAGATGACACTCGGCTTTCGGCAAACCCCAGATTCTCCCCACACTCGTATTCACGATATTGGTGCATTCAGGCACGGATAATTGATGATTGGTGGGATTGCAACTCCCCACACTCAATAGCGCTGCCACTCGTTTCGTTTCCTCTTACACCTTCATTCCCATCATACGTCCTCAATAATTCGACCGAACGCTCGTTCAGGAGGCTCCTCGGCCAGCGCAATGTTCAGTAATTGGAGGATGTTGTCGCCCCGCCTCATTTGCGCTGTGGAAGATTTGATCTCAGATAGATTGCGACGACGCGGCCGGACACACGTAGACGTATGAGATTGCTCGCCTCCCAAGTCGTATATAAGGATCGTTGGAAACCAAGCATTTTGGCCAAGCAGCCAAGCCTCTTCTTACAGTCATTAAGCTTTCGATTCTCCCCAATATGCATCTCTTGTCGGTTGTTGCGTTGACCGCATCGCTCGCGGCGTCTGCTGTTGCGGCCCCGGCCCCGGCTATAACCCCGGCTCCCGAGGCGGCTGTTGTTAAGCGAGCCACCAGCTGTACTTTCTCGGGCTCTGCTGGTGCAGCGTCTGCTAGCAAGTCGCAGACTGCTTGTGCCACCATTGTCTTGAACAATGTTGCCGTCCCCTCTGGCACGACTCTTGATCTGTCCGACCTTGCGGATGACACCACTGTCATCTTCGAGGGTACCACCACTTGGGGCTACAAGGAATGGGCAGGACCCTTGCTTAACATTGGTGGTTCGAAGATTACCGTCAAGGGTGCCTCTGGCGCAGTCCTCAATCCTGATGGTGCGCGTTGGTGGGATGGAGAGGGCGGCAATGGCGGAAAGACCAAGCCTAAGGTATGTCTACTGATTTTGCGCACTAGGATGATACTCACCGCTGCAGTTCCTCTATCTGCACAGTCTCACAGACTCAACTGTCACCGATCTAAGCATCAAGAACACCCCCGTCCAGGCTGTGAGCATTGCTAGCTGCGATGGACTTACCATCACCGACATGACCATCGACGACTCTGCTGGCGATACTGATAGTCTCGGTCACAACACCGATGGTTTCGACATCGGTACCAGCTCGAACGTTGTTATCGATGGCGCAAAGGTGTATAATCAGGATGACTGCGTTGCCGTCAACTCGGGAACTGTAAGTGCGACCCCGGGTAGCTTTGCATTCGTTTACTGATCCCGTTCTCAGAGCATCACTTTCCAGAACGGTCTCTGCTCTGGCGGTCACGGCTTGTCCATCGGCTCCGTTGGTGGCCGCTCCTCAAACGATGTCGACACCGTCACCTTCTATAACAACGTCATCCAGAACTCGGTCAACGGCATCCGCGTCAAGGCTTCTGTTGGGGACACTGGTACCATCAACAAGGTGACCTACAACAAGATTACCCTGAAGAACATCTCCAAGTAAGTCTTCCCTCTTTGCAGCCCCATCTGCACCACTTCGATCATGTGACTTACACGCCGACCCAGGTACGGTGCTCTCATCGAGCAGAACTACGATGGCGGTGATCTGAAGGGCACAGCCGGTACTGGTATCCCCATCACCAACCTTGTTGTTGAGAATATCACTGGTACCTCCGCTGTCTCCAGCTCCGGCTACGATGTTGTTGTTACCTGCGGTAGCAGCTCCTCCTGCACGGGCTGGACCTGGTCGAACGTTGCCATCACTGGCGGTAAGACTTACAGCAGCTGCACCAATGTTCCCAGCGTTACCAAGTGCTCGTAGACGAATGTCTTCAAGGATGAACAGAGTCGGGTGGGGTGTGAGATTAGGCTCAGGTGTAAGATGACAAGGATCGCATATTTCGCTTCTTAGCATGTTTATAGTTTATTGAATTTGTTTTCGGGCTTCCAGAGTAGCAAAAGAGTGTAAGAATTATCGCGCGATGTTGTGTACGAGATGAAAGACTTCTGTGTGAAAGGGATACGCGACGCGTCGGTAGTCCAAATTTACGCTATCGGCAGCGCGATCAGCCTCACTCCGCTTCCTCCGTCGTTGCATGTCCCAGCCTTCGACATCAGCTCTGAGTCTTTTCAGCTCTTTCTGCGGGTTCAAAGCTCTTCTAGTCTGCCAATAATTACGACAGCACTGTCATCAGCTCCAATGTCTAACAGCTCTCGTCGTGACTGTCTCACAATGCCGAACGTGGCAGGGATTACATCTGCGGCGGAGGCACTCGAGCGTTATCGAAGACACGCGCAGTAGTAAGACCAAGTCAGCAAACTGCATGTTCCGCTTTTATAAATCATAGCTTTAATAAACAAGTCCGACAATATGAAGAGCGGAAAGAACAACTGTATCGCGACAAGGTAACTGCACGAAGAATACTCAGCACTTATCAGCTCTCGGACTCGAATTTCATGACGGGAATTACTTTCATAATGAGCTCAAACCTGCTCTTTATCTCAAGTCTTTATCAGCAGCCTCGGCTCGACCACTTTGCAATCACATGCTAGCTAGGCTTCCGCCAGAGCTCCGCCAGATCATCTATCGATTTCTCCTCGAGGACCCTGCGACAACGCGACCTTACAAGGTTTACATTGTCCGCTGGGGCGATCCAATGGCTTACAGACATGCACATGGCAATTACCCGATCAAGTATGAGCCGACAAGTGACACAAGAGCCAGTCGGTGGTACGGAGCACCCTACTTTTGGGGTCCCGATTGTATCGGTTCTGAGGCATTTTCGGAGCTCCTTGAATATTGGTACTCGTCACGACTTTTCGATTTTGGCACTGGTTTGGACCAGATTCGTGTCCTGCTGAACGATAAGACCTTCCGCAGCAATGTCGTACCTGCTGAGCACATTCTTGGAACACGACTCACTCTGTTTGGCAGACAGCAGAGGAAAGGTGGTTTTTGTTTTGCCGTAGGTACGGCATCCAAGTATCTGGAAGCAATTCTGCCTGACTTGGAACAACTCTTCTGCTGAAGAAGGGCGCACACATTACCAACCTACAGCTTCATGGTATCATCGGTTGGTCCGATCACGAAGCTCTGGACTGGTCTAAGGTTGACGAAGACCCATTGCATGACACATGGCCACTGTTTACTTGCTTCTTGGCTGCAGGAACGCCATGCGTACGCCAACGGGCACCATCGACGAGCGTGAACAGCTGCGGTTGAAGCTGACGAGGTGAGCGATTTGGAAAGCGACGGACATCATGATCTGTGATTGATATAAACGGCATAGCTATCAAGCACCACGCGGATACCCGAGCCGAACTGGAGACTACGAAACAGAGATTGGTAGCTCTCAATGTCGAACGCAACGCCTTGCAACACAAACGCGGTGTTCTAAACACAGACGTAAAGCAGCAGGAGAGCGACATTGAGGCGGACTTCCAGCTTCATGCACAAGAAGATTGTCGTGCCTTCTATGATGCAGTTTACATCCGCTCTCTACGCGAGATTCGTGACCTGATCCATACCTTCATCCACCCTTTTAAACGGTTCGGAGTGACAACAACCGCTATTGAGTACAGAACACTTTCCAATGGGTCCACTGGTGGTTGCCTGTGAACACTCATTGGACGCGGGAAGCTTTTGTCGGCAAAGCGATGCGCCTGGAACTGCACGAGCACAACTTCCGATCGACCACCTCCTCATTTGGTTTAGACATCAAGCTGCTGGGTATATTCCGCTTAGTTTTTTTTTTTTACCGCCAATGCCGTCTTGGATATGTTCCAGTGCACTTCTTGGCCCACGTTGAACTTAATCTTGATTGTAGAGAACATGACTTCAGCCTTCCAAACGAGGTTCAAATCAATGACGAAGAAGACAGAGTGGAGAGACGAAGCGATGGCGGTTGGGGCTGTGGCTGGGATTATCAATGTGCACCTATCCATGTTCTAGCAATTCTGAAATCGGTATTCGGATTTCGAACTGGCACCAAGACCGAGATCCGTGTCACGCCGAATGACCAGTGGGATATTGACAATCATAGCAGGCAATGGTTTGCCGCCGATCAGATTGTTTTTCAAATTCGCTCAACATTGCAGCAACTCGAAACGGCAGGATACGTCACACGTGTTCAGTTCCTACTTAGGAAAGACTCTATCACTACTTGACCGTTCACTATGGGAGGGCATTATCTTTTGAGGCATGCAAAGAAGCCCTTGCGCGCATAAGTTCTACTTCGTGTCACGTTCGGGCACATAGAAAGCTGATGTTCTCAGTTCAAGCTACAGGAGTCGAAGCGACAGGCAGAAGAGGCTGCGCAAATGTGGAAGGAGCTCCCTACACTCGATGATAAGACATACCAAGAGGAAGCCGAGTGAAGTAGGCACGCGTAAGAAGGTCGTTGGCTCTCACACTTCAGCTACATCAGGACTAGCGAGATCACGGAAAGGTCGAAGGAGACAGACTTGAAGGATCAGGACAAGGTTGCGCGTATCGGGAGCGCTTGCATGCTATAGCCAACTTATCTCTCCGCAAGCATCGATCAGGTTATATATGTTGTCAACTTGTATGAAACATGCTGCAAAATCTCGAATGACCGGTATCGGCTATTGATCCGGGTGAAGGTGACCTGCACGTGGCCACGTGTTTGCAGGCGCAGGCACAGCGAGCGCCCCACTTTCAGGTATATCTTCCAGACACTCGCTCCCACCTCACGCGATTCTCATGACATACCAGTCGACACTTGCAGAAACACCATGGCTACGCCTGTGATGCCTAACGAGTGCGAGCAGTCTCGCACAGAGCTCGTGCAGTAAGCTATTACCGGAGTGATCACTGCGAACAAGCATTCATTGACTTTGTTCAGAGCTCTGCGATCTCAAGTAACTGCAAATGTGAACATCAACTCTATCGAGACGAAGCTGAAGGCTTTGAGTCGCAAGCGTAACAGCCTCCGCGAGGTCGCAACCGCTGCAAACACGAGCGTACAAGAAGGCTTTTGACGACTACGCTAGTACTGTCCGCTGAACTTTCTGCGAAAACGTCCATGCGAAGTTCCCTCGTGAGGTGCGCGACATAATTTACGGATACCTCTACAAGAAGCAGCTTCCTCTGTGGGTGAACAACAGAAAGAAAGAAACTACCTGTGTTCCTAGCTATGGAGGGACTATATAGGCCCCGGAGGCTTACGTGACAGGATACATGATCTACAAACCGTGTTGGCTAACATCTTGTCGCAGGCCAAGCGTTTTCATGAACATGAACTGCGTTATAAAACATGTCGAGGGCCTGAATATAAGCTGAGTTAGGATGCAAGAACAATACACACACTCCTTTTTGACTCCCTACGTCTACAATACCTGCACCCAACCGTGCGACACATCTTCACATTACCTCGCAATACTTCAAGACCCATGGACCACTTGCGCAGTATAGTGCTCCTGTCTACCTGTGGAAATCCGAGATGTTTGGTATACCTATGCACCCGGAGTTTTGCGAGCACTTCTTTCGCTTCAACACCTTCCGCTTCTTCGACGATTCTGAGCTGTTGCCTGAGTTCCGAACGACAAGTCAATGAGATATCGGTTACGTGCCTGCGGAGTTCACTGCAAACGTTAAGGTCGACGTTGTTTGCCGCAACTACGACTTGGAGAAAGAGAGAAAAGAGAGCCTTAGGCCGAGAAATAAAACAGATGCTCGAACTCTACCTGAGGGCAGGACAGCGGAGGGAACAACTGGACAGAGACGTCCCCAGAGGCCAAACTGAAGTCGCGCGCAGAATTTTTGATGGATCCGGAGGCAATATTAGATTTCTCTCCCGGCACAAAGCGGACGATCAGTGTGCTCCCAAAACATGTTGAGTGGGGATCGTTGTGGCTTGGAAAACCACCAGTGGGCATTTGATAACATTGTACCCCTCCTTATACCTGTGTTCGAACGCCTCACAGTCTGTGGCTACCAAGTCTGCCTCGTACTCAGGGGTCCCTGCTGGTTCGGGTCCACTGAAGACTTCGTCAAGGAAGGGGGTTATCTCTCGAGAGTCGTACAAGGATGACTTCGAAAAGGTAAGTGCTTGTGCCAAACATTTATTTGCTATAACATAACTCACAAACTCAGTTCAAGTTTCAGGTTCGTGAGCGACAGCGAGAAGCTGACCTTGAAGAAGCCGCCGCTGAGACTGATGGTGAAGGGGACTATGAGGAAGAGGGATTCGACTTTCGTGATCTTCTGCCGATGGTCATATGTCGCAGCATTCATCACGAAAGGCATATAACATTATAAATGTGTACAAGCTCGGGTCGACGGATATGCTCTGCGCTGGCACGGGCTTCGCTCACTTGCGAGTGGTGATCGTTGATTGGCTATGTGGAACCGTCTACGCCGCTCTAGGCTAGTCACGTCCACACGCCGGTGTGAGCACCTAAGTAAGCTATCAGCAGTACCCAGATGGATCATCAAGAATGAGCATCTGCACGAATACAATTCGAACCCCGAGACTCTTTCCAAAGCCTTCAAAATGTCTCATATAATTTGCCCAAGGTCACAACAACTATTGCATGATCGTACATTTCAGTACGCTCGAAAGGTTCTAGACACCCACAGTCGAGGTACTGATACAAACGCGTAGAGCACTTGTAATCGAAAATACCCGCAGAGCTCGCATCAATGCCCTCCAACAGCGCCTCAATGCTTTGGAACATGACCTCGCCATCGAAGCAGCCGAAACCCAGCTCAGCCTCGAGGCCTTCGCAAAGTCAGAATGTCGCTCACTAACAGACATGTTCATGATCAAGTTCCCTCGCGAACTACGTGATATGGTTTATCGCCATCTCAGCACCAAAGAAGAGAGGATTGACAGCGACTACTTCCGCTCAACCATGGATCCAATCACGAAGTGCTATTCTTACGACCAAGCGCGCTGGAAGACAGCGCACTTTCCGGAGCACTTCTGGAGTACGGATTATGTGGATGCAGAATTTGTGAGAGAGTTGAGTGAGGCCTACTACAGCACTTCGAAGTTCATCTTCGGCGATGGGCAGGGTCTGATTGGCAAGTTCCTGAACACCGATCAACTCGGTCTTGGATTTCCGCCAAAAGAGCTAGTATCGAACATTGAGGTGCGACTCAGTGCGATAACACACGATCGTGGATCGTTTCGAGCGTATATCTTCGGTGTGCCGAAACCGCCAGAGAGACTGCAAGCTGCGCTTCTAGGACTGATGGAGCTGAAGTCTGGGTCAAGCGTGTGCATTCAGTTTTCGACTGAAGCGAAGTGTGCGGATGAGAGAAGAGAGTTGTTTGTTGGCGCGCTGCCGGTGTTGTTTCCCAAGATGCAGGTAGCAGCACTCGCGGGGTACAAATTCAAGTATGTGCTTGACCGCAAGTATGTGTTTCGACTAGAGGGGGATGTGTTGAAAAACTTAGAGGAGGAGCTTTGGGATGTGAGTAGTATTCCAGAGTGTGCAGAGTCGATTGCTGATGTTTGTAGATACCGGACTACTACAATACTGGTGGGTCGTCGTTTCGTGCGGCACCAAACGCGAGCCCTTTCAGTCCGTATACAGATTGATTAGTGGCACTCCCTTAAAGGAGAAGAACACTTGTAAACTGAGCCTGACGACCGCGGCCAGGCAGGCCTCAGGGATATGGAGAATGCTTGAGACGGTAATGTTACCTTGAACATCGTTCTTCGGCAACCCTGTTCAACAGGAGATGTAAATAGCAGTATCTGTGTATGGAAATCGGGCGATGATATCGCTAGGGCGGTTGTTGCGTTAGTAAACAGGCAACGATAACATGAGCAATACGATACGGAAGCTATATCGAAGAGACGTCGATAATTATGTGGATGGAGATCAATACTACAATACGAAAGCGTTCTGCGACCTTGTGTACTTCAGCGCCCTCTCGAGATAACAGATCCTGTGCCAGATCTCGATGTGTGCAGCTTAGGCTCTGCGGTAGATCTGAGTACAATCTTCTAATTTAATTTCCCTACTAAACTCCATGATATCCTTGATGCCGTTGCATTGGATCAGCTCATCGATCACAGTCCGGCCAAGGTCGGTAATCGAACTTGACTTAATAAGCCCGGCAATGACCGGGAGAGCCACATCAACCACACGTCCAATGTCTTCGACAAGCACGTGGTTGTGCAAGAGAGCCTTTGAGATCAAGATCCGAGTCACATCTTGCTTGCCCTGTTTCGCAGCACACCACACACGCTTTGATACCGACAAGCCGCCCAGCAATTTGCTAGTTTCAGACGCAAGATACGCAGCTACCAAATTTGAGTTCTTACTCTTCGCCACGATATTCAAAGCATCTATGGCGAAGAGGCGCGCATATTCAGGTGTTGTCAGAGGATGCTCCAGGAGGTTGCTCCAGGAGGTTGATGATCAGGTCAGGTAGTCCCTCGTCTGCCTCGTAATTCTGTAGTTGAGTGGACTTGCGGATGAGTCGAAACAGACAGAAGAGACGAATGTTGTGTTCGGTGCTGGGATAGACGGTCAAGTGCGTGGCATCGTAGAGTGGGAGCCAGTAGTTGAGACCGTGTGAGTCGAACAGAGTGGAGAATATGTCTTTGGTGAGATGTTCCAAACGCGGCAACCATATCCTTGAATAGTTGTTATCGCTCCATTGAAGTGACCTTAGTGCGGTCGTCCATGACCAGATCGGCAGACCTGTCAGTAAAGACCGAGAGGAGACAGGGATGTGCCTCGGCGCGTTCCATACGAGCTACGAGGTAGGGACGAAGCAGACTTAGGGGTAAAGGTCGCGGGACCGAATCCTCTGGGGCAATCTTGAAGTTCATCGGGTGGCCCATGAAGCAACACCTTCGCTTGGGAGGCGGCAAGCCTGTATGATCCTCGGATGCAGCGTGACGTTTACGGCAACGAACCATTTGATGAACCATCATCTGTGGATTCAACTCTATCTTGTTGATCTCGAGGAGTTTATCTACATTGCGCGGAAAGATCTGGTCAGAGCGAGCAAGGACTCTCAGCACTTCCTTGTTCACTGTGCCTGACATGCGTAAGCCAATAACAAGACGCCATAAGCAAACATGTCTTACTAGAAGTGAGCCGTAGTTCCAGGACGTCTTCGAGCGGAGGCACAACGTCCATATGCTTGATGATCTGAGCGAGTATCCCGACTGGTATACGCATAATGACCGGACAGTGGAACGCAGTAGTGTGTCGAAGGAAGGGCGATCGTACTGAGAGCTACGCACGGTGCTGTGAAGTCGTGAGACCGGATTTGGATGAAATAGACTGATGTGCTAGGCTGAATCAGATGAAGGTGAGCGTCCGAATACACTTGGTTTCGAAGGTCAGCGATGCGTGGTCGAGCATAGATCGCGTTATATGAGAGTGAGCTGGAGGGTCACGTGTTTCACTGTTTTAGCGACCTGTACTGGAAAGAGCGGAGCGGGACATGATGTACGCAACAGTAACAAGGCCTTCAGTCTGCCGTGTGGGTTCGTGCTGTATTAGTGTCTCGTATGTTGGATGTGGGTGCGCATCGAATGTGAGGTATTGTTGTCCATGCTTGATTGCTGTCTCATGTTGTCTGCTGCTGGGGCCACCTGCAGTGCACATCGTCTCTCAATGAACCTGAGCACCACCAAGGCTCTTGCGCAATCCCCGTATACCACCCAACGAAACAAGGAGACCGAGAAGGGCTAGGCCAATGCAGCAGAACAAGCCAGTCTGGTACTGCTTGGCTTCCGTGTGCCCCTTCTCGATATCAACTGCGTTGACGACAGCCGCGGCAAGTGCGAGGCTGACGCCAGATCCGATCTGAAAAGCAGTGTTGACAAGTCCGCCGCATAGTGACTTGACATTCGTAGGGACAGACTCGAGCATGATGTTCGTGATACAAATGTAGCTGATGCTGACACCAACAACGACCATGATCGAGGTGGGTAAGATATACCGCCAACTACAGGTACCGTCATTAAGGTCTAAGAGCCGCAAGATTGAGTTCGACTTACAAGTTAGGGTCATCTGCCGGCATCAGACTGGCAGGGACGGGCGAGATGAGGGTAATCACCATGCCGAGCGTCATCAGATACCCGATATCCATGTACTTCATCCACTTCGCAAGAACCATGTTCGTTATGAAGCCTGCAGCGCCCATGGGCAGGAAACGCAGAGCCGTTGCGCCTGCTGATAGCTTCGCGACCTCCTGAGCCTGCAGCACGACGTAGTAGATCACAGTCTGATAAGCCCCATATACCACTAGCGAGGTCAGCACTTTCCCTGAGCGTAAAGAATAGACGAATTTACCAAAGCCTGTGATCCACAGGGGCGCGAAGTTCTTGATCTTCCAAAGTGACATTGGCATGATCGGATTTCGAACCTTCTTCTCGACATACGTGAAAACCCCAAGCATGACGACTGAAACGACCAGCAGAGTGATGATGAACGCCTTGTTCCAACCATACTCGCCGCCGCTGGATAACACGAACGAAAGCAGGATTAGACCCGATGTCGAAAGACCTGCTCCGAGAAAGTCGAGACTTGGCTTTGCGCTTCCCTCACGACGATCCTTGGGAAGGTAGAAGCAGCCAATGAGCCCCAGCGGGGCCGTGACTGCGACGGCGATACGAAAGATGTATCGCCAGCCAAGTGCTTCCGTCACAAAACCACCGAACAGCAGACCTGCGCAAAATCCAATAGCGCCGCTTGCACCAAAGAACGTGAGCGCCACCACTCGCTCGCTCGCAACAAAGTAGGAACTGATGATGCCGATCGCCGAAGGTACAGTCATTGCCGCACCTATACCCTGTAAGGCACGGAAGATGGCGATCTGGATGAACGATGTAGCAAAGCCGTTCGCAAGTGTCCATATAGAAAGCCAGACCATGCCGGCACTGAAGATGAATCTTCGGCCATATCTGTCGGCCAGCACACCAGAGAACAGCAAGAATCCTCCAAAAGTGAGTGTGTAGGCGGAAAGAAGCCATTGGAGGTCGCTGGACGAGACGCCAAATTCTGTTTGTACTTCTGGAAGTGACAGGTTGACAGCAGTCATGAAGACGTTATCCATGAGCTGTGCACCGCAGGTGATGGCTAGAATCAAGATACCTTGCCATGTGTGAATGGAGCCAATATTTGGATACGCTGTCTCAGGAAACATCAAAGGGCGCATCTGAGATGACTTCGGTGTCGCCCATCCCGGAGTTGCTTGACCCGAGGGACTCATCCAGCCTGCACCAGGTGTCTGTGTTCCGGGCGTAGTCCATCCTGGAGTCGATGCACCGGCGGGTGTTTGCGCGCCTGCCGGGGTAATTGCGAATATGCTAGTAGGAGGGAGCTCAGAAAATCCAACTCTTTTGCCTTGCCCTGGTCCACCTGGAAGATCTGGGAAATACGAAGATCGTGCAGAGATACTTGCCGCTTTCGGTGTGGATAGTGGGGTCTGGCCATCTTGACCAGTCACAACGAACGAGCGTCGTCGCTCGCCGGTTGTTTGGCTGAGCTCAAGAGCGGTCTGAGTAGACATCTTGGTTGTCAGAGAGGGTCAAGGAGGATCAAAAAGTTCGCAGACTACTGTGCGAATCGTTTGGGCATTGTACGCATATTTCAAGAGCACCTCAAGCGGGGCTTTTTGCCATCACGTCATGTTGGATTCGCAAAAGTGGACCCTCTCCAGATAAGAGCACTACAGACGTGGTAGCCATCGGAGAAAATTGCCCGAGTTATTGCGAGCTACTTTCCAAGCGTAGTATCGTGAGGTTTTCCACTTCTCATCGTGGTGTTGAGGCGTCAGGGTTTTCGCCGATCCACTACCGTGATGCAGAAAGTGGCAACGGTGCGCCCACGTGGCGAGCACACTGCATGGCAGGCCGTCGTAGTACGGGACCAGTCGCTTCTCGTGCAGAAGGCGCAAGATGTTTGCGCGTTTCAAGCAGGTGTCGCGCCGTTGTGAGCGAAAAGTTGTTCGCCGCCCGCTGCAGGGCTCCCGCAATCTCAGCCTCAGCTACAAAATCGAAAACTAAGCTCAATTCGGCATGGCCGTCTCGCTTCGGCTGCATCCCTGCATACGCAAAATCGTGAGGGCAGCGGCTGAAACACCACGAACACATTGCGCGCTCACGTGAATTGAAGTAGTAGCATTCGAAGGTTTTTCGATCATCACCTGGCTTGATTCGCGTCTTTAAGTCTTCACCTGGGTCGTTCACAGTGGCCATGGCTGAGCCATCAAACTCCACCACCGGTACCGCTCCTTGCATCAACACCAACACTACCGAGCTAACGAGCGTATCAGTGCCACAAGCGGAGGCTTCGTCTTCCAGCAAGGCGCAAGAAGCGTGTGCACAGTGCAACAAGGCCGATGTGCCGCTAAAGGCATGCAACAAGTGCCACACCACATTGTACTGTGGTAAGGACTGCCAGAAAGCACATTTCAAAACGCATAAGAAAGCATGCGCATCACTTGCGCAGGAGTATGTGAAGAACAACGAGCCCAAGATGGCAAGCAGATCAGCACCGAAGGCGAATGATAGGAACACTGGATATAAGAAGTGGGAGGTATGGGACGCGCTGCGGCTGGAGGTGTCAATACGACCGAATGCTGACAAGCGACAGTTCGACACATGAGCACTGAGCACCGAACATAGGATCCAAGGTATCGGAATGAATCATCACACAGTTTTCGTCTGCGCTCCGCTCCGCTGCACATTGCGTGAGGTCTAGATGCGATGGCGGAAGCACAGAGCCTCTTCTTCGGTAAAACGGCAAGATGATACAACGACCTCGCCTACGGCAAAGACGGCAGCAAGTAATCACAACATTTGCGCGAGTCTATCCAGCAACATTAGTATCCAGATCAAATGAAAGAACTGTCTTACGCTGCTGCAAGAATCTCAAGTGCCTTGACTGCCCTACCCTTGGGGTTGAGCATACTCGAGATCTGACCTTCGGATCTACCGAATGTTAATTTGAGTGAAACCTGGCAACCATCGCTCTGATCCACTGCTCTGCTGGGCCTGATTGGTCCCTTGAGTGGCTTCTGACGGCACATGTTGCAGTTGCAGTCTTCGAGGGCAGGACAAGGCTTCGGCATATCTTCGAAGATCTCGACCAGGGGCCAGGGCGCATGTGGTTGTGTCCGCAATGCCACACGTATCAACGATCTCCAGGGATCAACTGAACAGGATATTTGACCATGACCATGATCATGCCACAAACACTAAGACCATTTCCACTCCGCTTTGCTGAAGTGTGGACATGAGGCCCGCACACTTCGCTTCGCTTATGCCTTGTACCACCGGACAACGAAGGCACAGATGATGGACAGGGAGCCAGTCTTCAGCATAGGCCATGCAATTATGTCGCAGGGATTTCGATGATTTACACTCCGCTTCCCTGGGATGTGGAGGCTTACGACGGATGTTTTGGCGGAGGCTCGTGAGCCGTTCTGTCGGGAATACGGCAAGATGATACAACGACCACATCCGCGGATCGAACGGCAAGAGGTTATTTTGACGTCGCTCGAAAATATTGAATTCCTGTCTGATGATCCCCTCAGAGTATGCTTACAGCCTTCAAAAGGGGCTTTCTTGTGGTGAGCGGCTGTGGAGGTGCATCGCTTGCTTGCTCCCGATTTCCGTTGAGGATCGACTTTATGCCACAGCCTATAGCTCTGCGACTATGTGTCGATTGCTGTGCACATAGACGAAGTCCATAAGTCTTCTGTAAATATATAATCTGCTCACTGTCAACGGGGCTATGTGAAAATATCATCCGCAACTACTCACCTGAACGCGCCTCATGACAGGACCCATACTCGTCCCAATTGCTCAGAAACACGGTATTAAATTCACCTGTCGTTGTATACCGGGACTTGTGTATAATTGTTCGCAATGTAAGTGTTGAGAGTATGCGCTAAGAGGCGAGGTAATGGATAAGACATGCACTGTCTATACAGGTGCTCCCTCAGCCACAGTGGCTCGTGAATTCTTGCAAACTCAGAGGCACCCACTCTTCCCAATTTCAAAATTCCACCGTTGCGCAGTCGCACGCCATGTGTATCGAAGCCTGCAACGTTAGATCATGCAAGCCACGAGCAGCTGCGCGGTGTTTCAGGGGCAGCTTTCACCGCTATGCAGAAATCGGGCGCAGAGAAGTTTCAGTAAAAAGTGTATTACATGCGCGGCATATATATATATATATAAACAAGAATCCGCCTTCAAAGCTTCCAATGTATCGAATGCATCAAATCGTGCCATGCTGCATCAAGCGTCTGTGATCCCATTGCGAGTCGTAGTACGACAACCAGGACAATCTGCCTAGCAAGACGAAAGTGTCTAGCGACACAAAAGCTTCTAGCAAGACTTGATGGCCGAGGCGGTGTACTTGCAGTAGCTGGAGGGGCCCTTGGAGACGGACTTGGGCTCGTTGCCGGGGGTGGTGCCCTTGAACTCCTCGCAGATGGCCTTGACAGAAGAAGCGCAGGTGGAGGAGATAGTGGCAGTGCCGCCGAAGTTGGGGTTGATACCGGCGAGGAGCTTGCCAGAGTAGGCCTGTTGTGTTGTTAGACGCTGTTTGCGATAGATAATCAGGAACTGAGCTTACCTTGACGTTCTTGATGACGACGCTGCGAGAGACAGAGTTCTTGCAGTTACCGCAAGCACGGTAGAGCTTGCCGAAGTCGGAGACCTGGAAGCCGTCGATGGTGACGGTTCCCTTACCGTTGTGCTGGACAACCTTGTCGGAGGCAGACTGAGCACCGCCACCCTTAACGAGGGCGTTACCGTCACCCTTCAGGGAAAGAGCGTCCTCGCAAACGTCGACCCACCAGACGTTCTCGATGGTGCAGGAGCCCTCGCAGTGGACACCCTCGATCTGGTCTGTGAGGTGTTAGCATGTGGATTGATAACTTGAGCGTAGAGTTACTTACCCTTGCCAATGATGGCGTTCTTGAGGGTACCGCCGTTCTTGATGATGAAGACGGCGTCAGCGTCGCCACCCTCAGCCTGACCAGTGCAGGAAACACCACGGCCGTAGGTCTTAAGACCACCGTCGAAGGTGCCGGAGACAGTCTGGGCCTTCTTGTAGGTAACAGAGCCCTTGGACGTGGGGATGGAGATGGTAGCACGCTTCTGCATGGCGAAGGCCTCAGCAGGGGCGGAAGCGGCAGGGCCGGCGGCAATGGGGGCCACGAATGCGGCAACAGCGGCGATGAGAGTGAACTTCATGTTGTCGGTTGGTTGGTGATACTTTGAAAGTTGAAAGTAGAACTTGTTGGTAAGTATGTAGAGAGAATGGAAGTAGTGAGCGTGTAAAGAGAGTGGGTTGCTTCAAGCAAACGAAAGACTGTAGTAAGAGAATGAACTGCTCTTCTAACGATGCGAGCATCGTGGTCTTTATACTCGGTGTCGCTGTCATCCTACTCAAAGCCTCTCGACCTGCGTAAGATTGTATGAGCGGTAGGCTAGAGCTCCATGCAGAATGACTTCCCGGCGCTACACTGCGGCAAGGTACTGCAGGTCATGGCTGAAACCTTGAATCGCTCGTATTCGGGGGAGGGGAGGGGGGGGTAAGAAACAGCGAAACCGAGGGCGGTTTGATCATCCACTCCTCTCTCTGCCCGGGCCTTTCTCCTGGATCATTTCCTCGCCTGTGTTGCCAAGAGCTCTAGTAATTGTGGATGTTCGATGTCATGCCGCCTTACACCTTCGCGTATCGGGTCGATACAACAACTTGAACACAACAGGGTAGGCGATTGTTTCAAGAGATTGTTTTGAGATTCTCCTCCTATCGGAACAAATTACGGAAAATCTTCAATGCGCTGCACTGATCCGCAGGACATGTCAAGCCACCTTGGCATGTTTCGCAAAAAGCTTGGCTCAGGGCGTTGCTAACGGCTTCCTTGACAGCTGTCAGCAGGTTACAGTTCCCACACCCGACTGTGTAAACAAGTGCTATGCCCGAGATAGTCGCAGCTCATTTCGAGACTTGATGCATATATTGAAACAGTGGGGAGTCATGACCTCAAAGGCCTCTAAACTCTCCTAGCTCTTGCGGTGAATATGGACCCGACCCACAATCCTATGTACCGCAGCTTACCGGAGGTCTTCGAAAAGGAGGATCATCTGAGTCGAGACGAGGCATGATCTGTGACAGGGAAAAGACCAGGATAGAAAACAATCTTCATGACCGCCTCAAGAGCTTAATCTTAAGCTTCTTTCGCAGCCTTCGATGCCTACAGTGAGTGCCAGATCTCGCAGTGTGTGGGGAGGCCGCAAAAAAGACGCACTGTCGAAACAACAGTTACTAAGCTCATCACAATGACTTGTCCTGCGTTTCGAGCTGCATGCAGGTGATATCAATGTTGCAGGGCTGTACGAGCGCGTGGAATGATAAGCTATAACAAGCTTGACGGGGGTGGAGATTGCTGTTTTGGTGAAAAGTCCAGTCGTGCCTGCCAAGCACCTTCCAGGCTTGGCAGGAACATGCGAGTCATCGCTGCCCGCTTCAGGGCCTGCCCTTTCATCTTATCACCGACCTTGAATAGAATCGATTCCATCCGCATTCGGCGCGACTTTGAAACCCAGGTGCTCGCCCTGGAGATTGTGAGAGATGCGCGCATAGCTCTCCTGAGCGCTCCGCGGGTTTAGCGTCTAAACCAGCAATGAGCGCCTTCTCGAGCAGAGTGAGAAAGGCAGGTTCATCGAAGGCCCCAGTTAGCCGCCATGACGCTTGTAGAATCTCCGGACGTCACGAAAATCGTATCTACAGACCATGGACGAGCATCGAGTATGCCAAGTAAAATTGACTGGACGCTCCATCCCCACACGGCAAGCAATTCGTCGGAAGCAGACAGCCTGCGCAAGGTACATGATTAGCGCCACCGCCATTTTCGTCCCACAGCTGGCTGGGCACAAACTCGAATGTGTCACCCAGACCACCTGCAACCGTGAATGACCTTCAGGCGACGAGATTCGGCGCGATTGTCACAAAAGCACCATGCCAAGACCGCAGACACTCGCACTCGGAACCGAATCGAAAGTCGAATCTTACCAAGACGATGTCTTGCTATCCGATGCAAACATTGCAGACTGTCGTCAACCTTGAATCTGCGAATCTAACTTAACATTCGTACTGATTCAGTCAGTCAATTAGTCTTGTTAGACCGAGAGTGTCGAGTGCTGTCAGACGAACCAATCTGTCAGAAGAATAGGACCCAGTGTGCCAGACAAGTCGAGTAGAATCACAGCACCTTATCGAGCTGATGCATGTCCACACTTGGGATGGTATCGATCGATGTGCTGCGCGAACCAGCGAAGCGCAAACTTGAACCAGGACGCATACGATCTTGACAACGTCCGACAGCTTGTGCAGCTGAGGAGTCAGGCGAGAAGCTCAAGCAACCACGTGTAGGCAGCATTCTAGCATTGTTTTCGTAGCGGAACAACGCTCACACAACGTGAAGACTGCAAGAACCAGAGAGAGATAGCTCAGGGGGCTTTCGCTTGGTGGTGAGTACTATTGCATGATAGATAGACGTTTAACGTCAAGATAATTTACAGAGGCTAAGTAGTTGTTGCATGTCTTCGTGTGCTTGCTCAGAAGTTGTCTCTGAACATGACGTTTTGTCAGCCATCGAGGTACTCACACATACATATCTACAAACACAACCTCGCACGCACACACTACTATCTTCTTATTTCTGGCGACCTTTCAACACGTCCAAGCAACTAACAACCAGATGACTTCCGAGCTCTCCGTTTGCACAACTCACAAGCCTATGTATGGATACGGCACCGACGGAAAGAGTAATCCAAGTCCATCGAACGACAAGCCTTTTGAGTGCTTCGCTCCCAACACAAGGCTTGCGACACAGCTCTTGATTGTCCAATTACGGCCCAGCCGAGGTGGTTTGATGATTGATGGACGCTTCGAGTGGTGACGCAATTCCAAATGATTGTCAAAGCTCCTTCCCCCGCCACTGAAGCTATGCGCCACCAGCATCAGCAACATCTCCAGCTCGCCTTTGGACCTGCAACTCTGCACCATACCTTCGCCTACATAATCTCGACTCATGCGCTTCCCATCCTTCCCTCCGTTCATCCGCGCCTTCTGCACAATCAGCAACACAACAAGCGCATTCATCCGCGCCAACCCCGCAAGCACACTCGGCCGCACATTCTACAACAGCCCCCAGCGCGTCACAATCCAGCGATCTATGCCAAGCATCCCCTTCCTCGGCGCGCTCTTTGGATCATCCAGCAGCATGGCAGACAACACGGACTACCCCGCCTCAAAGCCCGAAGGCGAATGGCAGGCACAGCTCTCCCCTGGTCCGTCTCTTGCCTACCCGCTCACTATCCATTCCATCCACCATTCTAACGCACCACAGAGCAATTCCGCATCCTCCGCAAAAAAGGTACCGAAATGCCCGGCTCCAGCAAATACGACAAGCACTACCCAGACGCCGGCGTCTACAGCTGCGCGGGCTGCTCCGCACCTCTGTACAAAGCCAACCACAAGTTCGACTCTGGGTGCGGATGGCCGGCGTTCTGGGATGCGTTTCCGGATGCTGTGGGGCAGAGGCCGGATCCGGGCTTGGGTATGATGAGGACGGAGATTGTGTGTAATAACTGTGGGGGGCATTTGGGACATATTTTCAAAGGGGAGCGGTTTGGAAATCCGAAGGATGAGAGGCATTGTGTTAATGGGGTTAGTATTAACTTCAGTCCGGAGGAGTCAAAGTGAAAGCAGTCGTGAGACATGGTGAAAAAGGCAAGCAGAGGGGCTGAATAGTATGTAGCAACAGGTGGACCATGCAGGAACAAACGAGAGAAGAAGACATATCACGATAGAGCTCTAGCCAGGTGCGTAAAGGTGTTTGGCCATGCAATCGGGCAGGTACTTGCCTCTTGACGTCGTCTTTGAACCTGAGGAAGGTACAGCTTACGATTCGCTTGTGCTGTTGACTTGACCTGACCTCCTTCCATCAACAACCCTCACAACCTTCATCATCAACGTATTGCAATACGCTCCAGCACAGTCAATCGTTTTCCGGTGGCAAAAAAGCGGCTGCCATCGCCAATGAGAGCCACGGAAATATCTTTACACGGCGGCAGAGCGACGTCGTGCATTAGCACCAACTATTACCACCAGAGTCATACTTTTCGTCATGCTGTCCCAAGCCTTTCTTTCTACTCGGTTCACTCGCAGAGAGATCAGAGCTGCTTCAGACTAGGAGCTTCGCACACTGATGAGCGCAAATTCGAATTGTCAACCCAGCGTCATTGTCGCGTCCGGGAATAACTCCTCGCAACCACCTCGGAATCGGGAAACTTCAAACACCGACAACACCGACCTTTTCGAAGATGATGATTTCGACTTCTCGTCAGGTGACGACAGGAGTGATGGGGACCATGGTCGTGGTCTCCTGGCTGCGAAGCAACTTCAGCTGCATCGGCAACTTTCGATAGCGACGAACATTCGAGCTGGCACCGCACTTCCACAGATTGATGACACCGAGCAAGCTGAAGCCGCGAAAGAGAAGCCAATATCATGGCGCTCACTACCCCGCAAGGATCAGCTCTTCGTGATTACTTTGGCACGCCTCTCCGAGCCATTGACGCAGACTTCGCTTGGGTCCTACCTCTTCTACCAACTCCAGTCGTTCGACAAGACACTGCCTGATGCCACGATCTCCTACCAAGCGGGTATACTCCAAGCCGCCTTCCCATTCGCGCAGTTCCTGACTGCCATGTTTTGGGGTCGTGTCGCAGACTCCGAGTATGGCGGGCGAAAACGAGTCGTCTACATCGGCGTGCTAGGAACCATGTGCAGCATCATTGGCTTCGGCTTTTCGCAGAGCTTTCCTATGGCGGTAGCGTTTCGGTGTCTGGGAGGTGTGCTGAACGGCAATGTTGGAGTTATGAGGACGATGATTAGCGAGATCATTAAGGAGAAGAAGTACCAGAGCAGAGCCTTTCTGATCCTGCCCATGACGTTCAACATTGGTGTCATTATTGGACCAATACTTGGTATGTGTTGCGCGTAGCAACGATCCGAGACTTCTACTGACATCCTCGCAGGTGGAGTTCTGGCAGACCCAGTTGGCAGCTATCCCTCCTGGTTTGGACCCGGCTCACTCATCGGCGGTAAGAGTGGTGTCTACTGGATGAAGCGTTGGCCATATGCTCTGCCAAACATCGTGAGCGCGTGCTTCCTTCTCTTTTCGGCATTGGCTGTTATCTTCTTCCTGGAAGAAACAAATGAGCTTTGCAAGGACAAGCCAGACCCTGGCTTATGCATAGGCAGGATGATTCGCCGCTACGTCTTTCGCCAACATATCGCAACCGAGTCGGGTTACTCTGCAGTTCCTACCGACGACTTCGGTGCTTCCAATAGTCTCGAACTCCAGCAAACGCCCACATCAGCCCATCCAGCTACTCCCGCATCCAGCGACAAGACCAACAAGGTACTGCGTCAAAAGCTACCCTTCCGCCGCATCTGGACACGGAACCTCATCCTCACCTTACTCGCCCACGGCCTTATGGCCATGCATGTGGGAGGCTTCAACTCGCTCTGGTTCATCTATCTCTCAACACCACGCTTCGACCCTGCAAACCCACACCCTCCTGGCTACAAACCACACGGCTTCATTCACTTCACCGGCGGTCTAGCGTTACCACCAGCGCGCATAGGAGTCGCATTGGCTATCCTGGGAGGCATCGGCATCACACTGCAGCTTTTCTTGTACCCGAAGCTCTCGCATCGACTCGGCACAGCGAAGAGCTATCGCATCTTCCTTGCGCTGTTTCCCGTTACCTATGCGCTCGCACCGTTCCTGAGCCGTGTCCTGAGCCGGAGTAAGCCGCCAGCTGGTGTCAGTGGGCCCTTTGTCTGGATGGCCATGATCGGAGTTCTCTTCATCCAAGTCCTAGCCCGGACCTTCACTCTGCCCTGCACGACCATACTGGTCAATAATGTTAGTCCACACCCTTCCGTCCTGGGCACTGTGCATGGTATCGGACAGTCGGTCTCTAGTCTTACAAGGACCATTGGGCCCATCATGTTCTCGTGGGTCTTTGGCAGAGGTTTGAATGTGGGCATTGTCGGCCTTGGTTGGTGGCTTATGGCGGCTGTTGCTACTGTTGGTTGCATCGCAGCGCAGTGGGTAAGAGAAGGTGATGGTCACGAGATTTTGCTTGAGGGCGAGGTTAGGGGGAAGGATGGGGAAGTGCGGAGAGTCGACTGAATGTACTCCAGCAAATGCGACGCGACATCGCTCTCAACATGCATCCCTGGGCGGTCTTGTCGTATTTCTTGAAGATTGTCACAAGCTGTTGGCTTGTATGGACTTGACGACAGTACCGCGGACAATTCAGGTTCACGCAAGATGCAGGTACACAATTCTGCATGTGACTACAATTTGCGTCGAACCCACGTGTGCGCTAACGCTCAGATTCATACGCTGTGGCATGCCGCGTAGGATGCAGCCAAGCAAGCCAAGAACCGTTCGCTATTCTTGACCTCACCACCATGTGGACCAAAACGGAAGCTCGCAAGTCTCGAGAGCGGAAAGTCGGGACCTTGCAAGATTATTGTCCACAGATGATGGATTGAGCGGACACGTTCGCGCAGTGCAATCTTGCAATGCGGGTCGCACAAGGCTGTCATGAGAGACGAGTATGTTGGCGGTTATTGGCATGCAAAGAACAATAGTTCTGTAAGATCATGGGGCAAGTCCTTGTGAACAAATGATGGTATAAAAGCACCTTGCGCATCGAATACGAACAGCAGCTCTTACAAGCACACTTCTCAGCCTCAACAACAAGATGAAGTACGCTCTCTCCCTCACGATTGCCGGAGCGCTTCTTGCGCAGGGAGCCTCCGCACTCTGGCTCCTGCCTACGGCCCGCAACTTTATCTACATTGTGCCTGATGGCTATGGCCCAGCTTCGCAAACTATGGCCCGGGACTATGTCTCTTTGCTTCAAAACGGCGAGAACCCTAAGGCACCAGTTTCGATTCAGCTTCCTGCAGACCAGATGGTCATTGGCAACGTCAGGACACAAGCAAGCGACAACTTGATCACCGATTCTGCGGCTAGTGCAACGGCGTTTGGTTGCGGTGTCAAGACATACAACAATGGTATGTCCACGTAGTCTTCAAACAAGTTCCTGATGCTGATGCATGTTTGTAGCTATCGCTGTAGACGATGACGGTCAACCCGTCGGCTCAATCCTCGAAGCTGCCAAGCTAGAAGGCTTCAAGACCGGCCTCGTCGTAACCTCAACCATTAACCACGCCACTCCTGCTTGCTACGCCGCTCACGTTGCCGATCGGAACTCCTACGAGAAGATCGCTGAGCACGAGATTGGGTACTCTCACCCACTTGGTCCGCAAGTCGACATCCTCATGGGCGGTGGACGCTGCTACTTCAAGCCCAAGTCCGATCCCACGTCTTGCCGCAAAGATGACATTGATCTTTTCGGCTATGCAAAGGAGAAGGGGTATCGCGTTATGCAGGACCGCAAGGCGTTCGATGAGTTAAAAAAGGGTACTGCAAAGGCGGCTGATTTGCCTTATATTGGGCTATTTAATGACGGTCAGTATTTTCGGAGTCATGGGTGGTTTTGAGACTGACGAGATCACAGATCAGATGATGTATGAGATCGATCGTCAGCAGAACCCACAACAAGAGCCTTCCCTCCTGGAGATGGTGGAGACAGCGCTGACCTCCCTCGATCGTGCGACGAAGTGGGGTTTCAAGGGTTACTTCCTTATGATCGAGGCAAGTAATGATCATGGTCCTTGGATACCAGATCACAAATACTGACAGACCATGTAGGCAAGTCGTATCGACCACGCTGGACACGCCAACGATCCTGTTGGACATCTGCACGACACCATCATGTATAACGATGTCATGAAGTACGTCCGCGAGTGGATCGACAAACACCCTGACACCATGATGCTATCTGCCGCCGACCACGAATGCGGCGGTCTGACTCTGAATGGGTTCAACCCGCTTCCCCTCAAGGGTGCTAGCATGACGACCGAGCACGCTGAATTGCTTTGGAAGAATTACAATGGTACGGACAAGCGCGCGTACCTCAAGTCCACCATCCTCCCTGGTTACGGACTCGGTGACTTGAGCGAGACGGAAGTCGACACTATTCTTAAGAACAACAAACTCGCTTCCGATCTTTCGAGCCGCTTGAGTAAGAAGGCGGGCGTCAATTGGTCTACCGGTGGGCATACGGCGAGCGATATTACGTTGTTTGGGTATGGTTCTGGATGGCGCGGAGGGAACTTGAGGGCGGACATGGCAGGCAATTGGGATAACACGCAGTTGCCGGGGTATATTGAGGGAGTGCTGAAAGTCAAGATGAGTAAGGTTACGGAGAAGTTGAGGAAGGCGGGGAATGCGTGGGTTGGCAAGCGGGATCTCGATAGTCATGGGCATGTGCACAAGCACTAGCTTCCTGTATACTAATGTACGCGATCGCTTTCAGAATGTTCAGTGTTACTTCCTACGAAGTGAGTGGCCCGAGGCCGCATGTTCAGTTCGTCAATATGCTATCTTGCTACAAGCAGGCTTGCAACCTCTATCTGTGTTGAGTAAGTATCCTCTCATTCTCGTTTAGCTTTAATATCGTTTGTCTTGGGCCCCGTCAAGCCGACGCGAAGGAAGGGCTCTTCTTGCTACGATCACATGGTTCATGCGCGAAGGTCGCGTGCCTTCCGTACAGACTGATCTATCCCGAGGATCTTAAAGTATGTATCAAATTATGGCAGCTTGATCTCGCCGATGGTCAAGTCATGCGCACTCGAACCGAGTCTGAGATCATGGAATTCTGGCGCAAGCGCAATGGTAGGACGCACGTCATGGACCTCCCAACCGAGGTCCGCCTTTTGATCTTCGAGATGGTCATTGCCTCAAGCGGCAAGATCTACCCCCTTATCAAGAGCAAGTGCTCCCATAATCAACGGATTTTGGGTAACTCAGCGGAAGAGAGGATGAGCACACATGTCATCATGGGCATTGGATATTGCATGAATGCAATGGAGGTTTTCGACTGAGCTCCCATGTGTACCGCAATAGCTTGAACGAGTACCCCTAAGAGAACCATGATACTGTCAGTCCGCCCGACCTGGCTCTTCTCTACGTCAACGAGTAAATTAAAGAGGAAGTCTTGAGGGCTGGCTGGAATAGTGTGAAGACATGCTTCATCGATCACCAAATGTTCACTGATATCGCAGGCTCAGCAATAGGAGCCGCAGTCAGCTACAACGTCTTTGGTCGGATTGAGCTAAGGTTCACCAACGCCGGCTGGTTCAAGTTTTTTTGGTTGTAGGAATCGAATCGATGCTGTTTCGCGACAACTCCAGCTCGCTGGGCCATTCTCTAACTTGTCTCAAGTTGAACGCTCAGCTCGATATTCGATTTCATGATCCAGCTGATGGGTACAGCGACGACCCTTGGGGCAAGGTTCGTGATCCATGTCCTACCAGACTGTTATGGTCGACTGGATATTGACGATAGCTTTTCCAGACATCAAGCATATCTGCAAGTTCAAGCTCACAGGCTGTGTGAAGAAGTACCGTCTCCCATCACGAGAGAGCGAATACACCCGCCACTTCATCACGCCGATCTTGCTTACGAAAGGGACCGCGACGAGTATATATACCGCTTCGAGCCCCCGCCTCCTCAGAATGATCCAGTCTTACGCCTCATCAAGACCACCATCCGTCAGCTGATGAAAGAACTGGAGCACGGTGTTGCAATGTGCAACACAAACTTTCAAGTCTTCCTGTCCACGAGCGCACCGCCCATCTGACCACCCGAGGGTGACCATGATGTCAAGTTCTACACCTTCACGCAAGATGACGAGAAGTTCCCTGCAACTGTCCGTGTCTCAGTCATTCCCCGCGAAGGCGCTCTTCACCCTAACAAGATCCACGTGCGCATCTCTGGACAATTGGTGCCTGTTCAACAATGGCTTGTTGACATGGCGAAGAACAGCAGTGCCATGCGTGGCCGTACCCCCGAATCGATCTAGTATTTCTGGAACAAGCTCAATGGATGTTTCAATCAAGTTCAAGAAATTGCCTGCTGAGATTCGTCGCCTCATTCTGTCACGGTTGAGGTGTCTCCTTGCAGTCGGCCGCATGGGCGCTTATCTGCTGATTGGTTGCTACGTCGCACGACTACATATTGACAGCTACACGACATCAACATAGACATTTCCTTATGTATAGCTCCACTCCGTAGCATGTAGAATAGTCAGTTCAATACTTCAATCCTTCCCACATGCGTACTGTCCACTCGCCCCGACAGATTCGCATGTATGCCATCGCTCCGGAGGACGATATTTATCCGATCCGTGATCTTGTCAAGCAGCGCTCATATCCAGAGTCCACGGTGGCTCAGCGAAAGAAGTCACGCATCTTCATGGGCACTGGCTATGCGGGTGGCCGCCAGCTCAAGCTGATGAACGGTGATACAAGCAAGTACGGCCGTCACAAGCCTGTTGAGATTGATCCAAAGGTGTCTCTGCCCAACACCAACCCTCTACTCGTCAGCAAGCGTATGAAGGAAGAGCTCTTGAAGATGGTTGGAATAGTCCAAGGAAGTGCTTGTTAACCGTAGGGTCTTTACCGCCATTATTGACTCCAAGAATGGTGTGGCGAAATTATGACGGTTTATGGAGTGAAGAGGTCATGTCTGCCACATGTGCTGGTGCAGTGCTCTTGCCTGTTCCAACAGCGCTTTCTGGTTGCACGACAGATACGTCATGTAAACAGACCCTGAGGACTGCCAGGTGAGAGAGGCAATCACAGAACAACACAACAGAATATACCGATTTTACTGCCCTGCGCGGTTACACCTTCACTTATTGCATTTACTGCAACAGAAATGCTTCAATGTGCTGGGCCGCATCGAGCTCAGCTTCACTATGGGTGATTGGCTGGACTTCTTCGGCATCTGTACCTACTACAAGGAGCCTCTCCATTAACTTGAGTCGGAATCGCTCGGATCCTACCTTGCCCGGATTGTCAGCAGCACTTGTCTCAACATCCGCTTTCGTGACCCTGAGGACGGCTGGGCTAGCCATCCATAGGGCTATGGGGAGAAGAATACAGCTTGCCAGAGTGTCATGATCAAGTGAATTAAGACTTTCGCCTCGCTCACCTCAAGCACATCGCCAACGCCAAGCTCACTGGCTGCATCAAGAAGTCGCAGAAGGTAAAGTGGGAGGCTATGTTGGAGCGGGCGCGCCTTGCAGAGCCAGATGACTTCGACTACGACACTGCTGTGAAGGAGATCTTGGATACGTCTGTGGGTGAACTGTGAGTTCTGTCATTGATCGTTGTGATCTATTAGATGCTAACAGACTGATAGACCGCCAAGCTACATCTGTCGCAAATATTGCTACTGCTACAGCGAGTCCCGTTACCACTCATTCGAAACCGTTAGTACCCAGTAAGCTCCCTCCATGTGCCATCGCCCAACATGCGCCAAAAATTGACAATTTCACAGAAGGCTGGCGCATCATGCGCTCTACGTTCCACTCGAAGTCCAGGTTCGATTATGAGAACGATGTCGTCCACGTGAAGGAGACCGAGGGCGAAAATGCCACTTAAGACGTTGACACCGAGGTCAAAACAACAATGCGCACAAGCAAACATTTCGATGCTGGCGGCGAATGCGCCGAAGATAATGTGGAGGTTTCGATGTCGGGATCGTAGCCTCAAACTTCCCAGGGGCCGTCAGGAGTAATTGAATAGGTTAAACCTATGATGAAGATTTGATGACCTATTCCATAAATGCTACCTTGGAAGCGTGAGGTCTGGCTGCGGAAGAGACGACCATAGCTACCGTCGTCCTCTAAACACATTTTTACCATGCATCTGCCCTTGTCGACACGAGGCAAGGGAACTGCGCCCGACACGCAAGGGACACGCAGCTCCAATTGCTGCTCTGACCGCACTTGAAGACATGTGTCGGCGAACAGCAACATCCCTCGAATTGGTGTTGCTACTGCTGGAACCGTCGTAGACGTTTGCTATGAAAAGTCTGGTAAAATGCACTCAACATCGTAACGGCGATGTTGTAAAGATGCCCAAACAATACATTAGCATGCGCTAAGTGAGGCATGTCGGTACGATGCAGGCAGCAGGAATAGCCGTTGGCTTACAAATCACACATGCCAACTTCAAAAGGCCATCTGCCAACTCGCCAACCCCATGTTGCAGCATACGCAGCGTGTCGCAGGATGCAGCCCGTCTTAGGGTCGTGGCAATGTGGCAGCCGTTTTTCAGTGGAGTCGCAAATTTGCGGGTGGTGATACGAGCCGGTGAGGGGCTCAAGATATGAAGGGAGGCGCAATGGTAGGCCTCGAAGGAACTCAGGGGGTTTGCAAAATATCCGGGGAAATTGCATCCGACCCTCCCTGATTCGAACAAGTTTTCGAACGGCGTCCTTTTGGGACCCTTTGCCACTCAACTACCCACCCAACAGCCGCTGTCCCAATGCCAGCGCCGTCGAGGGGCTGCACATTCGATTCTGCAGGGTCTTTGCCTTTTGTCATTGACGGAACTGACAGCACACAGTCGCTGGAGAGTGCGCGCGTTCATGCGGTCGCGAATGAATGAAGTTTGGCAGCGCTGGGCGGCTCCCGTCCGATCCAAGACCCACGTCTTTCTTCACGGGTCCGGGCTCAGCGGGTCATCTCATTCGCCCCTTTCGCTGGGCCAAGGTACCACCTGAGCTGCTTAATGGAGCTTAACAACGGGTCCTCGGTTGTGCATCGACGCCGCGAAAGGGCTGATGGCTTCCGCCAAGCGCAATCTCGCCCCGACACGGACATGCTACTCCTGCACGCTTGGCCGCTGGGCCGCTGGGCTGACGGCTGACGGGTCCCTTTAAAATGTGCTGAGCCCCCGAGCCCGTTGGGGGCGCCTGCTTGTCTGTCCCCCTTGCGCACCCAGATATCGCCGTTGCTTTCTCCTGTCGCTCCTTTGCTTTTCGAAGAGGAAACCGGACAAACGACTTCAATATGATGCTGCCATCGATGGGGGCCCGCAGCCCAATGTTTGCGCTGGCGTGCAGCGCCGGCTTCGTCCTGATCTTCATTTTTGGATTCATGGCCTGGTCGAGTCCGGAGAGCATACCGTTCCCGCACAGCTCCGGGTCAACACATGTCGAGATGTACGTGTCCTACCATGTTTCGATATCTTGCTACAACTGGGACGGTTGGTCCCTGATTGTTTTTGTCCCGATAAATCTCGCGCGCTAGTGGATAGCTACTGACCAGAACTGACAGGACCTTCAATGATGCAAAACCGCCAAACATCAACGATATCCTGCGCATTTTGTACGAGCCGCTCAAGACATCGCCGTCTGAGCCCTTCATTCGCGAGCCCAATGGCACCAAGATTGTGCTTCCTAAGAACCCGCGGTATACGAAGAAGATGGGCAGTGATATCTTGATCCTGGATCTTGACACAAGACCACTCAAGTCGACTGAGATGTTTGCAAAGGGCGAATACGACTGGCGCAACATCAACCACGTATCTGGTGGTGTCTTTGCTCACTATGCCTACGCTCAGATCCACGGCTACGACTACAAATTTGTCCACGCGAGCGAGTTTGAGGACCGACACGCAACCTGGATTAAGCCATCTGCACTGGCCAACTTGATCAAAGATTACAAGTTCATTGTTTTCCTTGATGCTGACGCGACTTTCCGCTTCATGCACCTCCCCATCGAGTGGATGATGAACTACTGGAATGTCGAGCCCCACCACTCTTTCGTCATGGCGAAGGATCCTTGGGATTCCAGGGAGCCGCAATACAACTCCGACCGCTTCAACCGAACATACACTAACACCGGTTTCATGATCGTGCAGAACAACAAGCAAGTTTTGCCCATCCTGAAGGCATGGCACGAATGCCCTGACGACGTCCGCTACCCCAACTGCTCGCAGTGGAAGCAGCCCAAGTTTCACGAGCAGTCCGCATTCGGCGAATACATCCGCTACGACTACGAAGAATACATCAAGGAGCTCGACTGCGGCCAAGCGAATGGCTTCCCCGGCGTCGAGATCAGCAACTGCCAGGGCAAGTTCATCCGCCACTATTGGTTCCAGAAGTCCCTTGTCAAGATGGACTACAGCGAGAACATGATGAATGCATTTACCTACCCGATCCAGAAGCTATTCGCGGAGAAAGAAGGCGTGGTGTTCAACCAGGAAAAGAACGTCATACACTGAGAACGATACAATACGCATAATGATTTCCCGAAGAGGTGCAATTTGGATACAAGGTCATAATCAGGTGCAAGAAGACCGTCATTTTGGAGCATAGCATAGCGTTGCATAGTTATGGCGTTCAGCGGTACGATACCGTGTATTCTGGGATAGGCTCTGGTTTTGATGGTTTTTTGGTCTTTCGCTTCGATCTAGGCCTGGGTTCTTCGTCGCGTTGATACCCCAATATGAGTCTTCGACTGATGATTCCGACTTCTCGACACAACGCATGCGATCTTTCCTCACAATCTCTCGAGTCTCGTCCTACGTTTCGCCGTTCCAATGCAACGCTCGGCTACCTGCGAGACCTGCTCTTTACATCAGGTCACGCTCGAGCGCTTGGCTGCGTCTGCACCGTTTGCTGCGCCATTCAATCTCATGCATCACGTCGCACTCGAGGCGCACACAAGTTGGAAAATGGGCACACGGCTTACTCCCTGCAATCCTACGAGGCACAATCCAATCTTTCCAATTAATCCTTCGATCACCGAGGGGAGTGAGCCTCGTATCCCAAAGTTTCAAGGCCGTCAGCGCGCGAACTACGCATGCCAAGACTCCACTAACCATTCGCTGGCTGATTGATGTCAGCGCCCTGCCGGCAATCGGCGGAACTCAGGAACCACCAAAACTTGGTCCAAAAGTCCACAACGAAGTCCACAAAAACGCAAACGGATGATCATCGGCTCAGCCCTGTTAGCACATCGCGTTCAGGACGCATGCAGGGCAGCAGACGGCGTCGAAGCAGCGTCGAAAAGTGTGCCTGGTGTGGTTCGGAAGCTCCGGAAGGGCCGGATGTGACCGCACATTGGGCTGGTGGGGATCTGCAAAAGCTTGAGTAAAACAGAGGGAAAGGTGAACGGGCGGTGCGATGGACGCCTGAAAGGCGGTGCGACGGACGCATGAAGGCCTTGAGAAAGTTGTAGAGCAGAGAAGCACCCAGTTTCAAGCAATGTTCGTACCGCAAAAAGTGCCTGCTGTTGTAGGCTTGTTCTGCATTCTCACTTTTCATTAAAACTCTAGAAAGCAGTATAAAGGTAGAGATATGCTTACTCTTTAATTCTGTCTATTTAGATCTTGTGCTTCTCCTCTAGTTATTGCGCAATAGCAAGTTGAAGGCTAGGGTGCGTTGGTGTTCTAGCAGCTGCTCGCTTGTTTTCTATGCCGTCACCTCATCGCAGGAAGGAGTAGTTTTATTTATTGCTTGTATTGGGGGCGCAGGCTGTTTCTGCCCAGGCTGGAGGAGGTGAGAAGCCAAGAGGGAAGCGGGTTTCCGTGAAGGAGTCCTCCTGCCTGGGGCGGAAGGCCGGCCAGCTACATAACCTATCCAAATCAAACCCAAAATCAACCAAACTCCAACTCAAACAGAGGAAAAGGTCGTGGTGTCGTGAGAAAGTCGTGAGAGGGCGGGGTGGCGGGAGATTTTCCATGTGCGATGAGGCGACGATAAGGACGCCCGATGGGAGACCTACGGAGGAGCTGAAGGGCCCATAGTATAGGTGTCTGGTGAGTATGTTTGGTATCCTTCACCGCTGCTCTGCACGACGGGTATCAGCAGCTCTTCACCGGCCATAGAAGCTCTCAGAGAAGATACGAGATGCTGAGGTTTGATTCTGGAAATCGCGCGCCTGCTGTGCTTCTGCGTCGAGTTCGACACACCAGAGGCATGGACGGTGCAACAGGGCAACACGTCGATGTGCATCTTGGTTTCGCGCTCTCGCCATGTTCAACATCGCTACTTACGGTATGCTTGAGGTCTGCGCACTCTGCCTTACCAAGACGGGTAAAGACAACAGTTGTACTGAATAAGCGAAGTACGAGTCCAAGCTGTTTCTCGATTAAATCAACCGGACAACGAGAGAAGCCCCGGGTAGTGTTTGTGTTGTCATGTGTTCCACCCTTTCGATTGATTGATTGATTTAACGTCCTATGTGAGTGTTCCACACTTTCATCGAACACTAGATTTACTAGAAACATGCTCATGTACTACTGTTTTCAAGTTCGCTCATGCTTGCCAGTCTTCAAGAAGTTCTCGTCGCTTACAGAATTCAAACTGTGTGTTTCATGTGCTCAACCACTCGCGCGCAATCCTGCCCTATCAGATGACAACATAAGTCATCGTTCTTTTCATGGCATCATACAACATTCCTCATACTTCCCGTCTAGGGAGCCTCTTCAATCCACCTCCCCAACATTTCCGGCGCAAAGTTCGTCATATAACATACGTCCATCTCATTCACCCTTCTCTGCACCACGTCCTCCATGTTGTCCAAAATAGCATCGAAATCATCAATACCTTCCATCTCTTCATCTCCAACATCGTCATCTTCAGTAAGCTCTACTTCACTCCCTTCTTCTAAGTCGTCCATGTCGAAGATCGGCTCGTCGAACAGCGAGTCCGCTCTCCCCATTTTTGGGAATTCCCGGAGGTCTCCAGGGTCCTCATATAGATGTTCGGTTGGAGAGAATTGATCCAATGCCGACAGCGCAGAGCTCCAGCTCGATGGCAGTGATGGAAAGAAGTCGGCGGACGAAGATGGAGGCTGGATCTCTTCAGCATCCTCAACGTCCCGTGCCTCAAGTCCAAGCGCATACAGATAGCTTTGCGTCGTCTGATTGATTGGAGCTCGCTCGAGTGAGGGGAAGGTGGTTGACGTGGCGAGCTCCAGGCTATACTTAAATTCGGTCTGAAGTTGGGTAGCGAGGCCGGGCGCGAACCAGACATTGTTCAGATTTATGCGGACTGATTGTGCGAGGTTGGAGGAGAGGAGATGCTGCAGTGCGAGCGTGATTGGGTGTTTGGCATGCAGTACGCAGTCGTCGACCCTGTTTGTTAGGACCCTGGAGGTATTCGAAGAGAGATTGAGGGTCAGGGTGAAGAGTGCGGTGTCGAGGTTGGCTAGTGCTGCGAGGTGATTCGCGCAATCCGGAGCCCTGGAGATATTCAAGCGCACATCAATAGTGAGATGCCTGAGGTACTTGACGTATTTGTCAGAGATTGGCGGCAGTATTGTCGCGTCTTGCGATGATCTCTCTTGGTTGTGTGTCGTGGCAGGGAGGGAAACCGTGAAGGTGTTGTGCTGGTAGAAGTACGATGCTGCCTCTTCATGAACAGGCCGGGAGGTAGTCAACAAGCTGAAAGTGTCGTTGAGGCGTACAGGATTGGCGACAGCATCAGTAAGGAGCTTGCCATAGATGATGTTGCGCATCTCAGCAGGAAGGTTGGTGAAGGTTACCATGATGTGGTACGATGGCGACAGTGGTGTAAGAGTGTGACGTAGTCGCCAAAGTGAACGATGAGAGTTGCAAAATAAGGTAGATGCAATGGTGCTAGTCGGGGGAAAAGCGAGTTATTTATACGCGGCAGCAGCCCTCAAGATCAGCTTCGAGGCGCTCGATTCAGATCAATCGTTGGAGGCAGGCGCCACAGAATCACTCGTCAAATCTTTCGGTAGCGAGGATCAAACCTAAAATCACAACTCTGACGGGAGCAATGTTGAGTATTTGGGGTAATACCAAGAGCGAGGCTGGTACTCGGGAATCCCAGAGTACCTATAAGCGAACCATGGGTGGAGGACCAACGTACCATGTATACACTATGACTCAAGTGATTGGCGCAGCACTCACACCTTTTCCAATATGGTCATGCGTATACTCGTGATAACGCGTCTTAGTCGCGGATCGCCCGATCTGGTGATGTTGACGGCTGTGTTGACGAGGCGAAGTTACGCGTCGTTGCCTGGTGCCTCAGGCAGAAGTTTGCGTGTACACGTTCAAGAGGCGTCGGCCAATCAGAGAAGTGTATCATTGAGCCCAAGAAGCTTTTGGAAGAACGAAGAGCTGGAGTGGTGTGATTGACATCTCACTCGTACCGCGGTACGCGTCTACCTAATTGAATGGTCCATCATGGTGTCACCAGTCGCCTGTGCACGATGCCTCGCCTGACATTGATCCAGGACTGAACTTGGAGACTTTTCTTTGTGCTGAATTTGACCCTGTATCAGACACTGGAAAGAAAAAATATCGACGGACGAGGTCGCGGTGGTTGGTAGTCATGGCGATTGGCATTAAGGTTGACGGAAACCAGGGTACAGCCGGTACTAATCACTTTAGTCTGTAGTCCTTCACACCTTCCTACTATTCGGTCATAGTTCGTGATGTTCCAGGGTTAAGTGGGTGCTGGACGACGAACATTATGACTCATAAATCACAACAGGCGGTCTCACACAGCAGCCTTCGTACTCACGATCAGCATGACTCACGACCAATCAGACAATCAGCAATGCCTCGAATTGTATTTGAGCTACACCAACTTCTACTTCTTTAGAGCTTCCTGGTCTTATTGCCAACGACATCCGCCAGCTCGATAGTCGGCTGAATGTACGGCTTGACTTTGGTCCTCACATTGCTGCGCTGCTCATACGCGTATGCAAAACCAATCAGGCTCTCCTCGCTCCAGTGCTTGCCGGCAAAAGCAAGACCAAATGGAATGTTGGGTGCGGTGGCATTAAGGTTGCCGCGTGCGTTCGAGATGACTGTGGTGTTGCTGGGATATGCACCCAATGGCACAGTGACAATCGGGGCACCGATGATAGCGCTGGTACTGGACGCTGTACGAGTGGGCAGAACAACGGCGTCAAGATTGTAGGTAGCTAGCGCGCCGAGAATACCGCCAGGCCCGCCAAGAAAGAGGTCCTCCTGGTATGCAGCCCAGAACTGAGGATCTGTGTTCGTGAAGTTCAGAGCTAGAGCGGCGTCGAAGACAGCAGTATCGCGGCTGGGGTACTCCTCCGCTGGGAATGTCTGGGTGAAGTTTCGGACTTCCTCCAAATCGTTCACATCATTGGGGTTATATGTCAATTGTGCAAGGTACGCGGCGAGATTTGGACCGAAATCGCCGGCAAGAACGGTGTCTTCGGCCGTTGAGTTTAGGTATTGAGCGTATGCGGTGTAGTTCGTGTTGTCTACAATTATCGCGCCGGCTTCCTTGAGCACTGCGATGGCAGAGTCAAATGCATCGAAGATTGGTGCCGACGCGATGTTACGTGTACCGATTGCGTTACGAGGAATGCCGATACGCTTGCCAGCGAGTGCGTCGAGCTTGCAAGCTGCGACATAATCTGGCTTAGTGGCATTGGTAGAATTGGAGGCCCACGGAATGGCAGACGTGTAGTTATCATACTGGTCAGGGCCTGCGATTGCTTGCAAGATGTAGGCGGCATCTTTCACGGTGCGCGCCATGGGTCCAACGGAATCCTGATGCTCCGAGATGGGGATGACAAGAGCTCTGCTGGTCAGACCAACCTAGGTGATTGTTAGCTCGAATCCCTTCGTTCGATCTCGGGGGCTCTTACAGTGGGCTTGATGCCAACGATGTTGTTCAATTGACTTGGTGACACAATGCTGCCATCAGTCTCGGTACCCAAAGTGCCAAATGCCAAACCGAGACTGGCCGAAACGCCACTACCACTGCTGCTACCACTGGGATCTTGACCTGGGTAGTAAGCACCATACGTCTGACCACCATAAGCAGACCAGCCATTGGACGAGTTCGCGGATCGGTAGTTGGCCCATTGCGATAGGTTGGTCTTGCCGAGTAGGATCGCACCTGCGGCACGAAGTTTGGCAGCAACGGTGGCATCGCGGGGTACCTTGGCTCCGAGCAGCGAGAAAGATCCAGCCGTGTTGTTCATCTCGTCGGCAGTCGCAATGTTGTTCTTGATAAGGATAGGAAGACCGTGGAGAGGACTAAATGAAGGTCAGCGGTGCTTCCAAGGTTTTGATCAACATTGGCCGACCCGCGAATCTTCCCACATGAGCGCTCCTCATCCAGCTCTTTCGCAATTGTCCAGGCATCTGGGTTGATCTCGGTGACCATGTGAAGGGTCGCATTGACTTCCAGAATACGTCCCACATATGCCTGTTGTAAGTCAGTACGCTGCGCCCAGTGTCGTTGAGATTCTCTGATGACAGCTCACCTGTACCAAGTCAAGACTTGTGAAGTCACCAGCCTCAAGCCCAGAGATCAATTCATCTGCTGTAGCATCCAAAAGCTCAGGCAGTACTGGAGGAGTGGCATATTGCGCAACGACGCTGGTCAAGGGCGCAAATGCCACAAAGACCTTCGCTAGGAACCAAGCTGACACCATGATGTCGACCGTGCAGGAAGCCACCCGCTTGAACGAGAAGGTACCTAGAGGTTGGGTAGGAGCCGGACATCTTTTGATGTTGTGAACTGCAGGAGGGTTCTTATAGCTGTGGCCGCTGTCACTGTGTGCATCATCCGCATAGGCTTGTCGGCCGTTACCCGTCATACAAGGATATTGTAGATTTGCCTCCCCGCGGGAAGTAGCGACACCGGAGATATGTGGATCTGCGCAATGAGGAAGGTAAAAGCTGCTGTTCAAGGTTTCTGACGGTTAACGCTGGCGCATATGCATGCAATGCTGTTTGTGCCGGATCGACTTGTCACTCGTACCACGCAAAGCCGTTGTTGTGAAATGTATCGAAACGCTCGTGTCACTTCCGCCCTTTGACAGGATGCACGACAGACCTGCACTTACTACACCATGTTGTTGGTTTGAACAATTTCTGGTTGCTATTGTGTCAGTCAACTTTCAAGAGCCTGGTGGTTCATCGATGGTGCGTGTCGTGCTAGCCGAAACAGGAAGGTGCGATGAGCTTGAGCTTGGAGATCAGTCCGCGGCAGATCAGACATTGGTTGCTGGAAGCGGGTACATATCGATATTTCTGCCTGCATTTCGATGATGTCGATACCCGGTGTTTGATAGGAAAGTGCTGATAGTGACCTGCCAAATGGGGTCAAAACGTTGACAAGGCAAAACGTGCGGAAGCAAGGCTGCTGTATGCACCAGCCTGTATTCGACTGAGTTTTTGTAGTGATTTTTCTTGTGTAGTTGACACCCAGGTCTACAAATCTATGTCGTGATACTCGTTAGCAGAATTTGTACTGCGCGCTTGCTTAGTCGAAGTAGCCAGGGAAGAGCCACTGCAGCTTCTTCTCGGTCTCCTGTCCGCGAGCCTCCTTCTTGGTCATGGAACCTGCAAACCTCGTCTGGTTCTCGAGGTGCTTGCCTTGCACCTGTTGTGCGTGCTCTTCCTTGCTGAGTTCGTTCAGAACAGCACCAACAAAGCGCCTTGCGTTGTCCGCGTTCGCCTTCATGTGTCCCATGACCATCTCAACATTGACATCCTCGCCTTCAGCACCCCTCCAGCAGTCGTAGTCGGTAGCCATGCAGATCATCTGGTAGGCAATCTCAGCCTCTCGCGCCAGCTTGGCCTCAGGCAGAGCAGACATGTTGATGACTGTGCCGCCCCAGCTGCGGTACATGTTCGACTCGGCGCGGGTGCTGAACTGCGGTCCCTCCATGCAGATGATGGTGCCCTTGTCGTGCAGCGTGACGCCCTCGCCCTCCAAGCTGTGGCCGCACTTGCGCACAATCTCAGCCAGCTTAGTGTCGAAAGGGTCGCCGAAGCCAACGTGGCCAACCATGCCCTTCTCGAAGTATGTAAACGGGCGAATGCCCTTGGTGCGGTCGATGATCTGGTCGGGCACTACGAAGTCGCGCGGGCGGACCTCCTCCTGCAGCGAGCCGACAGCGGAGAAGGCGATGATGGTGCGCACGCCAATGTGTCGCAGGGCGGCGATGTTGGCCTGGTTCTTGACCTCATGGGGTGCGAGCTCGTGGGAGAGACCGTGACGCGAGAGGAAGGCGACGGGGACGTTGTTGCCAGTAGACGGCGAGGGGTGGTGCAGGATGCTGATGGGCGACGAGGGCTTGCCCCACGGTGTGTCGACGTCGAGAGTCGCCGCGAGAGTGAAACCGGGCAGCGACTGGATGCCAGTGCCGCCAATTACGGCGATGTGAACGGGCGCTGGGTTTGGTGTTAGCTGTGTTTACGTGGGGTGCAGTGGGGAAGGAGCGCACCATCGTAGGTGCTGGGAACGCCGGCCATCTTGCGGTATGGGATGGAGATGCTGCGAAAGAAGGTGCGAGGGTAAGATTGAGAGGTGAAAGCACTGAACAAAGGCTTGACGCGTTGCAACATTCACTATCACGCACTTACACGCACGATAAACATTTTCTTTCTGCCGAGGAGGGGCAGCTCCTTCCGAGTTGCTGAACCCTGATGGCGTCACCCGTCCAATCAAACACGTGCTCGACTATGGGTTATTTTCGATATACCAGCTACACGTCACCTGAGATCCTGCGCACATATATGAGTACCTGAGGTACTACCTGCGTACACGTGCCAAGAGCCTATATGTTAGCTTCCTCGTCACAGAGTGAATTGTTACACCCCGTCCCGCCAGCCTGCAGGGCGTTTCTAAGAACCGCGCCCTGCTACGCTAGATTACACGCGTGAAATTGCATAGAGTGGCTAAGTTGCATGTTGTATAGTCGCTTTGTTGACGTTTGGAAGGTTTCTTGCCCAGGTCGCAGGTGTAGCCAGTATTTCGAAAACGCCTGGGACACCCTCTGGCAGCGCCTTCTGCCGACCTCGTTCGTGCAGTTGCCCTCCGACATGCGTCCGAATTTGGAGATCCTCTGTACACTGCCGGTTTCTTTGAGTTTGAGATACCGCTTTGTCTCCGCTGAGAAGTACGGTGGCCATGAACCTGTCCGAAGATCGCGTCCGGTGTATATCGTGCTCCAAGTTGGAGCTGGGCAGCTACTGATGGGGCGGTCGAAACTACTGAAATATGATCTCGGTTGATTGTGTTTCTTGTTTCTTTGTTTTTGTGAAACCTGGGTCAGAGACCTACACAAGCTACTGACTCTTAGTCCCAATCAGAACGGTAAACAACCCAAATACTCCTGCCCTATATCACCGGAGAGCCACTTCCATCCAACAGAAACTTGGCCACCCCAAGATGTTATTCCAGGGCATGATGAGCACTTCACGAACATTGTTACCGTGGAGAACCACGTGCTTCGTCATATACCAGGAGCCAACACCTTTGGTCCGCTTCAACATGCTGAGATCACGCTACAGGCACCTCTCATTCCTCTCACAGGGACTGACAGGAATGCTTGGATCTTCGATCTCGATGGGAAGATTGACTCCTACATCCCAGGCCCGACTTTTCTTCTATCTATCGTCAAAGATGACGATAAAAACGTTCACGGCTGGGCTTATTGTTCCTGCAGGCTCCTTATCTCAGCAAATCATGGTCAGCGTTGAGACCAGCAACATGTGGCAGCACTACTATTCAAGAATTGGCATGTTTCATGCATGCAACTCATTGGCATTTGAACGTGTAGAGACAGCATCACGGAAGGCGGTAGTTTTAACCTAGACTTGTCCTCGCGCCTAAAAGCTGCCTTGGTGTCATGTGATCCAGATTCAAGCTTGGTAGAGCTACTGCGTCAGAGCAGCTGAACAATGGGTTCATGAAGGATGGCTTCTTTCAGCTTGCTATACAGGGGCGGTAGCGCTGTGAACTATCACGTGCAGGGCAAAATAGACAAAAAATGTCATGTTAAATACACAATATTCGACAGCTCATCAAACTCCACAGATACTTCATCGTGCCTTGTGAGCATCTCTCCTACGATACAATCCCATGCGCCCCCGTCTTCTTATTCCTATCCTCCCGTCTCCTCTGCAGATCACTCTCGTTACCGTGATTCTTTCTATCAACATAGTCCATGCCCGTGCACTTGTGCGTGTTACTGCCCGAGTTCGAATGTTCCTTGCGCGCCTCATAGTCCTCTTGGCCCTGCTGTGCCTTCTGAGGCCCCTTGGCGGGCTTCGGATTGGTCTGTGGGCGTCAGAAGGTGGAAGGATGTGAGGAGTATGGCTGAGTACCTGGCATGGTGATTGGAAGGGGTCAGTGAGGTTGAGGCGGTGAGTTCGGTGCGGCGAGATGGGGGGATGGTAGGAAGGAGCAAGTCGATTGTATATTGTTACGGTATCGGTCAGTTGATAGGCCTGAGCTTACACACACCAGACTATCCTGGACTAGCATGTTTCAGGTCAGGCATATCGTTGTCTTCTCCTAGCTAGCTAGCAACTCAGCGCAGTATTCCATCGACCCGATAGTCCTACGTTATCGTTTACCGTCGCTATCAGTATATTGTTGTTCTTGTTCAGTGTTCTGTCTCTCTCACCGGACCATCAGGGTCTGGTTTTATGACGTATCTGTCGTTCAGACAGAGGTAGAAAGGGCTTGTTGGAAAGGTCAAGAGCACTTCGCTAACACACGTGGCACACATGACCTCTATACTCCATAAACCGTCACAAGTTTACGATGTTGATGGACGTCAACGTGACGCTCTACAACGTCGTCTTGATGACAGAGATCGTATATCATGCGAGTAGCTTACTGATTTGCTGTACAAGGAAACCCTATTGTGGTGACAGTGAGTGCGGATCTATGTATGTACATGAGCCTGCATTATACCATCAAAACGACCAACTTTATACATGAAGGTCCCTGAGACACACCCAAGCGACTTCCATAGTGCATCAAAAGTCGCAACCCAGCTACTCAAAACCATCTAGCAGCTTGATGTAAACCCACTAGTAATGCAGTAAGTTCCATCGGGCCCAGAGCCAAGCTTAGTCGAACTGCCGCTACCCTTCACAACGCCCTTGTAACGGTCGCAGCTCTTGTTGTCACTCTGACAGGAATTTACAATCTTGCATGTGTCGCCATAGTTGGTATTGATGCCGCACAGCACACCGCCATCCTTGGCCGTCACACCTTCGATGATCACGTTGCGTGGTCCGCCATTGGCGGTGCAGTCGCCGCAGGAGCGGATTACTTTGCCGTAGTCTTCTGCGTAGAAGTTTTTGATGCTGACGGTGCCTCGGCCGTTGAATTGGAAGATCTTGTCTGCGGCGCCTGCGAGGTATTAGTCCTACTCAGCTGGAAAACGAGACGGAGTGCTTACCTTTAGCTCCGCCGCCGATGACATATGATGTCTTTCCAGCGGGCTGCTTGAACGTAGCAGCATCCTCGCAAACATCCTCCCACCATACATTCTCCAATGTGCAAGCGCCGCGGCAGTGGATACCTTCTGCCTGTTCCTTGGAAAGAATGACGTTCTTGATCGTCGCGCCGTCCTCGGCGATGAACATGGCAGCGGCTTCGTCGGTCTCGGTCTGGTCCTGACACGTGTCTGGAGAGCGTGAGTAGCGAACCATTTTGCCATCAAAAGTGGTGCCAGCGGGGATGACTTTCGCGGCTGGGAGGCCGGTCGAAGAGGCAGGCTTGGGGAAGGCGGTCGCGGTGGGTGCCGCGAGGGCGATGCCTAGGAATATGGCAAGGGTTGCGAGGCAGGACTTCATGTTGAAGCTGTAGTGGCGTAAAGTGAGGTAATGGGGTTGGTTGAGCTGATGGTGAGAGTTGCTGCTGGGATGGCGTGATGGTGGTCTTTATAACTTTTGTTCTCGAAGTGTTTGCTCACTTCTTGTCTCCATCCTTGGCTGTGTTTTGATGGAGATGTTGAGATCCAGTTCTTCATTCGTGGAACGCGTACAATCATTCATCCTGCCTGGATTCCTCCAATCATGACGTTCAAATTCACTGTCGTTTGCTCTCAGATTGAGCCTACACTTTGTTTCAGCATCATAAACATCGTTCAAGTCATAACAGCCTCCCACCAGCGATCTGCAGCTGCTCTGTTATTCCTCCAATAGCATCTCGATGGCATTCGGTGTGAGATCGCAACGTGAGGCTTAGATCTTATTAACCCCAGATTTGGATGTTTGTAGTGAGGCTGAAGCTTCCGAAGCAAATCAAGCGTGTGGAGGATCGCCACAGAACGTGGCAATGGAGGAGCTTCGTGATCCTGAAGAGGCATGTCAATGCGTGTGGCTTCTTTTGGCAAAGATGCAATCAAAGCTGAAGGTGTGGTTGGCTGGAAAAATGTAGGCCAAGACTACGCGCTGTCGCAGAATGGTCAGTAAAGTTGATCAAGAAGGGTCGAAGCAATCTATCGTGGTTGATCTCCAAGACGGCTCCCCGCAAACTGATTTCTCCGGGATCAATGGGGTGCAGAGATCCTGGGGAAGACACATGACCTTCAACGCTGGAAAAACTTGCAGTGACGATGGTTGTCAAGCGTATGCATTGCTTACTGGTTTTCTACGAGCAAGACCTGATTGCGTCGAGCCACAGGGCAGCTGCGTCCGCGGCGTCAATACGGACTCGATGACTATTTTACGTGCCCTGCGCGTGTAACCACAGTAGATGTGGATAATCATCATCAAAATCTGTGTGACTTGACGCGAAGACCAAGGATTTAAAAGAATTTGAATAGGTGAGCGTGTGTTGGAAGAGTGATTGTTCTTAATGCAATTGTTGTTAGTCAGCCGAGCACAAGCCCTCGACGCGCTCCTTCTCCTGCGCGCAACTTCTGTTTCTTTTTGTCAACGCTGCATTAACATCCATCATTTATCGTGATCCCTTTCGCGTACTTCTAGTCGCAACACAACGTGAAGCGTCATTCTTGCTATTTGGGTTCTGTTACTGCCTTCCAAGCCTCATGTGTTCGCAGCCGTATTGGCGCCCTAGCATCTCGCTGAAGCGGCGGCTGGTGGTGACCTTCGTATCGCGATTCAAAACTGCCAAAACGTTGAGCGAGGGATGATCGCAATATTAGAAACGCAGGAACACGCGGCTGAAAACATGGCGATGAGCTCAGTTGCTCCCAACGCCTTCCACTTTCTCTCTAACACGAGCGCTTGGGGCCTCGAGTCGCTCTTCCATACGATCAGCAGCCGTACCGTCCTTCGCGTTCGCCGCATGTTGCAGATCTACCTTCCTTTCTCGTTATATTGTCATCCTTCTCGCTTCTTGTACTGTTCATCGAGCTAGTCACGCTGTGACTCGTAGCAGGTCCTCGACAAAATCGACAACTGCATCTGCATTGACGGCTTGACCACCAACGATAGGATGTCATGCAAGGACGGGCTGCGATGCATTCGCCCACGCAGCCGAGAAGTTATCACATGCAAGTCTTGAAGTATTGTGAAGCGAGTTAATACAACTTCGCGCTTGCGTTCGCTGACCGCGCGTTAGCCAGGTCTACAGTCTGGATTTCGAAGTGCAGGATGCGTCTGCTTCTACTATCACAACCATCTTGGCAATATGTGGGCTGGATCTAATTCGCTCGGCTCCGATGCCAATTTCCAGTCATGCACTTTTCGATACATCTTTTCTGTAATTCTGCATGCTGGCACGTGCTTTCTTGAGTATCCTCTCAAGTCTATTTGCCTGTCCCATGGGCATAAGAGCCGTTATCTGAAGATCCAATGACCCGGATACGGCACCCGTATCGAAGGATGCCGAACAGGGAGTCTTTTGCCTGCACAATCCTGCATGACGGCCCGCCATTCTGGTAATGGTTCACTCGGCCCAGGAACGGCTGCCTTTATTCCTGGTTGAGTTCAGATCCCGTCGGAGAGCGAACACATACAGACTGATTCTTGTGCGCCTCAATATTACTATGCGTCTGCTGCCTTTCGATACTTGAGAGTGCAAGGTCTTGATTTAAGCGAAGGATGCCACCAGTGTTTCGCGTCGGAGCTCGAGAGCTGTTAACAATCAAACAAAAGCAAACCAAATTCTGAAGCGTATTGTTCCACACCTCGCATTCAGCGAAGAATCCTGGCAACTTATCGTCACCCGAACCAACGTCCGACTTTTTTCTCGAGGTTGTCGGTGCATAGCAAGGGATATCTCTAAAAGCCACTGTTCATGCTTGATCGGGTTGTGAGGCAGACGGAGGAACGCTAATCTAGGATGAGACCTCTTTCTGGATGTCAAACTAGATAAAGCTCCACCAGACTAAGCCCCAACCAATCAGGCCAAGCTGGAGACACCGGAACGATAGTCTGGTTAACAGCTATCATGCACACGAGGAGCTAGCGAAGCCGTGCATGATGACTGACGTTCAGCCTTGGTACCTATACCCAACTCTCAGGCCTTGGCCCCACTTCCAGGACAAAATCCTCACGAGAAAGAGAGGTCTACATAAGCTCGGGCTTGCCGTGAGAGCAGGCTGTTGAATCACAACTATTAAATTCGTTTCATTCACTCCAGGATGGTGCGTTCGAACGCCATCGCAGTTATTTCTGCTTTCCTTCTTTTCAAAACATCGGCGGCTATCAATGCATGCCCTGTCACCGATACAGTCTTTACCGGAACCCAGGGCATCAGATACCGTGTCTGCCCCGACACTGATCTCATAGGAGATTCGCAAGCCATCACACCCAACATTGTTTCTACCACAGCATGTGCACAACTCTGCGACGAGGCTTTGAACTGCTTCAAGGCCGTCTACGATACGCAGACCAGAGACTGCCATATCAAGGCCAATGCAGGTCTAAACTGGCAACCCAATGTACGCTTCGATGTGATTCAGGCTGAGCAGATCAACATCGCAAAATGTCCCTACACCGAGACGACATACACAAACAATGGTGTAAGTAATGTTATTACGTCGAAGGGGGTTTGAGCTGACCAGTGCTAGAAAAACTTCAAGGTCTGCCGTGATACTGATCTGCGCGGTGGAAGTGCCCAGATGATCAACGGGGTTACAACATTGGACGATTGTGCTCAGCGTTGTTCAACGATCGACACATGCGTGCAAGCAGTCTTCGATTCGAACGCTTCAGTATGCCACATCAAGTCGGATGCGAAGGCAAATACCCTAATCTGGTCGACCGACAAGCGCTTTGATGTAATCCGCCAAGATGTCGCCGCTGCTCCTGCCACGGACGGTGCATGGTCTGACTTGGTGAGGCTACCAGTCATCCCAGTGGCTGCTTACATTTTGCCAGAATTCCCAACATCAAGCCGACTTATGGTCTTCTCTAGCTGGGGCGCAGATGCTTTCGGAGGTGCAGGTGGACGCACCCAGTTCGCTGACTACAACTTTAACTCGTAAGCCGAGCCACAAATTCTGCAACATCTAGGCCCTGACTCCTCTTTTCAGTGGTGCTGTCTCTGCCCGTACTGTGGCCAATACTCAGCACGACATGTTCTGTCCCGGTATCAGTGCACTAGAAGATGGACGCATCCTCATTCAGGGTGGTTCCGACGCCAACGTTAACAGCTTTTACAACCCAGCCAGCAATAATTTCACCCGAGCTCCTGATCTGCTGATGGCTCGCGGCTACCAGACATCTGTGACTCTGAGCGACAATCGCGTTTTCACCATCGGCGGTGCCTACTCTGGACCACGACAGGGCAAGGATGGTGAGGTTTACGACCCAAAAAGCAACTCTTGGAAGGCACTCCCTGGTGCGAAGATCGGACCGATGCTCACCACTGACAATGAGGGTATCTGGAGAGAAGACAACCACGGCTGGCTGTTCGCTTGGAAGGGTGGATCAATCTTCCAAGCTGGTCCAAGTAAGGCTATGAACTGGTACAGCGCAAACGACACTGGTACTCAGGCCCCAGCCGGCACACGTGACACCGACGATGCCATGTGTGGTATCTTTGTTATGTATGAGCCAGGAAAAATCCTAACTGCTGGTGGATCGCCTGACTACACCAACTCGGACGCCAACAATCGCGCCCACTTGATCAGCATTGGTGAGTACGGCCAGCCTGCTACCGTTGAGCGTGCTCCTGATATGGCATACCCTCGTGGCTTTGCAAACGCTGTTGTACTTCCTGATGGTACTGTACTCGTCACTGGTGGTCAGCGTCGTTCATTAGTTTTCACTGATGACAACGGTATTCTGCAGGCTGAGCTGTTCAACCCTGCGACCAAATCTTGGAAGACCCTCGCAGCTGAGGCAGTTCCCCGCAACTACCACTCGGTCAGCATTCTGCTCCCAGATGGTCGCGTCTTCAGCGGTGGCGGCGGTCTCTGCTACACTGCCCAGGTCGGTGGAAGTACAGTCAACTGCAACAAGCTTGTCGACCATGCTGATGGCCAGACTTTCTCACCTCCTTACCTCTTCAACCCCGATGGTTCCGCCGCTTCTCGTCCTACCATTTCGGCTTTTAACGCTACTAGCGCCAAAGTCGGTGGCCAACTCACAATCTCCACCTCTACCATCGACCCCAAATTCGTCTTGGTTCGCATTGGTAGCGTCACACACTCGGTCAACAGTGACCAAAGACGTGTGCCTCTGACAAGTGTCACTCCTAGTGGCACACAGTACACTGCTATCCTGCCAAGTGACAGCGGTGTCTTGATTCCTGGACACTACTACCTCTTCGTCCTGAACTCTGCTGGTGTACCCAGCATTGCGCGCACCGTCCAGATAACCCTCTCTTAGTTTCCTTGTCCGTAGTTTCATACTTCTCGTATCGTCACGTTATGAGTACAAACTACATTTCATAATGAATATGGATAGTAATACCTGATTGTCTAATTTGCTTATTTGGTTGCCTAGTCCGAGTACCTCCGAAGGGCTCCAAGCTGCTCCGAGGCCTACTTCGTGGTAAAGCAATCGATGGATTCTGAGAGAGTGTTCTCAATGAGGCAACTCTGGTATCTCTGTGTTCTCAGGTACCAGCATACTTTGCGCAACCCCTTACAGAAGGTGGTGATGGCGGGCATGCGCCGATTTTTAGTAGAATTCATATCGGTGACTTTCACAAGTTGCTGACCCCCCTTGATAAACGATGATTAGATATGGCTTTTTGACCCGAAGAACAATTTTATGTGTAGATGACATCATGTGTCACGGTTCAGGGCGCTCTTGCCTGTCGAACCTCACCTCCATGAGAGTGACTGCCACGTCACACTAGCGTTGTTTACAGCTACTCACCTATATGTACTGTCCGTAGCTTCACCCAATACAACCTCAGTTCAATCCTTCAATTCTTCCCACAGCGTACTGATCACTCACGATCCCCGACATCATGGCTTCCAGACAGAGGGGGTCAGCAACTTGTGAAAGTCATTGTACGAAGAATAAAATCTGGGTCTGATGCACGTCAAATGCGTGGGCTAAGCTGAGCAGGGTTTATGGTTGCCGATCATGCAAGTATGGATTACCCATGGATTGTTCCAGCAATTTTGATCTTTCCCGAGGCCTGACCCAGCTGTCACGTGCAGAATAGACAACCTAATAAGCATATCAGACAACCAGATATTGCTGTCCATGAGTATACCTATTATTATACCCGCCAGCTTGTACATATCCTTAACAACCGCCAATAAATACCAAAAACGATCACAACTGTGCTCGAAATAGTAACGTCAAAACGAATCCGCGCTCAGTGAATCCCGGCACCACCCTTGACCATCTCCACCGCCCTCTTAGTTGCTTTGTCCAAACTCTCCTTCGGTAACCCTAACTTCCCATTATCCAAACCATATCCCGTCTCATAGTCCCCGCCCTCACCCGGGAAGAAACACCTCGCGTACATCGCCTTCGCAAACCCAAGCCTATCACCCCCTTGTAACTGCTGCAGCCCTTTTTCATATCTCGTTTTCACTGGATCTTTCGTGATGGTCCAATCTTCATCCGAGGTTCCTAACACTCGATTCAAGCTGTCCAGCATCTCCCTCTGACTAATCAGAAAGCTTGAGATATGAATGCCTTGATTCTTCCAATCCTCTACCGCCGGCTTTCCATGCTCACTCGAAGCGATGGGCAGAGAGAGCAGAGAGGCGACAGCGTTCCCACACAGCTCCCACGTGCTCGTGTTGATCTTCACCTCCCCTTCATCGTACAGTGTGACACGCCGATTCTTGATGTCGAAGCCAAACCACGGCTCTCCCTGCGACAAGCTGAATTCGTACCAGAACCCACAGCATAGTGCGATCCAGTTCGGCTTCACGCCTCCGTCCGGCACAGATACATTGCGAACATCATCGATGAACTTCCCGAAGCTGCTGATCAAAGGGTCAGAAGAAAGTGTGCCTCCACGCGGACCGGGAGCAAAAGCCCAATAATTTGGCATGATCCACTTGACACCTGCTTTGGCAGCTGCTTCGACGATCAAAGCATGGTTTGTGGGTGATGTTTGGACGGAAAGGGTTATGACGAGGAAGTCGTGGCCGCGAAGAGCGGAGATGAGGTCTTCTTCGGAGGCATAGTCGACTCTGACGACGTTGACGTTGGGGGAGGAGGGGAAGGTGGCGCTGCTATCTGGGCGGGTGAGGATGGTCACTGAGTGTTTACCGGTATCGAGGATGGAGGAGAGGATGTGTGAGCCGATTTTTCCAGAAGCCTGAGGACGTCAATGGAATTCAACAAGGAAGGGGATAAGGCCCTACGCCAACGAGTGCGACTTTGCGGATATAGTCGGCTTGCTTTGAAGCCATGGTGTCAATGAAGTGTCTTGTTTCGTGAGATCGAGAAGCTAGTTTCTTGCAATCACAAAATATGATAATGGCACACAATTGCGAAATTTCTACCTGCTCTTATACTTCATTTAATTTTGTGGCTTTCATCTTGCATCTCGAGCATTCCCACATATGCTTCCGTATTGGGTAATGCGCTAACCCTACGTCGTATCTGTGTAGGAGGACGGTTTGCGCCGAACCACCGAGCTGCATCGGAGTTACACTTAACACCGATCTTCCAACCTTAACACCGATTTTCCAGCCTTAACACCAACGATAACTCTAATCATCTGAAGTCGGGCATGTTGTTGCTCCATCAAGCATCGCAACTTCCTCCCCAGCTTCGTGTTGTTCGCATCCCTTGGAGCTTAGCGGAGCCATGCAAGGACCGTCACGCCTGTAATAGCATCGGGAGCACTGCCGGTTCGACAACGCGAACACAGCGATATTTGCGATGCGCTTCATGGATGCCTCAGCCAAGGAGTTTTGGTTTGTCTTTTGTCTGACAGCTCGCTGGAGCTCGATGGGTATTGCTGGAACACTCGCGTGGAGATTCGTGTTGTTGAGGTACAGGATGACGAGAGAGTGGGGCGCACACCGACAGTCTACGAGATAGGGATAAGCACCATGACGTCACGAAGTTTGTTTGCAGCTGCGCAACTTGAGGATGTCAGGGGTGAGCATTGTGAGGGGAGCCACGGCTGCAATCACTTCGCAGTTCGCAATTCACAGCTGGCAGAAGATAGGTAATAGCAACGTTGTTCGAATAATTTAAACGTGTCAAATTTGTAAATCTAGCGTGACGCAACGCTTTCTATCGCTAAAGTTCAAGACTTTTCTATGCGCCATTCGCCGTCTAATGCCGTGTATCTAAATATTAGGTGGTATCTCTTCAAAGTCTAGGTTCCCAAAACCTTAATCGCTCAGTCGCTAATAACACATCTATGCAGTTTTCTCGAGGGTCTTCATAGCACCCTCACGCTCAAGGCTGTTGTAAGCCTCGGTAAGCTCCTTGACGAAGCGCTCATCGCCACGAAGATCGTCACCGAAGAGGTCTCCAATGCTGAGAAGCTTCATTGGGTTGCCCTCATCACGGGCAATGCGCTGCAGCTCCTCGTTCCTGGGGTCGAAAGACAGTTGGAAGTCGCGACCCTGCTCGTCGATACCCCGGAGGTAGCGGAACCAGGCAGCAGTCGCGAGAGTAAGGCGACGGAGGGGTCCGCCAGCAACGATCTGCTCGGCTATCGAGGGCATGATGAACTGGGGCAGCTTGCCAGAGCCGCCAAGGCAGATACGAGTGATCTCATCCTTGAGGGTAGGGTTGGAGAAGCGGCCGATCAGGGTCTTGATGTACTCGTCGACGTCGACGCCGGGAATCTTGGGGAGCAGAGGCTTGACCTCCTCGTTCATCATGTTGGAGATGTACTTGTGGAAGGTGGGATGGCCAATAGTCTCGTGGATGTATTGGAATCCGCCGAGGTATCCGGCATATCCCATAGCAGAGTGAGAGGCATTGAGCAGGCGAAGCTTCATAAGCTCGAATTGCTCGACGTTCTTGACATCCGCGACGACCTGGACACCAACCTTCTCGAAAGCGGGGCGGCCATCACAGAACTTGTCCTCAACAACCCATTGGCTGAAGGGCTCGGTGACGACAGGCCACGCGTCCGCGATACCAAACTCCTCACGGAGGTTATGGACATCCTCTTCGACAGTCCTGGGGGTAATGCGGTCAACCATAGAGTTGGGGAAAGCACCGTTCTGAGCAAGCCAGGCGGCGACATCAGGGTTGCGGTGCTTAGCAAACGCGAGGAGCATGTCGCGGGTGATATGACCGTTCTTCTGCATGTTGTCGCAAGACAAAACAGTGAAAGGCTTCAAGCCAGCTTCGTAACGCCGCGCCAGCGCAGCGTAGACAAAACCAAAGAAAGTGCGGGGAGGAGATGCGCCAGCAAGATCGGCTGCCATGTCGGGGTGCTCAGTTATGAGCTCGTGAGTGTTCTCGTTGTAGAAGTAACCGCTCTCTGTGATGGTCATGGAGACGATGTGGGTGTCCTCATGAGCCATCTTGGCGATAACAGCCTCAGCGTTATCGGGAGCGAACAGGTAGTCTGTAATACTGCCAATAACGCGGGCCTTCGATCCGGGTGCAGAACGCTCAATGACTGTGTAAAGGTTGTCCTGGGGGGCCAGAGCATTCCTCATCTCGGCGTCAAAAGGCTGCAGACCGACACCGCAGATTGCCCAGTCCTTGAGCTTGAGCTGCTCAAGAAGGCTGTCCACGTAAACCGCCAAATGAGCGCGGTGGAAACCACCAACGCCAACGTGGACAATGCCATGCTTGATGCTGGCGCGGTCATAGGTGGGTACTGTGGCGTGCTCCAACTCCGACAGGTTGGCGTTGTTCAGCCTCAGCAACTGCGGCTCTGTAGCGTGAGGCATAGCAGCCGCTGCTTGTGAATATTTGCGGGATTGAGGGAGTGTTGTGGTAGCAATCTGCTGCTTTTGCTGTGTGTCTTGTGTGACGGAAACCTTGGAAGGGGTTGTCGTGTTTGTAGAGAATGACCTCGCTGCAATTGATTGAGGGAAAAGTCTGAGGGAGGGTCGCAGGCTTGAAGTAGACTGCTTCTGTGCCAGGGCAACGGCGAACTTCGCCTGCTTTATGAGGTTGAGAGGAGCCATGGTGAAAAGATTGTACGTTGATCGCTTCAAAGTGGATGGGACTGCTCAGGTTTTGTCTTTTTCAGAGGGGCCATAGTGGGTCCAGTGCACGGTTGTGGATGATTGACTAAGGCATGATGTATTTTCGATGGAACGTGTGGGGAAGACCTGGAACACGGATGGCTTTACTTTCGTGTTGACATTCTTCCCCGACACAGAAGGTGCACGGCGATGGCGACCAGACTGGCGGTCAACAAATTCGGAAATTTAGATATAGGGGGAGTCCAGGTGACCAGCTTCCTTGGATCAGATCTCCTAAATTTGGACCAAATGTCAGTTGTGAACGCACAACGTTGCCAGTCCAACACAATTTCGCCCACGTGGACGTGGAATCCATTACCAATCTTCGTTCTTAGCTGATGCTTTTCCAGAGGTGACGACGCCCACCTCCGAGCTCTGTCCGTTCAAGAAAGGGGCCGAGGGCCTTTGCGCGTTCGGAGTCGTAAAACGTCCATAGCGCAGGCATCACGCGCCGCCACATCAGGAAGCCGGTACCCCGGTGCATACGGTTTTGGTGGGGAATTGGAAGGCGCTTCCGCCGCAACTGCCCATCCCTTTGCCAGAGAGGGTTCGAAATTTTTTCAGCCTTGAAAGGATCAACTAGCGGCTTATCGTGGGGTTTCGATTGGGTGGCAAGCCTTTGACAGCCTTAACCCACTGATCGGCCAGTCTCGCCGAGCCAGGTTGAGGCTCCTGGCGTGTGGCGGTTAGCTCCACCCAGGAACATCGCTTCCATGCACGGTTAATCCTACCCACTTGCCTGCAGCCGAGAGTGGAGCCGTGGGGGCTGGGTCCATGATAAGAATTTTCGGGAAATGGCGAAAGCGCACGGTTGTATGTCGCAGGGCACCTTGGAACAATTCGAAGAAGCGGTGTCCGTAGGTTTGGCAAAACTCCAACAAAATTTCTGAAAAGTATTGATCGAACATCGAATTACTTATGGCGCCATTTTCCAGACACACCTTGGTGCTTCCGAGATTTCCCCTGCCGTCGAACCCACGCTCGAAGTTTGCCAAGCGGAGTACATCGATGTCAGGCGGTGGCACAAGCAGGAACGCGTTTCAACGTGCGCCGATTTGGAGGCTGCATCGGACTACTGGTGTGTAAGTCGCTTGCAGGAGTGTCCCAGCCTATTGACCGCCTCGTATCGAATCCCACGCGGCAGGCGCAGCTGACACGTCTTCGTATCTCCATATCCCTCGCCCACGCAGACAGACTCATCGAGCTCGTGGTGTTGAGCATTCTAGAACGCACTGATCGACCTGGGCACCGTGATATCGTATATAGTGGCGAACGTTGCGCCCATTCTGCGCCATGAGCGGAACGAGGTCAACCAGTGTGGGACCTATCGTCGCTTGGAGACCAGCTTCTCCGCTGTTGCAGATTCGCCACAGGTTGAGTCCCACTTACCGCAACCCAGATCCTTGGGATCGTCGCGCTGCCGGCTTCAGACTGTGATCGTGAGCGTCTCGCTCCTTGCGGGGTAGTCTAACAACGAGCCGTGCCGACAGAGTCTGACACCAGGCCTTGCAAGGCGAGTACAGTTTTCTGGCCGTGCCCGTGTTTGCCGATTGCCTGAGTGTCTGCCTGACGCAAGCTCAGTTCCAGCGGTCGCTGGTCGTCTTGCACATCAGGACCTGAGCCTCCTCACGCGTCGCCTATGTGCATGTGCCTTATTACTCGAGTAAAGTGACCCAGGTGCGACCGTGGATGTGACAGTGCTGATCGAAACTCAATTGACCTCCACTTTCGCACCTCAGTAATCAGTTTTTCTTGCAACGCCTACCAGAACCTGATGTTCAGCATCCGATGAACCCAGCGAACATTGCGTGTTGGAAGTGCGAAAGCTTGGAAAGTCCAAATCACATTAAGCCGAAAATGGAGAGAAGAGTGAGGCAGGGCCTAGAACGAGACACACAGACAGTGGAGATGGAATTGCCCACCCTTGCAGAGTCTTCGAGCCTTGCCCCAGAGAATATTGCGGACCGTAGCCGCCAAGGCACTTCGATGGTGCAAGTAGGAGTGGATCCCCCGTGGTGGCAATTTCTCGTGTATCACTGAATCTGCAATACAATGGTCAACAGTGCTCCGGCAGTCATCCAATAAGTACGGTGAATGTAAGGTTGCGGCTTGGCCGCAGAAGAGTGCCACGGTCGATTGTCAGGATTACTGGCGCTCGGATCGTCAAACGAACACATCAAAGAATGGTTCGGTGAGATAGAGAAAGACGGACAAGGTCTGACAGTGGTCACGATATGCACCCGCTGGAATGAGTGAAATTGAGAATTGCATAGGTGTTCGTTGTCAATGAGTAGGCGTGCCCCTCGTGAACCCACTGCTTGCATGGAGTGTCCGTCTGCAAAATAGTCAGCGATTATTTCTCAACCTTATAGCAGAGGTCAAAAGGAGAGGCTGAACGATGCGGCATGCGCTTCATCCACATGGAGGGGCTCCGCGTATGCAGATTTGCAATTGTCGCTAGGGAAGTGACGGTAAATTATCATTCGGCGTGATGCCATCAGTTCCTATACATGGTATGAGGGTACCGACGCCGGTAGGTGATGTGGTGGAGGTGAGCAAAACGCGTTGCGCTCCCCTCACGACATATTTGGCAAAGATCGATGCGTCATTGGCCCAAGCGTTGGCGCTAGCCGCCATGTGCGTCGGCAAGAGCTGCCCAACCTGCCAACGTTCACTTCACTTGAGTTGTTGCACTTCGTACATTGACTTCATCCAGGCCGGGACGTTGTCTCTTGGGATCATTAACAACATTTTGTCTGCCCGTCTCCGTCTTCTACCCATGGGCAAGCCCATAAGATTCGCATCCGCTGCACCACTGACGTCTTTTTGCAAGGAATTCGATCAGCGGATCGTACACAGCTCTGGAGCTGAATGCCCCAGAGCGCAGAGGCAAATGATGAGGCAGTGTCGAAACTTCCTGCTCTTCCACTGCTCACTCTCACAGATGTTCTGTGCCTCTGATCGTACGATACAGGCGACATACCAGGTTTTGTTGTGGTGTATATAACCTTTAGGACCTGAGGGTTAAAAAGGTCGGCCTTTTTGTATCGCTGCGGGGCCGCGACAGGTTTGAATACCAGCAGGTCGTACAAGTGCTTTCCACCAGGACGCAGAAAGGTACCGTCCATCATGGTTGCAACTTCCATGCTTCCCTGTAGATGTTTGATTGAACAAAACCCTGTGAGAATGGTGCTTAGCTGACCTTCACTCTTTTTACTCCTTACCTTGCGGAAGTCACTAGCGAGTTCTTGCGCATGACGTACTCATCTGCCTTCCGTTTGCTCGTTCTTCGCGCGCGGGCCCTTGCACTCCTACACATAAAAGCAAAATTCCATCAGCTTTTTTATTTCATCGTCCTCACTCCTCATTTCGTATATCAACCCTAGTCCCTATACACCCTTTTGCCTCCTACCACTTCGACCTGACACCATGAACCGTGTCACACACCTGACCCTTGGCGACACCGGACGCCCTGAGGACCGCGTCGTGCGCATTGTCAACCTCCACTACGAGACCGACAGCGATGACATCCACAAGTTCTTCGGCAACGACTTCACCATCGTTGACTTCATCCGTAGTGTCAATCCGAAGACGAACAAGAACACTGTGGACTACGTTCTGTTCGCGATTGAGCACGAGCGCATCAACGCACAAACTCTGTCTGGTCGCCAGATTCTCGATCGCCAAGTCAAGGTCCTCTCCGCTCAAGGCGCTTCCGCAGTGAGTACCCTCTGACGCTGTTCGCTGATGCACACTGACAGTACCGATAGTTCCTCGCCTGGCGACAAGCTCTTGCCTTCGGGAGGAGGCAAGAATGCGGCCCTTCTCATGAACAACGTCGGCCAGGGACCCGAGGTCAACGAGACATTCTTCCACTTATTCTTTGGAAAGTTTACTGTTTTGATGTCAAACGCACTCTTGACCCGAGGACCAACTCGCCACACCCTACAGCATTTGTGATGTTTGCTTCTGCAGAACAGCGTGATGATGCCCTTCATCATCTAAAGGACGCGCCGACGCAGGGTCGAAACGTCACTCTAGAGGTGCCCAAGGCCTTCCAAAGTTGTAAGTCAATATCATGTTATCACTAACACCCTGCTCTATGGGTTGTTTGCTGTGGTCATGTGTAATGTTGGATTGCTTCTGTTTGTACTGACACTCTACATAGTCGATGAGCAGGGCTTCATGCTTTCCTCTGACGGAGAACGTCGTTACCTTTTCTGCCCACGCGCGTGGTCTCGTAGCCAGCAACACCTCTCGCCCTAAAACTCCTTCTAGCGCATTCTTACGTGAAGGCATCCAGACTGCTCCACCGAGCACGTTCAGCCAGGCTCCTGCCCCAGCGCCAACCAGCAACAACCACAAATTTCACACTTTGCTTGGCCAGCTCGGGATGGCAGACAGCGGAGTGCAGCAGCAGGTGCAACCCAAGACGCGCATCGATCGCGAGCAAGAAGTCAAGGCCACTCGAAAAGCTGAACACGAGCGCCAGGCAAGGAAGACTGAGTATATATGGGATCTGCCTCATGAGGAGCTTACAAAGCGCTATCTCGGTCAGCAACGTACGCTGTTGCAAATGCCGTCTGGTGTTGAGGGACCTGGTCAGGTAATCACTGGCCCTCCAATGACGCCACCCGTTGGTTACTCGTCTCCCTTCGCTTGTCTTCTCGGCTCTGTGCCTCGTGGCCCTCCGCCCGGCATCGACACTAGCTGTAAGTGATCCAAACTTCCATTTCTGTCAGTATAATAGCTAACAGAATGCAGTCCGCCCCCGTGAGTACAGCTGGAATCTGAGCGGCAACCAGGATCCTGCACGTCACATCATCTCTGAGGAAGCCTGGTATGGTGGCGTACAGGCACCCCAACATCGCAAGGAAGAGGAGGAGTAGTCCGGATCCACCACCGTCCAGCGCATCATGGCCGAGGGCGGTATCCTCGAGGACAGCGAGAAGGACGTTAAGAAGGGTGACGGGTAAGCTTGTGTGGTGTTCGGTGTTTGGTATCTGTCGTTCTCTTGGTGGTTCCTTCGCTTTCCCTGACGTGTCTGATGAACCAGGTATCTTTCTCAGTTGTCGATTCTTCGTGTTTGAGGCGGCAGACGTTTTACAGGTCCGAAAGGATTTTGGTTTCAATTCACGCACGGCGATCATGTAGCTTCGCCACTTCTTAGCGAGCCTTCTGAGAGCTGTAATGCTTCCGATTGAAAAAGTTTTGTCATGTATGCACTCCTAACTCCTGTTCTAATCTTCTTTCCTTCCACAATCTAAGGGCATGATGACTCCCAATCATGTCAGTCTTGACTCTGCGCGAGATTCCTTCAGGCCTATCAGCTACAGTCGGTGTCAAAAGTCTGTTCGTGGCGGCTTTACCTTATCAAAATTGACCATATTCTATAATAAATATAACAGCCTCTGCTTATTCTAATTATATAAGATAAAGAATTATAGAAATGAATATCTCTTTCTAACACTCTCTTAAGTTTTAGTAAATAATCAGACGGCAAGCCTGCAACAGGAAATCGCTGCATCCTATTCGGGTAATTCGGGCCTTTGCTTACGGAATCTCATGCTGTTGCCCAAAAGCGCAATCGGCCTCAACGCCTTCCATTAAAGGCCTCTCTTCCCTCGACATTTTCTTTCTATCCCTCAACTGTCTCTCTCTATTCCCACCCTTTCGCACCGGATGCTATCGCCCATTTCAGCTCCGCCAGCCATTCAACAACTTTTCACAAGGCACTATCGCCGCATATCAGCTTCTGTGGAAGGGTTGAGAGTATTGATTGATCTATTTGGCTATGGCGAGGATCGATCGGGACTATATAGTGGAAGGGAATAGCAGTGAAGCAAACCAAACTAACCGAATGAGCTGGACTATCAGTGCAGCGGGCCGTTGGCAAACACTGCAACGGGCCGTTGGCAAACGCTGCAACGGACCGCTAGCGAACAGCTTCCGCATCTACATGCACATTCAATGCTGTCTCGACTCGCCCCCCTGTTACAGTTGCCCCTATACAGGTCTTGAAGCGCAGCTCTGCTTCAGCTCATGGCTTTTCTTCTCGATGAGGGGGAGGTTGATCTGATCCCTCCATGAGCAATCGAATTGCCCATCACTTCATGTCCTCGTTTCTAAATTCTGCGACGCAATCACTCCCCTCTCATACAGACAATTTTCATCCATATGAAATAATCACCCACTCTATGGCAGTGAAGAAGTCAGACCTGGTTCGAAACTGTTCCCTCTAGCGCACAGTCAAACCCGGCAAGCACAGTTGAGTGTCCTGTGGTTGCCTGAGCCTGGTCACAGCTCAGTCTGGAGCAGACGAAAGCTGAGCTGTTCCACAATTGTCTCAGTCCCGGTGCACTCACAATGCAGCTTGACCCTGCCTCCGAATGGGTTGAACGAATTAGGCACGTCCACATGCCATCCCGCCCTCAGACTCAAGTTCAGGAGTCCGGCTTGTGCATATAATTGACAGGGATCCGAACTTCAACAATGCACTCGTATTGCTCCATTAGGAAACAGATAAGCCAAGGACCGGATTATGACATCAATCGAGCGAGCTACGAGTGATCTAAATGACCCGTGGCCTTAGCAGGTGATTATGTGGAACACGGCAGGCTGGTTTCGAGAAATTAGTCGCCAGTGCCATTCAATGCCATGATCCATACTTTGCAAGCCGATTGGCCAGCCACCAAGAGAAATCGTCTCAATCGGCCGCTTCAACACAGTTTCCCAGTCCTTGCAAAGCCGAAAAACGCGTACTCCCTGAGCTATAGTGGCCATTCGCAAGCCAATGATGGGATGGTTTAGATGGAACGAGGCATCCGCATTTACCGTACCCTTGTCTTGTGACTCCTTCGAACTGATACATGCAGCTTATACCGTATCACACTTTAGACCATGGGCAATTGGCCTCAGCCGGCCCTGTCGAATCCGGAACAGTGTTTATGCAGGCCTATGCGTCTACTAAAAAGCAGTCTTGGCGATTGTATATAATCGAAATAACAGCTTGTCAGGAGAACACCAGCCTTTCTCCTTTCCAGCGTCTGAAAAAACAAACTTCTGCAGTCCTGGAATGCCTTCTACCCTTCCTGCCGCTCCCTATACGCTCGCACGAGCGAAGTTTGTCCCGTATATTCCGTCATCGGCTAATCCAAAACGGAAGCCAAAGATTGAATTGCCCAAGCAAAAATCCTGCAACACTAGATTAAACAAAAGCAGTGAAGGGAACAGAAACACCAATATTATCATAACATCAGATTCTGTGTTACCGTGCTTATCCAATCAAGAGTCACCTCAACTATCTGGGACCCTAGAATGCTCTTCTCCTAATGAAGAAGGTACTGTAGAGAGACTTAGTTCGCAGTAGATTGGATCTTAGCTAAATTGAGCTTGCAGATGCCGTATCCGATCAAGACAAAGGGCAATGCAACACCAACGACGAAACCTCTGCCATAGAGGGAAAAAAGCCTCTTACAGACACCACAGAAATAAACTTAGCAGCAGAGCTCTCTCCAGGTGACAGCATCTCAGGTGGATCTTTAGATGAGGTTTGGATTCCTGAACTGATGAACAATAGTAGATTGTACCATCCCCATGGAAGAACATGCTATCACAGAGTGCTGAGATTTTATGCCCATTGATCTTAGACGCGTACCACCCGATATCTATCAAGAAATGAACTGCGATGGAGATTACCCACGCGAACAGTGTGGAGAATCAAATGATACTGATACATTCAGTCCCCATATATTTGATATGTACACTCATAGTAAGTATCAGCCAAGAAGTACAATTTAATGTCGTCACGTGGGCATACAGTTGATGATATGTCGACTCCAGATAGTTGCAGCAGTGCTGCCAGCATATTGCTGAAAACAAACGAACGAGCGTGCTCTCCACTTGACATGTCGACCTCTATGGCAAAGGTGCTGAACTCTGGATTACATCTACAAAGGCAGACGGCCCCGAGTGTACACCAACCAACACCCCGACCGGCCGTAGATACCCGTATACTACATTCCACAGCCAACAGGGGCGATAGATCTACCAGTTCAATCAGGTCACAGGGAATACTTTGTAATGTGGAAAGTCATGTTGAAAGCCTACAGAAGTCTAAAAAAGCACAGGCGCTGCTTCGATCTTCAAGTGAACCAGGTTCACCCTTGGAAGCAGCAAGCCAAGCTGCCGGTTCTGGTGTGATGGAATCGAGAAAAGAAGCTTTCGAGGGTGACAATGGACCTGATGGAAACCAGAAGACAAGACCAACAATACATGGTGGGGCCAAGTGGGACAGATACGAAGTCGAGAGGATCATGGACCACGACGAGCATGATGGTCGGAAACGCTTTTTAGTCAAATGGATGGGATTGCCTGCCGGAGAAATGACGTGGGTGCCGGAAAGGAACCTAGGCGACTGCGCAGAGCTCCTCCAGGACTACTGGACCCTCGTGGAGACCCCAAAAACATCCAACAACGCCACCGAAGTAGAGGCTCAATCACCATTGGTTCGTGATCAAAGACAAGGGAAACATATTTCTTCGCTTGATCATATCATTAAGATATTCGAGCGGCTTACAAAAGACACCCAGATGATTCTAGATTCACAGACCTTGTTGGCAGCCCGAGTGATCCGGCTTGAAGCGTCAAGTAGAGCCGCTCCCAAGCTCAAACAACACAAAAGAAAGCGGATTGAGGAAGAGGAGGATGATCGGATGTCCCGATTGGATGTTGAGCCACGAGTAGAGCGCAGAATTCCCAAAGACAGTGTGCGCAAGCGGCGCAGAAAGCACAGAAAGCATTGTGGGCGTTGCGGGAAGGCAGGACACAACACCCGTACGTGCGAGAATGATTCGGCAGATGATAGAGATGTAAAGGCACGTGATTTGGTAGAGCGGTCGGTTCGCTTGGGGAGGTTGACTCGCTTGTACAATAGCTAAGTGAGTGTTCTCACACAATCCAGTGCTGTCTACCGCATCTTACCAGCGACTGAACCATCTGCGGACAACGCACTGAAACCTGATAGCACAAGTTACATAACCACAAGTCCCAGTTGCTCAAGTTGGCCTTAGACAGGATCACTGCAACCAAGCAAGGCTCGTTTGTTATCCTGGCACGATCCACTTTCCAAATATTGACACAAGCCACTTCAAATCGGGAAGGTGTAACGAAGAGCTCTGGGCTTGACCTCAAATTTTCTATACAAGGACATCTTATGTCAGTCGGTGGACTTCAACTTTATTTTCGCCGACTGCAACTTGGGCAGAACTGCTGGCCGCAATCGATTGCCAAGCATCGCACAGGAAAGATGGGACGGTTGTACAGATATTGACAACAAAAACTAATACTTTGTTGTCGGGAAGCGTGGACAGTGCGCATATGGGAAGCATTGACGGATTGGACTGAGGTTGTATTGGGTGAAGCTACGGACAATACATATAGGTGAGTAGCTGTAAAAAATGCTAGTGTGACGTGGCAGTCACTCTCATGGCAGGTGAGGTTCGACAGGCAGGAGCACCCTGAACCGTGACAAACCCTGAGTAACGAGAACATGCAGAGGCTTTTAATCATAAAAAAGTCAAGAACAATCAAGAAACGTAGAGATTCTCGGAATGGACACTACGTATTCTGTGTTTTGCTCACACATCACGTCTTCTGAAAAAAAAAGCTTACCTTACCCTGTGATACAAGTTTTCAGCACAAGCATGGACGAAGATATCACTTCGGACAGTCTCGGACTTACTTGTATGTGGGTCCAACATATCGAAAACTTGTCAAGTCGTAGATAAGTATCAGAAGATTTCATACCGAGAGCAGTGCTTAAGTGTTGCAACGTTTTGCGCTTTGAAGGTGGTCCAATGTCCCATGATGTAGGACTGGCAAAAGAAGCTCCACTTCTTCAGTGTAAAGAAAGGTCTGAAATAGCATAGCTGTAATTTAAAGGGCTCACGTCAGACACTTGGATCGCTAGCATAACTCAGCCTTGGTGGCAAATCCGGCGATTAACCCCCCGCACTACAAAGCCTGGTATGACCAAGCAACCGCAAGCGCCCATTCCGCGCCAGCTTGTAGGCAGCTTGGTGGTTTGAATATGTGATCAGGCACAGTACAAGAGGGTACTTGGCAGTGATAGTTTAAGCTGACAAGCTCATGGCCAGAAAGGGTCAGCCATTCTCTCTACCGGATAGGGCAATTCCACATGCTACGTTTTCTTTAAGGATGAGGAGGCACAAAATAACTTGGAACTAATATAGCTACAACAGTACTTGGCCCGAACTTTAGGACACTTTTGGATACCAGTCAAGAAGAATGATCAAACTCTCTTTTTCAGTTTAACTACATACTTTAGCAGACTGACTGCCTCCTTGGTCTGTCCGTTCGCTCGGTATGCTCTGGCGAGCTCGTGCTGCGACGCTAGTCGATCAGGATGGTCTTCTGCGAGCACTTCTGCTTTTATCGCGACAACGGCTTCCAGCAGCTTGACTGCCTTCTTGGTCTGTCCGTTCGCTTGGTATGCTCCAGCGAGATTGTGCTGCGACGCTAGCCGATCAGGATGGTCTTCTGTGAGCACTTCTGCTTCTATCGCAACAACGCCTTCCAGCAGCTTGACTGCCTCCTTGATCTGTCCGTTCGCTTGGTATGCTTTGGCGAGATTGTGCTGCGATATTAATCGATCCGAATTACTCTTATCGAGGCTTTGTCTTTGTTCGCAGGACTCCTTTAGCCACCTCCCTGCTTCTCGGGTTCTGCCGTCTTCCAGCAGACATTGTCCCACCAAAAGACACAACTTGGATCTTTTCTCAACCTTGCAGCCTTGATCATCCTCGAGTAACCGTAGCGCGTGCGGTAGATATGCTCTCCATACTGCCGGGTTTGCATAGTCGTCCGATGGGAAAACGCCGGCCACGTTACTGATGCTTTTCTCGGTCACCCCTCTCGCATCGTCGTACTGTCTGACCCAGACTCGAGTTGCTAGGTGCACTAATTGGTGAACATCATACAACTCTTCATTTCCTCGTCTTACCACAAAAGAGTACCCACAGAGCGTGCCAATTGCATCGTCCATCCGCACTTCCGAGTGCGCACTTGGTAGGATAGAGCGTGGAATTGCTTTCCATTCAATGCAAGATATGAACATCAGAAGATCTGTCGCGGCCTTGTCGCGCTTGCGTATGTGGTCAAACGATACCACCCACGTTGTAGCCACTGCGTTCGCCGAGTCATCGTATCGCGTATCGTCACGGAACTTCTTGCTCATGAGGTCTATGAGGTTCTGCTCTGTGCTGTCAAGTAACTGCAAGTACCTATCAATAGTTGAGCGGGTTTTGTTCAGGTAGGCAGCTGCTTGTGCTATCGCCAAAGGTAGACATGTCAGCTTATCCAGCAGTGTGTCTATACCTGCACTGCTACGGAGGAGATCCTTCCTGATGAGCGACTTCTCTAGGAAGTCGCCAGCGTCTTGTCGATTCATCGGTCCGAGCTTCACCACATGACTTCGTATCAGCGAGTCTGCTACCTCTAGTGTGCGTGTAGTGAACATAATCACACCCTCCTTGCTCTGTGGCAGGTAGTCAACGATACCCTTGGCCTCTTTGGAACCAAATAAGATGTCTGCATCATCAGCATTGTCGACCACCAATAGCCACTTCCCCGCCCGCGTTGTGCTTAGATACCGTTGGAACTGCTCTTTAGCATCGTCCTCTCCGTCACTCGTCCGATCGATGCCCAGCTGTCTCGCAACTTCTGCGCACGCCTGCTCGAAGCTCTCCATACTCAGTACAGGTAGCCAGAAAATGGAGAAATCGGGCCAACTCTCCTTCACCATGTACGCAAACTGCAGCGCGACCTGCGTCTTGCCCGTTCCCCGAGTCCAACGATTGACATCTTGTAGCATGTTCTGTTCACCATGAGCCTCTACTCTAGCAAGTTGAGTTCAACCCTTCTTCCAACAAATAACCGGTTTCGAAGGAATGGAATAGAGTGGATTGCTCTTCCTATGGCACAATCAGCCACGCCCTAACACATAGAAGATACTAGACAGACTAACTGCTCGCACTCTGAATGGCCTCTTCGGCCGTCCGAGTCTTTTCTGTCACGGTATCAATTGGTCCGTACAAGACCCAGTTACCCCTGGTTGGGCTGTTATGGGCTAGCACGTTCCAGGGACAGTATATATCGTCTCCTCCTAGCTATATAGCAATTCAGCGCAGTATTCCATCGACCCGATAGTCCTACGTTATCGTTTACCGTAGCTATCAGTATTCTACAGCGGTCCACACCGCTACAAGGAAGTATTTGGTTTGTTTACACGATGAGTAATGAACAAATCCCGTATTGAGACACCGCAGACAGATTTACAGAAGTCTATTCCGTAGTAGATAATACTGTCATAGAGACTATCGAGTGAGGAAAGCCGATATTTTTTGATTAGGGTCAAGAGGTCGGAAACGGCCTCTTGTGATTACCTACTCCTTGAAAGCTACTAGCATACATAATCACTTAATCATTCAATCCCTCTAAAGATCTGTATGAATATGGAACACCCACGATTCTACGCACGACTGTCCCATCAATTAGCCTCACTTCATTTTCTTCCAGGTCGTGTCCTCTCAAGAATGGAATAATCTTCGCCCAGATTCCCCAATATATTACAGCCCCAAGCAAGCTATATATAGCATTAGCATTCATCGAACCCCCTCCTGGAAAGAGCAAATGCCGAACTTACATCGAGACGGCGGCTATCGCATAGGTCCCTTGCCATAAGCCAAAGTAATTTTGTGACGAGTCGTAGAAGACCACCGGGACCACAATCAAAACTATGCATATAGCTATGCGTAGATAAATAACCCATTTCCAGGCCCTGAAAGGCTGTGATAGCTCTGGATGCTTTTGTCGAAGAGAGAAAAGACCTATCGCAATCGCAATCGCGAAGAATTGGGTTATGTACCCTTCTGCGTCGACAAGAAACGAATAAGCATGCTCTCCTGGAGAACATAAGATTATTAACAGTGCCGGTATTACGTTGATGATGACTCCTCCGAGTGGAGAACCAGATGGGAGCGACGAGGCGAAAATCTTTGGTAAAAAGCCTCTGCGTGCAATTTCTTGGTTGAGTCGTGCCTGGCTTCATCTTAGTCAATGATTTCGAACAATACCCAGACCTTGGGGTGGTATACCTCGCTATAAACACCGACCATGATATTCCCGGCAACCACTGTAGCTGCAAACAGTGGAAGAATCATATTGCCAATTGATGAACCAAGAACACGGTTGAGAAAGACAGCCATAGCTAGCTCTCCGGAATCCTTGATCTCGTCCAGCGGGACGATTATGACAAGAGCCGCGTTGAGCAACAAGTACAATGCACAAACGCTGACGAGGGAAAGTGGTACAATGCGTTTGATCATGCCCACCGGGTCGGCTACTTCGCTCAGAATGTTGTTGGCGTTTGCTGTCCCAGAATAGGCATACTGGACTCTGAACAGCGCTACGGACAATATGCCAGGGTTCCAGGTCGAGTCTGATGGTGAAATTGTAGCAGGTTTTTGTCCCTTGAATGAGTATTTGAAGCTACTAAGACCGTCTGCTCCACGTTGATCGCTTGAGCGAAACAGGACAACTGCTATTGCAGTGCAACCCATCAACATCATTGCGGCGATCTTGAAAACTCCAAAAGTATTTTGAACCGCGACACCAATTTTCGGAAAGAAACCATGCATTATGGCAATGGCTAGAAGTAGTGATATCGCAAAAAAAGGAGATTGCCATGACGATGGATCAACACCTGCGCCGTATGCTACGTACTTGCCAAATATAATGCAGTTATTCGCAGTAAGGGCTTGGAACAATGCCTTACAGGCGATGATGGTCGAAACGAGATAGCGAGGTTTGTGATAAGTGAACTCAAGGTAAACCGCATCGCCCCCATTGCGCGGCAGCATGCAGCTGTATTCGAGGTATGGAACGACTGCGATTGTGGCGATGGCGGCACCACAAATCCAAGCCATGAAAGCCGTCCCGATGCTGCCGGTGGATTGGATAACGATGCCAGGAACCGCAAAAATACCAGACCCGATCATGCGTGATATTATCAAGATGTACGCTGAGCTCCAAGATAAAGAAGGACGTGCAAAAGAGGCGCTTTCGTCTCCAACTCGGGCGAAAGGCATAATGAAGTGGTAGTTTCTTAGCCAGAATGGGAGACGTGCGAACCGAAGACGAGCTCGTGGAGTATTAGAGGGTAAAATGATAATGGTACCGTAAGGAAATGCGTTCGCGCCGCCAGATAATAACTAGTCTGATTTAGGGGTTGGGGTCAAGAAGACTAGCCGGATGGGGGTCTGACTGGCGTCGTAGGCCCGGCGACATGAGATCCTTGGTTGCAGGCCGCGCTAGAGGAAGGCACACCAATCCAACCAGGTTCACGCATAGTGCAGCTATCCCGCGCGTGGAGAAGATAAGAAAAATAGATTAACCAATATCGGCTATCGGTTGTGTCATGCAAGCGGTTTGTGACTCTTTGCTTTTCTCCAGCCGAGTTTAAGAGTAACTAGGTTCGAAACAGGAACAGGACTGTTTTGCTCCGTATCATCACCTTTACAAATGTCTACTAGCAAGCACAACCCCTCCAGCACATCGACTGATGGCAGTTCTGTTGCAAAACCCGGGCTGGTTCCAGGTGCTGCACAGTTTAACTCTGTCATAGAATACCACGGAAACGAACTATATCCTCCAGCAGCTGTATGTTCCTACTAAACAATTCATGCCCAGGGTAGCTAATGCGCCTCAATTCCCACAATATATGCCCACGTGGGATCACACTCAACGCTGCCCTCCTTTAACCGCATTTGAATACAAAGATCCAACAATCGGAGCTGATCCAACCTTCTGTGATTTTTGAAATCTAGCAATGGGTCTCCTGTATCGCTCAAGTCACTTACACCATGCATGGGTACGGTGGTTGCAGGAGACGTTCAACTTTCCAGAATTTCCAAGGCTGGAAAACAGCAGCTTGCTCTGCTGACTGCTCAACGGAAAGTGGTCATATTCAAGGATCAAGACCTAGCGTCTCTACCGTTGCGACATTGGAGTGGGGAAGCTTCTTTGGTAGGCATCGTGTTCCACCGACAAGCGGCACACCCGAAGGATTTCCTGAAATCCAAATAGCCCATCGTGGAGCAGGCGATGACGGATTCGAACAGTTCTTCAAATACAATACAACTTCAGCTGCCTGGCGTTCCGACGCTTCTTTTGAGGCTCAGCCTCCTGGCATCACGATCATGTTTATGCTGGAGACCCCGGCCTGTGGTGGTGATACAATCTTCTCTAATCAAGTGGAAGCATATCGTCGCCTTTCTCCAGCAATGCAAAAATGTCTCCATGGACTGAAAGCTCTGCACTCAGGTAAGAGGCGAGCGGAATCAGCCAAAGCTAGAGGCGGCATCTTACGAAGAGATGCTGTTGAAAACCTCCATCCCACCTTATCGACATGGTGGAAGACACCAGCCAGACGCGTTGACGCACTCGATAGCTGTTACCCACTCGCGATTGCCTGGCTGTACAACAACTGCTCTGCCAACTCTGTCAGAGCTTGTGACTACTTTTGATGTTGCATCGAGGCCCATTGCGAATCCAGTCTCGTCAAAGTTGTAGATATCTTGATCTAGAATGCCGTACGTCTGGCGCGTCTCCTCTACTAGCTTGAACCAGGCTGTAATTGCGATAGGATCCTCACAGGAGGCGCGCTGACTATGAAATCTTCTAGTCCACTTTGTCTGAAGCTCGAACTGGCTCTGGATAAAACGTGACACCCATTTCTTGCCCACAGGTTGTGGAGGTGGATCTTGGCCACGCGCGGCGAGTAACGCGTCTGCCATTCGTCGTACATCAATTATATGGGGCGGAAAACCACGCTGATCAAGGGCTAGGATCCACTGCACGAGAGACTGCTCTTCAATAGGCGATAGCTTTCGTTTGACAGAGACTGTCTCTGATCGTAGCTGAGTACCATGAACGCGTGTATGTAGTGTTGATTGCGGCACATCGTATGCTTTTGCAAGACCACGAATAGATTGTTTTGGATTATTATTATAAGATGTGATAGCAAGGCTTATTCTACCTTCACGAGAAGTCTGTATAGAACGTTGTTGTCGCGGCATGGTGGTGGTTGTGCAGAGCGTCGCGTCAAGCTTGGTGGGGTGCCCAGCTTACTGATCTGCCCAGCTTACTGATCCCGCACGTTAACACATATCTCCATATTCCTCTCGTAGCTCTGCATATCGATTCACTCAGTTGTCCTTAATCTCCTCTACCAGAAAATATCACACATTCATTTCGTTGTTTTGGAGAAGCGCAGAGATATCAAATGAACACTACTCTATTAGTTTCTGGTTTCTAACAATAGCCCAGTAAATTGTTAGCTGTGTTCTTCACAATCCAGAGAGGCCTAGCAACACATCTACCGTGTCTGTGCGCACAACGATCATGTTGGTAAAACGACCGCGCTAGCGCCTTCACAGGCACCCACAAATGAAGCTGTACAACCACATACAATATATATTATTGCGAGATTTTTTGGTGTTGTAATCTGTAGACTCAGGCAACTGTTTTGGCTATCGATACTTGTGTGGGAGTCGCATGTTGCGGCCACGCAAGGTGGCTTTTGGTGGAGGGCTTGAGGCGCCCACCGTTGTGGCCACACCACCCACAGCACCACCCACACGCCTCTGTTTTTTGCAAGGGTTTGCAGGAAGACTCTGTGAGGCCTTGCGCTTGCCAGATTGAGACAGTTGTATAGCTGTGGCAGTGTTGCGAGCTGCCTTCTGCCGTTGTTTCTCAGCTGCCTTCTCAGCTCTCTCCTTCTCCCGCACCTTCTTGGCTTCCTCTCGCGCCACACGCTTCTCCTGTTGTAGCTGTTCTTGGAGTATCTTGTTTTGGTGTTGTATCTGCCGTCGCTCAATAATTGCTGCCGCTTTGTCACATTTCTGTTGTTGTGTGGCTTGCTCGCGATTGCGAGCTTCTTGTACCTTGCGCGGCGAGAAGAAGAGAGGATTGTGCTCATACTGCTGCTCTTGTTGTAGGGTTAGCGGCTTGCCCTTGTTCTTGCGCTTCTTCTTAGTAGTAACTGCAAGGCGAAGCTGCTGGTTTTCAAGAGTAAGTAGCTTGTTTTGAGCTGCAAGCCGGTGAATTGAGCGTTGCAATGCGCGAGCATCCCGAGCATTGTTATTGATAATTGCAGAGTCAAGAAGCCTGTCAAGCTCATCGGCCAATGCCTCTGTACTACTAGAGGCATCAGTATTGAGCTTCTGGAAGCGGTGAAGTATCCTGTTTGGGTTGAACGGCCATAGGCCTGTGGCTTCAAAGGCGCTCAGTACCAGCGCCTCAGTGAAGGTATCTATCCAGGCATGCCAGAAAAGCCTAAAAAAGTCAGGTTTCCTGACTGTGGAGAAGCCTTGGGCGTTGTGAAGGTGTGTAGTAACTGCGTTGGAGTAGTTTGCTGCCAGAGGTGAGAAACAGCTCACATCAAGCGGCTGCAGCGCGTGGGTACTGTGTGGGGGATAGATACAGAGCAGAATCCTGTGGCAATCGCAGTAGTTGATAAAGGCCATCGTTATATGTGAGCCATGGCCATCAACAATGAGCAATCGCCATGAGTTTCAAGCTTTTGCCTTAGTGTAGCAATCAAAGACCTGCTCAAGCCAGGCAACACCCATCTCATCGTTGGTCCAACCTGTAGGTGATGCCGCTACAAATACTGAGTGTTTTCCTGGCTCAATATCCGCCACCCAGTTTGATCGTAGGGCTTGAGCTTTACTCTGGTATATGAGGCCTGGTGGCAGAGTTGACCCATCCGCACACACGCTTGCGAGTAATGTTACCCACTCACGATTGCCATCTTGGAGTGATTCTCTACTCCTCCCTTGTTGCCATGTTTGCTTAGAGAAGATCCGCTTGCTCTTGCCTGTCAGGCCAATTGCAAAGCCTTTCTCATCCATATTGTATGTGTGCCGTGGCTCGATGTTGTATTGGGTGATCTTCTGCTGCAGAATATCAAAGTACTTGGTGTACTTTTCGAGAGAATCAGCAGCGTGCCGCTGCGCATCCATACTTGTGGTCCATCGTGATGATATTCGATCAGAGTGCCGGTGAAGGAAGTCAGTAATCCAGCTCTCGGAAACCTTGTTGTGAGCGAGCGCAAAGGCAAAATTTGCTACCATTTGACGCGTAGGAGGTAGGTGACAATCTGTAAGCTCTTCGATATACTTCACAAGGTACAACTCCTGTTGTGGGTGGAGTAACTGGCGATCTGTGTTGGCATCTTCCCGGGATTGCTGCACACCTCGGTGGTGCCTTGACAACGTTACGCGATTAACACGATGAATTTTTGCAATTTCTGTATATGTAAAATTTTCGCCAGGCTTTAATTGACAAATCTGCATAAGTGCATCATGAATTCCAAGCATGGTTGTGGTGTAGTTGACGTGTCAAAATGTGACTATTGTTGTTGCCTGATCGTTGTACCAACATGATCGTTGTGCGCACAGACACAGTAGCGGCGGCGCGCGAGCAGGAGTTGAGCCTCACGGTGGCCAACGTGTTCGCACAGCCGCGCCTGTCGCGCCTGGCAACAACATTGGAACAAGCACTGGCGTTAGATGACTCTTCCCCCGAGCCTTTCTCGCTCCTGCCAGCGCATGTCGAACTCCAGGACCTTTTGAGGTGTGCCAAGGACGTACTTGAGCCAGCCAACCAAGTACAAGACGTATATCCTGCTACGAGTATGCAGGTCTCCTATCTTCATGGTGCACTCATCACTCCACCAGCTGGATGCCATGCTTTCTACCTAGACCTCCCGTCTTCAACTAATATCGACGTCGCGCGTGCCTGTTGCAACGCTATCTGGGTATCCATCGACATACTACGCGCGGTTTTTGTGGAACATAGTGGTCGGTATTGGAACATCATCGGCCATAGTCGAGGACCATCTCCTATCAATGTATCTGAGAACGAAGCAGATTTGGAAATCTCTTCGGAAAAAATCTTTCGGCAAGCTCTGGATCAGCCTCTTCAACTGGGCACTCCTTACACCAAATTCTTCATTGTTGTGTCCCCCGGATACCCCGTCCGCTTAGGTATGCGACTGTGTCACGCACAGTATGATGGTGTCAGCTTTCAGACACTGGTAAACATGGTAGGTCGGACTTTGGACAACCTGCAGCAGGAATATGACAAACAGCCATCATTTACTGCATACATACGGCACGCGCAACAAAATGAGGCAGCCAGCCTGCTCCACTGGTCAAAGCTGCTTCAAGGTTCTGCACCCCTCCCTTTTCTCTCTGCAAGGCTAAGGAGCATTCCGGGTCCTCCGCAATCAATGGCTGCAGAGGTTCTGGAATGTAAAGTCCGTGTTCATCACAGTCACAACGCCAGAGATTCGACTATCGCAACGAGTTTTGCAGCCGCCTGTGCGCTGGCCTTATCATATGCCACTGATGTCGAGGATGTGGTCTTTGGTTTGGTCGTTACTGGACGAGCTTCAGTCCCTGCAAACCTCCTATCTGTCTACGGTCCATGCTTAGGAATCATCCCCATTCGATTGCGGCTACGGCCAGGTGAGACGTTGGACGAAGCTATTGTGGAGTTACATCGTCAGCGGACGGAGTCTCGCGCGTTCGAAACCAGCACGTTTGCGAACATTCTTCAAGCGTGCACAGACTGGCCCACCAATCAACGGCAGTATAGCTGTATAATTCAGTTCCAAGACATCGAGGAAGAACCGTCCTGGGACAAAAGGATTCGCCACAGCGTCTATCGACGCTCATTGACAACATCTCAACCGGCGCTCGTCGTTTTTGCAAGACCTGTGCAAGGAGAATTGGAAATTTCAGTGTTGGGTGGACGAAACTACTATGAACGCCACGAATTGAAGAGCGTGTTGGATACAATAGCGAGATTACTGTGCGGACTAGACCGTTGATGAAAATAAGGCAGAGGTTGCTATTCTCTAGTGTGTTGTTCAATCTCGCTTTCTAGGTCTCCATTTTTATCATGTACCTTTGCTGTATTGAAATTAGTCACAGGCACTGTAGCGGGGAGCATGCTACAGATTTATTGTCGTTTGCACGACTGCCTGCTGTCCTGTGCCGCCTGCACCGCATCAATCTCAAAGGGCCGACCCAGGGACCGACCACAATGCATCCAAGAGATTGTGCCTGCACTCCACTTCGCGAAGAGTGCCGTTGATTACTCTTTAACTCACACTGTATTCCCGAGGAGATAGATATTACCCATCGTCACAGGGGTTTCTGGCGCCGACTGTTCTCGTTGTCATCAGCCACTAGACGTTCATCGCCTATACTTGCCGGAGCAAAATCACACGAAGGCGCTTGCGCTGCAAGTATTTCTGCGATCTTCTTCTGCTGAAATGTATCCCTTCTCAGAGATCGTCACGCTCCAGGAAAAGCTAATATGACATGATTTTCGCGACTGGAAGCAGCTGAAACTGTCAGAGTTCAGTGAAGAACTGTACGCAAAGGGAAGAATTTGAAGATTGTACTGAGGTTGTTGAGTGAAGCTACGAACAGTATATATAGGTGAGTAGCTGTAAACAACGCTAGTGTGACGTGGCAGTCACTCTCATGGCAGGTGAGGTACAACAGGCAGGAGCACCCTGAACCGTGACAGAAACTCATGGTGGTAATGCAGCCCATTTCGAACCCATGTTCCAGGTAGAATATGTAGAGTTTCGAGAGCGATCACTCTTAGACAGCGCTAACGAGAACCGTCTACTGTGTCTGTGCGCACAACGATCATGTTGGTACAACGATCAGGCAACAACAATAGTCACATTTTGACACGTCAACTACACCACAACCATGCCTGGAATTCATGATGCACTTATGCAGATTCGTCAATTAAAGCCTGGCAAAAATTTTACATATACAGAAATTGCAAAAATTCATCGTGTTAATCGCGTAACGTTGTCAAGGCACCACCGAGGTGTGCAGCAATCCCGGGAAGATGCCAACACAGATCGCCAGTTACTCCACCCACAACAGGAGTTGTACCTTGTGAAGTATATCGAAGAGCTTACAGATCGTCACCTACCTCCTACGCGTCAAATGGTAGCAAATTTTGCCTTTGCGCTTGCTCACAACAAGGTTTCCGAGAGCTGGATTACTGACTTCCTTCACCGGCACTCTGATCGAATATCATCACGATGGACCACAAGTATGGATGCGCAGCGGCACGCTGCCAATTCTCTCGAAAAGTACACCAAGTACTTTGATATTCTGCAGCAGAAGATCACCCAATACAACATCGAGCCACGGCACACATACAATATGGATGAGAAAGGCTTTGCAATTGGCCTGACAGGCAAGAGCAAGCGGATCTTCTCTAAGCAAACATGGCAACAAGGGAGGAGTAGAGAATCACTCCAAGATGGCAATCGTGAGTGGGTAACATTACTCGCAAGCGTGTGTGCAGATGGGTCAACTCTGCCACCAGGCCTCATATACCAGAGTAAAGCTCAAGCCCTACAATCAAACTGGGTGGCGGATATTGAGCCAGGAAAACACTCAGTATTTGTAGCGGCATCACCTACAGGTTGGACCAACGATGAGATGGGTGTTGCCTGGCTTGAGCAGGTCTTTGATCGCTACACTAAGACAAAAGCTCAAAACTCATGGCAATTGCTCATTGTCGATGGCCACGGCTCACATATAACAATGGCCTTTATCAACTACTGCGATCGCCACAGGATTCTGCTCTGTATCTATCCCCCACACAGTACCCACACGCTGCAGCCGCTCAATGTGAGCTATTTCTCACCTCTGGCAGCAAACTACTCCAACGCAGTTACTACACACCTTCACAACGCCCAAGGCTTCTCCACAGTCAGGAAACCTGACTTTTTTAGGCTTTTCTGGCATGCCTGGATAGATACCTTCACTGAGGCGCTGGTACTGAGCGCCTTTGAAGCCACAGGCCTATGGCCGTTCAACCCAAACAGGATACTTCACCGCTTCCAGAAGCTCAATACTGATGCCTCTAGTAGTACAGAGGCATCGGCCGATGAGCTTGACAGGCTTCTTGACTCTGCAATTATCAATAACAATGCTCGGGATGCTCGCGCATTGCAACGCTCAATTCACCGGCTTGCAGCTCAAAACAAGCTACTTACTCTTGAAAACCAGCAGCTTCGCCTTGCAGTTACTACTAAGAAGAAGCGCAAGAACAAGGGCAAGCCGCTAACCCTACAACAAGAGCAGCAGTATGAGCACAATCCTCTCTTCTTCTCGCCGCGCAAGGTACAAGAAGCTCGCAATCGCGAGCAAGCCACACAACAACAGAAATGTGACAAAGCGGCAGCAATTATTGAGCGACGGCAGATACAACACCAAAACAAGATACTCCAAGAACAGCTACAACAGGAGAAGCGTGTGGCGCGAGAGGAAGCCAAGAAGGTGCGGGAGAAGGAGAGAGCTGAGAAGGCAGCTGAGAAACAACGGCAGAAGGCAGCTCGCAACACTGCCACAGCTATACAACTGTCTCAATCTGGCAAGCGCAAGGCCTCACAGAGTCTTCCTGCAAACCCTTGCAAAAAACAGAGGCGTGTGGGTGGTGCTGTGGGTGGTGTGGCCACAACGGTGGGCGCCTCAAGCCCTCCACCAAAAGCCACCTTGCGTGGCCGCAACGTGCGACTCCCACACAAGTATCGATAGCCAAAACAGTTGCCTGAGTCTACAGATTACAACACCAAAAAATCTCGCAATAATATATATTGTATGTGGTTGTACAGCTTCATTTGTGGGTGCCTGTGAAGGCGCTAGCGCGGTCGTTTTACCAACATGATCGTTGTGCGCACAGACACGGTAAGGGCCTGTTCGGTTTTGCTGCCACAACTGCAACAACGCTAAAAGTTCGTAACGCTGTTGTAGCACTATACCTATTTTAGATATCCCGGAGCGTAGAGCTGTTGAAAAGTATAGGGGTGTTCGGTTTCAACTGCGATATAGCACACGAAAAACACCACACAGCGAGAACTCGATTTTTGGAATTCTGTTGTATTTTCGTGCTCAAACGGTCGCTCTTGACGCCAATTGACTAGCCAGCACCCAGCCGCAGCAGCCCACTGCGTCTGACGTGCCATGGCGACACCGTGGCCTCAGCAGCCCGCATGGCCAACCCCTTTCCGCGAGCATGCTACACGCCTCAGCACCTACCTTCAGGACGCGCTGACTTGTATTGATCGCACGCAGAGCCAGCCCGTGCCGGCAGACCTCGTCAAGGTCATCATCCACGGCACGCTGACGTTCATACTGAAAGTGCAACATGCGCCTGACCTCAGCACGGTGTGCGACGCGCTTAGCATTATGCAAACGGAGGCCAAAGCGTCCACAGAAAACGCCGCGCAAATGCTTGATGTTGTCAAGCACGAGCTCAAGACTGACATTAAGAACACCGCCAAAACCGTCCACGCTATCGCCACAAACGTACAACAAAACATGAGGAACGGAGAGGAAGCAAGGACCGCAGCCAAGGAGGCAGTCGAGGTAGGTAAAGCAAACCTGCAGATGGCAAGGCAGATCAAAAACGCAGGACCGCAGACAGGTGGCGTGCTCAGCTACGCTGCGATTGCAGCGAGGGGCGCACCGCTAGCAAGTACAGCGAATACACAAGTTCTCAGAATGGCTCCTATGCAGACGCAGCGTGAAGTCGTCGTGACCATTAGAGACCCCAAATACAGTGCTTAGCCTGCGGGCAATGAACCCGCGTAACCTCAACGCGCATGTAGAGTGCGCTATTGCGCAAAGCGGAAACGAAAACATAAGCGGTATTAAGGTTCTCTCTTCGAACCAGCTAAGGAGCGGCGACCTCAGCATCAAGACAGCCACCGGCAAGGAGGCAGAAGCGCTAAAGCAGTTCGCTGACGACTGGGTCAACTGTGTTGGCAACAGGGCCTCGATACGGATCACAACCTACGGCATCATCGCACACAGCATACGCACCAGCACGATGGACTTGGATAGGCTCGAAGAGACGAGGGACCAGCTGCTGCTGGACAACAAGCCGTTCATCCTGCAGGCGGAGATCAAATACATTGGATGGCTGACACGCAATGCACCGACGAAATCTTTCTCTAGCATCATCATAGAGTTCACCAAGCCAGAAGACGCCAATAAGATCATTGACGAGGGCTTGATCTGGCAGGGCGAGGTCTTCCAGTGCGAGCGATACGAGCGACAGTGCCAAGTGAAGCAGTGCTTCAAGTGCCAACACTACGGCCACATAGGAACCCAATGCAAGGCAACAATCGCATGTGGCTACTGCGCGCAAGAACATGAGACTCGCGACTGCCCGTTGAAGCTCGACCGGAATGTACCCAGGAAGTGCGCCGCCTGCCGAGGCGAGCACGAAGCATGGAGCTACCAGTGCCCCACCAGGAAGGAAAAGAGGACGAAAGCGAGAGCTGCATACGACGTGCGGCCATACTATCATCCAGTCGCGGAGACACCAACGAACAACATCCCACTGGAGGCACCGGTCACCACTGTCTGAAGGAGCAGACCCACCCCGGCCTCTGCATCAACGCAGCCGGTGCCGATCTCCAGGAATCAATCGTAGACTGGACGAGGACAGAAGAGGACCAATGCGGGAACCACCGTTGACTCAGCGGAGCAACACAACCCGTTGACACACGCGAACAGCAGTCAAAGGCCGCAGAGGCACATCATACCTACCCGGAGGGCCTGTTACGGTCCATGAACAACTCGCAAAACAACACTGAACAAACAGGACTACGCAACGAGACGAGAGCAGCCCATGAACTGCAGTATCGATTGACCGAGCTGTGAAGCCGCGTCAGTGATACCCAGTATAATCAACACTCGCAATATCTGTTATACGAACCGAGATTGTACGAAAAGGACTGCAGTGGATACAACGTGGATCTCGTACACAAACGATCGTCACGGACCCATATACCGACCCACTTGCAGAGGACCCACGTCGACAACGATCAATAGGACACCAAGGACCGAGTATCGAGGTCACGTCGACAACGCTCGATTGGACCGAGTATCAAGTCACTGACGATACTTGATATGAGCAGTACAATCAATCCTCCTGTCAAGTATATAAGCAAGTAGACACGCTGCCCTTATGGCATCGTGTTCAACCTCGTCAATCAACTTTGTTATTGGAATCTCACCTGCTCTCGAGCCAGACAGTATACTCTGTACTACTCATTGCAACCAGTCGCCATGGTCTTTGACTAGACGACTACCCCCTGATTATCACAGCGGTTTATCACAGTCAAACCTCTGCCGCTCCGAGCTCGCTCAGTGATAACAAACCCCTGACGGCTTTCTGTACCTCTGCTCATCCCCGAGAACCAATCGAATAGTGTCTACGAGCTTTGCTTAAGACACGACTTCAACAGACGCGTCCATCCAGACAGAGTGGGGCGAGATAAAGCCGTCACCAACATGCAAATACCTAGACTTGACTCTGGACACCAAGCTGAAGTGGAAAGAGCATGTAGAGACGATCAGGCAGAAGGCAACTCGCACAGTGCACACGCTGAGCAGCTTGGGCAGCTCCACCTGGGGCATCCGGCTGCAAGACATGCGCAGACTGTACGAAGCCATCGTGCTGCCACAGATGAGGTACGCGTGCTCTATCTGGGCCAACGCCAACCTCAACAACAAGAAGCGCGGCTACACGCACAGGACGGTCGATGCCCTGCGCAGCATCCAAGCAAGAGCAGCAAGGAGTATATGCGGCGCCTACAGAGCGACATCGAGGGTCGCACTCGACGTGGAGCCATTCCTTCTTCCTATCGAGCAGCAGATCTGGAAGCACAACGCGGACGTTGTCACTCGACTCTCTTCGTCTAGGGCCATCGCGCAGACTGCGTGCTACGAGCCACGCGAACCGGTACCAACAGTCATCGACAAGAACTATAGGGCACACAAAAGCCCCTGGCAGAAAGCCTACGAGGCACTAAGAAGCAAGCAGGTTCGCAACCTCGACAAGCAAGAGCCCATTCCCCCCGTTCATCACACCTCCATGGCGGCGAGGGCCACACACCTACATTGACAATGACGCGAACAAGGCCCGCAAACGCCACGATCAAGAAGGCGCAGCAAACAAGAGCCTCAGCATCTATACAGATGGCAGTGGCATCGGAGGCGAGATCGGATCTGCAGCGGTATGCCCGCTGACACAACAGACACGCTCTGTACACATGAGATCGGACACACTGTCAACAGTATACGCTGCGGAGTTGCAGTGCATCAGCCTGGCATTGCAGATCGCGCAGGAGTATGCAAACGAAAGCGGCGAGCGCAAACAGACAGCCATTTACACGGACAATCAGGCCGCCATCTGGTCAATAGCTAAAGCCGGAGGGCAATCAGGCGCGTACATCCTCGCAGACATTGCGCAACAGGTCCTGGGGCTCCAGGCCAAAGGATACTCAGTGACCGTCCGATGGATACCAGCCCACGTGGGCATCCCCGGAAACGAGGCCGCCGACCAGGCTGCCAAGGAAGCCACCGGATGGAGGGAGGACGGTCGCAGACAGCAGCCAGCAGACCTGCCCCCGCAGCTATACCCACTCCGGACGACGCTCAGAAGATGGTGCAAGATGCAGGCAGAGAGAGCGTGGATCAGCGCATGGAGGGAAGAAAAGAAAGGCCGTGCGACATACAGGCACACGCCGGTGCCCACCAAAAGGGTGCTGCAGCTCCATGAGAGGCTTAGCAAGAGGGAGAGTGCGCTGCTGGTGCAGCTGCGGACCGAGAAGATCGGTCTAAACGACTTTCTCTTCAATCGACATGTCCCGACCGTCACTGATCCCCGCTGCAGCTGTGGAGAGAGGCGACAGACCGTCGCCCACGTCCTCCTCCACTGCAGCAAGTACAAGGACCTCCGGAACCGCATCTTTGCCAACCTATCCGGACGACACAGCCTCAGGACCATCCTGAGCACGCTGCAGCTATCCACTAAAGCCATCGAGTATATGGAACAGACGCCTATCCTTGGGCAAGTGGGGATCAGAGATATGTAGATGACGCCGAGCGCTGGGGGGAGACTGTAGGTACAGCGGACGCAACAGACAAAGCAACACGCCTCTAAGAGCCTATAATCACAGTGTACAGTTAGTAGAGCCGCTATTGAGATGAGCTGGCCGGCAAATTGTAGATAGTGGTCAATGGAAAACGGCAGGTTTTGGGGACAGCTGGTCTTGTTCAAGGGATGAAGTGGGGCGGCGCAAATCAATGTCCACACCACGTCCGCTGTCTGCCACGGCCTGTCACTCCGGGCATAGCTGCGCAGTACGCGGCTGAAACCGAGTAGGACTCAATAAATAAATAAATAAACTGCGATATAGCTGTTGGTGGCGTTTTTGAATTTGAAAGAGATAGTGCTAGCTGACCGCCTACTAAAATAGGTATAGATTGCTGTAAAACGGGTGTTAATCCTATTGCAGCTCGAGAGCTCCAACAGATATTGTCGTAACTTATTAGTGCGATCCTGTGACCTGGATATATGTTAGTTAGCTGTATTTTATAGTTATGGGTGGTTACATAGTGCGGGGTTATACTCACATCTCATATCTCACATCCTACACCAAATATCGCCACCATAGTAACTCAATCGCAGCAGTTGTAGAGCTCCACGTCAACACCTATCACGAGCCTACAGGGCTTCGAACAGATACTTCCATTGGCCCGGAAGGCCCGCGGTGGTTTGCTCGGTGCATGGCCGACGACGTACTTTTGTTTGATGAGACTCGGCTGCGGCGCGACGTATGGGATAGCTTACTTCACGAGTTGGTTACTAGACGTTTACTTGTGGAAAGCCGACGACGCAATGGGTGCTCGCCTGGTGAGAAATTACTGATATTTACTCACCTTTGCGGTCATGGTTGTTCGTTTCAAAACCTCCCTGCGCGTACGAGTCGCTCCATGGATACGATCAGCCGCGCGATCAACGACGTACTCGAAGCTTTGTTGAAACTATATCCAATAGTTGTCAAGCCTCCACCCGCCGGTGAGGTGCCTTCTGAGATCCAACATGACTACTGACGGTTTCCATGGTTTGTGGACGCGATCGGAGCGCTTGATGGGACCCATATACCGGTACACGTGATGGAGGAGGACCTTGTGAGGTATTGAGACCACAAAGTTTGTGTTAATCAAACCGTATTAGCGGTTGTTGACTTTGAAAATATACTTTACTTATATCTTAGGTGGGTGGGAGGACAGCGCCTATGACACTCGAGTACTTAATGATGCCTATACGAAGGGCTTCACCGTGCTGAAAGGCAAGTACTACCTCGCCGACGCTGGGTATTCGAACAGCCAACAGACCCTGGTGCCCTATAAGAGCGTTATATACTATTTGAAAGAGTAGTTGGCGATAGGGAGGAGACTTATAACTGCGTAAGAGTTGTTTAACTTCTAGCACGCGTCACTGCGTAACATCATTAAGCGAATATTTAGAGTATTCAAGCAATTAATCTTAAGTTTGTATAGAATCAGAGGAGGGGTAAAAAAAAACTAGTAATAAACCCTGCTTAATCTTCCTTTTTTCTTAGAGGATCTATCTTTGTTGTCCTCTCTATTCTCTCTCTAGTCTTAGAAATAAGATAAAGATCTAAGACTTCTAGAATATATTCTTCTACTAATTTTTTTTCAAAAAATATAACTTTATAGCTCTGTATTATTTAGGAAGGTAGATATCTTAAGGTGAAAGAGGTGACTTTTGGTGAGGAAGTCCGCTAAGCGAACAAACTTTTAGACTAGTACTGTAGGTCGAAGGGTGAAGTGTCTGGTTTCAACGCTGCAGTTGTTGACCCCGAAGTTGCCCTTGGTAATCGTACCCATGCCAAGACCATTAATATACTCCGTTATGGGCAGCGTTGCTGGAAAGCCTAACAGTGATATTGCCAGTGTCTCATTCTCTGTCTTAAAGAGACCTGGTGTATGACCTGGATAGTTACAATAGTTTCAGTCACTCCATTTGCCTCCTTCGATTGGACTCCAGCGGGGAAATCCAAGTGTCTTCGAGAGCCCAGAGAGAATTGCAACCCCCCTACAACCATAGAGCATACGTGCTACATTGCAATAGCAGGATGAAGCGGCATGTCGCTCAGAACTCGGTATGGCCTGGGAGAAACTCTTCGGTGGATATCAGAGTACGAGATGCATCATCACCGCTACAATTTTATACGTATGTGAAAGTGCGGGTCTATCTTCCCTTTCTAATATTCAATTGCATGTGTTCCCATCTGGTAAGACCTCTTTCCCATCGACTTCAGCTGCTTCTCTGCCAAGCCCACGTGGCCCACCCCCTACCCTCACTCGCTCTTTCCACATTCTCCAAATCCTCCGGAAACCGGGACTATGCCACGACGCCCCACACCATTTCAACTCAATCTTCTCCATCGATCACATCGCCGAGCTCCTGTCTCCCTTGCCGCCAAGATTTTTGCAACTCTTCGTGTGCCCAGCAATGCCATTTCTTGTGTTTGCTTGGTATTGTGGGTACTGTGAGTAGAATCTGACGGAATACTGCAGTGGTGGCCGTGAGGCGGGTAATGCTTCATATCGCGAGGGGGATCGGGGTGAGTGGATTGAGTGGAGTGATCTGCGATGTGAGGTGTGCCAAGGTGATGTGATGGTGGTCGAGCGGGAGTTGCAAATGATGGGCGGAGGTCAGCAGATGTATCGTTTGCAGATGCAAGACAGAGAGGGGTTAGGGGGATCGAATGTTCGATGCGTCGAGGTAGTGTTGTTGATCTGGTGTGGGCTGGTGTTATGCGTTGGGGAGGACACCGTAGCCAAGAGGTCATACAAAATTAATGCGCCTAAGACTGTTGTTGCGAACGAACGTATCATTCCTTCTTGCCAGCCTCGTATCGAGCCTCGAAGTCATGTATTTTCGAGATCTACAAATTGAAGTGCAGCTTCCTCGATACGATCTCCCGCTTCCGCGGAGCCTCATATCTTCACCTCTCCGTCAGCCAAGTCATGATCACCCCGGTCTTGGGGACTTCATGTACGGTGAACAGGTGGCTTGTGTTGATGTAACTTGTATCCACACTGATGTTAGTCGCGAAGATGTACAGATCTTGTGGCGAGTATCGAGTGTTGTAGTTACGGAGGCCAAGAGATGTGTGATGGGAATCGTGTCACTGATGATGACACGGTGGATCGTCATACGTGCGAATTTGATGAGAGGCACAGAGAGGTCATTGACGCTGTCAACTCATGAACGCAAGTTGTGTGAAACTGGCGACGGTGTGCCACTCGCCTGACGAGGATCAAACGTCTCTATGAACTCGATTCTTAAGAGACGTGATGTCGCAGGTGAGGATCTGACTGTGATGATGCAATCCGGTAGCAAATGTTGAGCGATGACGAAGAGATGGTGGTGAAACGCAGTGCGTGGTTCGGGACGGGGTGCAGTGATGGTGAGTGGTCACAGCAGAGAGGAGTTGAATTTAGAGAATGTCATGTATTTTGGCGCATTAAACCACTATTTACCATTCGCCACGCTTGTATCGGTACAGTGAAGAAATCTATCCCATGCCGCATAACGATCGACTGTCGCTAAAGAAAGAGGGTATTCAAAAACCAGTAGACAGCTTTGGAGTTGCAGAAGATCAAACACTTAACCGAAGTGGGGAGCGTTGAGGACGATACCCATGGCAAGACCACCGATGGTACCGGCGATTGGGATGGTCATGATCCAGGAGAAGACAAGGAGACCAACACGCTGCCAGTTAACAGCCTTGATGGTACCGTTGCAGAGACCGACACCGACGGTAGCACCGGTGATGCACATGGATGTTGAGACAGGGAGGGAGTACTGCGAGAAGATAAGGACGGTGAGGGCGGCACCCATCTCCATGGAGCAACCACGCGAAGGCGAGTGGTAGGTGATCTTGTTACCCATGACCTTCATGATGTTGTATCCGTAGGTGATCAGACCAAGAGACAGAGTGGCGGAAAGAACAGCAAGCTGCCAGATGGGGACGGGAGCCTTAGACTTGGCGGCGTTACCAGTGTTCCAGGCAGAGTAGATGACAGCCCAGGGACCGACAGCGTTACCGATATCGTTGGCACCGTGAGCGAAAGAGGCAGTGCAAGCAGTAAGAACTTGTACGAAGGAGTAGGTGTGCTCGACCTCGTTGGCGTACTTGGGTGCGTGAGAGTAGACGCGCTCCATGCGACGACCCTCAGGAGTGCCGTGGATACCAGTCTGGGCAGCGTGAATGTCGTAGTTGACACCGTAGAGAGCACCGACAACGATCATGGCGGGGATACGCTTGAGAGTAATGACCATGTTCTTCTTCTCGTAGATCTCACCAGTCTCGATCTTGTTCTCGTGGAGGTAGCGCATAGCCCAGCCGAGAGGGCCAGACTTAGTCCTGAGCCTAGCGTGGAAGCGGTCCTGACCCTGCTGCATGAGCTCCTTGTAGCTGAGCTGACGCTCCTCAGAAACAACGAGGCCCTTCTCGTGGTCGGCAGGGGTGATGTCATCGTCAGAGCTGTCAGCCTTCTTGAGCTCGGGCTTGGGCTCGTCGTCGTGGTGTTGGACAACGGCGTAGTCGGGGACGCGGGCTTCACCACCCTCGGGGGCGGGGCGGCGGAAGAGAAGAGGGCCCTGGAACATGTGGTACCAGCGGACGGTGTGATCCTTCTTGACAACCTTGGCGTAGAGGTAGGGGACGAAGATCAGGAGGGATAGAAGGGCGAGGCCAACACCGCAGGAGACGGTGACGGTAGCGACATACCACGCGGGCTTCTTGTTGAGACCGAGGTTGGGGGATCCCTTGTAGACGATGGAAAGGGTACAGATGGTACCAGCAATCAGGAAGAAGAAGGGAGCGGTCCAGATAGCCCAGGGAACGGGGTTCTTGCGAAGGTGGACAGTCACCTTGATGAGCATGAAGATGATGGCACCGAAGCAAGCAGAGGCAGCGGGAGCCATTCCAAGACCAGCGAAGATAGCACCAAGACCCTTGCCGTTGTTCCATCCCCACTGTACGTTCTTAGCACCAGCGACAGCAACACCGACACCAGCGACCGAGGAGATGAGCGAGTACGAGGAGGAGACGTGAGCAGAGTGCCTGGTGCACCACATGACCCAGATGGAGGCACCAGCCAGAGCGCAAGTGAAAGCAAGCATCTGAACACCGGCATCGCCGCGGAAAGCGCTGTTGGGAATAATTCCGTTCTTGATGGTATCAGCGGTACGGGCACCAACAGTGATGGCACCGACCATCTCGAAGATGGTACCCAAGACCATGGCCTGGCGGTAGGTAACCGAACGGGAAGAGACCGAGGTAGCCCAAGCGTTGGCAACATCGTCTGGAGTAATGGTTAGATATTGCTCACATGATGGTGAGTAATGAGACTACTCACTAGCACCGTTATTGTAGGCATCGAGCATGGCAAAGAAGGTGCCGATGGCGAAGACATAGTTGTACTGTGTGAGGCGCGCCATTGTGTTGGTTGTTGTCTGCAGGCACGCAGGTGTGTACTGTAATACTGAGCTGGAGTGAAAACTGCTGGCTGAAAAAGAGAACCAGGGGAGTCTGTGAGACCCTATATATGTATGCAATATCTCTGCTGCGGCTTAGGCTACTCGTGTCGGCACTGCTCGTGGTACCGCCTGCTGCAAAATCCTAGTGATCCAGCCCTGGTCGTAACACGGGCTAGAGGCGCACATTGGGACAGCCATCAGCAGTCAATCCGTCGTGTCTGCTGTCTGCAACGCGCTCAGCCACTCAGAATGCAGAGTTCGAGGGTGAAAGAGCGCACACGTTGCTGCGTAGTGTGCTCTCATTGGCAAGAGTGTCCGCTCGGGATCGCTGAGACTTGGCATGAAGGTATCCTACTCCACCAGCGCTAGCGTCAAGAACTCAAGCTTCGGAGTGGAATCTTGAAGTTTGGTGGAGCATTTCGCGCTCGCAATCAGGCAGATGGACCGACGCTGAGGCTCGGCGCCCAGACAGGGGGCGTTGGAGAAGGAACTAGCGGACTTGGCGATAGGCGATATGGAGAGCCAATCAACGCACCCACGTGGGCTACTTCTACTTCAACCCATCATTTCCTTCTGCGTTGCGCAGCTTCGACGCTTACCGCGCCCCGGTTTTGTGACCTTTTGCTTGATGCACATTGGCAGTCCGTTTGCTTGGTTCGACCTTCCAGAAGTGCGACACAGCGCTACCGTCAGGCCTCGATGTGCCCTCGTATCGACTCGCTATGGCTGCGGACAGCATCCGCAATATTGAAAGAGGCGAAGGAAGAGGACGCCATCAAGACGAAACTCAATGCAACGCTGATGGTGTTCGAGTGCAACGGGATTCGCCGACGCCGAATTTGCATCTCGTCTGTCAATCCCACACGACGACTAGAATCTGCAGTCGAAGTGTCAGATCAACCAACAGCAGTCGTGTATCCAGCCACCAGGTCCCTATCATAAGAACCCCAAGTACGGATATGGTATAAAGTGCTTCCTATTTTGACGTTCCTGGTGTTGGACCCTGGCGTCATGGAAGGCCTCCCAATATCATCAGCCCAGGATTCATCGACAGAATATCCCGCGGGAACGGTTCCGAACAGAAACGAGAATCGACGCTTTCCTTTGGAGACTGCGCTGCACGCGCAACTGTACCGAGGGCCATGCAATTCGCATGCAGATTCAGTCTGCTTGCCGCGGTCTGCTGGTGTCTCAAATGCAATAGCGATTATAGAAGCTGTGGCTTCGTCTAGCTCTACTCAGCCGCAGTCAGGCAGACTCATCACTGACCGCTGCGCAGAATCAATCCAACAACATCATCAGGACAAAAACTTTCGATCTGCCTTCGCGATGTTCCATTTGATTATGACGAGCATGTCGCCACGTACTGCGATCTCCTTCGATGTAGGCGTGAGTAGATCCGTGATATTCGCGCCATGGGAGCGCAGCGTAGGCGTTAGTCTGACTTGGCGCATCATGATCCAGACGAGTTGATTCCATCTAAAAAGACGAAGCCTGTGATGGATCATGCAAGGTTGCCGAAGCTGGTGTCAATCTCCGGATTCAGTTCGAGTGGGCCCGGAAGCCATTGAGGACATGGCTCAGGGTCTGATGCAGCGCGCCTTGACGGGAAAGCAGCGGGTTCGGTGGGACCGATGAGCTGCAAGGAACACGTGCGTCGGTAATGTGGTACTTCTGTGAGCGTTCACCCTGATCGCGCACTCTATAGCCTTCGCTGGTGGGAGGAGCCGGCTATGTCTGCACAGATTATGCGAAAGCAGTGCGTCTCTGGTACTTTGCTATTGGTGGTTGACCGCAAAACTCATCTCAAAGCAAGAGCACTTGATTCTTGGTGCATCCGCATTGCTGGAGACGCCTTGTTTCTGAGGCACGCCAGACAACGTCAACTTACCGTTACACAGCCTGGATAAGCTAGACACAAGGCTGACCGGTGGACAGCAATGCGCAACGACAAGCTGACTGTCTCCTACGGGCTCACCAGGGCTTGGTGTCGCTGCAAACAAATGTTGGTGGTCGATGGCATGCAAACGGTGATGAGCTTCACGGCGAGCTTCAACGCGTCGAAAATCGTCCAAATACACTAGATCCAGATTGTATTAGTGCAGAAATGGGCTGTAAGGATCGACTGCTCGAAAACCAACAACATCCACGACGCACCGCAATCATTCAACATCGCGAAGTTATGAAATCTCTGCATCTTAAGCGCGTCGCTCATCTATCGAGTGCGCTGATGTTGACCATCATCTGTCGCACGTCGTCGACACAAGCTCTCGACCTCGGATCCTCCTGCCTTGACGGTTCTTGACCTTCCAACTCCAAGACCCAGCGATGCCGACTTCCGTCTTCGCCCTCCACAACCTTTGCAACCCACAACACAACCTTGGCTACACTCCCAAGCTTCTATGCTGAGTCTTGGAGATGTTCCTGAGGATATTCTGTTAAAGCATGGGTCCTTGCTGGTTCCCGTTTTGCGTCCCGCCGCTGCGTGAGCCCTGGATTTCCGTAGAATTGGATCTGGCAGGAGCGACTAGCTCTGTTCATGGCTTGGTGACGGCCGCACGCCAATGCCCTGGTAGGTTCAAACAATTGTCAAGTGCTTGGACGTAGCAACGAGGCGACGGTTCAACTTCACGGTCTATTGGGTACCAACAGCAGAAAACAGTCAAGGAAGAATTGACAGTGCCTGTTGCGCCAGGTAAGTCGCCCCTTCATGCAGATACCACACTCTAGATCATCATCCCGCTGCCATTCAATTAATATTTTTTTCGCAATTGTCTGTCTTAGGAGTACCTGTCCGTAGTTCTACCTATCGAGTCGCTCTGGGCCCCCGCGACCAGATAATCAGTATCAGCGCTGCACCTCGATAAGTTCAATACCACACCTAGAGAGGCTTTAAGGCTGCTCTACCGCTGGTAGCCCACAGTTCTCCTTTCCTACTTACGGAGTGAGTATTATCCCTTGTTGCTTACTGTGCAAATACCAAGGCTCAGCCTTGTAGCCTGTATGCCCCGCGCTTTACACAGCCACCGCGCAGGCAACATCTCCGAGCATTCACACAAAATGCATGTTACGGATCGATTCCTGATCTGCATTGGTGACGTGCTCTGAGCATGGTCAGCGATGATGCCGCTTCTCCTTCATCAACCTCACCTTTGTCGGACAGCGAACGAGCGATTGAATCTATCAGACCCTTGAGATCTTTGCGACGTCATCATGGTTCTGCAAGTTGGGCTTTTCCAACGAATCGTTGGCCAGAGCGGCCAACAAACTACATCTCGACAATTATTATGTCCAGACAGATATCGAAAGCGTTCGGTTTCAAACGAGATGAACATTACATTTCGACCATCACGGCACATGTCCGGCTGAGGAAAAATGCCTGTTGCAATATGCAGACTTTGTTTTTAGCCGACGGTCCCAAAAGAAACATCTGGACGGAACCCCGGAAATCTTTGATCGCGACGAGCTAGAGTGGCTCTATCGCGACTTGGACGCCAGTGAGGCACTGAGATTAGCCGAATACCATGGCGTTCACTTTCGTGCTAGCCCATGCAGAAATGATACCAGAGTAGATTGTCTGCGAGTATCCTTTTGATTTCTAGCAGAGTTATATAAAGAGCCACTGAGCTTGTGTCCAGTAGAAGTGCATGGTCAGTCGTTCCCGTCGATTACATCACAACTGTGGGAAGAGGGCTCAAGCCGTGGTAAGACGTACTCACTGCCAATTCCTGAAGATTTGGGCCCAGACCTTGTTCAAACGGGCACAAGCAAGGATTCGCAGTCAAGCCTTCAAGACCCCCCCCCCCCCCAACGGGCCACTCTGCCATTAATTGGACAAGACGAGAAATCGTCTCACAGTCTTGATGAGCCCACGCTGGAGAAATTAGCGTTATCGTTCCTTTAGGGCCCATTGATGGATTCTATCACTATGCAGTTCCCGATCCAGCGTGGCTGCACGATGGACAAAAAGATACCACTGCCTGACGCTGCCGTCTCGAGCACTGATGGTTCCATCTTGGATGAGACCATGCATCAAGACAGTACGCATACACAGAAAGTAATATATGACAGACCTTCAAAGATACACGACACCGACGGCTCAAGCAATCAAGCATGGGCGGAGGAGATGACATATGTGATACCCAATCGTTTATGGGACCATGGTCTGACTCTTGACGACAACTTAAAGCCGAATCGCTCTTTGGGAAGTTTAGTGAGAGAGAATTATAAGTCCCGGTGGCGACATAAATGGGGGCTGTCTCTGAGAGATGCTAAGTCGACTGGCGCAAAAGGCACAGCAGAAAAAGTAGGGTATTCTCCGTTACCGTCATTGCCAAAACCGGACAACGGTCTATATGAATTCTCCACCAGGGGGGCCTGAGGTGCGGTCAGTTGGACGGAGACTATCGCCGAGCTGATGCACCCTGACCTCAGGTTCTTACAAAGATTCTTCGCATTCAGTACATCCGTACTGAACAGGAAGCTACGCACGTGTTTCTGTCATCGATTTGCTCTCCTGCTCATGTAGCCCGCTTGCTCTTGTTCCCTGTCCTTGCTCCGCCCTTCATCACTGTGCCCATTTCCTACACCCACAGTCACTATCTGCAAAGCAAGAAGGCCAGTATATGTTGTAACTCCCTGGAACGTATATCGCGTTCCCCGACCATGCTCAACGCATGGCGGGACAACTGTATGAGAGAAGGTCCGCTCGCTACGCTCGCTTCGCCGAACGAACCGCGACCATTCTGTCAAGAGCAGCGTACATTCAGTCTTTCTAAACTTGACCACAAATCTCGTGCCGTCATCAATCTTGCCGAGAGATGAAGGGCATGGCATCTGTTCACCCAGATAGACCATCAATAGCACCGGTCTGCTGTTCGTTCAATGCATCATTGTTTATACTAGTTTGCATTTCCTACCCAGCCGCACCGAAACGTCTATTCCACTACTTCAACACACGCTTCCATGATCATCTCGCGTGTAGTGCCGTAGTTCATTTGCTCATTTCCTAGGTAGTTCCCAAAAGACCCGTTTGAAGATCTTCTTACTGTTGAACAAGTTCACCAATCTCAACCTCTCATTGTCCAAATGCGCGCTATCGCTCGCCTGGCCACAAGGCAGATGAGCTGCAGGTGCACCGAACTCCTTTTCGAGGAAGCGGATAGATGGGATACTGCCACCTTCTCGAATGAAGAGGGGCTTCACTTTGACTGGCCCCTCTTGTACTTGGTGGGAAGATGCTGGCCGTGACTGCGGGAACTCGGGGTCAGAGCTGTTAGCGAGGGTGTTGGATGTAGCTGGAGAGGGTTTGGTGGGACTGAGTGGTGTAAGTGGCGATGTTTGTTGCGTAAGAGCATTAGCGGCAGAAGGACGACGAGTTGTGAGTGTCGGTGCCCAGACATCACTGATGGCTTGTTCGAGGGTTTGGAAGATCTCGTTTGTGTAGTCGCCTAGCCAGGGCTCAGCTTGGTGGTCGATTGTGACCGACAGCTTGTTTTTGCTGTCCAAGCCTTCGAACTCGTCAGCGAGGAAAGATTGCAAAGCTGCTGCTACATCTGAAGCTTCCTGATTAGGCACGAGACGGACAGAGAGAGCTGCTTTGGCTAGGCGCGGGATGATGGTGGAGTTCTCGGGGCCGGAGGTCTGGAAACGATGAATCGTGAGGGAAGCCTCGCGCCATCTGCGCATCAACGACTGCGCGAGTTCCTCTGGATCGCCAAGGTCGGGGTTGTTGCGGAGGAGGGTCTGTGTGATTTCGGTATATAGCTCCTTCTCGCCCTCCGCAAGAGGTAAGATGGGGTCGTAGAAACCAGGGATCTGGACCTTGCCGTGTCGTCCAGTCAGTTTGGACAACAGCATAACAATGTCCTTGAGCGGCTCGTCGAGCAGTGCACTGCCATCGACACCACTGTGCAGATCTGGATGCTCACTCTCGACCTGGACTGTGGCGTGGATGACTCCTCGCAGGCCGTAGGTGATGCAGGGTACGTGATCGTCGAGCCAGTAACTGTTCGCCAGCAAGATCCAATCGACATCGCCAATCAGATCTTTCTTCGCTTGTACAGCCTTCTCGAACCCGCGAGAGCCACTCTCTTCCTCGCCTTCGATGAGGAAGATGATGTCAGCATCCAGGCTCTGTTCGTTCGCAAGCTCGTGTGCGGCATATATGGCGGCCATGATGGGTCCCTTGTTGTCAGAGACACCACGACCATACAGATAGCCACCTTCGCCAGTAAGCGCGAATGGATCGTGTTTCCACTTTCCGTGCTCGTTCTCTGCGGGTATGACATCATAATGGCCGTAGAATAGGATTTTCTTACGCGACGCCGCTGTCGCAGGGTTTCCTCTGAACTTCGCGAATACGATAGGGTTGTATGGCTCGCTAGTGTTGATCATCTCGGTGACCGCACCGAAATTCTGGAATACCGAGCGCAAGTAAGATGCACCCCTGCGGCAATCCGCACGGTACTTGGGTAGTGACGAGACTGTTCGGAAATTGACAAATTGGCTGAGAGACTCAACCATGAGATCTGCCCTGCATTAGCTCAGCCAGTTAAGAGGGTAAACGCGTACCAACCATTATTGCTTCTTCTCGCAGTCGCTGTGGGCTCTGCGCCGTCTCGCACTTCCCAGATGACGATCGTGTTGTCATTACCACCAGTCACCAGAGTCGGTTTATCGTTGTACGTTGTGTATGCAGATGCAAGGATCAGTCCGTTGTGCGCTTTGAAGGTCGACATCGTCTCGTAGTGCTCGTTGAATTTCTGATCTCGTTAGCAAATATTCCGGGAAAAGCAGCATTGGAGGACGTACATGCACCACACCAGACTTGCCTCCAGCGAAGAGTACGCCAGCACCCAGTGTCAAGGTGTGAACATCTCCAGTATTGGCCTTCAGACTCCTGACCAGCTGGCGCGTCTCCAGGTCCCACACGTTGACCTCGCCGTCAAAACGTCCACTGTAGAGGAAGGAGCGCTCACGTGCCAAAGACAAGATCGACTCGCCTTCCTCCCTGCCGTCCTCTAGCGCACAGATGTTGGAGATGAGCCCTCTCCTTGTTGGATCGATCCGCCATAGCAGGATGCGACCATCACCTCCTCCAGATACCAGCACTTCCTCCGACGGTGCTTCTGGCAATATGCCCTTGCCCAGGAGCATACAGTGTACATAGCCAAAATGGGCGAACTGATAGATGTCCTGGCTGTCGATCTGCAGCTCCTGTCCTCCCACAGCATCTCGTGGTTTGGCATCCGCGCCGAAAGGTTTCGGTGTCTGCGCGCCTCCTGGGCCGAGGGAGTCAAAGAACCTGTTCTTGCGCTGGGAGGGGTGCGAGGCGTGTGCGGGTCGTGGGCGCGCGTCCTTCTCCTTCAGGTCGTACCATTGTATGCTCGTGTTCTGGGCGCCGAGGTAGACAGTGCGGTGGAAGGATGAGTACGCGACGCAGAAGATGTCGCCGATGTCGTAGGGCGACCAGAGGGCGTAGAGATGGCGGAAGCTAGAGGTGCACCATACCTGGCAGGTTAGCACGTGAGCATATCGGTATGAGCAAGGGTTTGCATACATTGACAATGGGGTCTGTAGCACTCGAGAAGAGCAGCTGCTGGTCTTGCGACAGGCACAGGCCGAGTACGCTGCCTTTGTGCGCCTGGATCACTCGCCGGCGCTCGTACGTGTCGAGGCTGTAGACCTGGTGAAGGTCAGTGCTGGGAGCTCACGTGCTCCTTCCCTTTTGACCTACGAGTATTTCCCCTCCCTGTGTACCGGCAAATATGTACTGCGAAGACACAGCAAGCGCAAGTATCGACTTGTCGTGCTTCATGCGATGTGACAGCGCCGGAGTGAGGTTTTCGCTAGGGACGCCCTCCACGACGCCATTTGTGTTTGACGTGCGTCTCTCATGGCTCAGCGGTCCTGTCATGGGCATTGTCAGCCAGGCCTCAACCGAATGCGGTGGTGGTGCATTTTGTGCGGACTCATGCAGCGGTGGGACTTCAAGCTGCGATGACGGAGTTCCCCAGGGTCTAGTCGCATGGGCACCCCACCGCACTAAGTACCGCCAACAGCTGGCTCTCCACTGACCAACTCCTCTTTACTCACCTCGAAGGCTTGTCGTGCGCTTTGCGCTGCTCACGTCGTCCTGCGACGTGATGGGGCGCGCGTACTGACACATGCTGACAGCTCTCCCTTGGGCGCTGCACGCTGACAGCAGCGAGAATGGGAAGATGGGCGACCCGTCGTTATCAGCGGCTTGTCCTGGCCGTATCGATTGTTCTTTCAGGTGATGGTATGCTGTAAAGGTAGGATCGCCATCGTCAAAGGAGGTGACAGATGCAGACTCATGTTCACTCCACGTCTCGTCAGGGGAGCTTGAGCCATGATGCTCGGACATGATAGCATCTCACCGCTCTGTGGATATGGCGAGCGAGGTCCCTTGAATGATGTGATCACCTCAGGAGTAACACATACAAAAGGTGAGGTATGTCGATATCTTGCACACAAAGCCGTAGCTACATGTTCCTTTTATCGTGCTTGCCTTTTCGCTGCTGGTCTCGGGACAGCGCACGCATTCACGCACGTTGTACCTATTAGTGGTGGGTAGGCACATCTGGCATGACATTGCTTTTGCATTGGCTGGCCGTGTGAAGAGGAACAAGGCATTGGCGATGTCAGCACGTGTCGAGGCTGCAAAGGACATGTTCGATGCCGGTGTTCGACCCTTGAATGATTCACATAGATGTCGTGAACACGTTCGATGCCTGTGTTCGACCCTTGAATGATTCACACAGAATGTCGTGAACACGTTTGATGCCTGTGTTCGACTCTTGAATGGTTCACACAGATCTCGTGAACATGTTAGTCGTATCTCTGCTGGTGTGCAAGCAGGTCGCTGTCGTGAATGAGGCTGCCGCAGGCTTGCGGGCCGCCGCGCATGCAGCTTGTTGTTTGAGGTCCTGATCGTCAGTGTTGTTTCGAGCAGCCCTTCGTGTTTGAATGAAGAGCCCCCAAACACGGTCGTTCTCTTGGGACCGCGTTGATTTACGGGTTTGATTGCGCCTGCCCGCGGCCGTAAGTCAAGTCACGGATGTCCTTGCTAGACGAAAGTCGCGATTTTCTTCTAGTCCATAACAACAGCAAACATTCCACCATTCGCTCTCGAGCATTACGTATGCTCCCTTACTGCTCTACATTATCAAGACTTCAGAGGTCCAGAACGCACCGCCACAGTGGCTGAACAGGTTTTGTAGACCCAGCTGGTATGCGCTCAGCTGGCATGGGCCCCCTAGCAAGCCCCAGCCACCCTTTTGTAACCCATGGGCCGATCTGTGCCAGCACTCACCGAAAGTACCTCCTGATAGCATTTTGGGCAGCAACGACAGTATCACTGCACGCGCAATATCCGATTTTGCTGCACGTTGTCATCAGCGTGCGTGAGATACCTCGTCGTCAACCACTCCCGCGGGCGACACGTCTGTCGTTGTTCTCCAGGGTTGCTGCCGCAATCATCGTTACCGCCTGCGATTCGCGGCGTTACGCTGCTCGCATAGTCGGCCAGGCTAAATGTAGCCGAGCGAGGATATGCCTGTGAGCTGGCGACACGCCAACAAACCACGCTGCAGCGCCCGCCTTCCCCGGCTTCATCTGTCACAGACGAACGAATGCCTGCGCGAGACGTCGCACAGTCACGATAGAGCACTTGCGCGCAGCATTGTGACTGGAACCATCTCGACCCTCATTTCTGCCCTCTCAGCGCTGTTGTTGCTACGTACCCCTCATCCCACTGGCTGTGTGTAAGAGCCTGTCAGCCGCCTCACTCCGTGTGTACCCTCACATACCTCATCTACTTTGCCCCTGCCCCATCGTGAACTCTGATCAAAGACCGCCTCCTATCCTACCGACGATTTGGCATTCCATGTGGAGCTGTGGAGCGCACGAGCAAGGCTACCCGCTTCCGAAGCATTGATGATTCCTGACCGCCTCGTCCTTGGGTAGATCAAGTACTGCGCGCGCCGCTGTTGCACGTCAGACGCTGTACGACACCACCATCCTAACGCCGCATTGCAGCTGCAGGGCAACCGTCACTACATCCATTCGCAATGGGAGTCGGAGAGACCATCACCGTCATCAACAAGTCGGGCAAAGTCGTTAGCAGTGTGGGTGCACTACACAGCCGATAAGATACGAACGTCACTAACAGACCCCACAGAGCAAACACATAGTCAGCGTCTTCAAGGAGGCCAAAGCCGCCTACCGCGAGCGCAAGGCTGAGATCAAGGCCGAGCGCGATGCTGCTGTGCGTGAGAAGAAGGCCCTGAGCAAGGGCATCGAGGCGCTGCGCATTGAAGACGACGTTCAGTCGCGCGCATCGTCGCGCAGGTCTTCACACTCCCAGGCCACACACCGCTCCAAGTCACATCACCACAAGTCACCTCGCCCTGATGGTCGGCCAACATTAGAACGAGGCTACACCGACAGCTTCTATGCCAATGACAGCCCGCATACCAGCCGCCATCGATTCGAGGATGACCTTGCTGGAGGTGCTCGCGATGGTCACATGAGGGAGCTTGCTCGGCGGAACTCGGACCAGGTCCCACACTCACCACGACAGACCAAGCGCTCGAACTCAGAACCCTACATCGACATGGATTTGGCTTATGGCGATATTCCTCCGCCTCTACCCGACAAAAAGTACGACGATGGCGAACTGAAAGAGAAGGCTTCCAAGATCACCATGCTCCTTGACGAGGCCAACTGCTTGCAGTACTCTGCCACGGCCATGATCGAGAACCTGCAGAAGAACCCTGATGCGCTTGCCGCTGTGTCCCTCACCCTTGCTGAGATTAGTGCCATCGTTAGCAAGATGGGCCCTGGTGTTCTTACGACGCTCAAGGGCACCTTCCCCGCTGTCGCTGCCCTGCTCCTCAGCCCACAGTTCATGATCGCTGGTGGTGTCGCAGTCGGTGTCACCATCGTCGCACTCGGTGGCTACAAGATCATCAAGAGGATTCAGCAACAGAAGGAAGAAGAGATCGCGATGGGTGGACCAGTCCAGATGCCTGTCCCCATGCAAGCACGTGCGGTGGAGGAGCCCTACCAACTCGACGAGCTCGAGACAAGAGAGCTCAGCCGTATCGACCTTTGGCGCCGCGGCATCGCAGACGTCGAGGCTGAAAGCTCCGGATGCAGTGTCGATGGCGAGTTCATCACACCAGGTGCCACCCGCCAACTGGTCGATGCTGGCGTCCTCGACGAAGACGATATCAAGTCACGCCGCAGCGCAAAGGTAAGGGACGAAAGGAGTGGACGACCGAAGTCGCATCGCGCACGATCTGAGCGATCAGACGCGCGGTCAGAGCGCAGCGCGCACACCAGCAAGACCTCCGACACCCGTCGTAGCAAGACCGTCAAAGAGGGTAGCAGCAGACGCAAAGAGAAGGAACCATCTCTCATGAAGACACTCTTCCGCTCAAAGACAGCGGCCTACTGAACGACGTACACGAAAACGCATTGACCTTTTGATTGTAGCGTTCCGCGATCGACCTTTTGCATACAGCATTGTTTCATTTGTCCTTCATATACCATAGACGACAGGATACACCTCCAGCCGCTATCTTCGCATTGACGCATTTTCCTTGGGCATAACATCCGGCGTTTTGGGGCTACGTTTTCAATGATCTCGATGTTCTTTCCTATCACGCCGCTGTGTATAGCTATCTCACACAATACGACGCAGTACCCAGTGGGCATCGCAATTTGGATTGGCTTGTTCAAACTCGCTCTGGTACGGCTTTGTGTGGCAGCACCCGTAACACAGGGCAAACAATGAACGCGCTCGTCTCTTCACAAACACCAGCCACTGTCTTTTCCCCCAGATAAAGATTACACAGTGCACCTTACATCCAAACAACCTTTGAAACTTGGATGACATACAGGAACTTAAACAATGACAGCGTTCACGCATTGACATCCTTAGGCAACTCTGGACAGCGAACGTCACTATCCCACTTCGTGAGCAATATCACACCACCCAGTCTGGCATCCTACACTCTTTCCAACGTTTCTTGCGGACTTGCTTGATGTAAAGATCGCAGGAATCTGGAGAGCACCAGCTGACGCCATCCTCCCACACGATATCTGGCCAGGTAATCAGGCGCAAGACTGGGGCCAAGGGCTTCTAGAGTCACTCCTCCACCTGGCCATGCTTGCACCCGCGGACTCTGACGAGTGATCGCTTGCGATGGAGATGATTCGTGATCGATGTTTTGAGTGTTGGGAAACAGCTCCAAGTCCACGGTGGGGCTATGAGATAGAACTTAGATCCCACGACGTAGAGGCTGTTATCGAGGTGCTTGAACAGCAGAGACTACAAGTCGAGAAAGAGAAAAAGATGAACAACATCCAGTCTGAACGAAGATATGACTACCTGGCTTCCACCGCCGCAGACCTCGCAGCTCAAATCGCAGACTTTCGAGGCCATCCCGCCGAAAATGTCCTCGACAGCCACATACTCTCCAGTTCATACTCGTATGACTGAAATACCAGACATCTTGAGGCACTTCTCGAACTAGCAGAACTGTGTCCCGCTGAGTCGCAACCAAGTATGATGAGGTATGTAATTCGACAGCTTGCGGAAGTATGTTACGAGCATCGCGATGAGATTGGTTTCGAGCGCTTGCATGTTGCTGTGGTGAAAGCGGTGATGAGGAATCTTGTTGTGTGGGAGAGTCGACGGAGGAGGAGGGCATTTGCGGCTGTATAAGGTGTGTTGATGCGACGGAAAGGGCTTGTGGTGGAGAGAGTGAGGAAGAGCAAGGAAGAGCATGGAAGCAGGTCGAGGAAGCGTATAGCGTACTCGGGGAGCAGGGAGACCAGAGAGGAGAATACGCCACCGAGAATTTCATCACGTACACGAAAGGATAAATCTTCGCCAGGACATCCACATAGGTACGCAGCGAATACAAAATCTGAGCGGCTGAGGGATCGGAGACGTTGTGACTTTGAATTTGATCTCAGGGCATTGGAAGCTAGGCAGAGGTGGCAGGCGCTAGAGGTTGAGATCATGAATGCTCAGAAGATGATTGCTAGACTTGACGGTGAGGTTGAGGATGAAGGGATTTGGGAGACTGGCAACGCGGAAGTCTCACACGATTGGAACAAAACATATGGCCGTGGGCAGGTTGTGGGGTAATAGGCGAAATGGGTGCTGCAGTTACATGACGCGGTAATATCTGATTATGTGAATAATAGGCCATCGAGCAGCGCTGATTTCGTAGATGCTGTTCGATATCTCTTTCGAGATTGAAGGTCATGACGTTCCGCCACTACTCGTTCTGAAGCGACAATTGACGCAGGGAAACAATTGCCAATTGACTCAGTCGAAAGACTGTCGATTATGCAAGTGCGCACTCTCTCAACTGTGCGTGACCAGTGTTCTCCGCAAAACCGTGGACGCGATCAGGATGGGACGAGGCATTTGAGCAGTACGCCGCTAGGAGAGCCTGAACACAGCCGCTCTGCTCGATCACGACGTTGGCTATCATTAGCTGGCCAGCTGCCCACTTGAGGTGCAGTTTGCTCCGTCTGTTCGCATGACAGCCTCGCCTAAGATGTGACCAGAATGCGTGATTGTGCCTTAAGAATGATTCGGCACGTGCTCCTCTGTGTGAGCCGCTGATGCACATCATCTGTCATTACGCAAATCATATATTCCATCACTGCTTCCATAAAACAGCATCGCAGGTCCAGCTCCAGCTCTTGCACCGCGTCAATATACGACCTCATAGCACCTGCCGAGAAGCGTTCTTGGAGGCGCTTCCATGGCGCTCCTGCGGTGTAAAGCACTCAGGAGCTCTTTCCCTCCCTTCTGGACCTGCGCTCAGCGCAAGTGAAGGTGCCTCCACCATATCACTGTTTGCTCTTGCCCACTGCTTCCTTCCTGTTTGGGAAAGGAGCAGTGCAGAACGCGCCTTCAACTACCTTCACTGCGCTTTCCCCGCGCACTATTCACATATACGAAAACTTTTCTCGAGCTGTTGACCTTTCTCTTTTCCACCACCTTCGTGCGCTTTCTTAACTTCCAACTCTTGGCTTCGCAACCGCTTCCCGCCACGTCCAGCGACATCGTATAATTCGTAAGTAGCTTCCTCCTGACATCCTTTGGTGCACGACCAGGTGTGTGGTGAGGTATCAAGGCTAATGCGTCGCAAGTATATCAATCTGAGCGACTCTTGAAAGTGCCATCGAGCTTCTTCTAGGCACCAGGTGTGAGCATTGCGACGCAAGCTGAGCGACTTATTCTGCTGACATCTTCAAAGTACTGCACGTGCGGACCGTTCAGCTACCACATACGTTGTTTGGCGAATACACGTCGGTACGTGCGTTGCTGTGACCTGTCAACGGTATCTAACACGGCTTCAGGCTACTTCCTATACCACCATGCCTTCGTGGGCAAAAGTCTTAGACGGAAAGCCTAAGCCTGAGGAAAGACTGAGGGCGCTCGCCAATGCTTACAAGAAGTACTCCCCAAGGACGATTCTTCGAGAAGCCCTTGGATACTACGATAACATCCTCCCAGAAGTCCCGGATATTGCCCGCCCCCTCGTTGACCACATCATCGTCATCTGTGTTGACACCGAGTCCCATACTCTCAACACGGACCAGATGACAGAGCTCGGTCTTGTCCACATTTCACGTAAGACTGCCCAGGGTGTTGGTCCTCCCGGGCCACACGGTTGGAAGCTGCAAGAGGCGCTGCAATTCCTGCACTTTCGCATCGCCGAACATGCTCACTTGCACTCCAACCGAGAAGATTCGGCTGGTCCACTAGGAAACCGCTTCGGCAGTACCCGTTTTACTACCTTCCAAGAACTTCGTGTCATTCTTGAGTACCTGTTCAACCAAGAGATTGAGACCAACGAGCCCGAGCTGAAAGGCTGCAAGTGTCCAATTGTCCTTATCGGCCATGCGCTTAAGCATGATGTAGAGAACACGACAAAGCCGGGACTGGACTACGACATCACCGACAATCTCACCCTTGTTGCCAAAGTTGACACCCAGTCTTTGGCCCGTGAAGTGAAAGTTTGGATCCCTCCGTCCGACATGTCGACAAACGAGATCGGTCTGAGGGTGCTAATCGAGAAGCTCGGATTCGAACATGTTGATGACCACACTGCATGCAACGATGCTGCCCGGACCATGATGTGCGCAATCCACATGATCCTGCCAGACGGCCTCCTGGAGTCAGACAACCCCTCTATGCAGGCTGTGGCTAACCGAGTTGAAAACTTGAGTAAGGAAATGTCTTCTGCGCCCTATGGCACAGTCTTGGTTTGTACACGCTGTGGTTGGCGCGATCATTCGGTAGAGGATTGCACGGCCAATGTTACATGCGCAGCATGCAAGAGTTTCGACATTGGACCTGACCACGATGAGAACGTCCACAGTCACATCGAGACGTACTGTCCACATGTGGCTAGGTTCAAGGCCTGGGCGCGTCGTTTTCGAGACGCGTCCAAGAAGTACGGCACGAATCTAAAGGCATTTCCCGAGGCTGTGGCCGAGGGCCCAGGGCTTGACGCTCATCCGTGGTCGACATGGCCAGAGGACGTTGGGTGGCCGCTGAGGGAGTTGTCGGATGTCCTGGTCGGCATGAACTGGGTGAGCGACCCCCCTCATCTCCGGGAGCCTCCAGCTTTCGCCCGCAACATGCAGGCAGCTCTTGGTGGCCTTTCAGTTCCACCAAACGGCAACTGGGTCATGATGGCGGCTCATGGCTCCAGGAACGGTACGACTGCCACTGCATCGAGTACTGCTCCTTCCGCCTCTAATGGCATGTCAATGACTGCGTTGGGCTCTGCTCTTCCAGTGGTCAATGGCAGCACTTACCCGAGTGCAATCTACTCTCCTCTGCCTTCAGCTTCCGGTGGGAATGCTGCAGTTGCGGCCCCTGCTGTTCCAGCGCCTGGCGCTCCGTCTCTATGGAGCTCTGCTCCTCCAGCAGCCAACGGCACTTCAGCTCCGACTAACAGCGGTGCAGCTTCGACTGCAGCGTTCCATCCTCTGCTAACAGCTGCTCATAACACAGCTTCGGCACCAACTCCGGCTCCAGGTCTAGCTCCTACAGCTGCCCGACGAGAGACGTCGATGTCAGCGCAGCGTGCACGCGCTCGTGGAAGCAGTGTTCGTAGTTGTGGCGGTGCAGGCATCTCACGGGGCGGCCACGGATGTCATGGTGGCCATGGAGGAGGACCTACTGGTACTGACGATGATGGTGGAGGTGCGGCGGCTGGCACTTCTGCGTGGAAGGCTAAGGATGACTGGTAATTATATATTGGTGCTGACTTTAGAGATGGTGCATCCTGTTCAGTTCTGTATCAGCGACAGGCATTCAGGCGTTATGCGGCTCCTTGATGGCCACATTGAAACCCTTGCTTTGTCCTATTGGACCCATCAAAAGCGTTGTTTCTCTTCCGTTTTCCATAGCAGATTACGATGAATTCTTCAAAGTATTCCATCAAGGTTTGTACAGTGCTCCATCTTTATGTGACTGCCTCCAAAATCCACGTTCTGCTGCAAAGATGACTGTCCACCAGAGCGTGAAGCCATCATGTGGGGGTCGAGCCGAGCAGATCTTTAGTACTGACACTTATAGAGTCGTCGATAGACATGTCCGACACCGGAACATTACCTACATGGCTCCAATGTGTACACTGTGGAGTGCAATTGACGTTTCGATACATTGTGCAGGCAGAGCAGGTTTAGAAAGGACTATGAGGGGACGACATTAAAGGAGCACTTGGGTCTGCCGAGGCCAAAGAATCAGTTCTTCAAGGACTGATTTGTGATGAACTCAGGGAGATGAGTGGTAGGACCACCATCTTGAGCGTTTAGACTATGTGTCAAGCAACGAAACATTTAAGCGATACAGTGTCAGTACGGGTTGTCATGGTACCACAGGCTATACAGTGACGTGAGAGAGGTTTGAAGCTCAACACGTCGTGAGCGCAGAGGGAAGGCGCTAGCTTAGTCATCTCGAGCCTCGAGGAAGACGTGGTGGGGACTGCGTCATTGGCATGACGGCAGGCGCAATCACGCTCAGGCGTCCAACACAGCCATGCTGCATCTTCAACACAATCTTCCATTGCCCATGAGTCTGCCTTTTGCTTGCGACTACGGCTGAAGCCATAGTTCCTTGCGTTCAGCGTTGCATAGTTCATCGCGCAGATTGCGCGCCCCACCGCCATCATGATAGGCACATCAATACCGCAGTACATCTTCATCCGCATATGTATCTTTGCGTTGCGCTTGATCACGCCTCTGAGTATCTTTTATGTATCGTTCAGTCTTGCCGAATATCCGACATCTGCCGGAGAGAGGTTTCTTCTTACATGGAGCATCATCGAGGCAGCTTTCTACCTGTTCGTCTACATACCCCGCAAGCGAGCGCTCCAAGCATCGGCGCAGCATCCACCGCTACTCGAGAAAGAAGAGAGGAAGGCCTTGTTCTGGAAGTGCTGGGACAAGATCCCGCATCCCGAATATTACATCAGCAGATGGTTCTTGGGCGCAAGGCCGGGCGAGGTACGAAGGGATAATGTGAAGGAGTTCTACGAGTGGGCGCTTATGAACAGGGGGACTGAGAGCGAGGATGAGTTGGTGCGAAGAGCGCAGGAAGACCCAGAGGCGAAGATTGAGGAGGAAGAGGAGTTGAAGGAGTATGTGGATGGTGTCGAGACTATGCTGGGCAGGCCGATACCGCCGGGTCGCGGGCCTGCAAAGAGCCTGCGACTGACCATTGATGAAGTCAATATGCGCCACAGGCCGGTAGTGTGGTACTTGGTATGGCATGATGATTTCACATTTCAGAAGCGGTCTAACAGCTGTGCAGATTGTTATGTTCGTCGACACATTCACAGCAGTGTATCTACGATACAACGGCTTTCTACTGCACCGCACTCATCTTCGCTCCGCACTCGCCATATTCCCTCCCCGCCCCGCATCGCTCTTCACGCGACAGATCTCCAGCGCTCCTGATCTCAGCTACTGGTACCGACCGCACACCTCCAAGACACGCCTCCCCATCCTCTTCATACACGGCATCGGCATCGGCCTCATGCCCTACAGCCAGTGGCTCATCGGGATAAACAAGCAAGACCCACTAACAGCCACCGATGGCGAAATCGGCATCATCGCCATCGAGCTGATGCCCATCAGCTTCCGCATCACCGGCGTGATCAAAAGCCCTGACGACATCTGCCGCCAGGTCAACATGATCCTGGAGCGCCATGGATTCGACAAAGTGGTTTTGGCCAGCCACTCATACGGCTCAGTCGTGAGCACCCATCTCCTGAAGGATCCTGCAACAGCCGCCAAGATCGGTCCGGTACTGTTTGTTGATCCTGTAACGTTTCTTCTGCACCTCCCAGATGTCGCATACAATTTCACCGCGCGACGACCACGGTACGCAAACGAGCATCAACTTTGGTACTTCGCGTCGACGGATATGATGGTTGCGCATACACTTGCGCGGAATTTCTTCTGGAGCCAGAATATCCTTTGGAAAGACGATCTTCGCGGTCACGATGTGACTGTCAGCTTAGGTGGCAGTGATTTGATCGTCGACTCGACAGCTGTTGGGAAGTACATTGCTGGCGCGGATCTAAAGAGCGAGGACCGGGCGTGGAAGGACTTAGAATGGAAAGGCGAGGGGATAGAAATCATTTGGTGGCCCACAGCAGACCACGCGCAAGTCTTTGAGCGAAAAGAAGGGCGGATGAAGCTGGCGCACGTTTTGCGCGAGTACGCCAAGCGCAAGGAACAAGCAGAGGACGACTGGTTCTGAGCCCGCTTACACAACCAAATTTAGGACATCTACCCTGCCTTACTCGCCATGACCTCCTCCAACCACGGAAATACCGTCCCATTCGCCTCAGGATACCCCATATGTAGCCTATCTTTAATAAACCGCATCTCCTTCGGACTCCCATACTCAGCAAGCAACATACTATCCTCGACCGGCATACACCCATCCAACGTCCCATTGATCAGCAACATCCTGCAACTCGGCAACCCCTGGCTCACCACCGCAACACCCTCTCCTTTGCCGCTGACAAGGCTGAACTCGTCTTGACACCGCGCCTTCATCTCTTCGAAGTCGGCGTATCCGTATTTCTGGCAGTACGCACGTTCGAGACCAAAGGGGTATTCGTGTTTGTCTATTTCCGAGAGCCACTCGCGCCCGATGTAGTAGTGTGTGCCTGCGCCGTGGCCGACGCTGCCGATCAGTTTCTCTCGGTGCGTGTGCGCAAGGCGGATGGCGTAATATCCGCCGGCACTGAGACCCCACGCGATGACGCGCTTCTCGTCCAGTTGCGGGTTTTGCACGATGTACGACAGGATTGTGGTGAACAGTCTGTCTGGGGACAGTGGATCTCGCTTGTTCGCTGGACAGTCGACGGTGGTGCCGGGGATGTCACAGATCACTGTTGCCCAGCCGCGGCGCAAGTGCTCTTCCGTGCGCTCCGTGTTATCTGGACGATGCCCATCGAGGCCTGTAATTAGTAGAATCGTTGGAAAAGGACCGTCGCCCTTGGGATGCCGGATATACAGCGGTATGGAGTCGCCATCGCCATTCGCAGCATTGTCATGCGGAATAATCTCCTCCGTAATCGGGATATCCCAGAGCTGCGTACCCTGCATATACGCCTCTTTCTGCTCTTCAAAAACCCGCTTCTTCAACTCGGTCCCAATGTACGGGAATCTCGCAAGCCTGAACACCGCATTCGCCCTGAAATACAACTTCTTCGCCTCCTCTTTATGCTCGACTTTCGAGCTCGCGCCCAATTTCGACAGATCTTGAGCTTTCTTGACCAGCTCACGCGCGGTTGGCAAGAAGGCGTTTGTGTAGTCGTCTGAGTAGGGGTCGTTGATCTTGGCAGCGATCAGGTGTTGGAAGATGGGCTCGAAGTCCTCGTAGCTGCCGTCGTGGAAGGGGTATACGGAGCGCTGGCAGGGCATTTTCCAGCGGGTTTCCCATAGTTTGGCGATGCTGCCGCGATGGCCATAGTTTTTTGTGAAAAGATCACCGAGGATCCAGTTTCCGTTCGGCATGGTAGTCGTTGATTATTGACTCGGATAGCTTCTACTCGGCTTGTTGTTTCGTTCGAGGCCTGCTGCTTTCTTTTTGTGCTTTCGTTTGCTCGCCTTGCTGATGTTCGACTGTTATACACATGTTGCTCTGCTTTAGGCGGGGCCGGCTTGGGGATCCGCGCGTCTCAGACTTGGACCGTACGGGACCCCGCATACACAAGAACATTTGAGCGATGTGGATACACCATCTTGGCTAAAACAATCGTGATGAGGTAATGCGACGTTAACGAATAGGTCGCAAATATAGACTGAGAAATGCCTCCGTATCATCTGCTCACGCTCTTTCTTGGTTTGTACACTTCGACCTCCTCAGAGGCACTTCGCAATCCGTGTGCGTAGCACACTCTAGTGCAGAACACTTCTCATTGGCTGCAGATTCCAGCTGTGTGACTCTCTACCTTGTAACCTGCATGACTTGTTTGATATCACTTTCGTCGCTGAAGCACGACTGTTCATGCTCAAGAGTCCAAGGCTGCACCTCTACGATGTCAAACTCGCGAGCCACTGGGTGGACGACGCATCGCGGGCGGTTGTCTGAAATCTTTTGCATCTCGATCTTGTTCTGGCGTATTGGAAACGTAAGTCGTCGCCGAGAGAGCAGATGGACAATATCGATTTTTCCCTCCCCGAGCATTTCTTTGCCGAGCCGCCACGCCGCGTAGTGCGTCGGCGAGAAGTCTTGGTCGCGATGAGGAACTTTGAAACCGAATGTCTGGGTCGAATGACCCCCGAGGACGCAAATACGACCTAAAGAGATTGAGAAGCTTCTCACGCGCGGGCGTCAGCAGTCGTTGAACTTCTTCGTTGATGTTCTTAGATACTGACAGTAGTGGACATGTAATCCTCGCATTGTAGCTAAAGACCGAGCTACCTTCCTTGCGTCAAACACGAAGCGACTGCGGGAGCAGAGTTCGAGAAAGGTCGGGCTTGGCGACCTTGATGCGGTGCGTGTGGATAGTAGACTCGAGAAGTTGATACAGCTTCTTCAGAATCCGCGAGATTTCGAGATTGATTCTTTGGAAACTAGTAGCAAAGGATGTGGATTTAGTCAGCCTGTAAGTGATGGATCCGTCTCCCACTCTCCCGTGGGGCTTGTCGTCGAAGGCAAAGATTGAACTAGATGGATTACGAGGCTGTATGGTAGTCGTACAACCGTAATCAGTATCCTTGTCTGTGTCTGTTTTGCAATTAGTGACGACTATGAACACGCGTTGAAAGGATAATATACATGCACAGACTCCCATGAGAGGCAGTCTGTATGAAGGGTGTACGTGGTCACAGCAGCTTTACCGGAATTCCGGTTCGAGAGCGTATTTGTATACTCCATCGCGTAGCTCTTACGGTAGATCACGGAAACCGAACCTGCGAACACGATCAGTTGCATCCTATGCATACGATAGGGGTGGGTGGGTGTATACATACTGAGAAAGATGTGCTCCTGCCTTGTCGGCATCCTGTGTCCCGTCTATGGTTATGCTGCTAACGTGCCTCGCTCAGCACAGTGTTTAGGAAGATGTGAAGATGTAGTGGACCTGAAGTATGTAGGAAGGTGGTAGGCGGGGTGTTATAGGGCGAGCTCGACGCGTCGAAATGCAAAGCGCATTCAGCCAACATGTAAGCGTTAGTGGCGTTATCTTGTAGTCCAATATTCCCTTCTGGGTTTCTAACACATCCTACAACAGGTATTACAAGTGGAGTAAGTCGGAGCGTTACCCGCCCTGAACCAAAAATGTTCACCGGCTCCCACAGACAAGAAGTGCTATGTGGACAAGCTCAGCTGCAAAAAATTATACTGTGCTATTCATCACATCTAAGAAAATCAGTCGAAGAACCTACACACAAACACCCTACCACAACTTCTCCTTTCCCTGCAAAACCTCCAGCCTCTCCGGCGTCACCACACTCAAACTCAACGCCCCACCAATGACAATCCCCAAAAGCAGCACCAAAAACACTAACCCCTTATCCGTGTGCTCCTGCACCTGTCTCACCCCCCAAGCCTTCGGCCCCCCCGGCGCATACACACCCTTCCACTTCTTCAGCGGCGCCACTGCATTCTGCTCCGCAAACTCAACGCCCCTCTTCATGCCGGGCATACCATCCACACTTCGCGCTGACTTCCACGCCCAGTAGCGGTCCATAGACTCCTTTTCATCGCCAGCGCGGAACTTGGCGTCTTTTTTCTCGAAAAAGTCGTTAAGAATGGGTCGGTGGCCGACAAAGTCGTAGTACGGGACGCTGAAGCCGCAGGAGGTTGCGCATTGGTGGACGTCAATCAATATGATCGACCGACTCCCGGGGATAGTCTTGACGTTATGCTCTTCCACAAAGCGGGAGTACTCTGGTGTGCCGTTCTCGATCGGCCTTCCCTCTCCCCAGATTCGGACGATTTGGGGCGGGCCCTCGAAGGCCATGAACATGACGCAGATACGCCCGTTGCCTTCTTCGTGGAGGTGCGCGTGGGTTTCGATGCCGGAGCCGGAGAGGTCCATGTACCAGAACTGTGTTGGGGAGAGGACGCCGAAGAAGTCTGTGCCGCCTTTGGGCGAGATGTTGATGTGGCCGTCACCAGAAAGAGGGGCGGTACCGACTAGGAGCATTTGTTGTTTATGGATCCATGGCTTGAGGCTGTCTGGTATTGTTTCGTAGTAGACGCCCATGATGGTAGTGAAATGTATGGATGATCAATCGGAGACGGATTGAACAAAAGAGTAGCTTGGCAGACGACCGAGATTAGACTTAAGAATGAAGGAAGAGACAGAGTCAGAAGTGTTGTGGAGAATGCAGCTTCCAGATAAGTACTAGGGTGCAGTGATGATCTTTCGAAGGTGTGATTCACACTGCTATGGTCGTCCGCGGCCGATATTGGTGGTCCGGTCTTGCCTTCGTACACGCTGCACCTTGCTGGGAAAGTGCACCGTCTTGCACAATGAAGTATGAGGAAAAGACTCTGTTTTGAAGAAATTCAAGCATCAGCTTCGGATGCAGGGTTTCCCGACGGTTTTAGTGCAGTGGGGTGAACGTTGGGGTATCGATGGGGTCGTAGCCGAGGATGTGGGTCCCGGCAGACGTTGATTGGTCACGATACGGATCTCGTGGACGCCGGCTGCCGACGGTACAAGATGTCTTCGTCATGTCTGTACTACCATCAAGTACAAACACAAGGGACACAGCCGCGGATCGATGGGCATAAATGCTTTCATGTCCTCAGATGCAGTTGCCTAACTGCTCGTATAGTCGTTTCCATACCCAACACCCACCTCGCCAGGAAAGCTAGCCCAGAAATCTTGCGTTGCATTCATCATGATCTCTTCCATATCTGCGTTGCTCAGATCGAACCCTTCCCAGCTGAACGTCTCATCAAGCTCTAACGGCAGTATTGCGTTTGGTGTGTTCCACGAGTAGGCATTGTTGTTGAAGCCATTCGGTGTCGGCGTAGCTGTCGGCGGTGTGACAAGTGGTTGCTCTGGTCCCAGTGTAACGCTAAGGAACTTGTTCTGGACCAGGTTAGCATAGTACGATACGAGAATATGGCGATAAGACGAACCTCTTGAGGTGGAGGGGAGATGACGGTTTGTACAATGGTTGTGTCGGTACCCTTGTTTCCCTCCGAGGGTTTCTGGACTGGCGAAGGCTGAAGAGCGCCATAGTCGATCATAGCCCGTCGGAGTGCTTTGCGCTCTTCTGGCAAGGCAGGAGCGTCCTGTCCAAGGACTGAGCGGTAGTAGACCTGCATGCGCTTGATCGTCTCGAACTAGTTATCGTCAGCGGGCATCTTGCTTGCGTGGTTGAAGATACTAACCCATGTCGCTGCCATGGGCCACTGCGTCTTCATCTCCTTGAGGAATGTGCAGCCCTGTATGACCCTTTCACGCGCCTTCTCTACGATCCTCGGGTCGTCCTCACCGCTGGGAAAGTTGAAAGAGTACAGCATGACACCGACTGCTGTGTAAATGGTGAATCCAATCCATGGCACAAGACCACGTAGGAAGAACACACCGAACGTACGCATCTCCTCGAGCATCTCCAGCACCATGGTGGCCTCCTTGAATAACTCTCTTCGTGAAGTCTTTTGCCAGTTCTTCCACATATCGGTGTGGTCATTGTACGAGTTCGGTGTCTCCTCAGCCACTGTGCCGTTCTGCTGAGGGCCCAGAACTGGAAGGTAGGCGCGGTGCAGAAACATGTAGCTCATGAAGTAGATGCTGTGCATGTAGCAGTACGCTTGACCTTGCTCGACTGCGTTGTGGCTGTGTAGAGAGAAGAGATCGTACCGTGAGCGCTGTGGCAAGTTGTTCTTCCACCGTTCGAGTTCGTAGATCAATTGTTGGAATTGTGAAGAGGGCGACCAGGGTAGCTCTGTCTTGAAATCCTCAGTGCATGCCCAGCGCGCAACCTTGCCCCAAACGTTGGCGACACGCATGCTGTACCCGATAAGGCCAATGTCGCCCACTGGCAGGGCGATTGGAGGCATGCGAACATTGCCGTCAAGATGCTGTGTGCACCTAGGTTCGCCAAAAATGAAAGCCTCCTTTTCGCAGGGAAGTTGAATGGCCATGTCAGAGGAGTTCAGCGACCTTTTACGGCCTTTGCCACCACTCAGCAGTGAGTCCATCAAGAAGCATGTCCAGGCTGTCCGGCGTCGGACCTCAGCTTCGATGAACTCGTCTCGTGTCGGCATGCGATTCCTCGGTGTCTTCAGCTCCTGCGTCAGGTCCATGACCTCGACCAGCCGTATCGCCATGCCCAGGTAGATCCACGCCCGTCGCCCATTGCCGGCGCCCCAGTCATGCCCCGTAAGCATCAGCAGCGCCTGCACGCGGCTGATGCTCGGTGTCTCGAGGTCGCCCTGGAGGAGCTGGCGTGCCCGCGCGGCATAGGCATTGCTGGCCTCTGTCTGCGTGGCGAAACAAATTGGGGGGTCTTTCACGAATCTGATATATATGTTAGTGCCTCATCTATCAGCATCCAAGACATGTCCGGCATACCTGACGGCCAGCGCCAGGAGCGCCCAGACGAGGTAGGGCTCAAGGGTGCGGTCGCGTATCCGCAGCAGCAGCGTGGGCGTGTGGTGGAAGCTCCATTTGTACGAGCATCGCAGGTAGCTGTTCTTGACCTCGTCCGTCAATAGGTCAAAGGGGTCTAGGCCGTCCAGCAGCGAAGATGCCGCACTCGGGGACAGCGGCGGAGCGGCATTGGTGGGACTCGGCAAGTGCGCATCATTGCGGCGGTATAGGGGCGTTGCGGCTGCTGAGGCGCCCGGGGGAGTTGTGCCTGGAGTCTCATCTGATGGCCGCGGGCGTTTTGGTCTGCGATGAATTGCTGATGTGCCAGGCAGAGGGAATTCGCAGAGGGCAGCTCGGCCGCTCTGCCGGCAGCGATCACACGGCGGCGCGTCGTTGTGGATGCACTTTTGCTTTGCGCTGCGGCACGACACACACGCCACGGGATTCCGCATTAGAGACAGCGATTGCAGTCGATGGATCCAGATAGGTAGAGGGTGTTGATGCCGTCGAATCCTTCTGCCGCTCGCCTTGCCGCTGCCATCCCATGCGGGACGGTCCTGGTCGCGCTAGCGAATAGAGGCCGATGCAGGGCCGTTGCGGCGCCTTTTACCTCGACCTCACCCTCACCGCGCGTCGAGCTTTACATGTCACCATGTCACCAACACCGACATTTGGACGTGCTGATGCGGATACCTCTGACGGGCCACAAGTAGCTAAAGTGAAGGACAGACCTCCTCCCAATTTCACCACATGCCAAGACTCAACATAGGACGTTAAACTAATCAATCACCACAAGCCAATTTGATTCGGCATCCTAGCTCGACAGACACTGAAGAGGCGAAGCTTCCATGGCGAATGAAACGGTGACACTCAGTCCCATCAACGGGCGCAGTTTGATTCACTGTCACCAACTCGTGGTCGTAGATGCTGTATCTCGATATTCGTAAATCAGAGGCTGAGTTTGGATTGCTGAAGTTCTGATGTTGCGTCTTGTAGCTTGCATTGTGCTATCCACTCGTTCCTCTCCTTCTTTCAAGCTGCTAGTGTTCTCGCTCGAGCCTTCCTTCCCCGGCATTACGTCACAACCACAATAAGGACTTCATGCTTCATCCCTTTGAACTCATCTGCAAATAAGAGAAGCGAATAGTAAGGCTTTTCTTCAACGGTCCTGTAGACTCGTCGTTTCCAGATAGTTGTGATTCCGGAGACCCACCTCCAACCCAGCATCAGGCGCAAAAGTCACGTCACGTATGAGTCCGCAACTCCAGGGTTTGTAGCGCCCACAAATTTCTCCTCCTTGGTCCACATGCACGCTGTGAAAACATTATCCCACCGACCGCACTTTCGAGCAATCCACCTATGCTCCCAACAGAATGGCGGAGATCTCCTGCTGGCCTTGCGCTTCGCAAAGAAGTGGAGAAGTCGCGCCTGAGGCTCACCGTGTAAGTCTAATCGACAGAACTCATTGTGTCCATAAACTTACCTATGGCCAACAGCGCCCTGAACAAGCGTGATGCTGACGTTCGTGATAAGGTCGAGCTCGAAGGGAGCAAAGAGGATGAGGATATCCCAGAACACATCGCACACGCCACCGCAAAGCTCGAAAACACAAGCAACATGTTGAAGCTCTTCGACTAGCCTATAAAAGCCATTGGATAGGGGCGATGTGCGACCAGATGCTCTGCGTAGTGCCCCGCGGACTTCGTTAAGTCATCTTCAAGGAGCTTCATCATGAAGATCACGATCCATGCAATTCGACTTTGTATGACTGCGATATGCTCACAGGCCACTACTGACGAGACAGCGACAACCTCTCTCATTACGAGAAATCCGAGTTTCTCGTCTGCGGGGATATGAAAGACTACCTGAGCCAGGACAGATGGGGTTTGGGGCTTAGGCCTGCTCACCCTATTCAGCACGTCGCTATCAGGATCGAGGATTGCCAGGTCTTGAACTGGAGGTACAAAATGGCCTTCGTAAATTGAAGCGGCTGCGGGCAGGCTGCTATATCGAGCTCATCATCCCTGCATGGACTACATCGGACGATTTCTGTCTCGGCTGCAACGAACGTGTGCGCGATTTGGTTTATGAACTGGCTGCGCATGTCAACTTTTTTTTCGCGAAGCGAGTAAGATTTGCAACGCTTCCTTTCTTTGTTGCATCCCTTGCTCCAGCCAGCGCGGGAGATTAGGAATGCTGGTATGAAGCTGTGCATCACTCTCAGGCATGACAACATGAGATGCATTCTTTACCAGCATGAAGGCGACCAAACGCTGTCACTGGAATCGTGGCGCTCGGTAATCCAGACTACAAAGCAGGTGAGTATCTCCAGAGCTCCACCCATCGCCGCATTGACGCTTTCACAGGCATTCCTCAATGGCGGAACAGTTGATGGTGTGAAGTTGACATGTCAAGAAACGAGGAACGGCAGCGGAGAGGCGACGATATGAGCGACGATAGCGGCGAGGAGTGAACGGACACGGAAATATACTGGAAGCAATGGATAGCAGGGCCGAAAACTCGCACGCTAGAGGTATTCAGACATTCTTTCCCATTCCAGCAAGATCATCACGGAGTGCAAATACAAGATTTTCAGATATCCATTCCTGTTCGTCAATTGAGTCGGCTCCCAAGTCGTATATATATCCGCCACGGTACCGAAATATCGGTGTCAAGTCTTCTAACCTAACAGCGAAGCGGCCTTGTAGATCTGGTATCCACTAAGTCCAGCACCGATGGCCCAGAGTGTGCTTCGGATGAAGCTCTTGCCGTGGTCCGCGATGTTGATGTACGAGACAACGTAAGCAGTACTGCATCTTCATTAGCCCAGCTCCTTTACACTTCAATCAATTTCAACTTACCGGATGGCCATGAATGTCCCAATGAAAGTCGTCAACCCCGTAACATCATTGTCGACAACCGCGTTACCCAATCCCTTCGCCGTAACCCTCTCTGCAATAATGCTCGCCAGCACCGCCGCAACATACAGCGGCAGCTGCTCCAGGTTGTTGTTCTGTGCGTTTTCGGCGCGCTGGTACTTCTGAAATATGGCGTCGGGGACTTTGCCCTTTACTGCGTCGGGCGAGAGCGAGGCTTTGGGGTTTGCATTGTTGACCTTGTATCCATTCGCGCCGAGGATCGAGTTCGCGTATATATGGGGGATGATGGAGAAGACGTAGTAGGCGGGGATAGAGAGGAGGGGGTAGTTTAGGGTTGATGATGCCATTTTGGTGGTGTTGTGGGGTCTTGTTGAGGGTTGAGAGTGGGCTGTTGGTGATTGAGGCGTGTGGAATGTGTTTGAATGTAGTGTGAGAAAGGTTTAAGTTGACTGGGTCGATTGAAGTCAATTGAAATCTGGCGCGCAAAGTCGCATTGACATCGAAGTGATATGTATTGTGAATTGTATGGTGATCACTATGACGTAGTGTCCTTCACATGTTGTCCCCACAACAAGGTGGGGATAGCGAGTCGCAACAACGCGAGTAGATGAGAAGCCGCCCTACAAAGCATTACTCAGCGGCACGACGATGTTGATTGCTTGGTACAAGGCACGTGAGGATGACTACAACTGCTGACATGCGGGGTACGGCGCCCAAAATCTCAAGACATCCGACTCTTTGAAGGCACCCACAGATCAGACACACTACCCATGTCTTCAGAATCGAGTGTCACAACACGAAAATTCCATGCGACATGCCACTGTCGTGCTTCAGCCCTGTCCTTCATAGTTCCTATAGCCAGTCTACCAATACCAGTCCACTTTTGCCACTGCAGTATCTGCCGTCGTTCCACCGGCACACTCTGTACCGCAGGAGCTGTAATTCCTCAGCCAGTCGTCGACCTGTCCAGCTTGACAGGATACAAAAGCTCAAAGCATCTGACACGGTGGTTCTGCTCGACATGTGGAGCCCATCTCTTGGGTACTATCCAGCTGGGTGACGCAACGAAGTGGTTCGTGTCAGCGCCCTCGGTTGACGCAGAAGAAGAAGTTTGGGACTTTGCTGGCCATGTGTTTGTTGGGAGTACCGGAGATGGAGGACTGGCTACGCTGATGCGAGAGATAGGCAGCACAGAGTTGGGCTTGTGGGAGACCTGGTCTGGCAAGAGCGCCCCATGGCACCCGTCAGAACGCGTGAAAGACAGTAGAGCTGTCGAGACACAGAGTCAAGGCCGTCTGCACGCCCATTGCCATTGCAGCGGCATCGAGTTTTACGTCTCACGACCAACTGGCGACGAGACATTCACCGACATCGACGAGAACAACGTTCGTAAACACAAGAACAAGTGGCTTGGGATCCACGATGTGTGCACCACATGTCGCCTCACAATCTCAACTTTTGTCATGTCCTGGTTCTTCCCTTCACGCGATCATATCACACTGGCGGACGGGTCACCATATCCAGAAGACGGCATTTTTGGTACTGTTAAAGTGTACGAGAGCTCAGCAGATGTTGACAGGACATTTTGCGGCAGTTGTGGAGCTGCGGTGAGTTACGTTCATCACAGCAGATCCGATATCGTAGATATCGCCGCAGGATTGCTTGACACCGAGAATGTCAGGGCTGAAGATTGGCTGGAGTGGAGGACGTACAAGCTGGCGTGGGAGGATGATTCTGTTTGGAAAAGTGCAAGAGATGCGCTGAAGAAGGGTCTGCAGCCGAATGAACAGATGCAGTGACCGCATCGAGACGGACGTAGATACCTCCCGCTCTGCTATCTAAGCTACTCGTCACCAATTTAAAAACTTCCGAAGCAAACGCATTTCCACACTCCATCGCCGCCAATCTCTGAGTAGCACACTCTTCCTGAAGTTGGATCTTGGTCGGCATCATCGATCAGCATACCACTCAGGACATGACGGAACAAAACGCCGCTGGAAACGGGAGATGCGACTCTGCATCGGAAATAACTGAGTTCTGGATTCCCATGGCGAGTTTAGATCTTAATTGTAGCGCGTTTCAGCGTACTGCAACCCGCATTCAGGGAGATGATTTACATCTCGCTTACTAGCGCCCCCTGTTACTACCCGTCCGATCCACGCGTCCCAAGCATTATCAAGGCTTCGTTCTCCAGGACTTTCTTCCTGTTTGACATCCTTACATTCGTTTCGTACACTCATTTACTTTACTTTTTGCACAACCACCGCCATGTTCACCAAGGCCCTTCTTTCGTTGGCGCTGGTCGCCCCAATCCTTGCGCTGCCAGCGCCGCAGCCAATGGTCATCTCGGACACCACCAAGCAGAAGGCGACTTCGCTCTGTGGCGTTTCTGATAGCGTTGTCTTGACTGACACGCCCTGGATCGTTTTCAACATGATGTACAATCAGGCTTTGACAGTCGGCACGCAATGCACCAACTACGATCATGTTGCGACTGGCTCAGACAGCAACAAGAAGATCACCTGGAGCGCTGTGTCGAACATTGACTATGTGCAGTCAACGTGAAACAAGCCTTTTATATCACTTAGAGGACTAAAGGCTAATATATTATAGCAACAACGTCCCTAAGGGCTACTCCTTCATCGGCCTTACCCAGAACCTCGAGACAAAGCTCTCAGCCATCAAGTCTATCCCAGCCACCTACGACTGGACCCGCACCAACACAACCGCCTACAAGGGCAACATCTGCTTCGACTTCATGACCTCCGACACCAAGGGCGACTCCACTTCCACCTCTGCCCAAGAGCTGATGCTGTGGCTCGAATACACCGGCGGTCAGCTCCCCATTGGTTGGACTGCCGGCCCTAAGGCTACTATCAGCGATTTGTACGGCACTAGCTGGAAGCTGTACCAGGGCAAGAACGATGACACTGGTATCACTGTGAGCAGCTTGTTGCCTGATAGTCAGTTCACAGGCACTTTTAGTGGCGATATCAAAGACTGGTTGGAGGCGCTTGTTGAGGTTGGTGTGTTCAAAGATAGCACGTATGTTAATGTTGGAAATGCGGGTACGGAGCCTTTCTACGGCAAAGCCGTTATGAACGCTACGTTGGGTCTGCAGATTAACCTGTAGGTCTGGAATCTGCTGAAAGGAGTTGATTCAAGAAACAGACCAAGTCGTCTGAGTCCTCAAGGATGTCATGGTTCATACCGGGCAAGTGTGACGCTCTCACCTAACTTCACTTATGATACAAACAGAACGTGCGATGTCTTGGCAGAACACCAGATACCAAATACCAAATCCCCCCCCCCTCCCTAACATCTGACCCAACTCTCAACTACTGATTGTTTACCATTTAACTCTACCAGCACCGACCATGGGGGCGCTGCCTCGAGATTCAAAAGCGGCCACCTCCCAGTGAGTCGCTCCGCTCTTGCCAATAACCCCCACTCCACCATCGGCATGAGTGCAAATTAATCGCCCGTCTCTTCCGGCTCAAGTGAAGCCTCAACCCCGCTCCGACACCCAGCATCTACCAACTTCGAAAGCCTTGCAGCCGAGATCTGTGTGTACATCGTCGAAGCCGTATTGCGCTGTTCGACCAGTCCTGCCGACAAGCACCGCAGCCTAACAAACTTCAGCTATGTCAAGTGCCTGAACCGCGCCGCCACAAAGCTCCTATACCAGGATTGCACCCGATACAAGTTCGTGCCGCTGCTGCGCACTGTGCTGCGATACCCAAAGTTAACAGCTCTGATCAAGGTTCTCTGCTTAGATCAGTCCGGCACGGTGATGACGACAAGCACATCAGGAGATGATCTGAATTTATTCTTAGATACCATCGACAAACTTGACATCGAGTTCTCTTAAGGCACTCTCTGCCGAACCAAATTGTACAAGCCTGTGACAGGCCTCTGCGCGGCTATGCTCAACATGCTCCTACTTCTACATACACCAAACATCCTGGCTCTCTATGCAGAGAACAGTACCAGCTGGATGGCGCTTTATGTGGATGAAAATTTAGAAGCAACCGACAAAGTGCAGACAAAGTACAGACCAAGTCCTTACCATATTGGGCCTTGGCGTTTACGAAGCCCGTCCTTCGCTACTTTCCGAGAACACCTTCTACAAGGCTACAAGAAGCATTATGGTCAGTAAGGGAAGCGCAGACTGCGACAGAGTTCGGCCAAATCAGGTCGTCATGCTGCTGCGGATACCAGCCCTCCGGCATCTGAAATCGAGATCTACGCGACTTCATCGACTCAGACCGTCAGGGTAGGGAGACTTGTGCATTCGAAGATGACATATCGAACGTTGCTCAGTTGCACATCTCCCGCAGCCCGCACTTGAGCCTGACTACTGCTCTGTCGTTCTTGAAGGCTTGAAAATCCTCACACACGTTCGATTATGATTTCACTGACTTTGTTCGTCAACCAGACAGCTCTCTACTGGTCGCTGGGCTTCTAAAGCACCAAAATACGCTGCGTCGACTGGCTATTCGGGAGCCGAAGACTGGACAATATGTGCCTCATACTTCAGCGAACGAACTGCGGCTGCTGGAGAACCTCGATGAGCTCTGGGTGAGCAGCGCAATCGTGTTCCCCTACGGCGAAGCAGTCGCTAACTATCCGAAGATTCATACTTTGGTGCCTGAGAGTCTATGAAAACTTGGCATTGATGGGTTGTTTGGGGATAAGACCCTTGATCGCTTCCTAGGTGACAATGATAGCCCTTTCTTGAGCCTCTGCGGGCCGGCCGGCCAGCTATGTCAATTGGGAACTGAGATTCTCTACGTCAAGCATCCATTTAAAGCTCGGTGTCATGCCTTCTTGCTTCCATGAAGCCTCGACTTACTTTGCCATGGGTCCATTCTTGATACAACCTCCACCTTGGCCGGGCTGGAGCTTGATGTAGCATCTCGGCATGGGCTACGCAATGTGCAACGCGAACTTCCCAGAGTCAGACATATCACCATACTTGCAACTAGAGAACTTTGATCCGAAATGGCTGAAGGCTATCGGATACGAGGAACCTGCTGAAGAGGTGCAGCAGACGAGAGAGGAGGAAACCCATGTTGGCACTGACGGATCGACGGACATTTTGGAGTCGCATTAACAGACGTAAAGATTGCAAAGCAGAACCGTTTTATACAGGCAGAGCTGACAGGGCGGTAATCCGACGAGCAAACTTTGCAATTCTCAGCCGTAGGCGTCCAGTGCATTGATGCTGCGTTCCCTTGATTACAAAATGAGTCACATCAAGCCCCTTTCCATGCTTTTTGAGATAAAAAGATGGGTTTGAATGTCGTCGGTCGTGCAGATGGGTTGAGGAAAGCCTCATAACCCAATGAAATTTGACTCTTCCAAGCCATCGTCGAAGTCTGCATCATCCATGCCCAAGGAATTAAGCTGAGCCTCCATCCGTGCTTGCATCTCAGCTGCAAATTGGCTATGTGTTGCTGCTCGCATCTTGAGCGGTTCCTTCGCGAGCCTTTCTGCATGGTGTACACGCTGTGCCTGAATCTCTGCTCGAGCCTGTGGTGGCAGCCGGGTTAGGAGCTGGGCCTGGACCTCCGTCAATTGATAAGGGCTGGCGGCAGCGGGAAATCGATCGTCTCTAAGATCGAGAATGCTGCCAGCAAGTGGGGTTGTTGGGGCGACCGCTGCATTTATAATTGAAGATGACAGGCTCTCACGCAAATTTCGAGATACTGGATCAAATACAAAAGCATTTGACTGCCGACGAGTCATACCAGGCTGGCGAAAGGTATTGTGTGATTCTTCAGGGTCCAGTGAATGGTTTGGCTTTGCAAGCACATCGTGGGCGTCCTTTGCGGGTGGATGTGGGGGCACATCGGGCTGACCAGACGCGGCTCTCTCTGATTGCTCCAGACTTGAACGTGCTGACGTGACTTCTGGAGGCAGAGCTGTAGGGACTTCTGCCGGATGTTGGTTTGTGTCGACGTCCTGTGCTGCTACAGCAGTATTCGCTCGAAACATCGACCGTGGAAGGCGGGGGCGGAACCTTGACCTTGATGTATTCTGCGCGTTGCTCGTGATGTTTGTTGTCACCTGCCTTGCGGGTAATTGAACTGTACTCTCCTCTGGAGTGGCACAATTCTGGCGCCTCCTCAACTCGCTGCTGGCAGAACCAGTCGTTCGTGTCCGGTTTGGCTCGCTAGTGACCTCGAGGTCTCGCACCGTGCGTTCGCCTGATCCTGAAGCTGTCACCGATTCTTTCTTCCTCTTCACTTTCTGGGCCCCGCCCTGAGTGCTCGACGGCCCATCATACCTGGGTTTCTTCTTTATGGTTGTAATGATATCTTGAATGGCGCCTGTGGCCGACTCATGAGGTAAGCGACCGTATGTGTGTTTTGCATCTCCATTCTCTCGCTGCACTTCTGAGACCAATACACGTGTCGATTCGCGCTTCTAGCCGTTCGGTTGTCTTTGACGTACACGTGCATACCGAGGTCGCGCTTTGCGATCGACTTGTCCAAAGCACATATTGATAGAGCCGCGTAGAATGAATGGAGAACTGTAGAAGGATAGCGAGATGTTGAGTAAGTGAATGAAGCTTCGGAGATGTTGTGACATAACCGAACACAGGATTTTGAGGAAATGTACTCAGACACGCAGGCGCATTCTTCAGATCGACGGGCTTGGAAAGATCATGGTAGCCAGGGCAGGAGCGAGCTTCCAACTGACCATGCATGACGCGCTTCGGCCCTTCTGCACGAACAGACTCTCCGGCACTCATCGCAAGTCTCGCAGCCTACACTACACTTGGTCTGCACTATCATGTCCAAAATGCCAACGATCCGTCAACGATATCATCTTCAAGAGTCGCCAGAACTCTGCTGTCATCAAAATGTCTCTGGGTGGCCCTGGTTCCACTGTCTGGGACCGGGCTATCACCGCTGCTTGGAACCGCAGTGTCCTTGCCGTCGCTGCATCCGGCAACGAGAACAGCTTGGCTCCAACCGTTCGCCTGTTCGCTCACTCGAGGTCATTCGCGTCGCTAACGTTCAGAGCAACGATGTTCGTCGTAGGGGCTCCACTGGATCGAACTTCGGTCCTGCAGTCGACATCTTTGCTGCTGCCACCAGTATTATGTCGGCTTAGTTCAACTCGGACTCTACGACTGCTACTTTGACTGGTACTTCGATACCTCGCTCCACGTCGCTGGTCTCGTTAACTACCTGCATAGTCTTGAGGGTCTATCGAGCGCAGGGCCTATCAAGGCGAGGGTGCTGGAGCTGGCTGCACCGAACAAGGTTACTGATACCCAAGGCTCGGCGAACTTGCTGGCCTACACTGGTAACGGCCGATAAAAGATGTTGGAAAATGGAATGAGAGTGGAAGAAATCGAGGAAGGCGGATAGGGGCTTTACACTGCATGTCGCATTATGAGATACTAACAATTCAACGATTTATACCAACCTGCGCCATCCATTCCTTCCGTCATGATTGTTCTACTCTGTGGGATCGCGACCATCGCGCTTCGTCATCTCCTTGATGTAGTCCTCATCCGTCTCGAGATCGAAAGGCACAGGCCGCGTGAGTGGCAAGAACGGCTGACCCCTGTCCTCGAACTGCTTCAGGCGCTTGGCAGTCAGCGGCTTCGACCTGTTGACACTGTAGAGTTTGACGCGATGGCAGGACGATGTGACGTGCAGATCCCAATTCCAAGCGCTTCGGACGTACGTCGGTTGCGTCTAATCAATTGTCATTACCATGATGTGAGTGTAGAGGAGGGGTAGACTTACGTTCAGGGCATCATCCCAACATCTGACACAGAACTCCAACCATCCTTCTGCGTCGACCGGGCATTCGAAGGACCAAGTTCTCCAAGCGTGGAAATACTTCTTACTCAGGTTCTCATTTGGAACCTCGTACCAGACACCTCCTCCATCGTTACTGACCTCCACTCGCTCAGGCCATCCGCTGCCGCTGTATGCCCAGCCTGTAAACGTGATCTTGCCGTCGTGGATGATGACGTCGTTGTTGACAGGTGTCATAATCGCGGACGAGACAGGCATAGTCTGGATGCTGAAACCATTGCTGTATGTCACGTTCTGCTTACCCATCTGAGGTGTGTAGTAGAGGTACTCCTTCATCTGAACGGGTGCCATCGAAGGGTCAGCGATGACATTGATGCGAGTCAGCCATTTGCAGGAACGGGCACCGATGTACCCCATGACCACAACGCGAAGCGGGAAACCGTGGATTGCAGGGAGTGGCTCGCCGTTCATCTCCCATGCAAGCAGGACTTCGTTCACCTTCATCTTGCGGGCTGGTACGGAGACAGCGTAGTTGTACACCTGACCCTTCTTGAAGTACGTGTCCGCACCGAAGAACTCGAGATGAGCGCCGTTGTCCTTGAGACCGCCGCAGTACTTGATGACCTTCTTGAGGGAAACACCGGTCCAGCGGGCGGTGCCAATGGCGCCTTCTCCCCAGGGCGCGTTGATGAGCTCGTCGCCGTCACCGGGGTACTCGTGGATTTGCTCGATGCGGCGGGTTCCGGAGCATTGGAGACTGACGACTGTGGATTGGCGGGGGAAGATGGATTCATCTTTGAGCATGTCCAGGGTGATTTTCTTGGGGTTTTTGACGAGGCCTTCGACTTCGAAGAAGTACTTGCTAGGGTCAATCTCTGGGATACCGCCATGGTTGCGGACGAAGAAGTCGGGGTTGTTGGTAATCTCGGTCTGTACATGTTAGCTAGAGCTTCCAGCCTGATGAGAGGGAACGTGCCTCAACTAGTCGTTTCTGGGGATTGTCAGTCTATGTTTAAGCGTTTGTGACCGACTTACTCACTCTTGGCGGCTCGCCGTTGTATGGGAACTGCAGAACGTGGATCATGTCTTCGCTCTTCTCCTTCAGTACGTACTTCCATGAGATGTCCGGAATGTCACTCAGGGTGGGCCCCATGGCATAATGATAGTGTCTGTTCGCGATGAGCGGGTTGTTTGACGACATGACGAATACATGTCAACTCACTTCCAGCGTACTCCTTCCAGGACGGGATTGGTCTTGGGTAACGGAATGAATTGGAACTCCGGAGGCTGTTACAGGTTAGCGTGATTGTGCTTGGTCTTGGGGAAAAGCTCTTCGGTACTGACCACGGGGAAGTCATATTTCGCCATGATCTCTGCTGCCTTCTTCTTCTTCTCTGGGTATCTCTCCCACTCGATGTAGCCCTTCCATCCTTCACGCTCTTCCTCGAACACTGGAAGCTCTCCCTGCGCCTCGAAGGGCTTATGATTTGGCTCCGCAGGTGCCATAGTGAATCGTGATTGTCAATAAAGAAAGGGTCTGCTGCTGAACGCCCACGGCGCCCACATTGTGGATGCCCCGGTGCTTTTGTACATCTTTGAAGTCTTCCAGATTCAGCGGGTCATGACTTCAGGCTTACTGGTTGCTTAACCAAGGGTCGTGCTGGCAAGCGAGAAGGCTTGTTGAAGCTTCCTGCAGGTAATCCATGCGTGAGCACGTTACAGCTCTCGGTTATCATGAATTGACGAATAGGAATGCGTGGGTAGAGCCTAGTCATACGAAGTTGGCAGTACTGCCAGTCGAGAAATGCGTCATTGTGATGGCCGTTAGACCGTTGTCAAACAGGGGTCCGCTTAAAGATCGAACTGCGTTAACCCCGAAATCCAAGTGTCATTCCATCTGCCGAAAGCAATTCGAGACTGACACGAGCGTTGCAATCAAGACCCAGACGCTTCGTTTCGAGCTTGTTGCGAGGGTGGTCGATAGTACAGACAAGTGTTGGGAGCCGCAAGCGCAATGTTTGTGATGCTTACACACGATGAGAACGAAGTATATGCGCGTCTCCATCGACATTGACTTAGGAGATTATTGGCTACAGCACATGCACACCGTATTAATTGGTTGACCACGTTCCTGATAAGACGGGTGCAGCAGGGATGGGGTTGTTGTGGTGTTGATCGAGACCGAAAGCGCATCAAACGCGGCAGGTGTTCGGCCATGGGCGAAGCGCGCTTGGATGAAAAAAACTTGGCGGCGGAGAGATCATGGCCTCGGCTTTTACGTCCGCGTCCATACCTGATACCACGACACGTGTGACGACATCCACTCTCCACGGCCCCACAACACATGTAAGTGGAGCCTTTGCCCATTGCTGCTCTTCTGTTCACGACGTCCACCTCGGGAATTCGTTCTTGGGAGCTCACAGCCATGCTTATGGTGGTCACAGCTGCAAAGAATGACAGCCCATTCCTGCTCCAAATTGGGTCCTTGAGCTTGTTTGCTCTGCACTGATGACCGACGCATTCGAGCTAAGCGCACAAAGCTACATGTATACGACAAACGAACCTATATTCACAGCTTGTTGGGTTGTAAGGTTGCTTCGACTTACCCGGTCTTCGCATGCTGAGGCAGGTGTTGCGCTTTTCCATTGCAACAGTGACATTGTATAGATATATCTTATTCCTCCTCGCAGTTAAACTCCTTGCCCACTCTCTCATTGCTGCTGGGAGTCTTCACCCTGCGCATACCCACATATGGGCCCTCTTGGGAGAAACGTTTCGAATGCCCTTCTTCGACACCACTCAACACCTGCGCATGTACGGCAGCATTGCGTCGTGCAACACCGAGTATCGACAGATATCCACCAACACCGTTCGGGGTACTCTGCACATCTTCTCTGTCCTCCACATTGTCAATCGATAGGTGTTCAATTAGCATGGCACATCAAGGACAACCCTTGGTGACATGACACACCAACCACTTTCTTCGTAATCTCTCATTAGCGGCAGAGCTACCACGCCGCGTCCTCGTTAGCAACATGGGTTCATAACCGCATCTCGGGTACCACACCCTCTTGCTGCCAACACCCTGATCAGAGTCCAAGAAATGCTCCGAGCCGAGTACCGAGCGAATGAGACGTGAGGACAACCGGTACGCAGCCGAATAGTGCAATGCTTTCCGATATCAAAATCTAGCAAGACCCTCGTTACTCCACGGAGGTACCCCGGGAGGACATAAACGAGCATCGCTTTGGTGTTGAGTCTGTCAGCCTGGCGCGTAGCAAGCTCTCAGCACTCAACAAACGGTAAGCACGCACAGGTGCATTCAGGAGTCGGCGGCTGGTAAAGAGGAAGGATCCTAGAGCGACAAGTGATGGCCAGTCTTATTGGATACAGGTTTACACCTCGATTTGACGTCGTGAACAACACACCATAAGCACTATGGCAAACCCGCAAATGTTTCCGGTCATGGCCTTGAAAGCAGCAATTGCGGTTCGTCTGCAGCACACCCAGTTTCAGGGTCGTTGTTGAAGGCTCACGCTGCAAGATTTTGGAATCAACAGACCAGCGATTTTGTTCCAGCTCGTGGAAGAGACGTCTCGGGAGGCGTGCACTTCCTAAATCACTGCATTGGCGCAGAATTTATTGTGGTCATGGGCTATCAGCGTGAAGAGGCTCCGTTTGGCATTGCTCGCTGCTGCCAAAGATGGGTCACGCTGGTTCGGCCAGTGGAAGGACGGTCATTGGAGCAGCTGTGCACAAGCAGACCAGCCGAACAGATTAGCAACATACGGAGCGATACAGCTTGCAGGAGTGTTGAACCTGAAGGTCGAAGCCTCGATCAAAGTAAAAGCAGTCATGGATGAAGATGTGTTCATTGTCAGCCGTAGGGTGCAGACCAGCATATGAGGGTCAGATTGGACGCACAAAGCAACTGCGTAGGTACAGATACATGTGAATTCCTTTTAGAGAAGCAGGAGGCCAAGCAGAGTTTGTGAACATGTTTTTTTTCACGTGCAGGCGTGTGTTTGTCCCGCACAGTGTGTCGCGTCCCGCGTCGCGTCCTGCGTGGAGAATGCCGCGGAGTGGTCAGCAGCCGAGTACCGATCGTCCCCCAGCGCGTGTGCATCCTCCGCCAGGGTCTCTGATGTTTGCTGCTGTTGCGATCTCGAGCTTTGAGGTCTGAGGTGCAACTGCTGTCAATGTCTGGAATGCAGCCGTCATGATGGGTTCCAGAACAGCAGGGGGGGCCACAGCCAAGGGTCCGGCAGTCGGCACGCACCGCCTGCATCGTGCCTTCCAGGTCTCATGCCTCCACGACGTCCGCGACTTCCTTCAGCTCGGCCATGACAACAAAACATATGCGCTGATGTAGCGCTTCGACTCTTCAACAAGCTTCAAGCCTGTCGCAAAGATTTCGGCAACCGTCGCCGGCGACTGCCGCAATGCCGCTCTTCACCCCCTCGCGCATCGCGGTGATAGTCATCACCTTCTCATTGATCAGCTTCCTCTGGACCTTCGGCCTCCCTCACCAGCTTGCCGAGCCCTCGTTACCAATTATTCAGCACCCCGCCAACGATGCAAAACTTGACGACCCGATTGCACCCGCTCCCGTCATCCACACCTCACACGCGACAGTACCCGAATCCAAACCCACACCGACATTGCACGGAGATGGGCCGAAGCAGGAAGACGACCACCAATGGGACGACAAGACGAGGGAGGCTGGCCACGCCGAGGAGCAGACGTCGCTGTCTGGGCCGAAGGAGACGGGCCCTGCTGGGCACGAGGATGATGGAGGCAGGTGGAACGATCAAGGAAAGTCCAGGGCGAGTGGTCAGACTGCAGGTCCGGTGCTCGCCAGTGCAAGTCCAGAACCTATCATGGCCCTGATATCGAACGCTCCCAACACGACGACCGCAACTGCTACAACCAGCTCCTCAGTCGCGCCGTACCGCCACACCGCTGCCCCAGTCCAGGGCTTCTGCAAGGATGTTCGCAACGCTCAACACGTCATGGTCATTGTCAAGACCTCGAAGGCTGAAATCTACGACAAGCTCTCCGCGCACCTCCTCGGCCTCCTCTCTTGCGTCCCCGTTTTCGCCATCTTCAGCGACCATGCCGGCCAGATCGACGGCATACAGGTGCATGATGCGCTACGCGACATCAGCTCTGAGGCGAAACAGCACAACGACGAGTTCCGCGAGTACAACATCATCAAGGCAGATCCCGAGTACAAACCAGACGCAAAGAAGACAAAGGATCTGGACAAGTGGAAGGTCCTGCCTATGGTGTACCAGGCGTACCAGATGAACCCCCACGCCAAGTTTTACGCATTCATCGAAGCAGACACAGGGTTGAGCTGGACCAACCTGCTACAGTGGGTGGACAGGCTGGACTATCGAATCCCGTACTACAGCGGCGCGCAATCGTTCATCAACCGCGTACAATTTGCCCAGCGCGGTCCCGGCATTCTACTCTCGCAAGGTGCCCTACGACGATACGCCAAGTCATACGAAGAGCGGTGGGCAGAGGAGTGGGAGAAGCGAATCGGCAAGGAATGCTGTGGTGACTACATCCTTGCAACTGCTCTCAACGACGCACATGTCGAACTCTACACATCGTGGCCACTCATGCAGGGCGAACAACCGGCCACGCTCGACTACACCACGAAGCAATGGTGCACACCTGCCGTCTCCTGGCACCACATGGATAAAGACGCGCTAAGCAAGAGCTGGGATTTGCAGAAGAAGTGGACCGACAAGCACGGCTGGGAGAAGCCGTATCTCTACAAGGACGCGTTCGAGGAATACGTGCAGCCACACCTGAAGGCGCAGGTAGAGAATTGGGACAATCTGAGCTCAGACACGAAGATAATTGCGTCGGAAGGCCGCCAGAAACAGACCGAGGGTGAAAAGGGTGATGATGCGCGCACGGCGAAGGAGAAGCTGGAGGAGGCCGCGTCCAAACCACCGCACCGGCGAGACGCCAAAAACGACGATAAGAAAGACGACAAAAAAGAAGACAAGCAATCCGAAGAAGAGCCCAAAGAAATGGTCGACTGGACCGTCATCGGCACCATGGTCAAAGACGGTGCCAACAACCCCGAGTCCTGTGAGAAGGTCTGCACGGAGGTCGAGGATTGTCTCCAGTGGCGCCATACCACGCATGGGGATGGCGAGTGTCATTTGAGTAAGGTCATTAGGTTGGGCCGAGCGACGGAGAAGAAGGATGGTGCTTGGCAGTGGACGAGTGGGTGGATGGTCCCGAGGATCAAAGAGACGGTAAGGGGGTGGGAGTGCAAGGAGGTTAATTGGAAGTTCTACCAGTAGAAACATTGGAGAGGAAGGGGTCAGTTGGCGTTAGGGAGCAGGTTACCGGGAAAGCCAAGGCGTATAGCATAGCCTGAATGGCTGTTTTTTGTTGTTTTGTTGAAATCTGTTGTATGGTATACCTTTCCATGTAGATCCTGAATGCTAAGCATATGAAACTTCAATGACAGTGCTCTACACTCCACATACACTGACGACGCACCTGCCGACTGTTAAGGGCTGAGTTCGACACTCTGGTTGGGGGGCCTATGTTGAAGGGAATGCAATGTGCTATTAATCCTCTGGATGCGCCGCCTTGCCTTGATACAGTTGGCGACTGGACTAATGTTCACACCGTCCTCCCTTTGACGAGCCAATTACTATACGAATCTGAGTGTTGGAGACGAAGACTGACACCCGACAGCACACCCGACGGCACCAGACCCACATGTTGGGAGATCATCAGAAACTTGCCTCTGTCCGTTCAGTCCATCATGATTTGTTTCCGAAGGGACAAACGCATGTCTACACTCTGATTCAGAAAATTTGGTGTGTTGTAGAGCCATAGTGTGGGATGCTCTCTGCAGAGAGCGCCTCCCAAAGCCCTGTAAAGACCTCCAGGAGTTCTCTAATGACATCGAGATCCACGAATTGAGGGAGTCTGACGAGGGTGTCAAAGGGGTGGTGATGGGTATGGATGAACATTTGGACGAAGACTCGGCCTTCTTGCATGTGGAGCTGGGGCACAGTATGTTGACAAGGGGAATGCAAGGCACGAATGTGTAGTGTCTACTGGAGCCACCAGGTCGAGAAGTGGCGCGTACTATTGTGTATCTAGTGTTACGAGCGAGGAGCCTTTGGGTTTTGAGCACGCCCAGTATGTTGTAGCTATCATACACTCCAGGACCACGTTTGACCAGCACTTCTCTTTTACTACATCCCGTTCCCAACATCCAGTTCGATATGACCTGGACTGGGAGGCACGTCGCCCGTCTCCCACGCCTTTTGCTCACTGCCGAGTCTGAACACAATCTCCCCCCCTTCAGTCATGATACCTCCCGCATCTTCATGCTCAAACCAGTTCTTGTCCCACTCTTGTCCGTTGATCGTAGCACCTTGAACATAATACCCCTGCCTCCCGTCGCCATCATCTAACCCCTCAGCCCTAATCCTTAGAGTCTTGTCATGATTAACAGTGATATTGATGTCTGGGAACCACGGGCTTTCGAGAAGATAGACAGGCGTAGTAACGATCGGATACAAGCCCAGCATCTGCCACACCAGCCAGCAATTCAGCGCTCCTGCATCAGAGTTTCCTGGTATCCCGTTGTTGTTGTTGAAGTAGAAGTCATTCGCTAGTTGACGAGAGCGCTCGACGCTCTTCCATTGCTTGTTGAGGTAGTTGTACAGGTATGGCGTCTGGAAGTCCGGCTCATTTGCGACGTTGTTGATGGTAGTGATTCCCAGCCCGTTGACGCCCAGATCGACACCTGATGTGTTTGGCTGGAACACGTAGTCGAGGCGCGACTCGAAGTGTCCGGGTCCGCCCATGAGATCGATTACTCGAGCGACGTCGTGCGGGATGACGAAGGAGTACTCGAACGCAGTGCCCTCGTAGCTTTCGTCGGCCCAGTTACAGTCGCCGCAGTTGGTGATGTTGTAGTTTTTGTCAAATGTGCCATTTGCGAAACGCGGCATGACGAACCCTTTGAAGTTCCGAGCTGTTGCATCTGGGTCCCAACTCAACTGCCACCCGGCTGATCGTTGCAAATACAAGTCGCGATCACCGGGTGCCTCGCCAGCTGCGATTTGGCTTACGGCGAAGTCGTTGAGGGAGTACTCTACGGTTTTCGAGACAGCGCGCGAGTTACGGTCTGCTGATACATAGCCGAGGGGGATCCAGTCGTCAAGGGCTGAACGACCTTCCTTGAGCGAGCCTTGAGGGTCGACCGGGTTCTCGTCGAAGTAAGGTAGCACCTCTGCGTTCTTCTTAACTGCAGCGTACCCCTCGGTCCAGTTAATGTTGCCTCTCAGACCTTTGACGTATGCATCGGCGAGTACATTGTCAGCATTGGAACCGCCTTGCACTAAGCCGTTGTAGTTTCCAGATCGACCGTCTGGCATCCAGCCTTCGCGTCTGAAGATATCGATGAGCGCTCTCAACATCGACTCGTAGTACGATGGCTGGATGAGATGCCATAATGACACCTGATTGCGAAACAGGTCCCACATGGTGTAAAAGTCGTCCCAATACGGTTCCTCACTCTCCCATAGAGGGTTCTCGCCTATTCGCTCGCTCGGTATGAGATGCATGAAGTACAGGCTCGAGTACAACAGCGCCAACCTCGTCTTGTTCGCCGACTCGGATATGTCAACCTGGATCTTGGAGAAGACGTCTCGATTCCACTCATCACGTGCTGCCTGCATCGTGTCGTTGATGGACCATGTCGACAACTGGGCGTCTTTGTAAGCGCAGGCTTTATCCACAGACATGAATGAGATGCCAACTCTTGATTTTACTTCTATAACATTGGTCCACGAGAAGACAGCACCAACACGATCGTTTAATGGTCCAGAGCGAGCATTATTTCCGGTAAACGTTGGTGATGGAGTAGTAGCGTTGTTGAAGCTTCGGAAGTGGCGACTGACAGGGAAAGTGTTCTTGCCCTTGAAAGCTCTGGCTTCGTTGGGTGGCGTGTCAAACTCTCCACAGACGTACACAGTCACCGGAGCACCAATGCACCAACCTCCCGCAATCGAGGTATATCCAGTATATGTGCTTGAATTTGGTCGTATCTCAATCTCACCGCCAGTGTAGAACTGCGAGTCCCAGGAGCGTGTGGGGTGGGGTAAGTAATGGGAGAAGTCTACAAGCACGTGCTTCTCGGATGTTGTTGGATACGTGTAGTGATACAGTCCGGCATGACGCGTTGCTGATAGCTCGACTGTCACACCAGATTCGTACTTCGTGCGGAAGTAGCCCACGCTCGCAACATCCTCGCCTTTCTATCTAAGAGTCAGCCTTAAGACTGTACTTGCTGTGAAGCATCCGCTACTCGCCCTTTTCTGCCAATACGTCCTGTTGTCGAGCAGGTTCACCTCGCCGTCAATTGATGTTAAAGGCATTTGAGCTGGGAAGCCATATTTGGGGCCACCTCCGGTACCAGATTCATGCATCAGACTGATGCCAGTCACATAACCTTGCGGAGTCCATCCACCATTCAGCGCACTCTGGTTGATGGGTTCCTCATAGGTATCCAGACCGAGCTTGACCATGCCAAATGGTACTGTTACTCCGACGAAGACATCTCCTCCGCCATCTATAGCAGTTAGCAATGATATCATGAATCAAGGGAAGACATACAAGCGTAGCCTGGAATGGCACCCTCAGATCCAATGAAGGGATTTACGAATTGCGCGTAGTCTACATCTTGAGCGGCTGCAAAGCCTAGGCTTGTCAGTATTGAAAGGCGGGTCAGCGTGCGCATGATGAGATCAATTTGAGACGTTTGAATGCCTCGCCCTGTCGTGCTACAATGACTACGGCGGCGCATCAACCCTTTATCAGAGTAATTTGCGCGATGCTGGAAGCCTCACCCCGCATCTACAGCACATCTACAGTTGAACAAGGTGTGATGTTACATTGTCACAGTACGATAAGCGTTAAAGGAGGACGGTGACGTCATATGACGCCGCTAAGATGCGGAGAAATGAGCGTCGAGGCGGGGGTTCGAAGTGCGAACTTCAACACCGAAACACCTTTCCATGCATCCTCCTCTGGAGATGAGGAGATCCTCGCGTCTTAACGTGCATCACGCAGACTTCGATTCTCGGTCTTTCTCCCCGACAGGCGACGTACCTCCATCACCTGAACGTTTCTCTATGAAAAGTCGGTGAGATGTGCAAATCGGACTAGCTCTTTTCCCGATCCTTCAGTTGATCTGCCTGATGCCCCGCGGATTTGGCTGCCGCCCTTGCGCCCTTTCGAGAGCACTTTTGGCGCTCTAGGATTTTGATCTTTGATTGAGGACATACCTCATCGTAATTTATGGCCATGTATGCGGCCTGTTCAACAGCACACTGAGGTCCGCTCATGGTGGCTCTCTCGATCTGAACAGAAGAAATCTCGATATACACCATCAACATGACTTCGACTTCAGAAGTGCTCGACCTCACGAGACTCGATCAGGCGGTACTTCGCGTGTATGTTCGTCATCTGCTCATCTTTCCGTTTCCCGAACCTACATTTAGAAACGGTGCGCAAGCAGCTTTGACTGCCGGCTTGCTTGCAGTACTCAGGCAATTTCCGTTCCTCGCCGGCACAGTCGAACAAACAGATCCTCTCACCGGAGCTATGGCCGTAAGATACCCAAACAGTGTCGACTCGGGGCTCGTGTCGCAGCTACTCACAGTCAACGAATTGGATGACGATAACCTCCAATACGACACATTGTGTAAAGGCGGCGTACCACCATCTAGGCTTCCAGCTGATGTACTTTGCCCGTTCGCTCTAAGATCGCATCCTGGGATAGACGACCCATATGCCGAAGTCCTCACCACTTTCGCAAAGGGAAAGCCTATACCTGTCTTCGCTGCACAGATCAACTTCATCCTTGGAGGCTTAATCTTGAGTGCCTACACACATCATAGCGTCGTAGATGGTACTGGCATTGCGAAAATATATCAAACATGGAGCGGACATACCCGAACTTCCAGCGACGGGATGAACATACCAGAACAGGCCAAGACCACTGGTTTGAACAACACACGGCATGCGCTTGATTCTCTGATAGTGGACGCTCCAACTATGAAATTACCTGAGTTCCGGTACCCCGGCGATTCAGTCAATCCGCCGTTGCGCGACGGTCCGTACAGGCTCAGCGCCAAACTTCTCGTCTTTCCGGCGCTGGCCATTTCACGGTTAGCTACTTCGCTCTCGTTGATCACTAAGGAGCGCATCTCGACCTTCACAGCGCTAGCAGCCCTCGTATGGTGTCAGATCACAAACGCTCGTAGAGCAGCTATGAACGAGAAGGGCATCCAGAAAACGACACTCGGCATCGCAATCGACCATCGTAAACGTGTTGGCTCTCTACTTTCAGACGATTACATTGGCAACTGCGCAAACGGAATGGCAGTCTCCGTTGCACTTGCTTCTGTTCCCACTTCCGAGAACATGGATGCTGATCACATCGCACCCGTTGCCCTCGCCCTCTTCAACGGGCTAGGCGAGGTCGATCTCGACTGGTTCAGAGCACGTCTGCTAGAGATATCGAAGCAGACGAACTATTCAAAGCTGATGTTGAACTTAGACACCGGTAATGGACCAGATATCTTCATCACAAGCTGGATGCACATCGGTGCAGACGACTTGTGGGCCATCCCAGGCACAGCGAAGACTGAAGGTGGGAAGAGATGGTTGTGCAAGCCCACTGCCATCCGGAAACCACATAATTTATGGGAGGGTGGCATGCAGATCCTACCGAGACGAAAGGGGCACGCGGCACCATTCGAGATCCCGCTATGCTTGGAGGGGGGAGAGATGGAGAGGACGTTGCATGGGTTGCGGGAGGGAAACTGGGTAGAGAGGGTAATCGATGCCTAGTCTACAGTTCCGTTCTGTATGTTTCTATATATGGCTGGTGGTGCTCAAAGGGTCAAAAGCAACAACAGCATGACAGCAGTAATGAACAATGCAGCCCATAGCATCTTGTCTTCAAGCGGCATTCGTTGCGGAAACCCAAGCCCTCCTATACCGTTGTTATCTTCTCCAGCATCTAGTATTAGCATACACATGCGCTCTTCGTCTTGCTCACATCCAGGGGCAAGTCCGCAACTCGACATGGCGATGTCTTGGTTGCGCACACTACGCACCGACCAGTCAGAGAGCGCATCAAGGATGTAGCTAAAAGTCTTGCAAAACGGGGTCGGCTGGATCCATGTTTTTGGATTGGATATGCGTGTTATAGATGGGGAAGACTTATTATAGTGTAAGAGTACATTGCAGGGTGTGGTGACGTAGGATTTGGGGGTTGAGATCGAAGTTGATGGTCAGACAGGCGGTCGAAAACAGGCGGGCTATTCTGGTACGGGTATGTACAGTGGTACAAGCAAGCAGCTTGAGTCCAATGAAAAATGAGTTGTAACTCTCTGAACCTACCCGCCCGGTGCAGTCACCCCAACACTGAACGCTCTTATGCATAGTATCCGCGCCTAAAGCCCTTCACCAACGCCACAACTCGTCTCACGAAAAAGCAAACACCTCCAGTACTGACTCCAGCACCTGACACATACAATTTATCACGACTCGAATGACATAAATGGCCCACGCCGACGACTGCTCGATACCATCCGTCTCGAACACTGTTAGAGTGACGAGTATAATGACTGCTGCAATAACGAGTACACCCAGCGTTAAGCAAGCTCGCGAACGAGGCCGGCTGACCACCAACCTCGATGGGCTTAGCATTGAACCATTCTGAAGAATTGGTGTGGGAACATTGCTGTATGAGGTTATTGGTGTTGCAGGCAGAGCGACGCACGATTGTTGCTTGTGAACGTGTGATTGGCCCCACCCTTCACCTTCACTGCTTCTTTCATTGTAATCTAGACCTGAACGTCAGATTTGTGCGAGCCATGACACTTGTTTAATTACGCAACTCGGCGCGGAGGATGTCAACAGTCGCATCGCCAGCTCATTTGCAGTTTCACGTACTGGTACGCGCACTGAATGCGAGCCCGAAGCCAGCATGACCATTGGAGTGGAGGGCTGCGGCATGAAGTCGTAGTGGCCGCGCGCATCATTCTCGTAGTTGCTGAGAATATTGGTAGGAGTGTGGATAGTAAGTCCGACGTCGTAGATCTTTGAGGTATGGAAAAGCAAAGTGGTGCAACCTGACTATGCAGTGACGCACGGGGGAGGTGAAGTGAGGAAGGGTAATTTTTGGAAGTGCTACATATTGCTGATAGACATGTCCATGTTACCCCGTTACCCTGAGTTGAAGATGAGTATTTAATAGAAGTGTGGTCTTCGCACCAGCCCTTGCGCACTGTTTGCGGTTTTTCGGTTCCCAATTACTCCACAGGCTGGAAGACAAGACTCACCTTAGTGATCATGTCGCGTATGACATTTGAGGCAACGTATACGCGAAATATGCCGTACTGGTCGAGGATGTCGCAACACGGATTTTGCATGGCGATAGCGACAAGGACGATGGGCGCAAGCAGAAGGTCCGAACCGGTCGAGAGCTTCCAGTTGCAAAGACTACAGATGACCGCGTAAGCGAGAAGGGCAACGCTAATGCGCCAAACGGTGAGAAGGAAGGTCTTGGGACCAGTAAAAGCCGAGAAGAACAGCAAAAGAAGGTACAGTGCGATGATGCCGATTTGAAAGTTGATAGCGAGGCGACCGTTGGTAATGGTGAAGGGGCCCATGGTCTTGTGACCAAAGAGGATGTCGGCCCCGCGGGGAATGGTCTTGAACGGTGAAGATCGAGAGACATTACCAAGGTTGTCGACCTCGAACTTGACGGTGAAATTAATGGGCGAGCGGACTGGACATCCACAACGATGCTTGGAGAAGGCCTGGGCAATCTTGCTCTCGACATACTCGCGTATGCCGGCACTCAGCGAATCTTGGTCATCGAAGATGTTCAACGCGAACGACTTCTGGTGGCTACGAGTATCGTGCTTGGCAAAAGTGTCATCTGAAATTGTCAGTCTGGAGGTCCTCAAGGTCCTACACGATTGTAACGACCATACCTTGAACGGGTGTGGAGGAAGTCAGAGAACCAATGCTCCCGACCTCTTCCTTCACGTCAGTCTCATCGTTGGCGCTAGGCTTCTTCATCATGCCTTCTTCGGCGGCCTGCACACCGCTGAACCCAGCAACGACAGCCCCGGCCCTACTGGGCACACTGCCCTTGGCACCAGTTGATGGCTTTAACTCACCACCATCCATATCAGAAGCCTCCTTAGCGACAGCGTGGAGCGACTCACGGTCACTCGGCAGGACACCGACTGGCTCGATAGCGGCAGGTGGAGACTTCGTGAGAGTCTTTGGTGATGTGGAGCTGTCGCTGCGACGCGGCTTGAAGATGTCGCGAAGACGACCAGAGGTGCGCGCCGGCTTGGGCACCGATACGGAGGCAATCGCACGGTAGTACTCTTCACTGAGACGAGCCATAGTGGAGATTGGAGAAATTGAATAGAGACAATTGTGTGTGTGTGTGTGTGAAGGTGTTGTGTGCTTATACGCGGGCGAAAACGGTTTTATATAGACAGGACTGCCATCATACAAGTCGTCCTATGACTTACTTTTGTGTGCTCTTCGTAAGTGAAGATAACTCCCTAGCAAACACCTTACCGCACGCTCACAACAGGTGACTATCTCAGCAGAAGTGACTTGGATAGCAAGCTCAAGAGAAATTCACAACGAGTTGGAGACATGGAGAGAGGCTGCGTGAGCATATCGGTGTACTGCAGGTCGTACCTTGCTCAGATTCATGCCCATGGCGCATGCTTGCAGCGTCCAGTGAATAAGAAGAACACGTGACATAAAGATTATCATACTTAGAAATGCACTTGATAAACAAAAAAAAAAGTGGCGAACTTCTCACATATTCAAGTTGGGCAAAAGAGTGTGCAGCGTGCATACAGGGGGGAGAGTTGTTGCTTATAGAGAACGTCACATGTTCTCGCTTGGCGCGAACGCGCTTTCTTCGAAGGTCTTGTGTCTACACTGCTTTCGAACCCATCTACTAAGTTTCCGTTATATTTTGTTACGCGTCATTCATCCCAAAGTCATCTATGCTACAGTTTCGAATGCTCTTATCGGCTCGCTGAAGATAGTTCAAGCGCAATGAAAGAGAACTATTCCCGCTATGACGTACGAACTGAGAATGCTTGTACAAAAGGAGAAAGTATACACAACAACCTTGCGAAAGCCTAGCTTACACAGCCATGACCGAACCTGTCGATGAATCGACGATATCCTCCCTGTACAGGCCGTTCAACATTTCGCCGAAGTAATATTCCAACAGCTTCGACACGTCCACCAAGCAACAGATGGAAACTGACGCACGTCGAAATTGCCAATACCGTCGACATAAGCAGATCCGTGACAACGCAGCTCACTTGAACCGGCTCAGCAGTGGCTATCGACCGAACCATAGAGCGCAATAATGCACACAATATCCAGGCGCTGATGATCATAACGATTGCTAGTGGCGTTAGACCTCTGCACAGAATGTCTTCGACTGGGATGAAGGGGTGAGATGATTCTGCAGCGTTGCGCTGAGCTTTGGTCTTTGCTGGCACCACCGGAGATTGTTCAAAGGTCGTGTTCGGAATAGTGATCGTGAGCTTCGATACGGGCCTCGCGAGTTGCATATCGACCACCACAATCGTAGCTGCGAGCGACAAGCCATGATCAACTGGTACAAGGGGCTGGACGGGGATCGTTTCTGGCTTTTCATGGGCTGTTTGAGTTCCTGGCTGGATTGGCGTGTAGAAAAAGATCTCGAAAGGACCAGCAAAAACGAGTGCTGCTGGTGACTGCACCGGCATGTCCGAGCGCGCAATATTGCACGAGGAAGATCGATCGAAGTGGCTAGACTGAGCTGTGTCACACGAAGATTCCAACCAAGCCATGCTAAAGTCTGAATCTTGCTCATCGACGTTGGTGTGATTCATAGCATCTGGGACTGCCGCGCTCACACTACGTCTGAAGTTCTCTTCTTCGATCTCCTTCATCTCCTGATTAGCACTCCTGCGACCCTCAGCGCGCGCTAAAATATTGATAGCAGGCTCTAGCCAGCTCGAGGGCTCTACGAGGCTGAATCCGGAGCTGATGCTGGTACACACAGATGAAGACGGCCGTCGGAGGACAGAAATATCTATGGGTGGAATATTGATAGGGCCGTGCACCGCCAATGTTATGGTGCTCGAAAGGACTGTAGTTGGTTTGCCACGAGACCCATGATCTGGAGATGAGTCGTTTGCCGAGGAGTCTGACCTAAGGTTTGCTTGAGCAGCAGTCCTTTTACCACTAACGGGCGATGAATTAGTCCGCTGGTCCTGATAGTGTCGAAAAGGGCTGGATGGAAGCTGCCGTGAAGGCGTCCCGGGCAGTGGAGTGCCCGCTTCTGCCCACTCGTCCAGCGGCATAGTCGATGAACGCTTGTGGCGGAGGAAGGGGTGCAAACTTGGTGTACTGGATATGCCGGGATGTCCGAGGCCGTAAGAGCTCCGCAAGGATGATACGCTACTGTACTTCTTGTGGATCAGAGGGCTGGAGCTCGACCCATGTGCGGGAGTTGAGAAACTAGCACCCTGACGTTCGACCACTCGCTTTAGACCTCGTAATGTGAGCAAAGGACTAGAGTCAAGCTGCGGAATGGGAGTAGATCGATGGAGGGGTCGAGCGGCCGGACTCATAGCAGTGCGTTGATGTTGGAAAAACGTCGGCGGCGAAGAAGGAACCTGCGTTGTATACCGGTCCAAGATTTCGTCGATGTCCGAATCTTCCCTCTCTGAACGTGTCGATGTCACCGGGGGACTGGACGGAAGCTGAAGCAGTTCTCGACTGGAAGGTTCACTGCCATTTGACCGCTTGACACGTGGGAGTGTGTATCGATTCTGCAATCTTGGTATCCGAGTTCCGAATAACCTGCTGTTGGCCGAAGGCAGAGATAAAGCCCTGCTCGGTTCTCGATTATCGGTATCGTTGTTTGCTGACGTGAGAGCATGAACGCCTTCCCACTGCGCTTCGAAAGAAGGACTGGAGGGCAAAGGCGGGCCGATATTGTTGTGTTGAACTGTGCGCTTCGATGCAGGATGTATTTTTGTGTCGTTGCGCGATGCAGACATTTTGTTTGTTTGTGTGCTGTACTTGGTAATTGAGGATTTGGATGTTGTTGACGATGCGTTGCACGAAACGGCTCCTTGCATATGCATGGACGGTACCCCACCCTACACTTTCAGTCTCAGCCCATTCATCTTGACGGAAACACTCACCAAAATCCAAAGGTTGGGTAAAAAAGAGACGAGACATGTCAACAGAAAGGCCAAGGGGGCATACTTTCACCATGCGCGGCATGCGATGCCTGACTGGTGCGAATACCTTCAATCTGATTAAACACAGGATCTCTGTACACTGAACGAAGAACCAACCAGTTGAGAGATCGATTGAATCGTGGTCAAAGTTGTTTCAATCCTACACCTTCCTCAGCAAACATTGGCATCAAAGCAAACAAATCCTATCAACAGAGAAGCTTGTCTCGGTATCCGCGACACTCCCTGTTCACGCGATTTCCCAGCTTGCTCCATCCGCACAATGTCACACCTTTCACGAAATTTAAGCAAAATTTCGTCTTCTAACGCCAACGAGGGCTGTCGAAATGAACGCATCCGGCATCTTAACTCTACGCTGCAGTGACGCCACCACTCATGTAAGTGGATACGAAACTGATAGCTTCATACTCTCCGCGTTATATAACCGCATCACGCACCGCACACCCTCATCACCTTTCATCTACTCACAAAATCCATTCTATCACTCCACCACGACAACTCCTTCATCCATCAATATTTCCACAAAGAATACCGATAATGCTGACAATCAAATCCACCCTCCTCCTCAACAAAACCTTCGTCAAGCTCGCCATGGCCTTCGTCGCCAACGCGCACATCATTTTGAAGACTATCTACAACATCGGTGCCCACCAACTCAGCAAGTATTATGATTCGCATGTGTTCTGGGACCCCCCCCCCCCCATAAGTTTGGTTATATTGTTTTAGTGAACCAGAATGCAGAGAAGCGCCACCTTCCTCTGAACATTATGCAAGACACCCTGGCCGCATTCAACGATGGCTAGGGTAATAAGACTATTGCAAGACGTCATTTTGTCAACAGGAAGACTGTACAACGCATAAGGCTTCACTTGAAAATGAGCCTTTAGCAGTGTTCCTTGCCATGGCAAGCTCGAACACCCTATGTGCCTGAGGTATCAAGGCACAGCCTCAGTTTAAGCATAGCCTGTGACATACTCCTACACTGACACCTTGCTCATACTTAAAACGTTGACCAAGAAGCATTCCCAAGTTGTCACCACATACGTACATTCACTGCGGCACACGCATCACGTATCACAGGTCAATGAGAGCACCCAGAAAGAGCAGGGATGACATCATCTGCTCTCTATTGTATGAGAGAGAGGGGGGAGGGACCTTGTAAAAATCCACATGGTGCATTGCGCACGAAGGTTTCTGTTGAGTCTGTCAAGATAATGCAACCTTTCTGCATCGCTGCACGCACGAAAATGAGTGTTCGCTGATAGTAGTCTTTGAAAGTAGTAAAGAAATTGTCGATGCAGCCAGGTAGATGTGCGGTGATGACAGGGTAGTATTGGTGCTTTGCATATGCTGTAGGCCCAGCACGTGGGTTGTTGGTGGTGTTGAGACGGTAGGGAAGTGGATGGTGTGTGGAGCACGAGAAGCGGTGATAGAAGAGCAGTGGGGTGCGGAGGAGGTTGCTGCGTCCTGTGCTAAGGTTGGATAATGCGCTTAAGCGTGGGGCGTGGTGTTGGGGGACGCAGTCTCTTGGTCGGAAGAAATCAGGTGTTTGGGATAGCGGATGCACGTATGGTGTACAGGGACAGGACGAGATTGCGTTGCTTCAATGTTGACATCAACAACACTTGGACTCACGGTAGCAGGACCACAAAGAAATGCGAACCGTTCGGAGAGCTTGCGCGCTATGAGGAGAGAAGTAATTGATTACTCAGCTGAACTTCGCGAGGGTAGAGACAGGTATATCGCCCAAACAGTAGCCAATGGACGCCGTGCTTGCTCAACATCTAAAACAAATCATGTATCCAAACGAATGCTTTGGTGAACGGCGAAGAACCCCGCTGCACAATATGCGAACACTTAGGAAAGCGTACCCTGGCGACTCAGCTCATTACCGGCAGGCGCAGTCCCAACATGACTGACTAACTCAGCCTCGGCTGCCCTCTTCTCTTCACCCCTCAAGGCCTCGTCCATGTTGTTTCTGGTGCGCATTGGTGAAGTCGCATCAGCAGCGCTATCGTCAACATCAAGCTCCTTCTGTCTGCGACGGATGGTGCTGACGCTCGCTACGCTCTCAGCATCACCATCCTTCTTCTTCTCCATCTCACCGTGTTGCACCTCGATGGAAACGTCGGCATCCTTGGAGAAGACACGAAGACCGATGACGCACACAGCGTTCCATGGATCACGTTCGAACTCATCTTCGTCCTCAATAGTGTAGTATGCTCGTCCGTTCTGGTAATAGTAGCGGACCTGGTCGTGAGAGATCAACTTAGCTGAGTCGAGCTCATCCTCGGAAGGGTCAGAGTCTAACGAATCGGCAAGATCGAAGTCCCAAGATGAGTCGTCAGACAACTCGTTGGGAGAGTATGTGCCGTGTCGCGCCCTCAGCGAGCTGACACTGGTTCCACGGCCTTGTGTGATGTGTATGGCGGGTCTCACACCAGGGATAGGCGATAGGGTAGCGCGGCGCGAAGGTACTGGAGAGATCCTGGACCTGCGTTCCGGTTGAGGGCTATAAGGAAGCTCAGATGGGGTACCAGGGCGGAACTCTTCGGCCTGGGGAGTAGGCTGAGGCGTCGGCACCGGTGAGTCTGTGGTCTGGCCCTCATTGTATCCACCCCTTCCGTTGTATCCGTCACGGCCATTGTACCCATCACGGCCATTGTACCCATCACGACCCTGATAGGAGCCGGGTAGCTCAGCATTGTAGCCACCCCAGCTCTGGAACTCTCCAGGCACGTTCTGATTGTATCCTCCACGGCCTTGGAAACCGTGGTTGGCAGCTTGATAGCCACCACGGCCCTGGAGAGCAAGTGCTTCCGCCATGGCCGAGCCGTGCTGTTCGTTACGGTTGTAGCCGCCTCGGCCCTGAAGCGCTCCGGGAAGGGCTGCGTTATAGCCGTCACGACCACGATTGTACCCACCACGACCCTGGAAACCGCCGCTGGGGCTTGATGAGCGTTCGCCGACGACACTGGCGCTTGCGGCACGCTGATGCCTCGTGACAACAGGATTGCTGGGCTTCGTCTCTTCCTCGCTGGCTATGCGGTTCTCTTCTTCAGTAATGCCGAGGCCAGTAAGGTCCTGCAATCTCTTTTCGACTTCTCTCATCTCGCCGGGAGGGTTCATCTTGCGTGTTTCCTTAGCGGCTTTCTTCTGCTCACGGAGCTTTTGTTTCCTGCGCAGCTTCCTCTCTCGTTCGTGTGCACGCTTGGCTTCGGCCTTCTTGCTCTCATTCTTGTGTTCCCGCCGTTGTCTTGCCTTCTCCTTCTCGTGCTCCCTGAACTGACCTTTGGCATGAGCCAGGTCATAAGACAAACCCGTAGCCAAGAGCTTCTCACGTCGTTTAGTACAAGTTGCTCTGATGACTTCGTCTGGAGTCTGGCCTGTGGATCTCGTAGCTTTGATCTTGAGAAGCACCGTGTAGTTGCCAGCCTCAAGATCCAGCTCGGTGGACACCGACCGCTTCATGTAGTAGGTGCCGTTGCTGCGCACGATGTACTCATCTTCGTCATCTTTGTGAAGGCGGAATTGCAGGTGGAATTCGTACTGTCCCTCTAAACCTTGGTAGTAGCGGTCATCAAGTTGACTGAGCACTATCACAACCGGACTGGGTTTGTCAAGGTGAACTTTGAACTTGGTCTCGAGGTAGTCGACACTCCAAGGGACATTGACGCTTGTCCACTGCTGAGAAACGGTCCATTCTGGTCCAAAGAGACGAGTCCGATCGAAATGTTGGTAGTTTCGAAGCAAATCACGGTAAGAGATCCAGAACACTCCGTCATCGCCGAACTTATGGTTGAGCTTCTGCATCCACTCAGGTGTCCACTCTTCCGACCCATCACTCCAGCGGCCAGTCCATTCGGTCCGACCCCAAGGGTTGCGTAATTTGAGCAAGCGCTGGCCATCGATCTCTCGAGCTTCCATGATGGAGTATGCATGTTTCTCTTGTATGCCCTTGCGCTCTCCGTATATGCCACCCATCTGACCACAGCCGAAGAGAAACGTCTTGTTGACGTTCATGAGCTCGTCGCGCCAGAACTTGTCTTTATCCAGAATGTCGGTAGCGAAAACCTCTGAGGTGACACCGCCCGTCAGATCTTCGATACCTTCGCCTACAAAGCCGCCGTCGATAGCGGAATAGTCACCGTGGGCTTTCGCAAAAGCTTTCTCGAGAAGCGGTAGCCAAGTCTCGTTCGAGTCGCTGCATTGCGCAAAGTAAAGAGCTCTCGAACCAGTCTGCATGACCGTTCGGTATTCTTCTTCCGGGCTTTTGCGGTTCTGCAGCTCCAACCAATGGTAGCGCTCGATCTTAGCCTCATCGAAGTCCTCCTTGATCAGGTATAGCTTGTCATCGATAACCTCCGAGATCCATTCGCCATCTGTGCCGTATCAGTGCATGTTCTGCAAAAGTATAGGTCAGAGTAACTACCTCGATGGAAGACAAATCCATATACTCCGACCTGCTCATCGCGTGCAATGCATACTCTTTGTATCAGTTCCTCCTTGTTACTGATTGTCGCCAGCGCCGACATGAACCAGCAATCGCCGTCATTGCCTTGCCGCACATCGTTCGCGGTCGCGCCTTCTATGAAGAATTGAGGGTTTTCGAAGATGTCCTATTGTCTATGTCAGCTCGGTGTCCATATCGTCCAGAGCTGAGATCTCGGTCCTACCTCAACTCTTTTGACCGACATGGGCTGAAAATCGGATTGCTCCTTGTCCAAACTCGTCAAGCAATCAGGTGGTATGTCTGGAAATGCTTGCGACCTCTTGAAGTCGGCTTCGATGTCGAAGTGGGGGTCGCGGTACTTCTGGTTCAGTCGCCTGCACTCCTTGACAATCTTGGCTACTTTGGTCTTGCAAGACTGAACAGCTTCCTCGTACGATGCAAGCGCATTCTTGCCAGGTGTCGATCCCTTCGGTGCATGAACAGCGGCGCGTTTTGCGTACAGGTTATCTGGCAATATCGTGAAGATCTTTCCCGGATATTTTGTTGTGAACTTGCTCCAGAACTCGTCAATGCTTTTCTGGGGCGCTTGCTTCTTTACGGGCAGCCTCGGGCGCGGCACCGCTGCAGCAGCACAAGCTTCCCCGTTCATGCTTGGAGCTCTCGATTGAGGTCTGGTGATGTTGATGAAGTCGTTAGGGGACACTTGAGATGCCATGGTCACTCCCGAACCGTAGCTGAGGAACTCAGGGGCCTCGGCTGCTGTAGATGGCGTTTGGGATCCATTGTGGGCTTGAAGAATATTAATAAATATCCTTTGAAGGATGACGGGTCTTTCAGCCCCCAGCCGTGACCTCACATGGAGAGGTATTTCGAGCGCAGTAAGAAAACAAATGGGGCCGTCAGACACGCTCGGCACAGCCGCTGGACCCCCGCTTTTGCGAGTCACGAATCAGATCTCCGCGGAGCGCCCGAACGCTTCGGAGAGTTGCTGCGCAAGGTAAGAAAAGGCGGCCAGGCAAAAGGACTCCAGCTCGGTGCAGCTGCAGTGACCTGCAGCATCAACTGTCGAGTCACTCTGTAAACGAATGAAACGAGAGCTCCGCGCTGTGATGCTCTTGTCGTTCGTCTTGAGCGGGATGATTAATCCACGCACCCTGCTAGATTATTTTGGGGGCGTTGCGCTAGCTGGTTTGGGTGGACTACCGCTGCCAGGCTGACCGACTTCTCGTCCAGCTGTGCTGCCATTTCATAGCGATGCGTCTGCCGTTCTGGAGGTGAGAGTGTTGAACGTGTCAATATCGCTGTGCATCCTGTGACATGACGCTGCCGCGCCCACAAGCGTACCGGGGTCACGATTGAACGGTGCTGAGACTGACGTTTGCTAGCTGTTGATACGTGAGGAGAGTCCTGATCAATGTACTAGCCGGTTGAAGATTCGACCTCAATCGAGGAAGCTACCTGTGTAATTCCAACAAGCCTGAAGTTATCATCGTCTTGCGCTTCTGGGCCTACTGTCATCAACGGTTAAGCATCGGGCTTTCTATCGTCTTCCATAATGAGAGAGCGATGCGAACGCATGCAGGTCGTCTGAAGAGCCTCCTACATGCTGCATGATGTCCTTATCGATAGGCAGGGGCGGCTTCGCTTACCAACCACAAGCACGAACGTTTCCAGCATCAGCAGCCATCTCCCCAGGGATCGGAAATGTCTCAGTCAATCCGGATTGCTGGATTCAGGGCTGCATCTCGAGAATGTTGGCCAGGGCTGTGCCTGCATTGACCACCAACGGCTGCGGTTCGTCCACCATTGACGTCCATGTCGAGTCAAGTAGCGGTAACGGCTTCAGCATGTTTAGTCCGCTGCTGTCATCGTCTAGGAAGCTGAACAGAAGCACGGCCGTACTATCTGGACCTAGTCACCATGATAGAACTCAGCCCTATGAGTCGCTTGTGCATGATCCTTTGGCTAAAATCTCACCGCACTTCTGCTGGTTTTGACCAATGAGGAGCCAATGTTGCACTGGCTTCCAGAAGGATCATGGAACTGTCGAAGAGTCGAGCCATGATTGGACGCAACATCATTGTGCAATTGACGTTGCAACGCGTGTGTACGCCAAGGTTCGCTGACGCCGTCTGGGGGAGAAGCGGTAAGCACGGCTTGGAGGGAATCGGCAGACGGTAGTGAACACAGCGGTGCCGGGTAGACCGGGTAACCCGTCGAAATATTGGTGCTACTGAATGACGGCGCAAGGCTGTTGTGCAAGGCTGTGTGAGACATTGTGGGTGAGATCCGATGTGAACGGCATTAGACAATGGAAGGGGAGTGATATTATTCCAGCCTAGCGCGACTTCCTCTCATGAAAGATCCGCTACGTCACAGAAACAACGAACCATGAAGCACGAATTACTCACCTTACGCAGAGCAACATAGCGATACATTTATTCTTTACACCGTTGAATTGCGCTGTAACGAGGAAATGATTTTCAAGTCATCCAAATCCGAAGCTACGAAAAAAAACGAGTGATCTCACAGCGTCAGGCCATTTCGACCTTTTCCTCACAACAGCTTGATCATCTGAAGCTATCCAACAACATGAGATTCTGATTCATCGTATCGAATCATAGACCACTCTTGCAGCCTAGACACAGGCTTCCTGCCTAGTAAGTACTTTCCTTCATCGTCCCTTCACGTTGTTTATTGACCCGTTGGCCACCTGAGATCCCATTGTTTTGGTGTGCTGGGCGCGTGTTTGCCGTCACAACTGACGACAGCAGAGTGCGCGACTTTGTCTCACTTTGCGTGGATTGAATCGTGTCGCTCATTGCGACGTCTGCCATGCTCGATGATGCTTGCCTCGGCCGCTGGCCCATAGGTTTTCCGGAACCCAGTATCGATCACACGCCTCACGGCGCCGGGATGGATATGCATCGTTTTGCCTGTGGAGAAGATGCAAATCTCGAGCTGCTACACAAGGGGGTCGAGGAGCCAACTGTCGATTCCGTGGACGCCCACGAGTGGTAGTTCGCTGCGGATCTGGCCAATCAGCTCGTGCTGCTGGGAGACGCTGAGGCTGAATGCACTGTACTCCTCGAAAGTCAGGTCGGTAAGATCGGTAGTATCTGGGGCGCTCGGCGCAAATGGCGAGGCTGGTGGAAAACAAGTAGGACTAATGGGTGCGGTCCTTGCAGTGCTTCTGCTGTCATTGTGTTGGCGCAGCTCAATTGAGAGCCTCTGCTTCTTTATTCTAACCACGCTGATGCAATAGCTAGGGATACGGGAGATGTGATTTGCAACTAACTGACTCAAGATGAAGGAGTTTGGGCGTTGCAGCTCGCGGAATCGAGCATCCACTGTGGCCACTTGGAACGTGTCGAAGACATCCTCGTTCGCGCCTACCTGTTTTGGACAGGGCGTAACAAGGCTCCTTTGAGCCAGTACGCCTGGTGGCTCATGACATGGGAGTGTCATGTAACTGTGACTCTTCGGTATCGACACAGGCAGTGTTGTCTAAGAGGGCTTCAACAAGATTACCGGTTGCAAAGCTCTCTTCGTCCCGCTGAGGCTTGATACCAGGCATGAGTTCTGGTGTGCTGGGAGGAGCTCGCGTGGCAGCTGCAAAAGTTGAGTCCAAGAAGCCAAGCCCAGTACCAGAGTCGATTTCCATGTTCTCACTGGTTTCGGCGGCGTTCTGGTTGTGATCCCACGTCGCGACCACACGTTCGTTCCTGGCGCCTTCTGCATCAGTGACCCCGCCTTTGTCGCTTCTGTTGCGATCTACACTTTGAAGTAGTGTAGATAAGAGTACCTTCTCTTCCTCCTCAACGTCAGTCACAGTGGATCTCTTCGATAGACTCTCCCTTTGGCGGTAGGTAAGATATCGCGCGTCTAGAACACTTCGTCGATGCGACCCATCGGTTTGCGCACGAACACGGCCGCCAGGCTTGCGTATACGGTGGCGAGGCAAGCTTCGGTGAGCCTGCTGCAGTCCGAGTTGGAAATTTCTTGCGTTGTTTTGATTAACTCTCATTAGGTCAAGAATGATGTCTTCGGAAAGCTGTGGGTAGAATGCTTTGATCTGCTGATACGTGGGAGAGGTGCCGATGAAGCTTGACTCGGGGCTGTTTGCAGCCCTGCCAATGGGGGTGTAGTGATAATCTGATGTGCTTTGGTCGGACATGATGGGAGTGTTGATTGGGGCTGTGTTAGGTGTGTTTGCGAGATGTTTCTGAACGCGTGTGGATATGGTGCACCCGGGGATTTTCTTACATTGCAACAGATTTATATGAATCCTGAAAACTGATTCCCATGGTTCAGTTGCCTGTAGCTCAGGGTCAATGATTGCAGGGTACACCACGAACCGAACAAAGTCACTGCAGATCGATGTGTCCAAATGGGCTCACAACCAGTCGGTGCCCGAATCATGCTGATGACCACTGTAAGTTCGTAAAACATCGACCACACTTGAAGCTTATGAAACGTTGCCAGATGGACGCAAAATTATTGCAGATATGTCATCTTCGATTTATGAGTTCAATAGTACTGCTCTGTTGTACCTCAAACCAGGCTGAAGGTTGACTAACATGCAACGACGCGTCCACCGCAGCTGAAAGATGCAGATACAGATACAAATGATGAGTAAGATGAAGGCTCTGGTTGCTAATGACTTTCACCTGTCGAGCGCTAGCTTTGTTTGTTTGCTGCAGCCAACCGCGCCTTCCCCGGCCACGCGACTTCACACCAACTGCCAACTTCGTGCTACGATATCATTTCTACTATCACGGCTATCCTTAGTAGCTCATCCTACCTCGTCACATATATTGGCGGTACCTTCAAAATGTCGACTTCTGAAGAGGTCGTGATCGCACGTCCCACCAACAACGTTGCTCGTGAAGTGCGCGTCATCCGCGCTCAGTACCCACAGGAATGTCTGAAGCAACCCATGCAGCTCTTTGGTCCAGCTTCGATCGTTGAACCACGAAAGTCTCCACGCACATACCAAAACACGGGTTTTCAGACCCTTCCGCCACCAAATGGCCAGATCTATAAGCTAATCCACGGTCGCGAACCTTCACAAACCGACTGTGTGCGCAACATGGGTACTGCTGCTATTGGACGCTACGCAGATGACCCTCGCTCGAACCCCTATGAGTTATTGTACGGTACAGCATACCCCGCTCCACCGACAGCTCAAAGAGATATACACGCGGATTCAGGGTTCCAAACAGCGAGCTGCGACGCGATCAAGAAGGCGCTGGCCAGGGCGAAGGTCAAAGCATCCATGACAGCCAACAAGTACCGTGAGGCTGCTGCTCGTGCAGGCTATGCCATATGCGCGGAGTCTAAAGACGAGATGATTATACATTCGGAGCAATATCCTATGACCGTGCAACTCGACGCTGAAGGCAACTTGTTAGCCGGCACTGTCGAGCGTCGCTGTCTCCCGAACATCTATGGCGCATCGTCAAAACCTACACCACTAGCACCGGGGTTCATGCGCAAGACATTAATACCTCCTAGCAGACGTGCATCGAACTCTGTGCAACACGAGAGTCAGGATGCACTGACTGAAGAAGCGTCATACCCTTCGCCATCACAATCACCTACCATAATCCCCCGAATTGTCGAGGATCAGCTTCCTACACCGCTGGAAAGGATATCAGCGCTAATACCATCTTCAACAGAGGGAGCGTCGGACTTGAACTCAACGCTCGATAATGAGTACGGTAGCGTTGGTTCTGACTTGAACGAATTCGTCGTATATGACGCTAGAGCTGCTGCTAGGTCACCAGCACCTGTGCCTATCGCAACATCTGCGTTGTCCGGGAAACGGGGACTGAGTGAGCAGCTCCACACTGACACTCCTTCTAAGAGATCCAAAATCTCCACGCCAGAGAACCTGCGGAAGACTTCCATGTCCACCACGCCTTTGGTAGATTCGCCTCCTTGTCGACCACACCAGAATCGCAATGCGCTTGTCACATCACCAAGTTCAGATCCTAGAACTTCTTCACAATCATTGCACCGAGCTCGCTCGCAAACTGGCGATGTTGGCCAAGGACGCACTTGGACTGTTGCTCAGCCAACTACTGCGAGAGACACCCGTCCCATTGCGCCCGGCTCGGAGGACGGAAATAAACAGAAATTAGGACCTTCCCGTCGAACCTCATCAATTTCGTCTGCAAGCAACATTAGAGATGAGGCGTCTCGAGGGGTAACTGGCTCACTCCATGTGCACGACGCACGTCGCCATCGCGATACTGTACCCACACAGTCAAGAACGTCACCCTCGGTCAGAAACGAGTCTAGGCTATCCGTGACAACTGCAGTGCCTTTTTCCAGCAATGCTCAGCCGCCACCAGGATCATCAAACGATGTGACTTCTCCAACACGAAACTCCTCCGCGGCGTCCCGGAAGCGATCTCGTAGTTGTGCGCACTCTCGCAGCGGCAATGTTGGGTCAGACGCCAATAGAGTCATATCTGGCTCAAATGCACAGAAACATAGCGGAGCCGCCGAAGGAGCGGGTCCAACAAGAAAGCCTGATGCCTTCCTAGACCCTACGAGAGCGCCACAAACAGATAGCCAGCAGTCGATAGCCAGCAAAGATATCAATATCAGCCGAACAGCGTCCGGTGGCATCAAGAAGTCTGCGTCCCGTGTTTCGCGGATCTCCAGACAACCATTCGCACCGTATGTACCTCCTGCAATGCGCGCCAGAGCTCAGCAAGCCAGCAATGAAGGCAAAGTCCGAAAACAAAGCCGCGGGACTTGATCTCGCAAGAATAAATTTACAAATTTTGAGACCTGGACTGAGTTTTACTGAGCTTATGGAGGGAACACAAAGTGAGACTGGACGCCACTTCGATTAAAGGGACAAAGAAACTGCGAGAGAAAAACGCGTTGTGCAGAGGAAAACGCAACAATGGGAACATTGCGCTCGGTTGGTCGCAAAAGGGTCGCCAGGTGCAACAAAGAATGGCAGCATCGCCGCTCTCTTTCAGGCACCACCGTTCAAGATTAGCTCGATCTTTATGCTCACTCACCAATCCGCACGCAATAATTCTGCCTAGCATAGAATCATGCTAAAATACGAGAACATTCGGTACTTCGATTTTAGGGCGAGGAAGCCAGGGTCAAGTACTTTGGAAAGGCCGAGCATTTCCGATTATGATTCAGACTCCACTGGCGATCTCGAAGAACCATTGGATGTGCCACCACAAATACCAAGCGAAGTACATTTTGTAGCTGTGGCGCAGCTTACACCAGACGAGTGCATAAAGTTGATCAACGAGTTTTTGGAGCAAAATACATAAAGGATCGATGTCTTCCGTACCGACAACAGATGTATTCAGCTAGTCCCTGGATCAAACCTAGAGACATCGAAAGGTCCCTCAGTTTTGCTTGGAATGATCTAGTTGAATTCAACTTCCTCACAAATGCTGTACTGTAGTTGGATGCATTGCTTTCACCTTTTCGACTTGGTAACCTTGCTGAAGATGCGAACGATCTGAGGCCAAGTCTGGAGCAAGCCGTGCGCGAACTGCATGCGACAGGATTCCGTCACATGTACGTACTGGAGAACCTTAGAGTATAGAGGAATAATCTGTTGCTAAGCAATTCTTCGACCAAATAGCTGCTACTCAGTCCTCCAATTTGAGGCGCAGACAGCTTCTAGAGCATACGAATACTGACATCACAACTTTCGATGATGTGCTCCAGTCGCCCGAAAATATCAGATATCGCCGAGACCTTGGCAGGGAGTATGGCCAGAGAGATGATGTGGTTGATGGCATGCGCCGGACCTACAGTACAATTGTCTGCACCATTCCAGTTGGTCCTTCGAAGGAGGATCGAATTTACCAACCCCCAGAACAGCCAAAGATACAGTACGGAAGCGGTCCATTCCAATCGTATGCTCTGCCGGGCCCTCCAGAGACCTTCAATCACGCTTCCATCAGTGCTACCAGAATCAGTAGCCAGGGCTACGCTGGCATCCAACTTAGCGAAAAGCAAACACCCTTGAGCGAAGGTTACTGGCACAACATGCGCCAAGAGATGTCCAAAGTGATCACCGCACAGAGGCAGGACGATACTGGTATCACCAAGCTAAAGAAGAACACACAAAGTATGAATAGAGACTGGGGTGAGTTTTATGACCCTGTCTAAACATTACCAGCGTAGTAATTGTCCACAGGACTTCTACTGCCCATTGGTGCATGCTAGGAACAACGCCTCTCTCGCTGGTCCAGACGTTCTTATCCTCTGCGAGAGCACAATATGACATGGACTCGTCTTTGGAAAGAGCTTCCGCCAGCGCCTGGCTGGCTGGATCCATAATTGTGAATATGGTGTTGGATACAGGACACCAAATGTGCAGCTGTACGCAACCACCAATGCGCAGCCCACTGAACAAAGACAAGTGGGTTGTTGCAGAAATAGCCATCATGTGATATCTTTAGAAAATCCCAGAAGAACGCCACATGCTGAGTACTCGTAGAATAGCGTAGAATAAATACTTCACTACGTAAGCAAGCTAAGTTCCTCTGCCAAGACACCCAACCCGCTCTTCTACTCGGCGAAGCTCGGAACGTGTTTTCCTGTGAACTGATCAGTCTTTAAATTTGCATGTGTATCCTTCATCAGCAAAAGCTTTGCCTTAATTCGCCGGAATTTGGAAATACAGGGATGGCTGCCACGAAGCAAGGGTACGAAGCTGAAGCGAAAATAGAAGTGGTAATTGGAACGAGCAACGACATGGTGAGAATTGCGCATTTTTCATTCTGCAAATCCGAGTCCTAAGCGGTCATCCCTAAAGAATGACACTATGCAAAGCTTAACGACGAAAAGCCTCATGGCAGATTCCCAAGAGGTTAGAATAGTGATTCTGTCCCAGCACGGAGGATTCTCTGGGGAGGGACTTTACTAACTGTCAGCCCGTACCCTCACTGCATCCTTCTCTCAGAGGTTCCGCGCCTTTCCCCTTCTGGCTAGCGCCCACAGCACCCTCCGTGTAGATAAACTGTGACTACGTGGCTGAAGTCACATGATATTCTATTGTAGAAGGCACTGCCCGAGAGCAAGTGCACTTACCTCTGAGCGGAGAGCTCCTGTACAACGACATCACCGAACAGCAACACAGATAGCAATACAATCATTGACCACAGCCTCTGACCCGACACTGCTCACGCAGTAACATAAACCCCACGCAGGAAGTAACAACACATCGCGATTCTGGTCACCTTCTCCCCATTGACACTAATCTCCAGTTATGTTATGCTTCTTCTCTCGCCATCTCCCATAACACCTGTAATCGTCACATTGACACCTTCCCCAGTCTGGCCATTCGCGCCACCAATGATAGGCCACCGCTCATCATCAGCATCTCATGGTGTCGGACTGGGTATGGGGGTGTTGTAGTCTAAAATCCACTGGCAATTGCTGTCGACCTATCACCAGAAATAGGCGATTCGAAGTTCGTTGAATCTACCTCCATATATAGTGATTGACCCTCCTATCTCCTTCTTGCAGCAACGGAAGAGATGATATGTGGGTACTCTGCACTGCACTGCTTGAACCCCTTTCCGCATCCTCCGCGCAGTCCGGTGCGGTACCCTCACATCGACAGTCCTCATACAGAGCAACTCCTTGCGTAATCATACAACAAGCGCCCTGATGTCCAGACTTACACCCATACTTCAACGACCAGCCCTCAGCTTCAACAGCCATACATCCACCTCTGCATTTGCCTCCACCTCTGCATTTGCCTCCACCTCTGCATTTGCCTCCACCTCTGCATTTGCCTCCACCTCTGCATTTGCCTCCACCTCTGCATTTGCCAGAACTCTTATGGCCTCGCCAAGTGCATACCGGTTGCGCTGCATTGCTAGGACAGCAGAAGACCGAGTATCCGTTGCCGTTGCAACGGGTATGGTCCTACATCATCTCGTCGCGTGCGCCGCCTGCTCGTGGGACAGTAGAGAAGCCCGAAGGGCAAGGTGAGCCGCAGTTCGACTATCGGAATGTTTTCCTTGGTTGTCATGTCATCGATACTGTGGGCTGTGAGCTCTGGTGGGATGGCATTGGCCCAGATTGAAGGTAGAACTGCCGTGCAGGCAAGGGAGATTAGGAGATGCATGGCTGATGACGCTCAGTAAGTGTCGCTGAACCAAGTGGTGGCATTGTATGGAAGGGACATTCTAGTTGAAGGAAGCAGCCCACTTGCTGATAATATCACAGAAAACTTTGATTGACAGTGAAGGGTGCGCATCCGCACGTTGCAGTGTTCTGGTCCTTTAGTTTTGCGCGATGAGTCAAGGAACATTGAGCTGAATCTAGCAATCTGTGACCGTTGGGTTGCAGGTCAATAGCGTCGAGTGTCTTTTGCAAGATTTGCGTGCAAAGTCTCGGTTGTAAAGCTTCCTATGTCTTCGCATGGTGGCTGCGAGAGTAAATCGAGCGAGTAGGTTGATGAGATCAATCGTACATGTGCAGCGGTAGCAGCCGTATCAATCGTGCATGACCGCTGGACTAGTTCGACAAGGCGGATGATACGTTCCGCGTATGGCTCTTGTTGCTGACTGAGCATACGTGCCTCCATTGCTACCACCTTGATGTCCAATGTTCTGGGCGTAGTTGCGGACGTAGTGACCTTGTTGACCGCAGCCATGGCACTCGCCACGGTTGCCGCCACCACTTCCACCACCCTGAGCCCTACCTTTTTTGGGGCAAACATCTTTCTTGTGGCCTATTTGACCGCATCCATAGCATTTAAGACCTTGTGAGCCACCTGCATTTGATGGTGTTTGTTGACCCTGCGGTTGATCTGACTGAGCTTGTGGAATATTGTGCAGCGGTACAACATTTTGCTGCCAATGTGGAATGTTCAGCGGTACCGGCTGTCCTTGTTGAGCCAATGCATGTTGTAAACTGTGCTGTTGGGTATTGAAAGTGTAGTCGTTGGGTGCGCGGTGTCCGCCTCCGTGACCATTTTGACCACCACCTTCGTTGCCCTGCGGTCCTCTTTGCTGGCGGCCTGCAGGGTGACCATTGTTCACAGCGCGATAGGCCTTGGACCTCGGATCACTATGCTTGTACACGCAGTTGGCGTTTTGACAGAATCCACCATTCTTCTTCTCGTACTGGCACGGGATGTTGGGTCGATTATCAGGTCTCTGTTCAGCAGCAGCAGTGCTGCGGTTGTTGCCATTAGATGCTGCACCAGCCATGATAGCGCGTCCGAAGGATTGTTGCGCGGTCCGTAGGGTTATGGCATCAATAATTGCAGCATTGGCATTGTACTTGGCGGGCCTAGGGTTGATGTGTAGAAACTTGCAGCTTTGTCTTGTGCAATGTTTACCATTGGCGTCGTCATGTTGGCAAGTAACTTCTTTTTGGGGTGGTTGTTTTGTACCTTGTGCAGTAGGTTGAACATTCTGCGCTCCTTGTGTAACCTGTTGAAAGTGGTTCGCATTTTCGAAGCCCGACTGCGCGTGGGATGGCCCCGATGCTGATGGTACGCCAGGTAGTGCAGGGAGCAAATTCGATCCAGCTGGGTAGTGCAGATGAAGGCGGTAGCATCTCTGGTTCTTACACTTCTTTTTGCTCCTGTTGTCACAGTATTTTCTAGGATATGTGTGATTCACGACTTTTCCATCCGGTGCACAAAAAACCTTTGCCGAGATGTCAACGTTGGCAGTTGCTCCAGCATTCACAAGGCTCTGAGCATTAACAAGATTCTGGATCTGTGACAGTGCATTGACAGGGGCGGAATCCAGTTGCACCAAGTCAGCATTACTATTGGTGTCCGTGTGCTGTGAAACAGGAGCGGAAGGTTGTGCCTGGGTAGGCTGCAGACCGATGATCTGCTTGAGGAGGTTTCCTGCATGCGCCGGTAGGGCTGCCTGTCCCTGTTGTACAGCATTACCAGCTGGTTGTTGAACTACGGGTGGGTTGCCTCTGTTTGGTATATCTTTACTCTGGGTTGCGGCGACTTGCTTAGGTGCAACTACCAATGCGAATGAGACTGACGGACAGCCTACAAATTGCGCCTTCCTATTAGAAACAATCTGCAAGGCAGCACATATCGCGTCTACATCTGGCTTCGACCAGATCAAAGGCTCCTCGTACACAAAGTTTATCATCGCTGTCTGCAAGGAGCGCATCTTGTCCAGGTCCCAGCCTGTGGCCAGTACAGCCGAGAAGGTGAAGCCATAGTGGTTTAACACCCGCAAAAGACAGTGGGCCTCTCGCATGCAGAAAGCGAACTTGTAAAACTTGCCGAGGTTAGTCCGTAGCTCTTCTGCTCCTGCTGTAGTTCGATTGATCTCCGTTGCCGTATCCCAGAGAGTGCGTAGTCTGTAGTAACAAGCTTCAGCATCCGGCATCTGAAGGTCACATAAGTGTGGTGGAGGGCCACCATTCTCTGCGTCGATCAGCTGGTTGATGATGATTTTATAAGCTTCGCCATAGGTCTGCAGCTTGGAGCAAGCCATTCTATCCTGATGCTGTAGTTCGGTGCATGCATTAGCTTTCTGTTGTGGCATGGATCGAGCAGTCGTCAGAGCTGATTCTTCGGACGGCCCCCACTTTGGTTGCTCCTGGCACCCATCACCATGCGTAGATGTTGAGGGGATGACGACACTTTCGTCAGTTGCGTTGTGCGATTCGGTGGGCTGTGAATGAGTCTCCTCGGTATTGCTTGTTGTAGGGCGTTGTTCAATCAATGTCTTGGGTTGTTCATCGTTGAGAGCGTAAACATGTGCAGCTGTATCTCTGATATTTGCAGAGTGGTGCTGAAGCTGTTGCATGTTGTCAGTGTGAGCGTTTGGGGCCGGATCCAGTTCTTGTCGCAAACTATCGGCTTGATCGTTGTGTTCTCGATGTCTGGCTCCTTCTTCCGCCGCCTGGGCCAAACGACTGTTGAGCTGCACCCTCATAACAGTGTCCTGATCGTTCCGAGTTGGGACGTCGTTGTAACTGGGTGAGTCTGGGGGAGAAGGATAAGGCTCGGGCGGACTCAGCCAAGCTAGAAGGTCGCTAACCTGGGCCTCAAGCTGTCGTTGTGTGTTGTTTCTGGCTTGTGTATGTTGAAGTTTGGTACCGAGTTCTTTGAGCTCAACCAGTGATAGGTTGAGGTTGCGGAGAACTGTACGCAGCCGAGGGTAGCCTTTGAGATGAGGGTGGAGTTTGAGAAGACTTTCGCGGTCGAAAAAGCCAAAGATTGAGTCCGTCATATTCTGCTTAGCTTGCGCAAGGTCAGCGTTAGGGGTTCCATCATTGCTGGCCAGGATTCCCTCTTTAGATCTCAGATCAGCCCAGGCAATATATGCAGCGTCCAGCTGCTTGATGTTGTCACTGTAAGCGCTTTCATCAGCGCTCTTGATTTGGCGCAGTATAATTGTGAGGTCGAATTGGTCAATTTCCTTTGCCAGCTTGGAGGGCCGAGAAAGACCTTGCCATTTACAACACTGTTCGGTTCTTCGTAAGCACATGCGTACGACCAGCTGCAAGGTATTAGTACGCATCCAAGAACTGACGAGGTGACAACCTACATCAATGGCTTTACTTTCTCGATCGTTTCGTACTTTCTTACAAGCTCGTTCATTAGAGGCACTCTGAGTCTGTTCTGAAGCAGGCTGTGGCTGCGTGTTGGATGATGCATCTGGCTGGGTTCATATCAGCTACGTTCAGAGTGCAAGTCGTTGTCATTCAGGCTTACTGAGTCTGATAGACTGGTCTCACGAGGTCTTTTCCTGCTTCCCGTATCGCTATCAGGCAGGTTTGTTTCTGAGGTCGATTTCGTGTCAGGGCTGACGGAAGTAACTTCCCCATTAGCAGCGCCAGCAACTCTTGGAGAGGGCAGTGCACCCGGTCCAGCCGGCTTTATGACCACACCTTTAGCATTCATAATGGCTTTTACGGAGAGCAGACACCGGTGCATCAGCATAGAAATAACGCGGCTGTTATTCTCGACTCAGCGGGCGGTGTGTATGGAGTGAAAAGGAAAGTGGATGAAACTTGTGCGGGAAGCCATCGGTTCTACTTGCGTTTGTGAAACTGTTGCTGTGAAGTTTTCTGTGTGATTCTCGAAGCGGATAGATCCGAGCACAGGCGTGCTAAAGGTATATGGGAGGCGTGTTCGGACAAAGGGGTGCTCTGAAAGCATAGAGGAGCGGCCTGGCGTTGTCTGGTTCTGGAGCAATGAGCGCTTGCTCGTTGTTTGGGCTGGACAATGTCTTTGGCTTGTGACATGAGCACTGTGATGAGCCAACTAAATCCGGCGGGGCTGAGACGAACATGAACTAACAAAATAATCAGCAGACAAATCGCGCAGTTCGTGAACAGTGTAATACAATGTGAGGGGTGCTGGAAAGGCGTACAAGACTTGATGATGCATAGGTGTTGCGACAACGCTACAGCGCGTTGTTTGATCAAACAAAGGGACGACAGTCATCGAGACCAGCCACTTGGCCGATCCATTATATGCCAACGATCATGTGAGTATTGATGCGATGGAAAAGTCGACATGCTGAGAATAGAAAGATTGATAAGGTATCATGGTGAGCTGTGTAGGTACCTGAACACATGCAAAACAGTTGACCCATAGCAGGTGATCCTTGACGCCTTGCTGTGCCCAAGAAGATTGATGAGTGTGTCCGCGAGGTTGCTGAGGAACTGTATGTAGCAGTCTAGATATACGAAGAAGGTATCTTTTGGACGCGGAAGCAGGAGGATCGAAGTAGAACGCAGAAATTGTAACTCGAGGGCTCCGTACGCCGACTTTACACAGTCTCGACGTAGTTGCTGCGGGTTGGTTAAATTGAGACTAGGCATGCAGTGTAATGGGTGACTTACCTAGGGAAGATGCCTTCCCTGTCGCCCACTCTCCCAGTCCACCAATCTGTCTCGTTGTCTGTCCTCTTCAGGATGGTAATGACCTCGCCCTTCTTGAAGCCCAAGTCGCCAGGCTGGTCTGGGTCGAACGTGAATTTCGCGATTGCCTGGTCAGCGCCCAAGCTTGCCCTCTTTTGGCCGAAGACTGGCTTCGGTGCTGAAGGTCGTCCGGGCGCGCGGTCGCTGTAGGAATAGTCGTCGCCGAAAGTAGATGCGCGGCTGCGGCTGGTCATGGTGTCGAATGTCTCGTTGGGGTTGGCACGTGTGGAGAAGGAGCGGTTGATACCACCACCGGTGTTTGGCTGTCGATCGTACACGTCGTCTGCCCATGTTGATGAGCGCTGTGAACGGTCGCGGTACTCGTAGTCGCCGTTGCCAGCCTGACTGCCCTGACCCAGCGACCCTGTGCGGTCTCTCCTAACACCCTCACCCATAGCGGACCCGCTTCGGCCCTGCCAGACAACGTTGTCGTGCGAATCATCGTAGACGGGGATGTCATTGTACATCCTTTCGTCCGCTGCCGCAGCGCCACCTACACCAGAAAAGACTCTCGAGTTGAGCACACGCAAAAGTGGCTCAGCAGCCGGTGGTGGAGGAACCTGGCCACTTAACAGCTCTCGCGCAGTCCATCTCCGCCCATAGAGCTTCTCGTTTGCGTCTCTCCTCTCGATCAGGCCACTGCCTTCCAAACTGACACCAGCGAACAGTCCCTTTGTCTTGCTGTAGCTGAAGACACCCGCTACGCCCTTCAAACTCGCGACTCCGGCTGCTTCCGCATTCCTACCGACAGGACCGGCCGCGATTGAAACATTGCCGCCCAGTGTTAGCGACCCGGCCTGGGCAAATGTGCGCACTGCTGATGCATCGTTCAGAATGAAAACGAAGTCAGTCAACTCGAAGCCAATCTGTCCGCCGAAGCCGCCGCCGATTGTTCCAATGGCCGAGGGCGCCGACCAGGATCCGTCTGCGAGGCGCGCCACGACAACGCCGGAACCGAAACGCGCTGTACCAAGGAAACCAGCTTTGAAGACTGTGAGGATGGCGAGGCCCTATATCGCGCTAACGTCAGTACATGGTGTACATTGAGCCTCGAGCTTGGGCATGCCTGGGCGGACTGGGCGCATTGCGGGGAGCTCGGAAGCTTCAAGAAGAGAGTAACACACCTTTGCATTCGCAAGGACAGACGGCGGAATGATCTTGTCCGGTCCAAAAGCTTGTCGCGGGTCGACGAACGATGCCAGGATCTTGCCCGTTTTCCTGCACTCGCCTGCAGAGCAGACCTGTCAGCGACGTCACAGTGCGGCCATCCTCACCACTTCTGAGACTGGCCAATCACGATAAGAGACAGGGACTCACTCCTCATCGACGAGGGCAGCGGATTGTTGAGACTGAAGCCCATCTTGAAACCTCGAGTGTCTGCGGAAATGTGTTTGCCGGGAAAGAAGGGCTGACAGCGGTCGTCTGTTAAGCAGTGGAGAACGAGGTGTGATGACAGAATGGTGTGGCTGAGTAGTCCGAACGCGCGCCCCGCCAGCCGCTAAAGTCCGCTCGTCACCTGCATCACCTAAACGCGTTGCCAAGCCTTGGGCCTTTACATCTTGGCCGCCGCATGGATGGATAAGGCAAGGTTGCGCAGCTCGATGCTGAACGAGAGGCAGCGTACAACGACTGTGGCGATGAAGTCGTTCAGGTAGGTTCGTAGTTCGACAGCTCACGTTCAGGGATGCTGGCACGGGCGCAGGGCTAGAGACGCTCAAAGGCCACTCAGGGTTGACCAAGATCTACCGCTGTGTACAGGAACGCGGTAGCTCAAGGTCAAGATTCTGGTCGCTTGTTTGTGCTAGAGTTGGCCTTTTGATATTTCCCAGTCTCGTCTAGTGTACCTGTGCATGTTAGTCCACGTTGTGTTGTCACGGTTCAGGGTGCTCCTGCCTGTCGTACCTCACCTGCCATGAGAGTGACTGCCATGTCACACTAGCGTTGTTTACAGCTACCCACATATATATACCGTTCGTAGTTTCACCCAATACAACCTCGGTACAATCTTCAACCTCTTCCCTTTGCGTACAGTTCACTGAACTCCAACATGTGTTGTACGCCAGATATCGCGCTAGCTTGTTACGCCAATATTTGTTATTAGGATCTCCATCTCGTTGCAGTCACCAGACTCTGACTTTGCACTAGATCCGCAAGGGCTTGGCTGCGAAAAGGAAGGTCAACGAGAAAGCAGTTGAGTGGGTCGCAAGCCTTCTGAGCAGCAGACATGCGCGCATCTCTATCGAGGGATTCCAATCTGGAGAGTATGCGACAAACACAGGCATCCCCATAGCCCTCTACTATTGCGCATCCTTTACCTCTTCTACAACGCACACTTGATTGACCAATGCAATCAAGAGACAGGCGCCATGTCAGCAGGGTACATTAATGACGTTGTTATCCTTGCATACGGCAACGGTACAGAGAAGACATGTGAGATACTAGGCAACGCGCTCGAGAAAGCACAAAGTTAGGTCAGCACCCACGCTTCCATCTTCGCTCCAGATAAGTTCCAAGTAACCCTGTTTACAAGGTCATGTGAACAAATTGAAACAAGCGCACCCATCCAAACCAACCGGGGTAAGGTGAAACCTGGGACGACCTGCAAATACCTCAGGCTGACCATGGACACCAAGCTGGAGTGGATGGCACATATAGAGGAGACAGGACATTAAACATGTTGAACAGCCTCGGAAGTTCAACCTGGGACGTTGGGTCTAGTGAACATGCGAGGGTTCTATGAGGGCACTGCGATGCAGCCTGAACGATCAGAAGACAGGTTTTCCTGCCTGGTCGCCATTTGCCGTGGTACAAGTAGGTGTGGAGCAAGAAGAGCGTAAAGTGTCAGTAGAAGTTTATGTTCTCTAATAGGCATTCATTATTGAAAGAACGCCTGCTTGTAAGTTATGCTGATCAACTGTTGTCGACGCTATGGATAGCTTCTAAGACTGATGATTGAGAAGATACACTATTTATCTTACAATTTGACAAAGACTTTAGTGCATGAAGCAGTATAATGGAGTCCCAGGTGCAGAAATTAGCCCAAATTTACGATCCGTGCTGATTCTTTATTCAGAACTTTGCACTCGGCGCCAACGTAGTCACGGTGAGCTTAAAAGAGATTTCATCCAATGCTGTTCTGGGAATCGTGATTACACCCCTACACGATTCCACCGCAGCAAAAAGAACCAGCAACATGATATGTATTCCCTGACGCTCTTTTTTTTTTGCTCCTCTCATGGCTCGCTAATCTTTCCTTCTATTACAAGAACACTCTTTCCATTACTTACATGATAACGTCTGTGACCCAACGTAGGGTTGATGCCTCTACCTTATCCTCCACGCTACTTCTGGCTAGGAAGTTCGTAGCAGGGCGACGCGCTCTGCAGTTCGGGTGGTTGTGTGAAGGTCTCATGCACTGTATGATACCCTGACTGCTTTTGGGCGTGAGCCTTGTCATAGTAAGAGACAGCAGGTAACGGCGCCGAAGACAATGCGTCCTTGCTTCTCTGACGTTTTCTTAAGTAGTACAACAGTCCCGCGATGATGACTGCGCCCGCGACTACGAGTCCAACTGTCAAGCCGATGATAGTACCTTTCCCGACCCCCCTACCATGCGTCTCTGCTGCCATACTTGGAGCCGCTGTAGCTTCGGTCTTCGTCTCTGTCGTTGTCGATGACGGACCCTTTGAGGATGTTTCTGGCGATGAGGAAGGCGTAGATGACGTGGCTGTGGTTGAAAATTCTGCTGATGACGATAATGTTGCCGAATTACTTGCATTGTCATCTCGTGTGAGATACCAGCTGGTGCTCCAGAAGCCCTCGCCGTTCTGCTCCTCGGTCGTCCCCTGGGCATTGACGATTCTGAAGACGAATGGGTTCGTGAGGTTTGTCTCTTCGGCGTGGACCTCCCACTGGTACCATTCGGTTGCTAAGTTAGCTAGAGGCCTCGTTAGTAGAGTTTGCGAGAACCAGAGCATGCTGCTGCACTCACTGACAAGCTGCACTGAGTTCGCAACTTTCCCCCTTTGGTAGAAGTATAGATTGATATTTTCGTACGTTTTTGACCACGAGATGTTGATGCTGGAGCCTTCGCGGAAAGTAAGGGGGTATGTCCGCGGGAAGATGAAAGAGCCGTTGACTGAGTCCCTGGGGTGTCGTCCAGACGCGTCCTTCATCTCTTGGCAGGACATGAGGTGTAAGCAGTGTCGAACTCAGGATCCCTAACTCAGCAAAGAGGGCCCTCATATTCTCTTTGATGTTATTGTACAAACGCTGGTAATCCGGGAGGGGGATAGGGGAACAAGTCAAGGAAGAATACTCTGCGAGTATGCCTCAGGTTTCATACATGTTACATTGCCTGAATCCTTTGCTGTGCCGCATCGGATAATGTACACATTGGGCTATTTGGACCGAGAATCCGGTAGACTGGGTAAGCAGTAGAGGTGTGACGGTTTATGGAGTATGGAGGTCATGTGTGCCACGTGTGTTGGTGCTCTTGCTCTTTCCAACAAGCACCTCCTGCTCTTGACTGCACAAGATACATACGTCATGTAAACAGACCCCGCTGGGGGTCGAGTGAGAGACAGAACAGAACAACAGAACAACAGAATATACTGATTTTACTGCTTCGCGCGGTTACCCCTGACTTACTGCCCTGCGCGGTTACACCTTCACTTATTGCATTTACTGCAACAAGAGGAAGGCAGGATGTAAAGCAGGACGTGAAGCAGGCCAACAATGTTCTTCAGGGAAACTGCTCTCCAGTAACTCTTCTTCAAAAGCACCTATTTGATAGTCCTCCATTGCCGATACCGCGACACATCTTTGATGTTATAGTAACATGGATGACCACGACCATGTCTGCGATTTTTGCTTTCATTGGCTCCAGCCAATCACCACTCTCGTCTGCCGCCGCCAAGAGCTTTGCCGCCATCACTTCATAAATCCTTGTGTTGCTATGTCGCTGCCATCTTATGGTTAGATAAGGCTGTTGGCCATCTGTTATTGCTTGATAACGAAGAGGAGGTTTGGAGAGTAGCGTGATATATAGCACGCTCGCAGCGTACTTGATTTTCTGCGTGTAGCGCAATCGAAACGCTAGGAACGTGTGTGTTCAAGTATAAAGTATTTTGTTGATTGCATAATAGACAAAGGAGCTGATGCTAAGAAGGACTATCTACGCTAAGTGCTGAACGGGTAATTGACCCCGGTGGGAACCACCTAACAACCCGGTGTACCAGGATGACAGATTGGCTGGATCGAAGCATATGGCCGAGCACGCCCCTCTGCTGTGCCGCAATTTGATCGCTTAAATCACGGCCAGTCCTAGACACCGACGAGGCCGACTCCAAATAAAGTTGGATCAGGTCTTCTCCATCTTCGAGGTCCGACGTGCTCCATTTGAGTGGCTGAAAATGGCTACAGGAAGGTCCTGGGTGGACTTCCGGCGCAAAAATCGTACCGTATTTACCGCCTTAATCATCTGCTTTCTCTTCTTTCATCTATGTCGGAGGTCGACAATCAGTACCAACATACCAAGCCAGCACCGAAGCACACTCTACTGTCCCCAGAATCTCATTGCGAAGGAAGTACTAGTCGTCCTTCGGACAGGCGCAACCGAGGTACTCGAAAAGTTGCCGGTCCATCTCGATACGACATTACGTTGCATACCGAATTATGCTATCTATTCCGATTATGAAGAAGATATCGAGGGGAGCCATATCCATGACGTTTTCGACGAGCTTAGCCAAGATCTCAAAGAGTCAGTGCCGGATTTCGAACTGTACCATCGGCTCAAGATGAAGGGTCGAGATGGCCTTTCCATTGACGGCACTGAACATGATGGAAGTGGCCCGTCGGGCTTGCTAGACAACCCTGGATGGAAGCTCGACAAGTTTAAATTCTTGCCCATGATCGATAAAGCTCTCCGCCACAGTCCCCAAGCGAAGTGGTTCGTCTTTGTCGAGCTGGACACGTACCTGATGTGGGGCAATCTGCTAGACTATTTGTCTAAGTTCGATGCTGAGATACCGCATTATATTGGCAAGTAGATGTACATCGGCGAGGTGCTGTTTGCTCATGGTGGTTCAGGGTTCGCTCTATCGGCGCCGGCGGTGAGAAGAGTGACAGAGCATTGGAGGGCTCACATGGTCGAGTATAATCAGTATACGATCGAGCAATGGGCTGGAGACATGGTCCTGGGAAAAGCCTTGAAAGACGTCCTAATACCACTGCTGTGGGCTTTTCCTCACTTCCAAGGTGATCCAGTGTCAACGCTCGATCACAACATCACGAAGATCAACAGGCAACCGTGGTGCTATCCCGTTATTACCTACCACCACATGCCCGAAGACGAAATCCGATCGTTGTGGGAGTTTGAACAAGAGTGGCAGCGTATGCATCCAAGAGACGTTCCCTTGCGGCATGCCAATGTATTCAAAGGATACATACACCCTTACCTGAGTAAGGAGAGAACGGAATGGGACAATTACTCCGTAAATCCTGAGTTTAGTAAACATGCCTTGAAGGACGGGGAGGCGCACACCTCTTTCGAAGCTTGCAGGTCGGCATGCGAAAGCAATGCCATGTGCCTGCAATTCTCGTACCGTACTTCTATGTGTTTGGTCTCGAGTGAAGTACGCTTGGGTCGAAGGGCGACATTGCAGTGTTCGGAGTATTCTACTGCCGCTTCAAAATGTGACAAGACGGAAGAAAGGGGTTTGGGTATGGGAGAGGGAAGCCTGGATGCGGTCCGCTCTGGTTGGATGGTAGACAGGTTAGCAAAGTACGTGAGTGCCATGGATCAAACTTGCAACGACCATATGGGTTGGATCATCTAGAGAACAGGCAGCTCGAATAAAAGTTTTTCGATTACTACCACAAACGACAACGACAATACGAAACCGTCTTTATATCCACAATTCGAACTTTTAGCATACGCAAAATATTTGCGAATATTGGTGTACACTGTAGTACAAAATCGGGTAAGATACACCGCTTCCTAGCCGGGTAAAACACAGAAGAAAGACCGTCAAAAACACTGCACAGTGTCTACTAGTGATTGGGTAGAGAGCAGACGCGCGTTGGGCTAGAGAGCTAGAGAGCTAACTTAGAGGGGGCAGAGAAGCGGAGCAGGAGGTCAAGGCACAACATTGGAAAGTGGAGCAGCAGTGCCGGGAAGTGGGGCCTGGTAGGATTACAGGGTTGTAACGCAGTTAGGTAGGCAAACACAGGCAATGGACGATCACTTACACGCATAGAGATGTGAAATTTCCTAGACTTCAGACAAGAAGAAGTAAGACGTGAGCCACATGCGAAACGCCCGCCCCAATGAACCTCTGGGCCTTTGCACACAATTACTCAACATCACAAAAACCTGCTGCAATGCACAATATATAGAATTAACCACTAGCCTCTATCCCACACGTGTGCTAATTGTGTTCTGTCACCCACAGCGCTTGCAGTGCCTTTTGCCCTGCTTGTCTATACCTGTTCGTGCCTTATGTCCATGCGCTTCCCCCTTCTACCTGCGCGCCAACGTCTGATTGACAATCAATTCCGGTACTACGTGGATTAGGTCACATGATAACCTATTGTAGAAGGCACTGCACGAGAGCAAGCGCACTTACCTCTGAGCTGAGAGATTCTGTACATGTCAGAGTTCAGTGAAGAACTGTACGCAAAGGGAAGAATTTGAAGATTGTACTGGGGTTGTATTGGGTGAAGCTACGAACAGTATATATAGGTGAGTAGCTGTAAACAACGCTAGTGACGTGGCAGTCACTCTCATGGAGGTGAGGTACAACAGGCAGGAGCACCCTGAACCGTGACAGTACAACAACACCACCGAACAACAACACAGATAGCAATACAATCATTGACCACAGCCTCCAACCGAAACTGCTCATGCAGTTACAAATCCTCTAACAATTCCTTTGGTAGGTCTCCAGCAGCTTTGTTGGACACTTCAAGCTAGATCACTCGGGCTGCCAGCAACTTCTGTGAGTGCAGTATCATCTCAGTGCCTTTCTGAGCTGATCAAGCATCTCAATAATAGGAGAAGGTGAGGAGCGCGTTGATTGAGCCTCTACTTCAGTAGCGTTACTGGGTGTTTTCGGGCTGCATTGGGTGGTTCTTGGTAGAGGTGGTGTTGGCGGGCGAGGCTTGACTTCAAGCTTCGACAGCATCACCAGTGGGTCATTACGCACCAAGCCAGTTGCTCTGAAGCTTGATTGAATTTTTGCCTTTGAGAACGCTGGCTCAAAAACCCTTGCAAAAGAAGCTCCAGCAGATAGTCGACGATCACATTTGATTGCTCTATCCCAAATAAGACACCGCCCTATTCAGCTTGACCTCAGCCGCTGCTTTAACAGCTGTTTCGTGTCATCTTCTCCGCCCGCCACCAGCTGTGTGCGCAGTGCCCGCACGACCTCTACACACGCCTGCTCGGAGTTCCCTATGCATAGCGCAGGTACCCAGAAGATAAACCACTTCGACCACTCTCCTCCACCATATACGCAAACTGTAGATACCAGCCGTTTGCCCCTTCCCCCAAGCCCACAATACACATCCTCTGGCACTTTTGTTCTATGAGCTGGCGCTGCCGCAGCACAGTAAGCTTATCGCCTTATCCGACAAAGTATGGATTTCTCGCGAACGGAATGTGGTAGGTGGTGAAGCAATGGGTATGAGAGCTGGCACGCAAAATGTGTGCGGAGAAGCCTTATTTTCACCCTTTCAGTAGCTCTGGCAGGTCCGCTTTGGTACTGGTACACTAAACTAGCTCACTACCAAGTGATTTTATGTGATTGGCCATCACTCCAAGTACTATGGTGACCTTCACCAAAGCCTGATTTAGCGTCTCCACATGCCTCCGTTGAAGCCTACTACATAAATCCCAATGTCCCAATTACCGGCATATTAGTGTAGCTCACGGTATGGTGGCTCATTTTTGATGACATTTTAGTGAACATTCACTCTGTCGACATGCTAATTCACTAGTGTTTCTCCATAGGAATTTACCCGGCGACTCTTTGGGAGTTCAATTGGGTACCAAACTTGGGGCAGTGCACACATTTTGACGGTCACCGATATGCCTCTCGTCTTTGGTACGCGCGACTGTCGCTTTACCGTTGTTGCGGTATCAGACTGCTGCAATATACGTCGCGCATGAGCCTCAATACACACGTTTGTAACGGGTCATGTTTAGCACGTTTCAAGCCGTGTATATATCGTCGCCTCCTAGCTAGACATCAATACAGCGCAGTATTCCATCGACCCGATAGTCCTACGATATCGTTTACCGTAGCTATCAGTATTCTACAGTGGCCGTTGCCGCTACAACCGTGCTTTTCCATCATCCAATCTACCTGCCAAAAACAGTCGTAGGCTCTACATCTATAGGCTTCAAAAATCCGCAAGCATGTTCGCGAGATAGTGTTTGAATCGGAAGTAGAGTGTCTTTACATGGTTTTATTCAGCGATTTAGATGGGGTTGGACAATTCTGGATTACGTTTTGGCAGAGTTTGCCCGTCGGTCACTTGTATTCACCGGTCCGAGTATGCATTCAAGACAGTTTCTACACAGCATGCTGAATTGGCATACACGATAGTAAAAATTTCGCGAGGCATGTCGAGGCGGAAATGACAACATATGGTGCAAAGCAGTGCTCCATAAGCCCCTTCTTTCGATCTCGGTATGCTGAAGCCGTGATTATAGACACTGTGAATGCAATTCAATGGTGAATGGCCAACCTTGCGTCCGCGTATCAGTCGTCTCCTTCCTCTTGCGGACATGGAACGACCGTTTCTGGGTACATGTCGCGAGATTTTGTTTAGTACCACCCGCTATTACCACCCGCTTCAGATTAGGATTTCAAGCTCAGAAGCATTGCTCTTGTACGTTCATGATTATGGTACCTTCCTACACAACTCTCCTAGAAGACGAGGAGAAGCTCATATTGACGCCCTCTTCCGACGACGGAACTGCATCGGGCTCTACATATACTGTAACTGCGTGAGCAGTGTCGGTCGGAGGCTGTGGTAAATGGTTATATTGCTATCTATTTACTAGCGGCCCACTGCTCTGATTATCCAGCTCATTCGGTTAGTTCGGTTTGCTTCCCAACACTCTCACAGCTATTCCTTCTACTATTTAGTCTCGATCGATTCCCGATATAGCTCTTCAGATCAATCAGCTCAACCATCTCAACCCTTCCATACTATCTGTGTCGTTGTTCAGTGGTGCTCTTGTACAGGAGCTCTCGGTTCAGAGGTAAGTGCACTTGCCTTCGGGCAGTGCCTTCTACAATAGGATATCATGTGACTTAAGCCACGTAGTTACACTAGAGCTATCAGTGCTTTCGATGGGCCGTACTACGGCACTTTTGACTCTACGGTGACTACGGTACAGCCAATCAACGAGCCGTACGGTGCCGTAGGCCATGTTATGGTCGTAATACATTACTAGGTAACGAGGGCTTTGAAGCGTTCGGCGTGATGCCAGACATGCCGGTGGGCATGGGTGTGTCCCAGGGAATCTTCAGCGCACGGTTGGACGCAGAGGTGGTTCGTTGAGTGGATTAGGGAAGCTGAGCAATATCATATTCGGTATCGCGGTGATGGCGGGGGAGATTATCTGTACGGGTTTCAACTGGGAAGATGCTACTTTTACGATTGTTTCGCAAGGCGACTATAGAACGATCACGCTCAGTTTGCTTGAGCGACATGTTTCGTTGACGCTCAGAATAAGTCAAGGATCGATGTGATTAAGGTGGTGTACAATTTGTAGCTAGTACTTCAATGCATAATGAGAGGGCTTAGTCGAGAGATTAGAATTCTCATTGTCAAGATGGTTAATGAAAGCAATGATCATGTGTGGCTAATCAGAATCGTTTTTTATCCTAAGATTCACTCTTAAACTTCCCGAAGTAATGTCAACATTCTCAACTCTGTGTGGTTGACTATGGTTCCCTTTCAAGCAAAGATAACAGAATGCAATCAATTCACTTCAACCTACTAGTGCTTCAGCACCGAACATTTATTGACTGGATACCGTACTGTTCCACTACGTAGTCTAATTACTGACTCCTGTTGCAAAAGGGTCCAGGTTATCGAGACATATTATAGTAGAACCGGATTGTCTTGACGGTATCTATTTAGGTACGACTCACGGATTCCATTGTTGGCCATTCCACCACTTGTGCTCGACAGCATTTCCTGTGCCCTTATCGAAAAGATCAATGCGATTCGGTCCCCAAGACACTGCCGAAATCGGAGAGGTTGCAATGCCTCCAAGAGACTCCCATCCGCCCCATTGTTGGCCATTCCACCATTTGTGCCAAACAGCATTATC